TTCTCCCCTGGCTTGTCGACGTTTGATTGTTGGACTTGGGAAGTTGCATTGTTTCTCTTTCATCTCGCACTGCCATCTCCCACTCGGCCCAAGTCACCCATTGATTGATCTTCGAGATGCACCGAGACCCGCGGCCGCCGCCAGCCAACCACGGCGCCTCGATCTCGATATTCGCTGGTAGGGTTGTCATTTCAGAGTTGCAAATTGCCCCGTTTATCCCATCACTTGTCCCGTCAGCCTGGCGGCGCCCTACTTTCTAGAGAACCACACACACAGCCCATCTTTGCCCGTCTCTGACCTATCCCCGAACGCCAGCTGCAAAACTTGGTCAACGGACTTTTTCCTCTCGCCGTGTCGTGCTTGAAACAGGAGTCCCCTCGTCCCGGGTTTCCCTTGGTTTCTTCTTCGCGAAGTCCCAGAACTGACTTCAGCTCGCGGTTCGAAACAAAGGCGGACCCAGACCAGCCTACCCGGTCACAGTGTCCTCGACCCCTATTTCCCACCGTCGTGGATTTCTCATCCTTTTTCCGAGTTGGCTGGCTCTTCTCGCCTGCTCTCGCCTGGGACGAGATGAGCATGTCTTGTCACATCTCGTCACTCGCAGGCGGAAACCACCACCCCCTGACCTCGGCAGGGTGCTAAACCGTGGACCTCTCCCCACAGTACTTCTCGGCAGAGGCCTCGTCTTAGCCTCTCGAAGCCTCGCTGCCGACGCCCCGAAGAGGACTCCAGAGATCTTCATAATTCTCCGCCGAGAAGGCCAAGGGCCAAGGCCTAAGGCCCGTACACGGGGCTTCCGTCCATCACGCGCCATTTCCAAACACGAATGACTTTCTGCTTCTAGCCTCTGACTTCTGACCTCGGTACCGGAGCGCGCCAGATGAGAAAGTTGAGTCGGAACTTGGCGAATCTGGCTACGTTTACGGCTTAGAAAGAGTCAGACGGCGCCGCGGCGCCGTAGCCAGCCAGTCCGCAACGTTCCATCACCCCGAACCCATCGGACTGTTTCCCCCTCGTCTGCAGCCCGCGCCTCACCAGACCAGACCGGATCAAGACCAGGCTGGAGGCAACCACCAGCTCGAACCTAACGGACCGATCTGTCCCCGGGGCATTACTGTCGTTTTGGCCCTGCAGCACTCGTATCCAACTGGTCGGGTTGCCTCTGCCCTATGCTCCAAACCCACCTTCTATAGTAAGTCGACAACGGCTGTCAGAGAGTGGCTGTGTCAGCCCAACAATAGGATGTGGCCTCTGCTTTCGCTCATCAACTTGAAGTCGAACTGTGAGCCAACCACTCTGTCGTGCTTCGCCTGCCATCTCACATCCTTCCTGAGGAGCTCGGGCGCTTCTTTGCTCAGAACGCGGCGGATACAGGCCGATCCTGGCTTCGAAACGTCACTCAGCCCACTTCACTCGCCTTTGCTTCTCCATTTTGCCATGACCGTGAACGGGGTCGGTTTGTCATGCCTTTTTATTTTGCGTGGAGACGGAAGTGTCTCTCGTTTACACTTTACATACGACAAATGCGATTGCTTCTCGTCACATGACGATCTCTTCCAGGCCGTTGTAAAAGCCTGGGTTCGGTCTCTCCCGAGCAGGCTGGTATGCGGAGGAGGCGCAGCGCTTGCAGCGCGCTCGACCGCAGGAAAGGCTCAGTGCCGGCGCCGAAAAACTCCAGGCAGGTATCACAGCATCTTGACGGCTGTGAGGCTTGCAGAGAGAAGCATGATGTACGTCTTTGGGTGATGTTGAAAGCCGCATGACGTGACTTGTTGTTGTTTGTACGACCACCAGCCACGCGAACGCTGCGGCTCTCAGGCTTGAGTCAAGTCCATCCGTCCGTCGTCCCAGCGCAAAAGGATCGACGGTTTCCCGGCCGTCAACGACGCCGCCCGGAGAGAAAAAAACGAGGTCAGCGAATGACAGAAAAGCCAGCCGCGTATCCTAGTCAGGAATCCCGTGAACTCAAAAACGGACATCAAGGCGCCCCCTGGAAGGCGAGCTAAGAAAGAAAAAAGCGCCCACTAGCGCCCAAAAGGCAAAGGCTCTCTCTAAAATTAAACATCAGCAACCGAGGGGCCGCATACCCGCCGCCGCCCATGATCATCCATCCATTCATCCCCGTATCGCCAGTCTCCGAAGCGCGGGCGGGCAGGCGGGCGAGTCGAACGGCGGCGGGCTTTTCAACACCGCGTGCCATGCCAGATGGGGCACCTGCCGCCCCTTCGCTGATCTCGAAGAGACACCTCGTAAACTGCGAGCGAACTGCTGCTCTTTTTGCGGTGTGCATTTTGTTGCCTCTCTCGTCATTCGCTGGGTGCGTCCAGCCCTATGACTCTAAAGGCCGACGGACTCGTAAAGCTGGCGGCAAAAAAAATTCGATGTCGACCGGGTCCGAGAGGGTCACGGCGTCTCCGACCGGTTTCCACTGGCGCGGGTCGCTATCTGGTGATGAGGTCTGTTCTGTTTGGCAACCCAACCAACCAAATCGACCTAAACACCCAATGCCAGGTTCGATCTGCGATGTGCTGCCTATGTTCAACGTTGTGGTCCTTCTGATCCTTCATGTCATCAGCGGCTGGCGATAGTCGCCAGTCAAACCCTGACACCTGCGGTCATACCCAACACCTCTTCTGGAATTCCACAGGATTTTCCGTGCTAATGCCCTCGCCATGGCGCTCCTAAGAGGATCAGTTCCTAGAGATAGGGAACTTTGGTGAAGTTGACAGCCTGCTCTTTCCGTAGCTTGTCACCGGCTTGTTCTTGGCATTGACGTCTCGGACTGATGATTTGCTCTCGTCTGATCTCGCTTCATGATGCCAACCCCTCGGGGCAGATGCTGAGCTCAGACGGGATTGGATTCGAAATCGCAAGTTCAGAATGGAGCTACCGGAAAAGGCGGAAACCGTCCAGCTCTGTGCGCGTGGTATACTTACAAGCATCAGGCTGAATTCAAGCCCAAGCCCTTCCACCGCTGCCTCGTTACTGGACGCAAGTCCGCATCTATGCCCTGGTCCGCCTCCTGCAGACATGTTCAAGGATATGTTGCGGAGGTTTCGCCGGCTGAGCTGGCTCTGTCCTGGTCTGGAATGAATCCCACAAGCCAGGACGGATACAAGACGCGGCTGGCTCGTTAAGAAAGCCCGAGCGAGGATCGCGACCCTTGCTAGGTCATTGTTGTCGAATACTCACTAAGTTGCTGAATCTGGCTTATGTTGCTGCAGCTGCATGTTGTACAACAGCCAACTAGCCCAGCCGCGTCCGCAGGAGTCTAGAGGAATGGGCTTCATGCAGGCTGTTCCAAGCCTTCCATGCTGTACGACACAGTTTCAAGCAAAGCTTGCAGGTGCCGAATCGTGGAGGCAGGAGGCTGGGGCTCTGATGAGGCGGCCGTCGTGCTACACAGCCTCCTTCGACGGCATGTCGTCAAAATCCGTGAGGCTGCATCAAGCCTAAATATGCAGTCGACGTGCAGGATCAGACAAGTACAGATGCCTAAGAAAGTACAAAGACAGACCATGAAGAATTGATAGAGCCGGGAGCTCTGATGGGTACCGGAGCCGCCGTGCAGACGGATAGAAGAGCTGACGATAGGTGAAGGTTTGAAGAGGGCCAGGTAGGAGCAAGCTGTGTTTCTCCAGTGCCAAGAACAACACAGTACCAGGCGCCAAGTATGTCGAGGTTTGTGAAATGGTCTACACGACAACCTGTGCTCACTCTGGCACGTCAGGTGTTGTGACGGGTTGACTTGTGATGTTGAGCGGAACGACATAATTCTTCTTACCTCTGTTTCCTTGGATGTTCACGACGAGGAATGGTCTCAAGCCAAACGAATCGCAGGGAGTCGACATCAAAAAGTGTGTACAAGCTCCAACAGAGAGGCAGAACCGAAGAGCTTCGACCATAATCCGGGATACTCTGAGCTTTTCCGGACGGTCTTAAGTCAAGCTGCCAAATGTCCTCGAAAACCGGTAGAGTCGTCGATTCTACGACTGCAAGTGATTGAGAACTTATTGAGGCTTCATAGCAACGGCTTAAAGGTAAGCAGTTCTTCTCATATTATCGGTAGTACAACTGCATGCGTGAGGAGACGGTCTGTTCCCATCTCCAGACCTATGTAGACATGTTCTCATGTCATAAACGACTCAATCGAGCCCAAAGCCGGGTGGATGTGTGACCAGACGTCAATGGAGATTTGTTGTTGCCGGGGAGGTAGGTACACCTCTCTTGATTCTAGCGCATCCGTACAATCAAACATACTTCTGAAGAATATTCTTATTACTACTGATATCATTATCATCGCCGTCATAGCTAGCGTCGCCATCTCGTTGTTGTCCTCGTTGTTTCATTGGGAGGTCATTATTGATGAGAGTATCCACGGCTACTAGCGGTTGGTAATACATCTTCAATCGAAAAAATATCTCTCAGTATCAAACGTTCATAAACAGTGAAGTTGTTACGCAAGAGACAGAAGCTACGAGTTCAGTGCTGAGGTTGAGTGGACGCTGGCGGACCGGGTTTATGGAGCTAGGTCGTTCTCAAGTTGACGAGGACGGACTAGAAGTAAGAAGCCACCATGGACCAGCCTTCACCAAGACATATAACTTCAGACCAAGGTAGGATGCTTGTTCCAAGCAAAGCACCTTCCCAAGTAGTCACGACAACCCAGAAAAATAGCACAAAGAAGGAGCTTTGCTCAACGCACCGCCTACCTAAGGTAAGGTAGGTTGTATGAGCCTTCCTCAGACTATCACTTTCCAGTTTTGGCGAACTGTCAAAAGTTGACGGGAAAGTGTTGCAGTCGCTGCCGTTTGTTCCTCGAAACCCTTTACATGCCCACCTCCGTCCGACTTGAATCTGGAACTCCAACGACACACTTCAGTTTTTTGCCATCATCCACAACAACAAGCTCATCCATCATCAAACACTCTACCCCTACAACAAGGCCCGGCCGATCAGTCTCTGTTTATTGTGCTATCGCATTACTAAGAAGCATCGCCATGTCGGAATCAGTAGACGACACCACACTAGCCCTTCAGTCTGACTTGTTCGAATTCAACTTAATGTTGGTGAGCGTAGAGACGGCAACAACGGTGATCGATGCCGATCAGGGACCACCCCCGGAATCGAAGTGCCTCGCCGACGTATGGTTCGAGTTCACACCAAACCAGAGGGAGACCTTGATTGATCACCTCAAATTGTTCCTCGCAAAGCTCAGAAACATCAAAATAGGAGACCTAGCTCACACCCCAGACATTGGTGGCGACAGATTCATTCACAACCACCCTGTTTGTCGTCTGCGTTGCTACGACAGCCGGGCCTTTGTGGACAGGTTGAAGGAATCGGTAGCGGCAACAAGAATAAGACAGGACCGCAAATTCGTCATCAGAAATATTATCGAACAACTGGCCCCGGCATCGGCCGCCGATAATACTTTAGTCCTGACCCACGGCAACCTCTCCGACAAAAACATCTTCATCAACGAGGATTACGAAACCAGCGGGGTGCGCATTGTGGCCATCGATGGGTGGGATGAAATGGGCTTCTACCCGCCGTATTAGGAGTGGCTCAAGGCTAGAATGGAAACATCAACTTTCGTGGAAGATGGGGCGATCGAGGAGATCCTAGAGCCGAATTGGACTGCTCTTGCGATCATGAACAATGTGTAAGATACGTTGTTTGGTGGGTATTCGTGGTTGTATCAGCAGAGCGTATGGATAAACAATCAAATCAAGGCGAGAAATCCCCGGGGGAATACAAGTTTGTCTTCAAGTACACTTCTCATGTCCATGGTATTGTACAAATGAGTGCTTTCAATTGGGCGCGTCTCCCTTTCGTTCCCTCCTCCAACAAACCGACGACACTACTCAACATAACTTGAAAGGGGTCCAGATCACACTGATTGCCAGGAAAGTCGACAACCTCGTGTCATCATAGCATAGATAAGGATTGACTTCGGATTAAAACTAGAACGACGAGAACACTGACAACACCAATAATACAAACGATACCAACGACACTGACAACATCGAGCAGGTAATGATACACCGATAGTCGAATGTTGACTTGCCTGGTTGTGGGTGTGATTTAGCCCGCCTTATTAGAAGATCTGCATATCATTCGCGAACCTCGCCAGGCACATCCGAACTTCCTTTGCTGAACACACGTCGACTTCCGCCAGGACACACAAAAGCAAGCAGCTCGGCCCCACAGAAACCACAACATCAACGGAAATCTACCCCGGTGAACTCAACATCGACAACCCAACCCATCAACCACCATGTCCGAATCCCAAACCACAGCAGACTCGCCAGAGCCGCCTCTGCCCCTCCACACCTTTCACCCGCCTCTGATCGTGCCCCCATTGAAACCACCACACAGGCAAACCCTCATCTTCCTCCACGGCCGCGGCTCCAGCGCCAGAATCTTCGCACCACCATTCCTCTCCGCCCCCGTGGAATCACCAGGCGAGCCAGAAGAAGAAAGCCAAAGGCATATCACTACTCTCCAATACGCCCTCCCGCACACGCGCTTCGTCTTCCCCACGGCCCCGCGCTCCCGCGCCACCGTCTACAGACGCTCCGTCATCAACCAGTGGTACGACGGCAGCGGGGACTGGGAGGAGACGGTGCTGGGCGGCGCGGGCGAGACCGTCGCGTTCCTGCGCGGGCTCCTCGCGGAGGAGGCTGCGGTCGTGGGAGGGGCCGGCCGGGTCGTTCTCGGGGGTTTTAGTCAGGGATGTGCCGCGGCGCTGCTGTGTCTGTTGCTCTGGGAGAGCGAGGAGCCTCTGGGGGGAGTCGTGGGGATGTGTGGGATGTTGCCGATGGGCGGTGTGCTCGGCGATGTCCTGCGCGGGGCTGATGATCTGGTGGGGGAGGAGGAGGATGATGTTTTTGCTTCGACGAGTCCCTTTGATGACGATGGGGATCAAGCATCTGCCTCGCCGGTGTTGCAGGCTTTGAATCTGCTCAGGGAAGAGGTAGGGCTTCAGAAGCTGGGTAGAGATTCGGAGTCCCGGTTGGAACATATCCCTGTGTTCCTCGGCCACGGCACTGCGGACGAGAATGTGCCGGTTCAATACGGTCAAGATGCGTCGCGAGTGCTGCAGATGATGCAATATGATGTTACATTCAAGAGTTACCAAGGGCTTGATCACTGGTATTCGACGGAAATGATGAGCGATGTCGTCCGGTTTCTTGGCCAGAAGGTAGCCTGCTTTGCTCGGTCTAAACAGAATCAGGAGACAACGCAAGGCCATTAGAAAAGTGCCCTCAGTGACGAAGCAACTTGAACCAGCTAGTGTATGTGCATATATTCATTGGCAACTGTCTGAAGGCCCCTAAAGAGATGGACCATCGTCATCATAACCGATTCAACAAGGATCCAATCTCGGGTCGTGCTTATTATGCCTCCTCCGTCAGCCAACCGTCGTCGTCTTAGTGGGCGTATCTGTCATAATCAAGCTCATTCAACGTCGAGGAAAACTCCAAAGCTAACCAATACATGCCTTTCCTGCCCTAAACACAAAGAAAAAGGCTCCTGTCACAAACCTGACTGCAGGTAAGTTGCGCGTTGCGCAGGAGCCCAGAATGCAAGACCAATCGAGTCCGGGGATATAAGTCTCCATCGACGCCAGTTCCATGAATGCTTCTACCAGTATCTCCCAAGTCGGTCGTGTTCATACGTCATCCAGGCGACCGGCGGGCTCCTCGTCATCATCTCCGAAGCTCCCGACGGACGACATGTCATCGTCCTCTTCGGTTTCGGCACCGTTGTCGTCGGCGGCGTCTTTGCTCGCGTACTTTGTCACATACTCTGCACCTCCGTCAGCAACATTATCCCCTGATTCTCGGTGTTTCCCAGAGCAGTATCCACGCACCCTTGACCTTGGCGTCGTAGCTCTTGGGTTCTCTGATCATCAAGGCGGCCGCCTCGCCGTTCAGAGGGTCGGTCGGGTTCGGGTATCGCAAGAGCTGAGGCAGGAAGACCTCGAAGATGTTGATCATATCGAACATGGGCGACCAGGTCTGGTTGATGACATCCAAGCAGACGGAACCCGACCTATGCAGCATCCCCCATCAGTTCCTCGCTCCGTATATCACCCTACGGTTTCCATCTCTTGCAGAAGTGTTCAGGACTCACAGCTCGTCGATGTTGGGGTGGAAAATGCGGTTAACGAATCCGATACTCGGCGACTTGTACGGGTATTGATCGGGGAGCTCGACGTGAACCTTCCAGACACCGCCCTCGAACGGAGCTGTGGAGAGTTAGCCTAACAGGCGGTCGGTTTCGAGGTATCCGGATGACTGACTCTCGGCTGGCCCCTTAAATCGGACGTAAAACTCTTGCCTGTGTCGATTCGTCAGGGTATGTCGTCGGCGTGGGTAGTGTATGTCCTTACACTTGAAGATGTTAGTCGCAGCAACTCGGCGGACCGGAAGGGCTGGGAGAGGGGAAACCCACTGTTGTCATTAACCAAAGTGACCTCGTAGTCACTCATCAACCTGTAACTGTCAGTACGAGAGGAGGAAGGCAGTTGGCTTGCAAGTCGCACATCCTAGAACAGGTTAGCTGGGCAGAGCGTTGTGGCGTGACTTGGGCGCTTCACTTCATGACCTATGAGCAAGCAAGGTTGTCAGCCATCTATGTTTCGCGACCAAGACAAGAAGCATGTGTACAAGGAGCCAGACGTACATCGGTCTCGATTCTTCGGCGTGGGCTACTCATCTTGTCGACTGCGCAGGGTGTTTGGAGGAGGTTTAGACGACAGGGTGCGGAGGTTGATTGGGAAAGTATGTAGTTTGCTGATAGATGGAAAGTTGGAGAGAAAAAAAGGTGTCTGCTAGATCGGATGTTTATCAAGAGCTCGAACCGTATTGTAGTTCGACGAGAAGCGCGCCTGGGTTGTTCCAAGAGAAGAGAAGTTGGTTGTTACAAGGAGGGGAGGAGGAGTCGGATCGGGTTCCTGGCGCCAAGTCACGCGCGATGATGATGTGGGCGATCCCGGACCACAGCTGATAAAGTGCCACGATAAGGTGATGAAGGAAAGTGGGCCCGAAGATTAAGCGGTTAGAGTCGGATCCTGTCACCACGCACGCCTGGCGAACTTGACCAGAACAATCACTTTGGACAATGCGACAAAACTGTCCGGTATCAGTCAGGTAGTGTCGGCAGCTACACTTGGAGTGGCTGGGTGTAGCTGAGTCCAAACCTTATGGGTGTCTAGTCTAGCCAACTTCCTTGATAGTATGTTCTGTCATTCGACGACGAGGAAAACGGCGCAGCAGCAATCTGGGACCGCCACAACTCAATCAATCAATACAGGCCATGCGGCGAGGCTCACAGAACGCATGGCCGTCGTCCCAAGTAGATGCGATCTGTTATCTTACTCGCATGGCTCGCACAATATCGGATCATCTCTGTGTCGATTCATGAGGTTCATGGGAGGAAGCACAATGATGTAACGGCAAGCGCAGCGGCAAGCGGCAACGCGTCAGGGCCGTTCCGTGTAGTGACGCCGTAGCGGTTGCCAATTGGGATATTGCTACAAGGAACAACCTGTTGGGCTACGGAGACAGACGGAGAGGCGAGCAGAAGACACGACAATGCTGCCATGGTCTAGTGAGAAGACATCAGTATCGTATCTACGCTGCAAGCCAGAGCGCTGGCTATTCCTCCAAGGGCGCATTCTTTCTGGTGGTCTCACTGAGCGGTGTCGGTTGACACCGTTTGGGGGATCGGTTTCTGCGGCAGGCCAAATAATTCGCAGTACAAGTCATACTGGAGTCCAATACTGATCGGGGCTAATGGCGAACTCTGGGGGCTCACTGCCGTCCTTGCGGAGGGCCGAGATCAGGCCCGCCAGGCCCGAGGCTACTTTGCCTCGGTCTTAGCTCTCAACTCAGCTTAACTCAACTTGAGTCGGGGCTGGGCAACACATATGACACTCTACCTAGGTAATTCAAGTACAATGCCGTGAAGTACGCCGTAGACGAGAGCACAGGAGGCGCAGAGTTGGAGAAAGAGCTCACTAATCCCGGGCTGCCCAAGTACATCCGAACAGCGCCCTTCCACTGTAGGTAAGCAGCGTTTGTCGGTGGTGGGGAGGGGCCGTGCCTCGGCGGAACGAAGCCAATGGCGGGGCCACGTTGCGGTGGACCGGACCCCGTTTCTGGGGCCTTTCCAGCGTCTGGGCCCCCACTTTTCTTCCCTCTTGAGGCGGCGGGAACGAAACACCACGGCTGTTTTTTGGAGATACTCAATTCTACGCAGCAAAAACCATCATGACTTGGACAATAAAACTTGCGCCCGCCCGAAACCCGCCATCTTAAAAATTTTCTCTCTTCACGACATCCGGAATCCATCACGACGGAACTCGCATTTAATCATTTGCACTTTTTTTCCGCGCTTCTGCATCGCCCTCTTGCATTTAATTCTGTACCTGGAAAAAGGTACTTGTCATTACACATGTCTTCCCATATTATCAGAAGTACCTGTCTGAGGTCGTGTGCCTCCGTACTCCGAGGCACGCGACCTTCACCCTCCTTCATGCGCCCTGTCTACCCTGCTTTGGTACAACAACCCCAAGTCAGACACAGCTCACATTCCCCCATGGGAGCTCCGCCAACCAACCCAAGGAAGAAGGTCACCCTGGGTACCTTGAGAACTCTTCACAAGAAGCGTGAGCCCATCACCGTCATGACGGCCCATGATTTCCCAAGTGCCCATGTCGCCGACCATGCCGGAATGGACATCATCCTTGTTGGTGACAGTCTGGCCATGGTTGCACTTGGTATGGAGGACACCAGCGAGGTCTTGGTCGAAGAGATGCTGCTGCATTGCCGTTCTGTATCCCGGGCTACCAAGTCCGCCTTCACCGTAAATGACCCCCTTGATTATTCTGCCGTAACACTCAACTGACAACGAAACCAGGTCGGCGATCTGCCCATGGGTAGCTATGAGATTGCCCCAGAGCAAGCACTCGAGACTGCCATCCGCTTCGTCAAGGAGGGCAGAGTCCAGGGCATCAAGCTCGAGGGCGGCAAGGAGATGGCCCCGACCATCAAAAAAATTACCACTGCTGGTATTCCCGTGCTCGCCCACATTGGTCTGACGCCGCAACGGCAGAACGCCCTCGGGGGTTTCCGAGTACAAGGCAAGACCTCTGATAGTGCCTTGAGGGTGCTCGAGGACGCCTTGGCAGTACAAGAGGCCGGTGCCTTTGCGATGGTCATTGAAGCCGTCCCTGCTGAAGTCGCTGCACTCATCACAGAGAAGCTATCGGTCCCTACCATCGGCATCGGCGCCGGAAACGGCTGCTCTGGTCAGGTGTTGGTGCAAGTAGACATGACTGGTAACTTCCCGCCCGGCCGTTTCATCCCCAAGTTCGTCAAGAAGTACGGCGACGTCTGGGGAGAGAGCCTGAGGGCTATCGAAGCCTACCGCGACGAGGTCAAGAGCAGGCAATACCCGGCCCCGGAACACACATATCCCATCACAAAGGAGGCGCTTGAGGAATTCTCCAGCACACTGGAGAAGCTGTGAGAAGCTGCAACAGTCAGCTTTGGGGCATTTGCATTACATCGAGCATGGGCTGCATTACCGGTGTTGAGGCTTGAAGGCGGCGGCATTTAATCTTTTTCGAGACGTTGGATACCATTAGAACGTAATTACTCTCAGCCAAAGGCTGGATTCATAGCGTAGGAAATGACAAGTTGACCGGTTGAGTCCTTGAAACACTGCTGCATGTCAGTCCCAAAGTGTAGTTCGAGATGGATGAGCGGTACGTACGGCGTGCAGGTTGCCGACTATTTCATCGAGAGAGGGCGCGAAGGAGTCGTTGACGTAGCAAAAAATGGTTTCCGAATCTTGCAGCTTGAGTCTCTTGCGAAGGTACCAGATGACTGTTGAAAAGGTCTGGGTAGAGGATATCTTGGCTACCGCAACCCGAAGAGCAGGGGCGCTTCCGACAGGTTTGAATTTGACGACGACTTTCTCTGAAGGGTACTCTCCGGCATTCGCCAAGGCGGAGGCAACGTCTCGAGGCTGAGCTGTCAAAATGGCAGAGGCGGACATGGTGAGCGGTATCTCCGGGGAGGCTGGGCGATCTGGGATGGTCGCCGCCGGAGGTGAGGCCGAGTTGGACCTCGGGATGGGCGACGCCGGACTGTCAGCCATTTTCGGTGATTTTTTTCTCTCTTCTGAGGAGCAAACGCTGTTTCAGGTACTTGAAACAAATACTATGGCAATGGTGAAAGTCGTGATGCGCGCCTGTCATCCACGGCAGGTGAAGATGAATCGAAGTGAAGTTTGAAAGAGGCTGACCCGGACGTTGGTGCAGTTGGATCTCAGCTAAGGCAGTCAGCTCCTAATGTAGGTAGTGGGGCATCACCCGCCTCGCTGGGTGCCTTGCCGTCGCCCGTGAGTGGTCAGACACCCTGGAGTCGGGGCGTTTCGGCCAGGTCCTTAGGCACCCCCTGCCCGCTGAACTACTTTCACTTCCACGCATGCGTCTTTCTTCCATCTCGACACAAATCCATCATCAACAACATGGTGTGATTACACGGCATCCGAAGAGATGGCACTGCTACACTGTCACACAGGCGATGATTGTGGAATCATTTAACACCATTTATCGACAGTCTGGTTTGGCCAAGCACTCATGGGACTCTGAACTTCAGAGGCGATGATTTGAGTACAACTGAAGGAACGAACAGGAATCAACACACACTTACTCCTCTGGCTCTGTGCAATTATTGGGCCGGCGCGGTGTGACGCAAATGCTGCAGAAGGCAATGATTTTGCCGCGGATGACAAGAAGAGTACAAAATGTGACAAACAGAAGAAATCGGGAAGCCCTGACTCTGGAACGTCCAGATTCCTCTTCTCTCAGCATGGAATGGCTATCCGCCAAATGATGATGCATGGACTTGATGCGGCCACCCTTTCACGGCGTAGCGCCGTATCATGTCTCCCGTCCCTTCACCGCATCTTCGGCGCCAGCTCTCGTCATTCGCAATCCCATTCAATGAGAATTGAGGTGGCAGAGACGGCAGGCACATTTAGATGGTCGAAATACTCCGAGGAGGAACGAGACGCCTCAGGTAAGGCAATCACCATTCAAGTCTAGACCACATGCAAGGTGGCCAAGGTAGCTCCTGCAGGTCCAGTTAGCCTATTTCACGTTGCCAAAAACCTCACCTTTCTGCTTTCAACGCCACCAAGACTCCTGCTCGTAACACCTCACCGGGATCCTACCGCAATCTCTCTATGATCCACCGAGAGGCGGCCGCTCAATATTGATACTCCGTTACATATCTCTATTGACTTTCTCCCAACTCTGGCGCCCTTTTGTGGCCTTCATACCCTCCTTCGCACCATTGATAGACATCATCATCACCAGTCTCGAAACCTCGGTGCCATGGAGACAACATCCATCCCGTCTGCGCATGCTTTGGCCCTGCGGGAGACGTTGAATGGCGTACAAGAACTGAAGAATGCCGATTCGGAGCTTTCTCTAGACGGCGATAGTCTTAATGTCGCTGCAGTCGTTGCAGTAGCCCGTCATGGGCTTTTACCCAGCATCAAGGGATACTCGAAGTCAGAGGAAAACTCCTATGGCAACCAGCACTTGAACCTCAAGAAGCGACTAAGCCAGAGTATTCGGGTTCTGGATCACCACATAGAAAACGGCTGGGTGGTCTACGGCGTCAACACGGGCTTCGGCGGCAGCGCAGATTCTCGGACGGAGCAGCTCAAGAAACTTCAGGTCTCCCTGCTTCAACACACCCAAAGCGCCGTCATTGCTTCATCTGACCGGGAAGAGTCCCAGATCGACCAAGATGGGCAGTCTCACACTATTCCAAAGGCCTGGGTCAAAGCTGCAATGGTTATTCGAGCCAACCAAAACCTACGCGGCCATAGTGCCGTAAGACTGGAAGTTATCGATACTTTGCTTGACCTGCTGCGTCACGACATCACGCCTCTGGTACCTTTGAGAGGAACAATTTCGGCGTCAGGAGACCTTATGCCTTTGTCATATATTGCTGGTACGCTTATCGGCGACCCAAACATCTCAGTCACCGTTGGTTCGAGTGGAAAGCAGAAGGCCAGGGTTTGCTCTGCTCAGGACGCTCTCAATGAATACGGCATCAAGCCTATCGAACTGCAACCAAAGGAGGGACTTGGCCTCATCAACGGTACGGCCCCTTCTGCTGCCCTGGCAAGCTTGGTAATTCACGAGGCAAACCAGTTGGCAATCCTCGCCCAAGCCCTGACTGCTTTCACTTCCGAGTGTCTCGCTGGCAACGTTGAGTGGGCAAATGCATTCATTCACAAGATTCGACCCCATGCTGGCCAGATCGAAGCAGCTCAGAACATTCGACAGTTCCTGAAATCTTCCGACTTCGTCATTGGACTGGAATCCCGAAAGAGGACGGGAAAAGGCCTCTGGCAAGACCGCTACTCGACCAGAACAGCACCGCAGTGGATGGGTCCCTATCTGGAGGATCTCATGCTGGCTCAGCGACAAATCGAGGTAGAACTCAATTCGACTTCAGATAATCCAGTAATTGACGCCGGGCCTGGTGACGATCTTTCTGGCGGAGATGTCTACTCCGGAGGCAACTTCCAAGCGACTGCCATTACGTCTGCAATGGACAAGACGAGAACCGCACTTCAAATGATTGGTCGTATGATCTTCTCCCAGTGCACTGAGCTGATCAACCCGGCGACAAACAACGGCCTAGATCCCAATTTAGTCTTTGGCGATCCCGACCAGTCTTACACGATGAAGGGCATTGACGTCAACATGAGCGCTTACATGTCAGAACTGGCTGCTCTTGCTCATCCCGTGTCTGCCCATGTTCAGTCAGCTGAGATGCACAATCAGGGTATCAATTCTCTCGCATTTCTCACAGGTCGTCGAACTATGGAGGCGGTGGATGTCCTGTCACACATGTGTGCCGCCCACCTCTACGTCTGTTGCCAGGCGATCGATCTACGAGCCTACCACGAGCGTTTTCTGAGCTCTGTCTCATTACCACGACAGCTGGATAGGACTCCTATGGGAATTAACGATGTCCAGAGGACACAATTGATCACTGGCTTAGACGATCTGGTCAGGAGTTGGTGGTACGAGGCGAACAAGGTCGATCACCTCCAACGCTGCTCGTTGGTGGCCTCCAGAGCCACGTCACATATCTTTAACTTTGTGAGCACGCAAGAAGAACAAGACGCCACATTAAGTAGCATTCTCAATGCTCAGCGCGAGTTCCAACAGAGCATGGAGGCCTGGCTCCTGGACCCGGCCAACAACCCCAACCTCTCGGTGTCGAACAACAAAACCGTGGCAAACATGGATGGATTAGGACAAGGTTCTTCCATTCTTTACGACGTTGTCCGTAGAAAGCTGGACGTCGGTTTCCACCATGGCCTCAAGAAGGAACAAAAGGCCACCATCGGCACAAACGTATCCCTGATTTACGAGGAGATCCGTCGAGGGTCTGTGGTGCCGTCACTGATGCCATGCCTCGGCAATGACAACTACAAGAACAGCCCGATGAAAGGGTTGGATACTCCGACAAGTAGCAATGATCCTCATGAAGTCACTCGAATGGCAAATGGAGCGACGAGAAACTTCCAGTAGATCGCAGCACTTCCGTCAATAAAACACCATATTCACCCTAGTCGCAAATTTTGATAATGAATGATCGTAAAATACCGCTTCAAGACTGGCATATCCTTACAGCAGTCCATCTCATTTACACATCCTGTCCCCCCATGAGCCATAACGCGCCACAACTTGCCTGAAGCAGCATGCCGCACACGAGAAAGACCTTGTTCGCCTGCCCGTCGCTCGTGAACATCAAGCTCAGCACCACAAACATGTTGAGCGGGATCCTCAAAGCACCGTAAACCTGAGCACGCACGCCGTCGTCGACAACCTTGCCCTTGAGATACCCCATGGAGGGAAAGTAGAGCCCGACGCAAGCCTCGAAGAGACAGAACAGCCAGAAGGTGACCTGCTCCGGTCGCGAGCCGCCGGTGCCGAGGGCGAAGAAGACGGCGTTGGCCGCCAAGAGGACCGCGAAGAGCAGGCGGGACGGCGTGGAGACCATCGCCGACAGGCGCGGGTAGAGGAGGGAGGCGAGCAGGGTCGAGGCCATGAAGGCGGCGAAGATTATACCGTAGGGCAGGGTGTCCGGTGAGGAGGAGGCGGCGACCAGGACGGGGCTCCAGAGCACTACGAAGAGGTACATTGAGCCCTCGAACATGGTCGAGGCGAGGCCGATGGTGAGCACCCGCTTGTCGGTCATTGTGGCCCAGAGACTGTTGGGCTTCTTGTCCTTGGAAATCTTGGAGGTCTTGGAGGGAGATGCTTGTTGGCCTGTAGAGCCGTAGTTCTCGTCCTATTTGAATGTCAGTTTTCCATCTCACTCTTTTTTACTCACTGTCAACGCAGGAAAGTATTCATACCCATTGAGTCGCAATAACCCCAGCTGCGAGCACAAGCAAACCGATACTAGCAAGAAACGGCGCCTTGCGCGTTCCCGTGACGGAAACGAGCCACTCGCTTGCGACACCGCTCACGATCGCCACGACGCTGTTGACGGTACTCATGAAACCGAAGGTGCGCGACAGGTCCAAACCCTTGTCCCCGAGCTTCCGGGCGTGGAAGTCGGTGACCATCCAGCTCTCGAAGACGCTGAAGAGCAGGCTGGTCCCGAGCCCGCCGAGCACGCGGCCGGCGAAGAGCAGCGGCAGGCTCGGGAGGGTGGTGAGGAGGCACGAGAGGGCGTAGGCGGCGCAGAAGAAGAGGCAGCTCGCCTTGCGGCCGTGGCGGTCGGCGAGGGAGCCGATGAAGTAGCCGGCCACGGCGCCCGAGACGAAGCCCGTGGTAAAGAGCGTCGGCACGGTTTCCGAGGGGATGCCGTGCTCGTTCTTGTAGAGGGAGTAGAGGAATGGGCCCTTTTGTTTTGGTTCATGTGTTAGCGGAATGAGGATCGCGAGGAAGGAAGTCGGGGTCGCGGTACTTGGAGCCAGTCTGAGCCCATTACGAGGGCGTAGACGACGTAGAATGCCCATTGGGAGCCCTTTTGCTTCTGTTGCTGCTTTGAGTCCTTCTTCTTCTCATCCTTTTTGGCGACCTGCTTCTGCTCGGTGCCGGACGCGAAGAGAACGCCACATGCCAGGAGCAGGCCGGCGAGATTGAGCTGGTAGATGTCCAGCATCGTGAATATAATTGTGTGACGTCAATGAAATACTAGATTTGGAATGAGATGCAGAAAGGTAAATGAATGCTCAAGCTGAAAAGAAAGCTTGAGATGAAATGAGAGAGCAATGAAGTTGAGTGAAGCTTCGAAGCTCTAGGTGTCCTTCTTCTCCATGCTCGGGGCAATTTTCCGGGGGGTCAAGCTGGAGCATTGAGTGTTTCGGGCGATGCGCCTGAAGAAACCCCTTATACCTCCTCCAGCACTACTGGATCACGGTTCATCTGTATGAATCAGTGAGACGAAGTTCGGATGAAAACATGGCTGTTGGTTTGCGGCGTTCTCGAGGCGAACGAGGCTAGGAGAACGATTGATGAGTTTGTCTTAATAGAATGACAACAGGAGAATTCCTAGGGGCCAGGAGTGCCTTCAACGTTGAATTGACCACAGCAGGTAGGGTAGCTGTTGTGGGGATCTCTGCGGTCGAGCTACCCCTGTAATCGAAACGAACTACGGAGCCAAACTGTCCCAGTTCTGTCCAGTGTCTAAAAACAAACCAACTTCATTCCTTGCAATCAACGAACGAGCAACTCCATTACGAGCACAGCATTCATAAGCTTGCAACTGCGTAACAATATCGTCATCACATATTCTACATTAACGAGACAGAAATCCCGTAGCTGTCCGGTCTAAAATGGCAGAGAGCCGGACGTCGCCCACGTCCGTGATGCGCATACGGAGATCCGGCTAAGGTGGTTGGAGCTGCCTGGTGCAGGTTAGGTCAGGTCGTCACGGCACATCATAAACAGTGATCGACAGACTGCCGTTCGTTCGTTCACTCTGCATTATTCCCGTGCCACCAAGGATCTCCAGACTACTACCTGCCGCATAGAGCAGGGCACAGGTAGAGCTCTCGCGCGGGGTCGAGCTGTAGAGTTTGATGAACCAGCAGCATCTAGCCGGGATCTCCGTGCGATCACTGTATAATACTTCAAGAGGGTGACTGAGTGACTACCCTCACTTAAGGGCCGGCCTCATGAAGGTTCTTTTCCAAACTCCTCCTCGACTCCGGCAGCGTTCGAATGGCAGCGCCCTTTGGTAGGTTCTTCAAAGTGGGAGCCGACGCCAGAATTAGAGTCGCAAGTGCTCTCTCTATATTCAAGCTTAATTCCATCTGATCTTCCCCGCGATCTCCAACTGCACCTCAAGATGCAATGCCTTCTGTTCTCGCTCATCGCCCTGGCGACAAGAGCATTCTGCCAGACCTTCGACCCCCTTAACTTTGTCGACCCCTTGATTGGATCACAACGAGGCGGAAACGTCTTCGCCGGCGCAACGTTACCGTATGGCCTGGCCAAAGCCGTAGCCGACGTCGATGGCGAGAAGACGGGTGGCTTCTCAACAGACGGCAGCAACATCACCGGCTTCAGCATCGTCCACGACAGCGGTACCGGAGGGAACCCAAGCCTGGGAAACTTCCCACTCTTCCCGCAAGTCTGCCCCGGCGACGACCTCAACAGCTGCCGCTTCAGGATCGGAGACCGCGCCACAAAGTATGACCTGAACAAAACTGTGGCCGAGCCGGGCTACTTCTCCGTAGAGCTGGTTTCGGGCGTAAAGGCCGACATGACGGTATCCGAGCACGCGGCGCTGCTGCGCTTCACTTTCCCCAGCGGGAACGAGCAGCATCCGCTGGTTATGCTGGACCTGACGGATCTCTGGGCGAGCAGGCAGAACGCCTCGGTCAAGATCGACACACCGACGGGTCGGATGACGGGCAACGGCACATTCCTGCCCAGCTTCGGCGCCGGGTCGTACGTGCTCCATTACTGCGTCGACTTCTTCGGGGCCAAGATCTTCGACACGGGCGTCTGGGTGAACAACCGGGCGGGCAACGAGCCCAAGGAGCTCTTCGTTACGAGGGGGTTCAACCTTTTCTACCTGGAGGGAGGCGGCTTCGTGCGGTTCAAAGAGCTGACCAACAATACCGTCACCGCGAGGATGGGCATGTCGTTCAAGAGTGGCGCCCAGGCATGCAGCAATGCTGAGAAGGAGATCCCGGATCCGATGAGTAACTTTGATTCGCTAGTCAGGACGGCGAAAGACGCTTGGAGAGAGAAGTTGGCTCCGGTATCGATCAAGCCGGGCGGTGCGACAGAGGACTTGCAGAAGAGCTTCTGGAGCGGGCTATATCGCAATATGATATCCCCTCAGAACTACACCGGCGAGAACCCATTCTGGGATACCGGGGTCCCGTACTTTGATTCATATTACTGGTACGCAAAATAGGCCAACCCTGTCAAGTCCTCAACTAACTCGGACAAGCATGTGGGACAGTTTCCGTGCCCAACACCCCTTACTCACCGTCGTAGACCCAGTGGCTCAAACACAGATGGTCAACTCGCTGCTAGACACTTACAAGCACGAGGGCTGGCTGCCAGATTGCCGCATGTCTCTCTGTAAAGGCTGGACCCAAGGCGGCTCCAACGCAGACGTAGTCCTCGTCGACGCCTACGTGAAGAACCTGACCTCGATCGACTGGAAACTGGCGCTCGAGGCAATCACCAAGGACGCCGAAGAGGAGCCGTTGGAGTGGTCGTACCAGGGCCGGGGCGGCTTGACGAGTTGGAAGAGCCTCAACTACATCCCCTATCTCGACTTCGACCCCGTCGGCTTTGGCACGAATTCGAGGAGCGTCTCGAGGACACTGGAGTACTCGTACAACGACTTTTGTCTTGCGACGCTGGCTCAGGGGCTGAATGAGGGAACGCTTCACGACAAGTACATGGCCAGGAGCATGAACTGGCAGAACCTGTGGAAGAACGACCAGAAGTCTCTGATCAATGGCACTGATACCAACTTTAACGGCTTCTTTCAGCCAAAGTACCAGAACGGGACGTGGGGCTTCCAGGACCCGATAGCTTGCTCAACACTCGCCGGGTTTTGCTCGTTGACGACGAATCCAAGTGAGACGTTCGAGGCAAGCATCTGGCAGTACCAATTGTGAGTCCGTCACATACCCCTCGAATCCATCCGTCACTAATGCAGTACTTAGCATCGTCCCGCACGCGACGTCAACCCTGATCGACATGATGGGCGGCGACGAAGCCTTCATCTCGCGCCTGAATTACTTCCACGCGTCCCCCCTCGCCGATATCTCCAACGAGCCCGTCTTCCTGACCGTCTACCTCTACCACTACGCCGGCCGCCCGGGCCTGTCCGCGCAGCGCATCCACCAGTACATCCCCTCGGCCTTCAACTCCACCCGCGGCGGGCTCCCCGGCAACGACGACTCGGGCGCCATGGGCGCCTTCCTCGCCTTCTCCGTCATGGGCCTGTTCCCCGTCGCCGGGCAGGACGTGTACCTCATCACGCCGCCCTTCTTCGAGGAGGTCAGCGTGAAGAGCCCAGTGACGGGGAAGACGGCGACCGTCAGGTGCGTCGGGTTCGATGCTGCCTACAAGAACATCTTTGTGCAGAGTGCCAAGGTGGACGGGCAGGACTGGAGCAAGAGTTGGATCGGGCATGAGTTTTTCAGTCAGGGGAAGACGCTCGAGTTGACGTTGGGTGACAAAGAGTCTGACTGGGGAAAGAGCAAGGACGCGAGGCCGCCGAGCTACATCGCGGCGTCGATGTCTTGATTCCGTTTATTACTGTACGTTTCTTCAGGAGGGTCGTTTATATGAAGTCCCAGGCAGCAAGACCATCAGGATAGGTACAAGGCCTTATAGTAAGCTTGAACTTCTCTGCTCTTCAACAATGAGCAAGGCCGCTGGCGAAGATGGTCCAAGGGTGGATTGTATGCCTGGTTTCGGCAAAGCTCGAGGGTTTGAGTCTGATGACCCTACATAAGTCCCGAGTCAACTCATTGTTATTTTTTTCATGTCTTTTTGCGCTGAAGCCTCTCGGTTCATGCCATAATGACGGGATATTTTTACACGGACTGGGGCAAGCAGAAAAACTTCTGCGGTGATGAATCGTCTGGACGACGTCAAATTCTGTCTCTAGTTTATTTTCTTTAGACCGTAATTGTAACCGTAAATGTTTGAAGCGCACTCCATCCAGGAGTTGATCCATTCCTTGACACCTTGCCCATGCCCCATGCGGCCGTTCACCAAACCATGTCCGAATCCCAATATGCTACCCAAGCTCACCGAAGAATAACCAAGTCGTCATCATCATCTTCAAAGGAGACCGTCTGCGACATGTCCATGCCCAGACTCTCCCTCCCGGCCTCGCGGATACCCTTCTCCGTCACGAACCGCGTCTTCTTCCTGACGGGCGGCTTGTCGTTGCTCAGCTTCTCCCCCTCCTTCATCTTGGCCAGCTTGTCCTTCAGATTCCCGCCCCAACCGAACCCGGATTTCGTTGCGCCGCTTGGGGCTGGTGCGGAAACCCCGACTGAAGAGCTTGACTGCGCGCTTTGCGGCCTCTTACGCTTAATCGGGCTCAGGTGGATGGCCAGGTCCTTACTCCTTGGTCCCATCAACCCCAAAGCCTTGGCGTCGAGCTTTTGCGGCTCTTCTGCGGCGCTGGATGACGAGGGATTGGGGGCAGGAAACGAGGCGGATACGTTGGAGGTGTGGTTACGCTCCGCTCGCTTCATGTAGTCTCTCCCAGCACCACTGCCGATCTTGCCAAGGCGCTGCATGATCCCTCGTTCCTTCTCCTGCTGGAGCATCCGTTTCTTTAAACCCTCTTCCTTCTCCCTCCGGTCCACGAGAGCTTGAGCTCCATCGATGAGCTGCGCGGAGCTCATCGACTTCGTGGCGAACCAATGGCTATGGGTCTCCCGGTCGTATTGGCGAGTCTTTTCCTTGGGCGGTGGATCATTGGGGTTTCGAACGTAATGGGAGTTCATTCGATACCTCTTTTCCCCGCTCATGCCGAAATCCATTGTGTTGACCTCCATACGCTGGGCGCGCTGTTTGGAAACCGCTTCGTTCGTGTGGAATTCGCAGAACTCTGTCCGTTTCTTGTTGACCCACGCATTGCAGTACTCGCCGTCTTTCTTGATGGATTTGCAAAAGCCTAGATCCCGCGATCGCCCCACTTCCATGATAGTATCGGCGTCAGAGTTGATGACCAGACTGAAGCGGCCAGTAGCTTCGCGGCCAACAGGGGGAGGCATGATGCTTGGGTTCAGGATAGCCAGTACCGTGCCTTCCGTCACCTTCCAGAATCGAGTGAACCCAGAGTTGAAGAGGAATAGTTCCAAGTCCCACTTCAAATCACACAGAGTGAGCACCATGTATTTTCCCCTGTCTGATTGTTTTCCGTTTTGATCTGGCCTGGGCTTATGCATACGCGGTTCGGATTTCTTAGCCACAATGGCAAAGACGACGATATCCTGCTCAATATCCGGGAGTTGGTATTCCGGGGCCTTGACTTTCTTCAGCAAGTCTGGCAGCTTGAAGATCTTCTTGCCAGACAAGTGCCTTGTGAGGACCTGATGAGGGAGTATACGCTGCGAGAGATGGAAACTTGAGTATGGTTCAAATGCCGATGCCTCAGACTCGGGAACATCTGCGGGTGCAACCTTTTTCGGTCTCGTCGGTTTCTGTGCGGGTAACATCCACTCAGGGGGCGGTTCGTAGAGGCCCTGCGGATCATTATCGTCTTTTGGTGGTGGTGCCGGGAGCGCAAGTTGCCCGTTGGACCTCATCTGCTCCTCGTTGCCCTGAGCTCTAGGCCCAAGGATGTCTTCCCTCGTGAACTGTGGAGCAATGTCGGGTTGCTCTGGGAGGTCGACAGCTTTCGATTTATACTCATCGATCTCTTTCTGCCCAATATCGAAAGCGCCGGTTCTGACTCTCTGAACTCTGTCCCGCTGTTCTTGGCGGTCTGTTTCGTTCGTCCTCGCCGCAGCCAATCTCTCGTTGAAACTCAAGGGACGTGCTACTTCGGTTGTTGCTTGAGGAGCAGGAGTCCTCGATCTTTGAAGGTAGCCACCAAATTGCTGCTGGCCATCCTGCGAGTTGGCATTTCTTCGTAGTACGCTTGGGGCCCTTTTCAATGAGATATCCTTCGCTTTTAGCCCTTTATCAATCCCCAGAAGCACTCGACTAGGTGATGTTTGTGGTTGAGGGGGCTGAGCCCTTCGTATCGGAGAGACCGGCACTTCAACCGCTGGGTATGACAGTGGCCTCGCTGCTGTTCGATTTGCCAGCCCGGGACCTGTGGATAATGGCCTTGGTTGCGTCGGCGGAGGCGTCCTGCGTCTGGGTGACGGAGGGCCCGCAGTCTTCTCCCTTGCGCTCTGCAGCTTCTTCAACTTCAACCTTGCCTGAATCTCCTGCAATTTGAGCTGCAAGGTCTCCTCATCTTCCTCCTCTTCCTCTTCCGCCATCTCGTTTCGTAATGCTGCTGAGCGCGCCGACAAGGCGGACATGGATCGGCCTCTCTTAAGTGGCGACGGCGAGGGGGAGGTTCGGTTCGTAAGTCGTCGTAGGCGATCGCGTCCGCCTGGTGTGCTGATGAGGGCTTCATGGGGGGATCGAGGAGGCCATTGAGGCTCGTCGTGTGGGGCAGCTATTGGAATGTTATGGTCATGCTCTGCAAACGCTCATGTGAGTAACGCACCAGGAGGCATGTTGACAGTATCAGTAGGTCGGAGTAGCGTGGTCGTTGGCGCAAGTATTGCCTTCTTGCATTCCCGCGCAGGGAGACTGGATGGAGCTTCAACGCCACAAGGCCCACGACCTGCCGGCCGGGCTGCTCAGCTTCAAGTCGGTCGCAAGACTCGGTCGATGGGGTGGTTGGAGGGGGTCTGTGCTAGCAAACGGACATTCGCATTCAAGAGAACAAAGAAACAGAACAAAGAGGCGGTTAAAGGAGCGACGTCGGCGCTGGACAGTGCCAAAACAACACAAGAAATGTTTGCAAGCTGAGGGACGAATTCACCGGCGGTAAGAATGTCTCGATCGTTATCGAATGTCGCATCTGAACTTGTCGTCACGATAAGCCCGGGGGTCAGGACTCAGATTGGCGGACTAGGCTGAGAAGAGGAGTTTGACGTGGAGTGGTGCAAGTCTTGGTGGCCATGTCATTGGCTCAAGTCGCGATTGACTCTGAAAGACGCGCTCCACTTCTAATTGAACTCGGCGCGTCGCGTCTGAGCGCAGGGTTCCGGGGCTCAGAAGTCACTCCGTATCGCAATCCGCGGCACACCCACGTTAAGCTCCGGCATACAACAGGCTGGATTTGCACGTTATCAACTTCCATAGACTCAGTCCGTTTCGTTCTTATTCTCTTCTACCTTCTAGGACTTGGGATCTGCCCTCCTTTTGGCACTTAATTATTCATCCATCAATCAAGAGCACTGGTCAACGAAACACAGCTGGCAATGGCGAGAACAAGAGCAACCAAGTCTGCCCCGGCAGCAAAGTCTGAGACGAGCACTACCTCATCAGCGACCAAACACACTTTGCCAGAGGAATCGTCGAACGCCCCCAAGCTATTCATCATCCCGAAGAGGGCGACCAAGGACGCTCGCATTGTCTCCCTTCCCAATCCCAGATACTCCAAACCTACCCGCTACCTTCTCTGCCCCGAGACCGGCATTTACGAGTTCACAAAGATCGCGGCGCCAAAGACGACCCCCAGAAGCTGGATGATCGAGACATCTGCTGGTACGCTGGAAGAGTCCAACGAGAATGACGAGCCAAGACTCCAGGCCCATGTCACGAACGGCGCCGATCTTTTCGTCGCGACACCAATTGATCCCGTCTTTCTCCTTTTGCCAGGTCTGTTCGGTCCGGCCAGATCAACCGAAACGAAACGCCTATTCCTCTCCAGCGACGACCACTTCGACGCCGTATCCACATCGTCAACCCACATGACCGAGGCTTTGCGATGCCCAAAGACCCGAACGCTCCTCGAGTCGCGTATGGAGGCAATTTGCGACACTGTCGATGCCGGCGATGAAAAGATGTACCGACTGAGCGAGAAGAAGCTTGTGAACGAAATCCTCTCGAAAGCGCGGTCGATGAGTGCCAACGGTCTTCCGGCCAGCATGGAGGATAAGTTCGTGAAGAAGGCTCTGGAGGCACCCATCCAAGTACAAAGGTCGCAGGCTGTGGTCGCGGAGGTCAAGCCTGCCGGAGAGGAATCGGCGGAGGGATCCGGTAGCTCGACACCCAAGAACGAGTCGGGAGAGTCTCAATCTTCTGCGTCGACAGCTGACAGCACGCAGTCCACTGCTTCAGGCGCTTCAACTGCTGCTACCTCAGTCACAGCAGCCGTTGAGGAGACTGTGGTCAGCGCCATGCAGGCCTCTGACGAGGTTACCGGACTCCAGAGACTCAAAATCGCTTTCAGCTTCATCTGTTCAAGCTATGTGGCGCCGGGCATGACTTCGGTCCTGAAGCCGTTACTGGCTGACAAAGAGACAACGAACGTCGACTTCACACCCCTTGATGAGTACCTCGCCAAGCTCACTAAACTGCGAGCAGAGGCTGCTGCGTCCAGATCCATGGCGGATTACTCACGGAAGAGAATGCTGGACGAGGAGGAGGAAGAGGCGCGCGCCGAGAAGAAGAGGAAAATGGAGGAGGAAAAGAAGAAGAAGGCCAGCCAAAGTCGTGGAATCAAGGCTTTGGAGAAAGTCAACACCAAGGGCATGAAGAAGATGAGCGACTTCTTCAAGAAGAAATAGGCTAGCGTGTGGCCGACCATCATAATGCATTCCAGGGTATCGGTACTCATGCACAAACAAAAAGCCGTCCTACACTACTCGGTGCCCCTAGCTCGTCCCCGATATCCACCCCGAACACTCGATGCGCCTCGACCGATTCGCGAAGTGCTACTTGAATAGCTGTGGCCGCCGCGCGTAGCCGTCGTGCTCGTTGTACCACGGACCCGTCCCCGAGAAACTCCGCGAGAACCTACTCGACCGCGCGTTGAGCTGCCAACTGCCGCCTGTCTCTGCCGGTCCTCCTCGTCCTCTTCACGCTTCCGACGAGCCGCTTCACGCCGTCTCTCGTCCTCGGCGGCCCTTCTCTCAGCTTGCTGCTGCTTCTGGACAGTCTCGGCCTCGATTTCTGCCAAGTCCTGGGTTGCGCCGCGCCAATTCGGATTGAGGATCAGTCGCTGGTTATGTTCGGTCTGGGATAGGATACGCGTCCAGGTGTTGAGGAGAGTAGAAGCGTTTGAGACGGTACCAGAGACGGTCTGCAAGTATGCGATCAGCGATGAGCTAGAGATGCATAAGTTGCAATCAGCACTTACGTTCATATTGCCTTTGGCCTTGTCGAGTGTGTTGATAATGCCCTCAATGGCGGCATTGATATTGCGAACACCCTCCAACTCCTTACGCAAAGAAGCCTCTCGATCATAGGGCGTGGGTTGGTTCGCGGGTGTCTTGGGCGTTTTAGGGGTCTTCGGGGTGGCAGGGGTCTTGGGCCGGTCAGACGACGGAGCAGGTTGGCCGTCCGGGCCGGGCGACGCCCAGATGTCCTCGGTGAGGGAATCGTCCATTTGGTCAGCCATGATACGCGATTCGGGGTCCGGCGGCGGCTGCAGGTCGGTAGTTCGGTCGGTGGGTTCAGCCTCCCTTGGACTGCTTGTTATTGTTGCAGGTCGGACGAACTAAGGAAGAGTTGTTTGGTCGGAGCGCGGTCTGGTCTGGCCAGTCCGTGCCTGAGACGGAAGCGCGGCGGGAAGATGGGTGTGACGTTATTTGTTGACGGACTGAGGCTTTGGGATTGGATTGCCGTGAGTGCCCGGCCGGGAAAATGTGGGATGTGCCAATGAGGGGCAGAGACCCCTGCAGTCAGGTCGTTAGTGTTGTTTGCCAATGCACCGCTCACTTTTTGTTAGGGGACGCGAAAAGTCGCGGTTTTCAGGAGGTTCGACGCGTCCCCGCTGTCAAAGTGGGGTTTCGCTTAAAATGAAGCCCCATCAAGCCTCAGTCTCTGCTGCAAAAAACAGGGTGGCTGGTGCTGCTGCTGCAAAGTCCCGGTGGACGGACTGCCCACCACCTTAGGTCATCTGGCGTTCCCGTCATCTCACTCTCAGCCCAGCGAAACCCAAGTGCCATGCCACCCAGCCATTACTTTTCCCAGCCTCCAGCCTCCCGCCTTCTGTGACCTGACCATTTCCTTTTGCATCCATCTCAACTGCCGCCGCCCCATGATCGCGACCTGAACATCCTCCATTCCATCCACACATCCACTTCTCACTTGCATCTCTTGTAGCCAGAGCAACCAGAGAGATCACAAGCTTAGGCATTTCTACTTCTTTGCGATTGCCTAGTATTTCAAAAATATTCCGCTTAATCCGCCTCTTTGTACTCTTACCGCCTGAGTCCATCCAGAGCTGTCTCTAGAACTGGTACTACCTCACTTTCCAGGCTGTAATCGCAAACCGACAAAACTGCTTTACACCTCACCTGCGCGCATTTGCCACCCGCACAGGTAGTTGCAAAAGCGATTGACGACCTGAAAGAAATTCGAAAAGGAAGGAGCAACCCATTGAGACTCGAGCATCTGGGTACCTGCCCGCCCTTTCCCCCAATCCAAAATGGCGACCTTCGCAGCATCAACACCATCACCTCCTCCATCCATCCGAACACCACCCACCCCCAAACACGGCTGGAGCGATAACTGGGAGCCTTATTCTCCTCGCAAGTCGGCACGAATTTCATCTCGACGAGCCGCACGAACTCCTTCCCCTCAACCTTCGTCTCACCGCACTCCCCCCCGAACCACCCGCAAAGCCGTCGCACCTTCCGCCGCCGCCGCCGCAGCCATCATGTCGCCGACCGCAACCCCTCAGAAGAAGCGCCAACCCGCTCAAGACTCTGTTCGCCGCGCTTCTGGATTTTTGACAGTCGACAGCGCATCGCAAGCCGCCTCGTCCTTGGGCATCGACAAGATGGACCATCAATCCAAAGCCACCGCCGCCACCACATCCGTCACCCGCGTCTCCGGCATGCTGCCGACCCCGGCAAAGACTCCCAAGAAGGCGCCCAATGAGAAGCAGACCGCTCAAATCCGCTCTGTCGCGCGCAACTTATTCCACAACGATCACGATGCCCTGGCCAGCCCCAAGAGGGGCCGCGCGCCCAAGAAGTATTCCGGCAACTCATTGGAGAGTTTCGTCGCCGAGGAAGTCGAGGAGCCGATTGAGATCTTCACCGATTCGCAAGATCGCATTCCCGAGGCCGACCCGAGTGAGGACAACCCGTTCTACGGCGATAGCGCCACCGTCGAGCGAGAGCTCCCGCGCCGACGCAGCAAGCGCAAGGTCGCGATTCCAGGAGAGGCGTCCCAGTCTGTTGACGAAGCTATGGAACGCGAAGATGGTCTGATTTATGTTTTGTAAGTTTTCACTTCTTGTCCTTGAACATGAGCTTGTCGCTAATAAATCCCGCAGCCGAGGAAAGAAGATCTTCCGCAAGTTTGTTGATGAGGAGCAAGATGGTGAAGGCAGTTCGGAGTCTCGTCCTAAGAGGCGCTCGGCGATGAAGGGTCGCCTGCTGTTCCCGGTCGCTCCCAAGGCACCTGCTACTGGCTCGACTTTGGAGGAGGAGGAAGCCCTCACCGATATCGAGGATCACCACTTGGAGGAGGAGCAAGAGGAGGCTCCGCAGACCCCAGCCGACATTCAGGACAAATGCCCGTCAACCCCCCAGGCTCCCAAGTTCGGCCCGGCGGCAACTCCCCCCGACACCAGACGTACGACTCGATCTGGATTGAAGTCAGAAGAAGCGACCCCGGTCAAACGCAAGACCCGGTCGAGTCCGTTCGACGACTGGCCGCGTGTCAAGAGTCGCCATGACCGCACACCCGCCAAACGCTCGGCAGAGACACCGGCAGCACCAGCTCCTAAGCGAGCTCGTCACTGAGCGTGGAATTTTGTATTACGGCGGATTTGACTATCATTCTTGGTAATCTCGGGCATGTCGAAGCCCGAGACTACTGCTTCGGTCAGGACTATGAGACGAGGAAGCACAATTCTTGATAAGCTTTTGTGTAATGGTTAGGTATTTCACTTTCTGGGCTTGGGACAGGTTGGCCGGTCAGGACTGGCAGTAGGGCAGTTCCTACAACTTGGGTCCCGTTTTAGAGTAGTTTTGGGCCATGGATGCCAGGAAAATTCTTACGACAGCAGTGGATGATCAGTTCAGTCTCTGGCGTTGGTTTAGCCATGTACAAAGAACTGATATTGGTGTATGAGAGAGAGCGCCGGGCTAGGCTGTCTCCAGAATCTGCAGACTAGGACAAGAATGAATTTCATAGCAAATCCCCGCAGCAAATGGAATACGTGACAGTAGAATGTGACTGAACAACGAGTTTGGCTTCGATTCCAGCCCAAGCCTACTGCACCTAGTCGAATACGTGACCAATGTAGGCCAAGAACACGGCCACGTAGGTCGGGTCGGATGTCCTCCCGACGTCGCCCGCCGTTCTCCTCCGAGAGCGGGCACCGGGGAAGTCTGTCCAACAAACGTCAATGTGCCCCACTATTGCAACCCCTCCATTCATCCCACTTCCCATTGCATTTTGAGTCTTCGCCTTCTTCCAGACAAATACTTTAGGTAACTCTCAACTCATCACCAGCGACCTTCATTACCTCACAGGCAGAATTCCAGTGTTTCTTGCCTTGGGGTTCTCCATTCTTCTCTCCGAAATTTGTCGCTGGGAGGCCCGGGATCGAACAATCGCCCGCTAAAGTTTTCCCTCGCGGGGCAATCTTCCAGTCGCAAAATCTCAACTCTCAACCTCCATCTCATCGCGGCTTTCTGTGCTCGTTCCTCGACTTCTTTTGCGTAGACCAACTCATCCGCCGTACCGACGACCGACACCCAGACTCACCGTCAAGATGCACATCCTCCTCACCAACGATGACGGCCCTCCGTCCCCTCACTCCTCCCCCTACGTCCACTCCCTCGTCCACTACCTCCAAAAGGCCGGCCACGTCGTCTCGGTCTGCCTCCCGCACACCCAACGCTCCTGGATCGGCAAGGCGCACATGATCGGCCAGACCGTCAAGCCCCTCTACTATCGTCCCTCCCCCGACGGCCTCCACGGCACCGAGGGCACCACTTCGACCCGGCCCTCCGCCGCCGCCGGCGAGGAGGAGTGGGTCCTCGTGGACGGCACCCCGGCCTCCTGCGTCCAGATCGCCCTGCACCACTTCTTCAAGGAACGCGGACCCATCGACCTCGTCGTCAGCGGGCCCAACTACGGCCGCAACACGACGGCCGTGTTCGCGCTGAGCTCCGGCACCCTCGGCGGCGCTCTCGAGGCCGCCGTTTGCAAGCGCAAGTCCATTGCGCTCAGCTACGCCTTCTTCTCGAGGAACCACGACCCCGTCATCATCGAGGGCGCCGCGAGGCACTCGGTGCGTGTGATTGAGAAGCTGTATCAGCAATGGCCCGCTGGCGACGAGGTTGATCTGTACACCGTCAACGTGCCGCTCGTGGAGGGCGTGGAGACACACAAGACCATGTTCACGGGCGTGTTGCAGAACTACTGGCGTCAGGGCAGCTGCTTCCAGGAGATCGAGGGAGATGTCGGAGATGAGGATGAGGAGGAGGAGAAGATCCGCGAGGGCGACTTCGGCGAGGCTCTTGGCGGAGACGAGGAACCGGCTGAAAAGAAGGAGAGCGGTGAGAAGGCATCCGCGTCTCGGACCAGGCACTTCAAGTGGGCACCCAAGTTCACGGATGTGTACCAAAGTGTCGAGGAAGCGCCCCCGGGTAACGACGGTTGGGCTGTCAAGGAGGGTTACACGAGGTATGCCAGCCGCCTTTCGACAAACACCGAGTCGATGCTAACAGAAGACATAGTGTGACGCCCCTGAAGGCCAATTTCTGGCACCCCTCCGAGCACCTGCACAAGACGGAGCTGATTCTGTAAGTGAGCCCTTTGGTTACTAGAGAGAACGCAGAAAGAACCGGCCGCGTGAGAACATGGCATGGCGAAAAGCCGGGTAGGACACCGTTTGAGATGCATAAACATACGGGACAAGCAAGAAAGAGAAATCAAGCAAGGCAATAGAGGACGGCGGCTCGGCATGTACTCTACGCTCTCTATCGCTTCGCAGAAAATAGACCGACCATTTTCTTACGTCTTTGTGTCTGTAGTGACGGTCCTGGGGAGAAGGACAAGCAGCAAGTTGAGCTCCCCGTAAGAACAACGTCGTCAAAATCATCCTCGAAGCCGGGCTTCCACGCCATCATCAACTACGAGGATCCGTACGTCCAGCCTCTCATCCTCGAGGCAATGAACCGCCTCTTCCCCGGAAAGTTCACCCTCCTCCCGCCGCCGCAACCGAACACGACAACCGACGACGCACCCGCCCTCGCCGCGGCGCTCCCCGCGCCAGACGCCCGCGTCCTACACATCGCCCCCTACGAGTCCCTCGACTTCGACCACGTCGGCGAGCACCCCTCTACGACCCTCGTCAACAGCTACATCATCCGCAAGGCGCTCATCCGCAAGCACTACCTCTCGGCGACGGTCGACCACTGGGTTGCCAAGCACCCGGACTCGGCGCTCAAGACGCACGTCCAGCGCGGCGAGCACTTCGAGGTCGACTACGCCGAGTTCCTCGACGACGCGCTCGTCGAGGCGTTCGACCTGCGCGAGAGCATGGACCGCAACGAGGCCGTCGAGAACGCCAAGGACAGGGAGTGGTGGATCCTCAAGCCCGGCATGAGCGACCGCGGGCAGGGCATCCGGCTGTTCAGCACGATGGAGGAGTTGCAGGGCGTCTTTGACGAGTGGGAGGAGGAGAGGCCCGACAGCGACGACGAGGACGATGACGAGAACGAGAACGACGGACAGCAGGGGGTCACTACTGGTGGTGGGGACTACATCACGACATCGCACTTGCGGCACTTCGTCGTGCAGCCGTACATCCACCCTCCCCTCCTCCTCCCCGGCGACGCGAGGAAGTTCCACATCCGCACCTACGTCCTCTGCGTCGGCAGCCTCGACGTATACGTCTACAAGCCCATGCTGGCGCTCTTCGCGGGCAAGGCGTACAAGGCGCCGTGGGAGGACGCGGACCTCGACGCGCACCTGACCAACACGTGCCTGCAGGGAGGAGGAGAGTCTGCCTTGCCACCCGTGAAGCAGTTTTGGGACCTTGTTGGGAACGCCCAGGAGGGGGCCGGCGGGCTGTCCCGGGACGCGGCGGACGGCATCTTTGCGCGGATCTGCGAGGTGACCGGAGACATCTTCGAGGCGGCGGCGAGGGAGATGACGATCCACTTCCAGCCGTTGGGGAACGCGTTTGAGGTGTTCGGGCTGGACTTCCTCGTGGACGAGGAGGCCAGGCCGTGGCTGCTCGAGGTCAACTCGTTCCCGGACTTCAAGCAGACGGGAGGGGACCTCAAGGACGTGGTGGCCGGGTTCTGGGAGGAGACGCTGAGGCGGTCTGTCGGCGGGTTCTTCGGCGTCGACGCCGAGGAGGGGGAGAGGAAGGGGGAGATGGTCCACGTTCGAAAGGTTGAGCTCGGCAGACGGTGAGTGAGTGAGCCTTGCGGTATGGCTTTGATGGCAAGGCGTTTTTTGTGGTTTCTCTCTGGCGGGGTGAGGGGGGGTTTGGCTTGGCTTGGTGGGAATGGCAGACGCGAATGGTTACAGATGGTATAAGGCAGACAAAAGCATTGTGTTTCGAAACGATATAGAACTGGAATATGCATGATATACACTCTTCGGAACAAACATCACGGGTCCGCTACCTAGTTCGATATCGCCGTCGCAACTGGAGCTTGGCAGGCAAGACATAGAGCTCCTAAGTGACAAATCTCTTCAAGGCCGGATCATCGTCACCCTGTTCATCCACGAGGTGAGGTTCTCGCGATGTTGCGTTGCCAAGGAGCCACGATCTCCTGCCAAGCAAACGGGAACTAAGACTCATCGGGATAGCTACGAATTCCTAAGCTTTGTGCCAAGAAGCGTACGATCTGTTGATGTTGCTTCTTGTACCTTTTTGCCAAGAAAGGGGATTTCCAGCTCTCAAAGGGCCGAATGGGGGCGACGTCTCAGTAATGGATATTTGGCATGTTCAAGACATTCTCGTAACCCCGCAAATTCCAGCGACGGATGAAGAACGAAGGAGGGGGCTGTGAGCAGTACGATTCTTTTAGTTCGGTTCAGTTGAGCCAGCAAATGCTCCGATCGGCTGCAGAAGCCCGCGGGAAAACACAGGTTGGATCATGCGCTGAGTAAACAGCATTGGGAACTATTGAGGTTTCGGCACGTCAATGACATCCAATAGTTCGTCGGACAGCTTGCGTATCGCAGCACGTGGTTGGTGCGATTGAAACAAACCGCGCGAGTAACCATCTCTCAGCACTGCCTCAATTGACCGCAAGGGTATTGCGGCAGTTGTGGTAAACCTCTCTGTCTCTGTCTCTCTCTCTCTCTTTCGTCTGGTCAGCGAAGTGAGTCGAAGCTTGATGCTGCCAGATGGCGGGGCTGCATCACCAGAGTAACTTCGACTCTACCTCTGACGCCCGCTGAGGCCGCCTGGGGGCTGATGCGATGGCCACAAAGGAAAAAGAAGGGTCCGAATTTGATGTACCACCTTGAGGGGATCGCCACTTGGCCCGATGTTTCTCATCCCCGGCCCCGGTGTTGCGGAAAGAGTTTCGTTCTGGAGCTGCTCAGCCTCAATCGATGTGCGTCGTGGGATGACGGTGTGCGACCCGGTTGGTCTTAACGTTACGCTAACTAACGACCCAGAAACATCGGAGGAAGCCAGCAAACTCGGGCGAAGAATTTGTTTGGTCTAGCTGGATGCTTCGCCGGGCTCTCGACCATGTCGTCGATGATGCTGTCAAAAGGCTGGACCATGATCAGTGAGTCTCTGGAATGCTGATATGCAGTAAAGTGACGGAACGGACTGAGAGCACGACCGGGGCCCGATGTCGTGGACGAAACTTGACAGGTATTTCAGCCGGCCGGAGAGAGATTGGGTTGGAGCGGTTCACCAGATGGCGAGTCAAGAGAGAGCGGACAAGAGCCTCATGGGACGAAGATTGCAATACGTTCTGTTCATGCTGTCTGGCTTGCGGGCCGGCATGGACTGTTAGTGTTAGGCATTCTCAGGGGAGGAGAAGGAGCATCTGGGCCTGGGCCGACAGGCGGACGGTGCATGACGGCCGTGGTTGGACGTGATGTTTCGTCGGCTCTCGGATGCGTGGGCACCGGACCATCCGCGCCTGGACGGGGACTTCGGGACGGGAGATTCATCTCTCAAGAGAAGGTTGCGCTGAACTTTCGACGGCACTTGCGAGGAAAATGGTGTGGTGCATCCGCATCGCAGAGCTTGTTTGTGGCTCCGTGGCCCCATCACCACACAGCATCCGGTTGGTGGTGTGCTGCGAACGATGTGACAAGGAGAGATGCCGGCGGCAGGGCATATCTGTCCGTCTTTCTTCTTCTCGCGGTTCGATGTGGATAGCGGATATCCCGTGTCCAAGGATGCGCGACGGGTTTTCCAAGGATTTCGAAGCATTCCAAGTCCTCCGTAGAATTTTGGAAAACTCCGGAGAAGGAAAAGACCCTTGCCAGGTTCAATTGAAGTGAGCCGGAGACGGGGACCGGGACGGGGACGGGGGGCTCAGCAAGGCAAGGAGCTCGATCCATCCCATCCTCAGCAGGTTTTGCGGGCTTGTCTTTGTGGATGTGGACAGCTTAGGTTGACGATGGCGCCGAAAAGTCTGGACCGTCGCCCACCCGCGGGAACATGACGCTGAGGATCCGATTCGGCAAGGGGCCCGATATGGCGTCCCACGGTGCCTTCTTTCATGTCGGTAAGGGAATTAACTAGTGGATCCGCCATTCCGGAGCAAGCAGGCGACAAAACAACCGGCAGATTGCGCTGGGGGGGGGGGGGGGGGGCCCCCCCCGATGAACCGATGCTGGAGAAGGGAAGGAACAATAAAAAGGAGAGACGAGGGTTGGCATGAATCGACAATGAGAGCCGTGCAAATTTGGTGATGTTGTCTTACAGGTAATCTGACGGTTATGGCTTGGCATTTTGGTGATGACAACTGCCAAGGCGACCTCAACCTCGTCTCTTGTTCAGGAGCATTGCGCCGCTCCGCTTGTATCATTGTTGTCGTTCGTTTGACCCGTTATCATTGGATGCCGAGCACTGCCATTTGATGATGAATGGGTTGCGAGAAATTGTGTCTGGTAATCCAGTTATTTGGTATCGCAGTTACGCGCTCACACACTCCTGAACCGCGTACGCAAGGTGCTGACGCGAGGCACCTTCTCCGCCTGGCTGCGGTTGACATCCACGTTCCAGAAGCGGCAAGAAGACGTGAGTTCCGCCTCGCCGCCACCCACTTCCCGGGCGTGGCAGAGGTTTTCATGGGTGTTGAAGAATACCAGCCGTATTGATGATGCCGTGAAGAACTTGAGGGAGAGGAGAGCATAAGCGATGCAAGCCGCCGACAGCCATCAACGGAGCAAGGCGAATTCATCGGCGGGATCAGCGGCCATGCAACTTGTTAGCTGCTCTTTTCGCAGAAAGGTGAGGGGTAGCAGCAGTTCGCGAAAAAAGGATGATGATGATGTGAGGTGCGAATGGACTCAGACGCCGTCATCATGCATGGCGGCGCTGCTAAACTCTGTACCCGAAATGCGCCGTGCCCGTGCATTTGGTCTGCATTGCATCGTGTTGGTCTAGTCCAGCCTGTGACCACGACCATGTCTCCAGAAAGTCGATGAAGCTTAATTATCACGAGTTGCATCAGCATCACCACCTGAAGGGAAAGAGACGTGACCGTCTTGCACAAATAGCAAGCAACAAGCAAAAAAATAAGGTAGGGACCAGGCATGCAAGATCAAATGCAATTCTAGAGCCCCATCGGTTGGCATGAAGAATGTCTTGGCGTTTGGCATCTGGTGCGGTTGCCCCGCCGTTTGAACTTTCGAGTGCGAGATGGAAGTACTTTTGCGCCAGCGCCAGCGCCGCTCGTCAGCCAGCCAGATTGCCCGGCTGCGGTGAGGTGGTTGCATTTGTTTGATGGTCTGTCGCCGGCTCCGACCTGCCAGACTTGGACAGCCACCCGGGAAGATCTTCGAATACTGCTAACTCATATCATCATCGTCCCGCGCAACCAACCATCGGCTGGCTGAATTAGCGAGAACGAGTCGATCTTGTAAATATTCTCTCCGCCGGTGCGTTTTTCCTCCAGAGCAGAATTGCCAACATGGCATCTCATCTCGCACTCGCAGATGGGCTCATGGGACGCAGACGGTCTGAACATGAACCACTCCGACAAGGCTTAACCTTGTAATATTCCATATCAGCATCACCCACCCCAGACTACCCCAGCCTGCGAGACTTGATGGCACAAAAAGGCAAGGCACAATCGTCTAGATATGATACGCAGTTGTCTGACATGAGAGCGTGGAATGGGCAACAAGTGCACCGGTCGAGAACGCCTGCTTCATGTAGCATGGGGCAGCCTTGGAGACGAGGACGACACCGGATTAAAGCGCGCGACGTCAGCAAGTAAGTACAGTACCAGAGGTGCGGAACGGAAGCATCGACTATTGGAATTGTAAGTACTCCGCAAAGCTTGTTCGTGCCGTCTTCGACTGTGGTGTACGTGAGACTTCCAAATGGAATATGCATATTCGTAAGTGTTATTGCACTTTCTAACGGCCAAGACACCGGAGAACCGGGAGACCATGATTCAAGATGCAAAAAGAACGCCGTCTTTCCATCTGGGGATTTGAGATTTGGGATTCGGTCCCGAAGTCGTAGTCTCTTACCTTAGCTCCGTAAGCTATTGCTGTGTCAAGTTGCTGACCCGTGAGGCGGAAGGTGCTTAGAAGGCTCGAATACCTTACTCTTGTATCAGCCAAGACGTGCCGTCGTGTGTTTGGACAAAGTAGCCTACTCCTTCAGCAACGATAAGCAGCCCGTAAGGCGGGCTTCGGTCAACCTAGCGCTCAGCCTCAAGACGGGGAGGAACTGTTCAGTTGATCATAGTTGCCGGGCGTTAGAAAGGCGTCGTCGTCGCATAACCCAATTTGGTGAGACGACGTCCACGCAATCAGTACTCATCCAGAATTTAGAAACAAAGCAACGTTGACAGGCCACTGAGGCCAAGCGCCAGCTGGACGGTCCAGAAACACAGGAAACGCAGGGCAACTGTCAGGTCCAAGGTAGCGCCCGCGGTGGGCTTGTGGACTATGTGGTCCTGTGGAGAAGAAAGTATTGAATTGGGCGTTTGATAAGAATGGATTAATTGATTGTCCTTTGCTTAATTCTTTCCCTGCTCTAATCCAAACGATTTTGAGGTACGGGCACTTTATCCATGGCTTACTTACGGTCTACTAGCACAAGCAAGAGATATAGATAGTAAACGGTCAACTAAGAAGAATCAATATGTGACTGGACCCCAAACAAGCTCCGTCTGGGCGCTTCTGTTGGCTCACCGGTTTGACGGTCTGGCGCTTCAAGAACGATTCTGGCCGATTTAAAAGAGAAAAAAAGGAAAGAACTGGTGCAGGAGAATGCCAAGAGACGGTACGTATCCCTTTTGCGTGTGTGAATCAGAGTGGCCCCACCTACCTAGGAGACCTGGAAGTCCACCCACCACGACAACCGACGCGGGCAACAAGACCGCTAAGAGAGCGGGAGGTACCGGGTAAGTACTTGGCCACCCACTTAGGGTGCTGGGCGTAAGAGCCCCTCACCAGACGGGTACTTGGATCTACCCGGATCACCTCCTGACATGGAACCTAAGCTACTGGGACCCCTCGAAGCACGTCGGGGGCGCTAAACTGCAAACAGGGTAGCAGCGCCCCCTCCCTGGCCTGCCCCTGTACGGACCTCCTCTCCGCCCAATCAGGTGTACTTCTTTGCACTGCCTCGTTCTTGGCACCACATATGGGAGATCCAAACTCTGAGAAGAAGTCGCCTTTGGTCACTCTGAGTCTGGTGCTGGTGCCAGTTCAGTTGCTGGGTTTCCATTCACGCAATCTTTCATTTCTCCTTCTTCTTCAGTCTGCTGATTGCACCTTGTCGACGCCGGCATGCGTGTCTTGTAACCGCTCTGGTCTTCGTCGAAACGAACTTCTACCCAACCATTCCCTCAAAGTTCATTCAAACTTCCCCTCCTCCGCTTCGCTTGCCTGCCGCCATGTGAGAGAATGAGAGGGAGAAGCCACACACGACCAAACACCAAGCCCAGCCAACTTCATATTGCCGCGAACGACTACCCTCGTCTTCGTTATATCGGCCCACACGACGCGCTTTAGTACCCGTCGTCTTTAATTCCACCCACAACGTCTACGTCGACGTCGTCTACGTTCAACACTGGCCCTCGAGACCAGCATCGTCACTCCTTCGCCGCCCGGCTCCCTCTTTCATTGTTTTGGCAGCACAGCCTCGCACTCGCCTATTCGCTGCGCTGCGCTACGCTACGCTGGAGGCCTCTACCGCAGCACTCGCCTCACCTTTCACCAACCTCCACGCTGCACCGAAGCGGCTGAGTCGCTGAACCGGAGTTATGGACACCAATGCCGCACCCGAAGAGGGCGCAGCGCCTCAAAGGAGAAATAGAGCGTACGTTCTAACCAAAGTGCGGTATGCCTTATAGCCAAGTCTTGGGATCTAACTTTTTGCTTCATGTCAGTCCAACTATCACAATCGACACTTCAGAAGCTGGCGTCGCACCGAATCCTGCTCCTGAAATGGCCCAGGATACTCAGAGAGACGCGTCCAGTTCGCCTATTTCCCCCAAGGATGAAGCAGTCAGCCCGACTACCGTCCCCAAGGGCGCAAACGCACCATGGGCAGCGCCTTCTGAAAAGCCCATGAAACCGAAGCTTCGCGCCGACACATCTTTTGATGCCAGCGACAGCAGGCCACAAAGCCCCCATAACGTATCGAGTCCCGTCGAGACCATCAGAGGAAACAACCGTGCCTTCCTCGCTGTACCCAGTAACCTGAGGTCACGACAAAATTCCATCGACTCCAACGACGAAATTTCTTCCCAAGGAGAGACCATCGCCGTCTTGAGCCAGTCGACAGAAAAGACGATGAAGAACCACAGCCCAGTATCAAATGACAAAATCATGAAGGACGATAATGCCCTTGCGCCAGACAAGGGTAGCGAGGACGACTTCAAGGCAGAGAACAACCCATTTGCTTTTACACCAGGTCAACTCAACAAGCTCTTCAACCCCAAGAGCCTTTCCGCTTACTACGCTCTGGGTGGTCTGATTGGAATCGAAAAGGGTCTGCGGAGTGACCGCAAGGCGGGCTTGAGTCAGGATGAGGTTCACCTCGATGGATACGTTTCTTTCAGCGACGCGACAGGGCACCTCAGCGCATCTGGAGACTTCAAGGAGGCCAAGTCAGAACCGACAGCTGGCCACTCTGGCCATCACGATAAGCATGCCGACGATGGATTTGTCGACCGCAAACGTGTTTTCAAGGACAACCGAATTCCCGAGAAGAAGGGCAAGACTCTTCTTGAGCTGATGTGGATCACGTATCAAGACAAGGTGCTCATTCTTCTTACCGCCGCCGCCATCGTTTCACTCGCCATCGGCATCTACCAAACAGTAGGCCTGCCTCACGCACCCGGTGAGCCCAAAGTCGAGTGGGTCGAGGGAGTGGCCATTGTGGTGGCTATTGCCATTGTCGTCATCGTCGGATCTCTCAACGATTACAGCAAGGAGAGGCAATTCGCCAAGTTGAACCAGAAGAAGAAGGACCGTGATATCAAGGTTGTCCGCTCAGGTAGGACGGTTGAAATTTCCGTCCACAACCTCCTGGCCGGTGACGTCGTTCACCTTGAGCCCGGTGATCTTGTGCCTGTTGACGGAATTCTCATTGAAGGGTTCAACGTCAAGTGCGACGAGTCTCAGGCGACCGGCGAATCCGACATCATCAAGAAGCGAAACGGCGACGATGTCTTCAACGCTATTCAGAACGGCGAGGACCCCAAGAAATTGGACCCCTTCATTCAATCTGGCGCTAGGATCATGGAAGGTGTCGGTACCTTCATGGTTACCTCGACCGGTATTCACTCATCCTACGGAAAGACGCTGATGGCTCTGGACGAAGACCCCGAGGTCACCCCCCTGCAGTCGAAGCTCAACACCATCGCCGAGTACATCGCCAAGCTTGGAGGTGCCGCCGGTCTGTTGCTCTTCATCGTCCTTTTCATCGAGTTTCTGGTCAAGCTTCCCAAGCAACCCGCTTCCGTCACCCCTGCCGAGAAGGGTCAGCTCTTCATCAACATCGTTATTACTGTCGTCACCATTATCGTCGTGGCTGTTCCGGAAGGTCTTCCCCTCGCTGTCACCCTCGCTCTGTCTTTCGCCACCAGACGCATGCTCAAGGACATGAACCTCGTCAGACATTTGAAGGCTTGCGAGGTCATGGGCAATGCCAACACTATTTGCTCCGACAAGACGGGTACTTTGACGCAGAATAAGATGCAGGTTGTTGCTGGCACTGTTGGTACCAGCCATCGCTTTGGAGGATCGCGATCTTCTGAGGACGACGATGGTGCTGTCGGCGACTCATCTGACATCTCGATCGCCGAATTCTCCAAGATGCTGAGCGCTCCGGTCAAGGACATTCTCCTCAAGTCTATTGCTCTCAACTCCACTGCATTCGAAGGCGAAGTCGATGGCGAGAAGACATACGTCGGATCCAAGACGGAGAGTGCGCTGCTTCTCCTGGCCCGCGACTATCTCGGCATGGGTCCTGTTGCTGAGGAACGTGAGAACGCCAAGATCCTCCAGCTCATTCCTTTCGATTCTGGACGCAAATGCATGGGCATCATTGTTCAGCTGCCGAATGGAGGTGCCAGACTCTACGTCAAGGGTGCCTCCGAAATCGTGCTCGCCAAGTGCACCCAGCTTTTCCGAGACCCTTCTCAAGACGCCACCTTGATTCAAATGACCGAGCCCAACTTCCAGACTGTCAACACCCTCATTAACGCCTACGCTTCTCGTTCCCTTCGCACCATCGGTATCGCCTACAGAGACTTCGAGCAATGGCCTCCTCGCCATGCCCGCCGCGTTGACGGAGACAAGACAGAAATCGAATTCGAAGATTTATTCCGCACTATGAACTTCGTCGGCATGGTCGGTATTCAGGACCCTCTTCGTGAGGGAGTCCCCGAAGCCGTCAGACTTTGCCAGAAGGCCGGCGTCTTCGTCCGTATGGTCACTGGAGACAACAAGCTGACGGCCGAGGCGATCGCCAAGGAGTGCGGCATCCTGCAACCCAACGGTATCGTTATGGAAGGCCCCGAATTCCGCAACTTAACCAAGGCTGAACAGGAGGCTATCATCCCTCGTCTTTGCGTTCTTGCCCGGTCCAGTCCTGAGGATAAGCGTGTTTTGGTCAAGCGCCTCAAGGCCAAGGGTGACATTGTTGCAGTTACCGGTGACGGCACCAACGATGCCCCTGCGCTGAAGACTGCCGACGTCGGCTTCTCCATGGGTATTGCCGGTACCGAAGTCGCGAAGGAGGCCTCGTCCATTATCTTGATGGATGACAACTTCAACTCGATCGTCAAGGCTTTGAAGTGGGGTCGTTCTGTTAACGATGCTGTCAAGCGTTTCCTCCAGTTTCAGCTTACCGTCAACATCACTGCCGTTATTCTCACCTTTGTTACTGCTGTCAGCAGCACTTCTGTCCTTACAGCCGTCCAACTGCTCTGGGTTAACCTCATCATGGACACCCTGGCAGCACTCGCTTTGGCTACGGACCCCCCTCAGGACAGTGTGTTGGACAGGAAGCCCGAGAGACGCAACGCCTCCATCATTACCACCACCATGTGGAAGATGATTCTCGGACAAGCTGTCTACCAGCTCGCCATCACGTTTATGTGCTTCTACGGCAAGGAATCCATTGTGCCCGGTCCTGAGCACATCCCTGATGAACAGATCGCAACGATGGTCTTCAACACCTTCGTGTGGATGCAGATCTTTAATCAGTGGAAGTAAGTACACTTCTTCATCATTCCGAGCGATTTTATCTAACCTTTTGCAGCAACCGCCGTTTGGACAACCACTTCAACATTTTCGAGGGACTCACCAAGAACTACTTCTTTATCGCCATCAGCACCATCATGATTGGCGGTCAAGTTCTCATCGTTTTCTTTGGAGGTGCGGCTTTCCAAATCGCAGATGAGGGTCAGAGCGCCATCCAGTGGGCTATGGCCGTCATTCTTGGTGCCATCTCCATCCCCTTCGGCGTCGTCATCCGTCTCATCCCCGACTCTTTTGTCGAGGGACTTGTTCCCGAATACCTTAAGCGACGTGCCAAGGATACTGTCCCTGGACTTACGGTTTCGGATGAGGAGCAATTCGAGATGTACCCGGCACCTTTGTCCGACGTCCGAGACGAACTGGCTTTCATCAAGCGCATGAAGGGAGGACGCCTGAACAACCTCAAGTTCGCGGTTCAGCACCCGCGCGAAACATTCGCCCGCTCGCGCAGCCCATCACACTCGCGCAGCAACTCTATTAAGGCTCCTTCCACCCCTACTCGGGAGGACAGCTTCGGCTCGCTGGCTCAGACCCCGGATTCACGGAAGAGGTCCCGCAGCTCGCGCAGCCGCTCTAATTCCGCACTTGGTGCCCCCACCGTCATGGCGGGCATCGTGGCCGCTGGTATTGCGGCCAACTGGTCACCCGCGGATCGTCGACCCCGCCGGGAAAGCGACGAAGACGACAACGTCAGGAGAGGAGTCTCCAGAGAGAACTCTATCCGGGAGGAACGGGAAGAGCCTACGAACGAAAAGGCCGGCGATGAAAAGAACGGCGCGGAATGAGTACATTAATTGCGCCGGCCAGGTTTTACATATGGATTGCGGCGTTTTGTGAGCGAAAAAAAAACCACCAATAAAGCATTGCGCGTGGCGTATGTACTTGTACGGATATTCACCTTCCGAGGCGGGATAATGGTTACGAATCCCTGCCGTTCGTTTTACTTTTGATAGAGACCGGAGCCCAAGCCCGAGTATTATGGATCGAGAGACGTATCGAAGAATCATAATAAAAATGTTAAATCAGTAACTTCAAACCCATGCTGCTACCGTGCCATTATGTTTTGACATCTTGTAGATCTCGCCCTGCATCCCAACCTCTTTCTGCTTCTGGCAATTGGCTGCTGGCCCGTCAACTCAAGCGCTGTGATAGAGTCCTCGGCGCACACGCTGACTGGCCAAGGAATGAGGGGAATCTGCACAGTCGAGGCGGGCTACGAAGCCTCCTCGAAGTCACTTGAGTTCCAATCTGCCGTCGCAAGGCTCTCTCATTACAGCGCTTGGGGTGGCAGAGAAGCAGCGAGGCCTTTTTTGCCCATCTTGGCAGAAAGGGCCCTTGCATGAGAAGGCGGCTTAGATTGAAGGGGCTGAACCCCTCGCTCTCGGGCTTACCAGTTGGTTTCTCAAAGGGTTCTGTTTTGGTATGTGTGTGCCTTTGGACTACTGTTGTGTCGGTTGCATTTCGGTTGCGTCAATTTCTCCTGCATTATGTTAAGGTAGGTAGCCTCTTGTATGCTCGGGGGCTGTTGGTTCCATGACGAGCGGTGTTGTTGCAGCTTTTACTCTCTCTCTGTACTCAGCCTCACTTGGCCGCTTAAGAGGTGGATGGCTACAGGAGGTGGGGGATACGATGCATGGATAAACATGATCCTGACCGGTTCATGCATGTTTGGGGGCTTGTTGGTTTGAAGGGTCTGGTTTTGGGCCGGCCGCGTTGTTGTTGGTTTGGTTTGCGGGGGTAAACGAAGTTCGTTGGTTCTAATCCGTTCTGATGGACATGTATGCTGCGTTTACCTGCGGTGAGCTGGCAAGAGAGAGCCTTGTGTCGAGCTGCTATGGAATTTCTCTGGCATCGTAGTATGATCACTATCCGTGTGAAAGTTGTTGGCGGCTTAGAAGGATGGTCTTTTATAGTATTATAAGCCAGTGGGATTTGAGGATACAGTCACTTGGGTGGAATAGGCTGGAGGCATGTTCGCTTGAGTTGGATCGTAATCAGCTCTTCATGTACTGAAATCCGTTCAGGATGTTCCTCGAGGAGTGGGCGACGAGCTTTATCTAAAGAGCATCCTAGTTGTTGGGGAAACAGATATCATACAGAGAGCTTTTCTCTCGTTAAGATTCAAGCTATATGAGATGTCCAGAAATTGGAAGTTCCAATCCACAGAGACAGTTGTAGGCAAATAGCTTACAAACAGAGCCATGGGTTTCGCAGTACTGTCATAAATCCAGCCACCGTACCGAGAGCAAGGCGCCGTGAGTAAGTTGGACTTTAGTAAGTTGGACTTTGAACCCGTCTCACAGCGAGCCAGTAATTCAGGCCGGCCTGTTATCACTCTTCTCTCCTTGGACTGTGTCCAAAGTGAACATTATCTGGAGCGATGTATGTCGAGGAGGGAAATGGAGATAATGACTTCTATATCGAGTTTTTTGGAATGGTATTTACGAATCGACGGCCAGTGTATTTGGTAACCAAGAGAGCATGAGTTTGCTCTTGGCTCACTTATTGCACATGCGACTCGTGAGATTTTGTCACTTGGGTGTATTCAAATCAGAATAAACACGACTTGAGCGTAAATCCGGATTCGTTGGGTTTGGGTTGGAATCGCCTTGCCCGCCGATCCGAGTGCAATAAGAGGTCCTTCTCAGAGGACGGCACAGACTCAGAAGCGTTGTGTTTGAACGGCGTAGTTAATGACCACTTCAATCCACCAAAGACATCAAGGTCATGCTGTTTTGGAAAGTAGAGAACGCAGTAAGTAACTATTCAAAACATTCAGATAGTCTCTTCCGTGTGAAGTCGCCGCCAGTACGCGGGAAGGATTCCTGACAAACGATGGTGGGACCGCCGTGGCGGTGTCACAATGCGGAGGCAGCAGCAACATGACGAGTTGCGTCGATGATGATACAACAAAAGTCGCCGTTACTCGACAAGTGCTGACGCCGCGGTTGATCTCTCGTCTCCGCCGTCAACCGGGGCCTTGTCATCCGAGGAAAGGAATTCACGCTGCTACCTAGGCTGCAACACGCACATCGGACGACTTCGGTTTTTGGTACTTTGGATGAGGCAGAAAGATGCGCAGCACACTTGATCTCTGGTGAAGCCTGCTTCATGCTTAGGCAGATGGGCAATATTTCCCCTCTTCTTGGCTTCGTTTACAATACCTGGAGAGCCTCAGTCTGGCATACGCTGTCAAGTCGTACCATGCACGACTACCTAGGGGTATTAGTCAGGCTGAGGGGAAATGATTGGAATTGAGACTTCTTTTTTGCAGATTGGTGCATGTAAGACGGAGCAAACTGGGATCAAATTGGCTAGGTCTGATTAGTACGAGTGAGGACTTGGTCAAGTTAGGCTTCTCCCGAGTCACCACCGCCCCGCGTCAGCAGGCAGGCATCAATAGTACGCGCCCAGATAGGCAGTATTCATAACACGCATGAGGCACAAAGGCAGTGCGAGTGCAGTTGCAGGTTCTTTCGGGTCGCTAAACGTCCATTACCGCTGAGATGATTCTGTATCTACCGCCGGGAACAGAAACCGAGGAAAGGAAAAGAAAAAAAAGTGACGAAAACCTGCTCTAGGTTTCTAGGTATTCTGACAGTACAAGGGAAACTTCTGAATGTAGCAAACCAAACCGTAACAAGAAGAAGGGAATGTCAACAGAAAAGCCCTTCTCACAAGATAAGAAACCCCCCCAAACGCCGTCTGTCCCGCCGTTTCCGTTTTGCCGCAGGTCCCTTTGTATAAACCGCACGCCTATCCGAAAAAATGAAATCGAAACCGTGCCTTGGATTGAAAGGCTGAACATAGGAAATGATCAAGTCGCAACCTGGTATCTGTAGGAAAGACGTAACTCGAACTCTTCTCTTGTCCGGAACAATTGGCGCTCCGATCAGAGGAAACGGCTCTCTCGTGATTGAAGTACGGCAGTGTCATATGACAACGTGGTTGAGCCGATCGGGCGAATTAGGGTGTTGACTTGTGTGCGCCTGGCCCAGACCGCAAATTCGTGGCAATGAGCGGTGGAGACCAAATTCATGCCCAAGATTCCCCAGCAGGCCCCCATCAGGGTTCTGCTTTTTTTTGTGAAGGAAAATGGCTACACGAGTGCGACGTGGCGATGCCAGCAGCCACATGAAGTACTGACGCATGCGTCGGTTGGGCAATAGTGCGTCCGTCCTGGGTTTGGCACTCTGCCTGGTCGAATTAGGTACCGTAATGGCTTTCGCAAGTCTGGACCATCGACAAGACGCTCAGAAATTGGATCAAGGCTCAATGCCCGGGTATCCTCCAAAGTGTAGAATGCGAAGGGAAAACTGGTAATCGCAGTCGAGGTCGCTTGAATAAGTGCTTAGGTAGACTTCCTAGGCTTCACCGGCTTGGTGGGTTTCGCGGGTTTCGTCGGCTTCACGAAGTTCACCCTTTGCTTCTTCACGGGCTCTTCCTTCACCTGCGGAACTTCGGGCTTGACGACTTCGAAGACATGTCTGCTCGCGCAACTGCCTTCGGGCTTCACCTCAACGACCTGGTCCTCGGGAACCATCTCATGTTGCAGAGGCCAACCCGCGCGACGACACAGTTCCGAAACCACAACATCGCAGTCGCCCAAGAGGTCGATGTCGAAGTTGATATGGTTGACGGCTTGTCGGGAGATGTAGATCTGAGGGATATTTGCCGGTAGCCAGCTCACTATTTCTGATACCGGCGTCACCTTCAAGCTTGTGCCGATGACAATGACTAGGTCAACCTTGTCGCGGTCGTGCTCCGTCAACCGTCTGCTGAACTCGTCCGGCAGAGCCTCACCGAAGAAGGTAATGTCCGGCTTCATGACACCCACGCTAGGCATGTCGTACTCATCGTCGGACGTTGAGTCGTCGGAGCTGAAGCGACGTCGCTTTCTCTCGGTACCAGCAGAGCGCTTGCGCTTCGTGTTGCCGTTGGGACGAAGGGACTTGATGCACTGGGGACACCGCGGAATCTTGCCTGCCTTGATATCAGGGAATATCTCATCGCCGACGCACTTGAACCCGCACTGGACGCAGGTGGCAGTCGCGAAAGAGCCGTGGCACTGGATCATCTTGTCGGGAGAGATACCAGCCTTGGCTTCGAGGTTGTCGATGTTCTGAGTGTAGTTGGTGAGCAACTTGCCCTTCTTCTGCAACATTGAGATGAATGCATGGGTTGGGGTGAAGCGGTTAGTTGACGGCAGGATGTCCTTGGCGACGGTGTAAAAGATTGTCGGGTCTTGCTTAAAGACCGAAATGTCAAAGACCTCTTGCGGATCATTGAGACCCAGGTGCTCGAGTTGTGAGTAGAGACCGGTACCCTTTGAGCGGAAGTCGGGAATGCCGAGCGAGGTGGAAATGCCGGCACCAGTGAGAACAATGATGTTTTTACTCTTGTTCAGCAGCTCGACAGCATCCTCGACCGTGTTGTAACGGAAAAGCTTGGCGCGTTTTGACAACTCGCGGCTGATTGCGAGCGACAAAATACTGAAGTAGGCCTCATCTTCGGCGCCCTCGAGGAATGGCGGTGGTTTGATGCCAAAGGCCGACAGCAACTTCTTGGCTGTGTAGGCGCCGGCATCAACGGTCCTTCTACAGAATTCTGCGGGACCGAGTGCTCTCAGTTGGTGGCGCAGGACCATGGCCTCGTCAGGCGTGCAGGTGTCGGGATCTTTTGGGTGGGTGGGCATGTTAGCATCAACGATACGCCAATGGTGGGAAAAACACGTAATCCAAGGCTAAAAGTAGTAATGTATTGTAATGTAATGCCCATGTCCGGGTATTTGGGGGGGGGGGGGGGAGGAAATGCAGAGTGAGAGTGAGAGTCATAAGAGAGGGACAATTATGACCTACCAACCGAGGAGAGTTTGGCATCGCCCAGCTCTGCGAGAGCGTCTTCGAGCAAGGACTCTGTTTCCCAGCATGATTCCTTCGAATCCTTGACGCGTGCGTCAAGTTCTTGAAGACCGACGGCGTGCTTGATGTCGTCGAGGGTTGGGTTCTCGGGAACTGTGAAAGTGTCCACCTTGTACGCGGCGCCCGTCTTGGGTTTGTTGTTGTTGCTGTTGCGCTTCTTGACCGTGGCGGCCTTATTCGCCGCCCGCTGTGTCTTCATTTTCCTTTCCTGCTTGTGCTGAGTTTTCGCGTATGTTTGCTGGAGGGCTGGAACTCAAGGCAGGACGGGAAATGGCAGACGGGTAGTAGTAGCGAGATGTGATAAAACCGAGATGAGCAGAACAGCGTAGGATAGTTGGGTACGTGTCTCGTCTCGTTGATGGGCGTGCGTGACTGCCGACCAGCCGATGTGGTTTATGTGTGAGACAGGGCAGGAAATAGCCTAGAAAGTGACGGGCCTGGTATGGGCTGGGTAAAGGGGAAATGAGGAGCGACAGAGTTGGCGTAAAAGAAAACTCTTGGGCCTCCAAAATTGAACCCGCGAAGTTCGTCGTTGACTTCAGAAGGAAAGAGGGAAGTTGGGGAGAGTGAGGTAGAGTTTGGTAGGTGGTTTGATGGGAGAAAGAATTAAGTTGCAGACGGTCGGGCCCTTGAGGATGAGTAGAGGGAAGGAGGGAGAAAAAAGGATGCCTTGGCTGCAAAGTGAGGTTGGCTGTGGCCGAGTTCCGCCTGTTCGCTCGAAACTTGTCGGTTATCTCCCTGGGTGGCGTGACGGCCCTGTGCACCTCAGGTCTTTGTCTGATGGAAGGTTGACTAAAGCTGGCAGAAGCGCAGTGGGTTGATCGACGCGGTGGTGAATCAAGAATGACGAGCTCGGTTGTGGAATAGTTGACGGAGGAGACAAGCGAGGGGAGGTGCGACTGTGGTTGATGGGAGAGAGAGGGCTTCCCAAGTTGTGTGTTTGGAAGAAAGGGATAGAATGGGTACGGTACGTGTGTGAGTGAGAGAGGATGGGAGGTTGCAAGGATTTTCTCTATTCAGGAAGAGAAAATAGAACCGACCGATTCGGATGGGATGGGATGGAGTTAATGGAATGAGATGTGCCTTTCGCAAACCCAACGGGATGGACGGGATGTGCAGAGAGATGTGTAATGGGAAAGTAAGTAAAAGCGAGCCAAGCTAGAGGAAGGCAAGATTGTAGGTAAGCAAGCGAAGGGGAAAGAAGAAAAACAGGGAGCCGTGAGAGAGAGAGAGGGACGTGAGTTCCGGAGGGAGAATGGAAACCGAAAGTGGGTGAGCTAGATCTGCTGGACTGGACCCAAAGAGGTTCGGATTTGAGGACAAGAGTGAATTGATTTGAGTGAGCGAGTGGGAGCGATGAGAAGAAAGAAGTACGTACGACTGCCAATCCACTTCAGCCCAGATCGAAGCCAGGTAGAAAAGGGAAGGGCAATCAAATGGGTGAAAAAGGTTGAGCAGGGGGGGTCCGTCTTAGTATTCGTAGTTGCCAACACTCATACAGACGACGACGAGATGTATCCAGATGGACGTCCTTCTCCTTCTAATTCACATCGATAGACTGGGTAAGAGGACTTGGGATACTACGGAAATGAATGAATGATGATGCTGAATCATGGACAACGTGTACAGAAGGCAGCAAGAACGAAAGGGACGGCGACAATCCAGAGAAGCAAATGGACGGCTAGAAAAGTACATTTGGACGTTTAGGAGCAGACGTAGCGGAATCTAACCTGCCTTAACTTATTACGAGTGTGAACGTGTACAATGCCGTCCAACCAGATCCTCGCAACATGCTTCATGTTCATGTCACTGTCAGCCATATCGTATGCTACCCAACGTGAGGTACCTACCGCGTCTCTCCTTCGTCATCAGAGAGTTTCGGAACCTGGCTCCAAATGAAACTCGATCTTCACCAGCTGTTTCTCGCCCACCAGTGCTCGTGATTCTCAATCAATTCATCCTGCTTATGCCTCTTCTCCGCGGTCCTCCTCTGTGTGCTTCGCTCTGATATAATCATTACCTTGGCTGATGTCCGACCGGGGGTGAACTGGGGACCACAAGTCACACACACACACCACAAACAGACACAACGCACGCACACACGAAGGTCAATTCCCGCTTCAATCAGTCATGCTTCCCGCACCGTCCCGCCGTCAAAATACCATCATCATGGAATTCAGTTTTCATCAGCATCAGAGCCTTTGACAATTTCTCATCGTGAGCATCAACTTCAGAACCTGTCTGCGTATCCAGCATCATGTTCACGAGTTCCCTCCGACGGTGTGGCGGCCACAACGGGTGACACCTTTTACCTCGTCTTAGCTTGGCTTGTCTGATCCGAGCGAGTGACGCTCCCAGGATGATTAAATCCTTGGCGCCAGAAACGTACTGTGCCCCCTTATCTACCTTCGCCGTACCTCGCATTTCACACTCGTCCTGGAGGACGATGCTTGCGAAGTCCGATTCAGATGAGCGTCCAACCCAAGTTGCCATTCATTCTCATCATTGCCTGGGTAAGGTGAAGATGATCAAGAGCGAAGAAGAGCCTACCAGCGACTTGCCTGGGCTAACATTACCGACACCTCTCTCAATTCTGGGTACCGTAATGCACAATATTTTCAGCTGAGTTCAGCCCCCAACGCATCCTCGATCCAACAAGTTGCGCATCTCACACCAAAGTACAGATTTTCCTTCTCATAAAGCCTGCGCCAACCATGCCTCAAGCCAACCCAACTCTGTTCCTGTTTTTGGTCCTGCTTTCTGCATGTGACGGGCCACACCCCGGCTGGTTGCGTGCGTTACCACAAACACTAACCAACCCAAAGAGCCAAACGCCCTCCCAGAGACCAAGAATGAGGGGAGGGGAAAAGTGAGTGTGTAAGTAAGTGAGTGACTGAGAGGTGGTCCGAAACATAATGGTAATGCCCCAAAATGATCCGATCACTTCTTTGTCCGGGACAATAACCACAAACAAGTATCCGTCAGTTGGTGAGGGACAAATTGGACTGGCTGCTGTTAGATCGAGATGGTTTGCGCAACCCGGACGCGCCTCGGCCTCCATTGCCGACCGTAGCATCAATCACCCTTCCCGCAAATCATCGCATCATGGACACTCTGCCCCCTCATGAAACATATCCGTTCCTTTCCCAAACACCCGTGTAATCTATCAACGTGATAACAAAACACAACCCTTCCAATATAGCTCTGCTGGGATCTTCAACGGTGGTGCAGCTGTTCTCCCACGAGACTAGCACGTTTCCAAATCAGACAAGTCGGTAATAAAGAGCTTCGAGTCGAAAACCCGCCGTCTTGGCCCTTCCTCGTCGGGTTATCGCCGACCACTTGGGTTTTTTTTTCTTCGTCATGTGCCCATGCCAATACTTGCTCAGTCCACACGTCTCATCAATCTTGACTTTGCGGGGTGGTCGGCCCACCAAACATGCCTCCGAACACTAATATTCTCTGCACTCTGCTGCTACCGCGCCATCTGCGTCTCCATGAGTCGTACAGTTCTTATCTCGGCGTTGGTTGAGTTGTGACCGTCGAAACTGTCCTGTCAACTCTACTTCGTCGCGGCACAACTGGTAGAGTTGCTCGATCAGCTTAGATTCATCTCCGACCGTCAGAAAGTTGGCATGTTCAACCGACGCCCCCAAAACGTCAACTCTATGAAATATGTGTATCAGGTTAACAACACTGGGATGCCCGGTTCCGACATCCTGTCGCTATTTCCACTGCCCGCTAAATGAGACTCTCGTACTTATCCAATCCACTCTTCGGCTGCTGCGGTTGCTGCGACTGCTGCTGTTGCTGCTGCTGAAGGCCAGACATGCTGTTCATGCTCATGTTATTCATCATGCTGTTCATGCTGCCGCCCGAACTCATCCCCATACTGCCCATACTCATTCCAGGCCGTGAGCCCATGCCACTCATTCCACCCATACCATTCATCGGTTGTTGACTCATCACGCCCGCACCAGTATTGGTTGCGGGCTTGCTGAAAGCACTCAGACCCGACTGTGTCGGTGTGTGACTGGGCGGTGGTGGTAAGCTAAACCCGGATGACCCGGATGAACCCATCGACTTGTTGGCTGGCGGCGGTGGCAACGAAAAAGAAGATGACTGCTGCGACAAGCCCGGCCTCTGTCCGCCAAGCGACATGTTAGACATGGGTGAGTTCATTCCACCAAAAGCGGAGCTCGGAGGTGGCGACATGGGGTTACCGGCCGAAAAGGCCGGCGTCGATGCGGTTGACGACGACGACCACGGATTCGAGGTTGCTGCTGCTGCCGTGGACCAATTCACCGAGGAGCTTGTCTGTGTCTGTGGTTGCGCTTGTGGTTGAGTCATTGGTTGCATCGGCTTTGAGAACTGAGTCGATGTTGGAGTCATAGCTTGGAAACTGCCCAAGTCGGGCGTCACCGTACGGAAGCTAGGCTGAGGCTTCGGCGCTGCAAACTGTGATGATGGCGGAGCAGATGTTTGTGTCGGACTCGGAGTTGACCAAGAAAAGGCCGGAGTTGCTGATCTAGATCCACCAGCGGGTGAGGTAACTCTGGCCGGGGCAGGTGCATCGTCCCAGCTGGGGAAGGCGTCCGACGTGGATGATCGCGTTGCTTTGCCCTTCACCAAGCTCTCAAAATCGTCTTCTGAACCGCCGTTGGACTGATCGAATCCAGTTCCGCTAACACCACCAAAGCCCAAAAAGTCGTCGTTGGCGGCCGTGGTCGTGCTGCCATTGGTGCCCGAAAGCTCCTGTAGCTTCTTCGTTTGCTCATCTTCAACTCTCCTGGATAACTTCTTGATGAGGTCCATGAAAGTTTGGAACTGCTTCAAGTTGAGCAAAGGGCCGAGACTCATATGCCAAAGGATGGGGAGAATATCCATTGCCACAAAGTCGGCGTCAGCAGCCTCTCCCACAACATGCAAAACGCCCAGAGCTGCCATCATGACAGCAGGCTCCTTTGTCTTGATGGCTTTGACCAGCGGAACAATCTTCTCCTGCATGGTGTATTTGTCTAACATGCTCGAAGATGCCGAGGGCTTTTTCTTGCCACCAAACGCATCGAGTCCGTCGTCTTGCCCATCAGGTGTTCCGCCGCATAGCACAACGAAGGCTTGACAACCACGAACTTTGATAGCGAGACTGCTTGTCTTGCTGAAGACCGCCGCGATAACGGGGAAGAGCTCGTTCTTAATGGTACTGAAGTCAAGCACGGGGAGGATTGAGGGCAAGCCCCTCAGAGCCGCATCAACCACAGCTGGTGTTGGGGCCTCAATCGCCGCGTAGACGACTGGCAAAATATCTGTAACCGGTGAGCAGAAATCCAAGTTTGTGAGAGCATGTAAGCTTACCATCTGTGAATTCCTTGCCGTTGCAGTTGTTACAAATTGTTGACATATGTTCGAGAACAACCATCAACCCCGCGTCTTTGGTTGGGTCCCTCTCCGGAGCCTGGTCCTTCTTTGGAGGCGGAGCAAAAGTCTCCTTCAGGCTCGGCCGAACCATTTCGGCGAAGACTCGTCTCGCGGCAGGTAGTAAGTTAACAATGGTGAAGACATTCTGGAGAATCAATGCGATGAGATCCTTATCCTTCATCTCTTCGAGTAATGCTGGCACCAACTTCTTCTCCATGACAGACTTCGGGAAGGATGGCAGGACTTTAACCAAGCCTCGCATAAACTGGGCCTTTTCATTCGGCGTCTTCGCCGGAAATGCATCGAGAAATCGAATTGTGGATACCAGGACGTTGTTGAAGTATTCGCTCTCTTGGAACTCTTTCGCTGTCAAGCGCTGTGCTGGACGACGGGTGATGAGGCGGGGAAGAACATGCTGGGAAAGCTCCTTTGGCAACGGCCGAGAGGACAGGAATTGGTTCGAAGTTGATGGTACTGTGGATGAAGAGGTAAACGCCCTCTTGTAGGTGGACAGGCTACCATGGGATTCCAGAGGAGACTTGTGTGGTGAGTTATAAAGGGCCACGGCCAGGAGACCCAATGAGAACATGTCGGCAAAGGTGGTGAAATTGTTGTCGAGGACGAAGTCGGGAGAGGTATAGTCGAGGTTGATCTGCACAAATCTCGGCAATCGAGGGTCTGGGTTGAGAACCTCTGAGAGGCTTATAGGTTGAAACGATGTCGGCTTGTTTGAGCCTTCGGAAGGACCGCAGAATGCCAGACCACTGATTTTCCAATCCGACTGTCAAGTATTAGCATTCTGTCATGAGATGGCTCGAATTCTGGCCCGGGCAGATAACTCCAGATGAGCTGATCGTGGCTGACGAACCTTAGAATTCACGAGAATAGCATCCGGAGTCAGGTTTCCGTGAACCAAGCCGGCATTCTCGTGCAAAAACTCCAGAGCCTTGCTGATCTGAAGGAGTCCCTTTTGTATCTCCAGCTCATCAATTTCCAACTCCCGCCGACGCCGCACGCCGTCTGAGTCCTCGGTTACATATCGGCTCGAACGTCCACCAACCCCGCCACTTCGCTCCTGGTCATCCTTGTCCTGCAACAAGCTCGCCAGCGAGGCCGTGACAGCTTCCGTGACGAATTGCAGGCCTCCTCCTCTTGTCTCCTCGACCGGCTCGACGAGCTCGAGGATGCTCGGATGTCTCAGCTTCGCCAAGCTCGAAGCCTCCTTTTTCAGTCTCTCGACAACTTCTTCCGTAGCTCGCTTGAAGGCGGACGCGCCCGACCGACCCAGGCTGTTGCCATGGCTATCGAGGGCCTTCTTGTCGAAAACGAAGACGCTGTAGGGCTTTCCAGTCGACTTCTTCTTGCAATCGAAAATCTTCCACGGGCCAGCGGACGAGGTCTGGTTGGAGGAGATGGAGTAGTTCGCGGTGATGTTGGTCGATGATATCGACTTCAGCGCCGAGGAGAACATTGTGATGTCTTGTTATTCGTCGTTGGTGTAGTCGTCGTCTTCATCAAGGCGGAGGAAACAGATTTCGAGGGGACTCGATCGTCATGACGGAGCGGGCGAGTTTGCGCCGAGCTTGGGCGGCTTCGCTGTCAACTTCGCGCGCCGAGAGCAGCTCGTGTCTTGGATGGTGACGCAGGGCGGGGGGTTCGCCGCAAGAATTGGATTGTTATCGGAGTTCGAATCGAGACGTTCGGCTTTGTTTATTGCTTTGATACGGATGTAGGGAGGTCGTTACGCAGTATGGCAAGCTGGCAAGGTGATGTTCGGCCGCGTCGACATCCACGTCGCTGATAGGTGAGAGCGTCCCAAATCCAATGGGCAGCAAGACACCCATGTTTTAGCGATGATCCCACAGTGAGGTATGACACCCCTGCACTTCTGCTCGCGCCAAGCAAGTCCCGGTTCGCCAAAAACACCTGGACCAGAGCTGCCAGCCAGCCAGCCCACTTGAACCTCCCAGTCTTAGGGGATGAGGGGTGGTTTTGAACCAATTAAACCTGTTGCTGATCTAAGCTCGCAGCACCTGCAGCACCTGCGGGAACGGGTCCGGCGCCGGGACCCTGAACGATTGACGATGGAAAGCGACGGCATTACAAGTCCGATAACGCTCCGATTTTCTGACTCTACCGCCTCCACACAACGCTCCTTTCGAATTGCGCCCAACTCTCTGCATTTACCAAGCATTGGATTGGTCAATTGGGGTTACCGTTGAAAGCCGTTGACATATTTCAACTTGTTTCTCTAGAAAGAGTCATTCTTTCCTGTCTATTTATCTGATTTGTCTATACAATCTCGAGGTTGCAGTAAAAAAAACTTTACCTCCTTTCTTCGTTATCTACAAAACACCGTCGCCATGATGCGACAACTTTTCCCCCGCGCCGGCCGCGCCGCCGGTGCCCTCAGATTAGCCCAGGCCTCCCCCAGGTTAGCCAATGCCGCGTGGAAGTCAACGAGATTCTACAGCGTCACGCCCGAGGCCGCCTCCGTCGCAAAGCCCCTCGGCATCGACCCCTCAAAGCTCACCATTGAGAAGACGAAGAACCCGGGAAAGCTGGGCAACCCCGAGGAGCTCGTCTTCGGCCGCAAGTTCACTGGTCAGACCGCTTCCTTCTCCCACTCTTGCAACCGCAATTGGCTAACATCGAGTTGCAGACCACATGCTCACCATTGAGTGGAACCAAGAAACGGGCTGGCTCGACCCCAAGATCGTCCCCTACCAGAACCTGTCTCTCGACCCCGCGACCTGCGTCTTCCACTACGCCTTCGAGTGCTTCGAGGGCATGAAGGCCTACAAGGACAAGTCGGGCAACATCAGACTCTTCCGCCCCGACAAGAACATGGCTCGCCTGAACAAGTCCGCCGCCCGTATCGCTCTGCCCACCTTTGAGCCCACCACCATGATCGATCTCATCTCCAAGTTCGCCCAGCTCGAGAAGGACTTCATCCCTGAGGAGAGGGGCTACTCGCTGTACCTCCGCCCGACCATGATCGGCACTCAGAAGACTCTCGGCGTCGGTCCCCCCGGTTCCGCCCTCCTCTACGTCATCGCCTCCCCCGTTGGCCCCTACTACCCCACCGGCTTCAAGGCCGTTTCACTTGAGGCTACCGACTACGCCGTCCGCGCTTGGCCCGGCGGTGTCGGTGACAAGAAGCTCGGTGCCAACTACGCGCCCTGCATCGTCCCCCAGCTCGAGGCCGCCAGCCGCGGTCACCAGCAGAACCTGTGGCTGTTCGGCGAGGAAGAGTACGTCACCGAGGTCGGTACCATGAACATGTTCGCCGCCATCAAGAACAAGGAGACTGGCCAGAAGGAACTCGTCACTGCCCCGCTCGACGGTACCATCCTGGAGGGTGTCACCCGCGATTCCATCCTGACTCTGGCGCGCGAGAGACTTGTCCCTGAGGGCTGGATGATCTCCGAGCGCAAGTACACCATGAAGGAGCTCGAGGAGGCCTCCAACGAGGGTCGCCTCATTGAAGCTTTCGGTGCCGGTACTGCTGCCATCGTCAGCCCTATCCGCACTATTGCCTGGAAGGGCAAGTCCATCAACTGCGGCCTGACTGAGGCAGAGGAGTCTGGCGAGATCGCTCTGAGAATGAAGGGCTGGATGGAGGCGAGACAGTACGGTGATGAGGATCACGAGTGGAGCTATGTCGCTTCTTCGTAAGCATTGATCAGCAGTGATTGCAGATTTGTAGATATCCAAAAGAAAGCGTGTAATAAAAAGACCTAGAAGAGTTCCGTAGGAAATCATGGTGTACCGTTCTCATTCTGTCTCAAGATAAACCCTGGACGGGGGTTCTGGTCTGCAGCAGGCAGCTGCTTCGATTATACCATCAACAAGACCAGAGGCATGAGTCCAGGTCTCTCCCCACCAAACTCGCTGCGTCCGCATCTCACTTTGCTCCGTCACCGAGTTACCGACAAAACCCACAGAGGCTAGTCATCGATGTAGTCTAGTCATTCGACAGCTTGCGAAGATTCGAAAGAGTCTTCGTAGCGTTAAAACAAAAGGAAAAGGAAAACTAGTTCAAGGGCGGTCATATACACTTTCTCGGAATTAAAAGACATCGCCAGCGCAGGGCAAAGCTTCCATCCGCGAATTCTCTTCTTCTTTGGGTTTTTGTCTTGCTCCGTTCCTCGCGGCTCGGGTTCTTGATTTCCGTCACGCCATTTCCCCTTCTATGTTCTCCACCCCTCCTCGGGCCAAAGTCGGCTTGCAAGTTGAAATGTCGGGTTCCGTGAATATGTGTGGTGTGCTTTTGAGAGATATTCGCTCCTCACTTCTCGGGGTCCGGCAGGATGCCCTCCTTTTCTAATCTCCGTCTGGCCTCCTCGAGGGCCCAGGTGTCGAGCCTGCGGTTCGGGTAACGTTAGCCATTGGACCGGGGTACCCGATATCGAAATTGCCTCAACCGCAGTCACGGGCAGCAGTTGCTGATGAGCGGCATGGTTTTGATTCCACCAGAGCTGTGCGTGTTGCAATCCAACCCGCATGAGGGGTTCGCGAATCGTGGAGAGGCCAAACTCACGAAGTATCAGGCTTGAAGGCGAGGACAACACCGGTGGCGATGATGCCTCCGCAGAAGAGAGTGTAGAAGGGGAGCTCCCAGCCCTCCTTCTCGTACTTCTCGCCGGGCTTGACGCCCCAGAGCCAGCCGGAAGGGGGGTCGAAGTCGGAGCCGCCACCAGCACGGCGGGCCGTCACGGAGAAGGCCCTGGTGGAGGGAGCGGTGGTCTTGATAGCGCGGGCGGCGCGGATGGCCGCGGTCGGACGTATCGCCGGCATCTTCGGGATCGGGTTTTTGTGTATCGGTAGGACTGGCGTCCCAATTGAGGGGTCTCGGTGATGGGACGGGCGGTGGTTGAGGTTTCGCGGGCGCAGCGATCGTAGTTTGTGTCGTTGCTCACAGGTGAGGTTGTTGGATTGGAGTTGGGTTCTCGGATCCACATCGGCATTGTTAGTCATCAAAATCACGTGGACTTATCGTACCGGCTCCACCCGATGCTCTCAGCCACTCACACTTCGATCATGCACTCAGCATGTCTACATTGTTAGTTGCCAGGTAGGGAGACTGCAAAAACTGACGAAAACTATTCCTCTCACGATCTCGGCAAGTCTGCCTCGGGGGGTGGGGGTCACTTCACAAGCACCTGTTCTTGCTTCACTTCTTAGAGACAGTTGTCATAGAAAAATCCTGAGCCTAAATATCGAAGGCCTTTATCGCAGTTGGTATGCCAGGTTGCGCCACCAAGGTCCTCCAACGCCTTACATCCTATAATCCTAAACATTCCTCATTGGATTCCAATACCAATATCATGTACTCCAAACCATGCGTGTCTCAATAACCACCGTTTGTCATGTCGTTAAGGATGTCCCTGAGAATGACTTTGTCCTTCATCAGCACCTTCTCTCCAATTCTGGCCCTCTTGGGCTCAGGTCGTCGATTCTCCTTATCGATACCGAGGCCCAGCTTCGAAACCTTTCTTGGTTGTAGTCCTTTCTTTGGACTTGGGTTCTTCGTCTTCATCGGGGAAACCCCACTTGCTGTGAGCTGTGTAGCAGCTTCGTCGAAATAGTGATTCTCCAGGGCGTCAGTGGGCAAGTCATAAATCCAATCCCTCTCTTCCATCAGGCTGATGAACTTGCTCAGCATTTCTTCCTTCCCACTACCCTTCAACGTGTTCTTGCTTCCGACGACGAGAAGCTTGGTCTTGGCGCGAGTGAAGGCGACATTGATGCGGCGCCAGTCCTTCAACAGATCGCCAATGCTGCAAGCCTCGTTGCTGCGAACCAACGACAGGATGACGACGTCTTTGTCCCGCCCTTGGAATCGATCAGCAGTGTGCATCTCCACGCCAACACGACCCCGAAGGCCATGCTTCAACAATGACAGCTGGGAGCGGTAGTGGGTCATAACACCGATCTCTCCGTCGGGTACGCCAACCGTGATGAGACCCTCAACAAGCTGGGTTACAATTCGTGCCTCTGCTGGGTTGACAATGCGGTTTCCCTTCGCCTCCTCTCGAGTGAGGGGCTGCAAGGTGTCGGTGTTGACAAACCTGACACGAGCTTCGCTGTCGAGGAGATCACGGAGCCAGCAGTTGTTATGCGCCATTGATGTGCAGAATGACCTCGGCGTGCCCGGCTGAAGGATTGTTGTCGAATCATAATGCAACTGCTTCAGCGCGTTCATGTTAGGCACGTCGAGTTTCTTGGACCGCAGCTGCTCAGTACCACACCTGAGCCGGCCTTTGTATATCAAAGTGTTGCTGAGCGTCATGATGTCTTCGCACATGCGGTACTGGTGTTCAAGGTTGACGACCGATTCCGGATGTGTGTCCGAAAGCAACTTGAATAAGCTCACGTCGAGACCGCCTTCTCGAGCCTCTTCATTCTGAACAAGGGGTGGGAGTTGGTTGTGATCTCCTACGAGAACGAAAGTTCGGGCCATACGAATCGGCCCAAGGCAAATCGGAAGGGTGATCTGAGATGCTTCGTCGACAATGCAGTAGTCAAACGTGCGCTCATTGAACAACGCATGCCCAACACCGAGACAAGTTGTCGCAACTATTGGCGTATCGTGCCAGGCTGCCTTGATCTCATCGAAAGAATTCATAGGTTGGCCAGCTAGGATCGCGAACTGCTGTACTTCAGGATGAACCTTGGCGGGTGCACCGAGACGAAGAATCGGCGTCTTATCGTCCTTCAGCTTGAGCAAAATATTGTCGACAGCGGTGTGGGTGTACGACGTCAGTAGCACACTCTTGCCCTGGGATGTGAGGGCTCGGATGATGTGTGCGATCGTGGTCGTTTTTCCTGTACCAGGCATACCGAGCACCAACGCGTAGTCTTCTGCACTCATGACCTTTTCGATGGCTCTGTGCTGATCCACGTTGAGGGACTCTCGGTCTGCCAGTGTGTACTGTGTCGGCGCCGTTTTGAATCTTGGGGGGACCAGATCGACGACAAGACGACGAATTTCTCGAGAGCCGAACACCCCTTCAGCCATGGTTTGCACAAGGTTGTTCCGGACAGTAGCCATGCCGTTGCTGAATTCGTCTTTGTCCAGTCGGTAGCAAATTGGTGCCTCCTTGATTTTGCCATGAGATTGATCTTGAGTAGAGCCCTCTGGGGCAACTTCCATGATGCTGGCGAAGACTTGGTTGTCCGACTCGTTGAAACCCGGTTGTCGAATTCGCGCATTGTGCAAGCGCCTGTCGACGGCCACGCTGATTCTCTGCTTGCGGACAGAAGTGACGTAGCCAAGAGCGAGGGCGAAGTGGCCCTGTTCGTCGGAAACGACGACGGGTTCACCGACGCCCAACTGCGACTCCAAGAATGAATGACCAGGACTTGCAACTCGCTTGATGAAAGTATAGTCAAAACGGTTGATCTTTGAAGATCCCAAGTCCTCAGACGTTGAGCCTTCTTCAATGATGACATCCGAGAAACATCTTCCCACCTTCTCTCGGTCCTTGCTGACCATCGTCCACAACTCCCGCTTCAGCTTCTGTGTTTCCTTCTCCTCCTTCGTCAAGAGGTTCTCCCATTTCAGAAAAAACTCTTGATGTTTGGGGCTAAGATGTTTCACCACTTCGTCAAACTGCGCATCCATCCCGCTCGTCTCCCCGTCGCCATCATCGGCGAGTTTGTGGTAGATAAAGCAAGGCACTTTGGCATAACATCTACCACACAGGTTTTTGCTCCTTTTCATCGGGGGCAGCTGGACACTGCGCTCTCTGATGTAGCATGCCAACTGGTTCCTTTGCATGATCATGTGACGTAACTCATGCCGAATAGTAGGGATACGCATCGTCTGAGATGTCTCCATGTAATAAAGGATACCATAAACGATTTCGAGGTCGTACCGGTCGGAAAGCAACAGGTTATACAAAGCTGTCTGGGCCATGTGGTTGGCGTTGGCGTGCTTGCCCGTCTTGACTTCGAATGGAACGGTCAGGGTCTTAAGGTCTTTGCCGTCTTTCATGGTGACTTGGACAGTTGCGTCGATGTTCCCCTTGAGTCCGTACATAGGCGACCACACATGCTCTTCAACATCGAGCAACTTGCTGACACACATGTTGGCTTTTTTACCATTGCGATCCTGCACAATAGCATCAAGCTTCAGGTCGTTAGCAATGGTTTCGAAGAAAACAGAGTGGTAATCACCTTTGGCTGCGAGGAAACGAAGGCTGTTGCCCAGCAGCTCAGCTCCGTCATTTTGGACTGAAGATGCTCCCTGGCGATGGCTGTGCCGACCTTGATCTTGTAGAGATCTTCGACGTGTTTTTCAATAACTCTGTCGATAACTGTGCTGAGGTATTTGAGATCCCACTGGTTCGCCATAAGAGCTTCTTGGAATATTTCGTGGAGCATAGTGCCATAGACCAGAGGAGCAGTAGCTTCACTAGTTGCTTTCACACGGTCTTGAAGGACTGCTCTTCTCATGCAACTGAAAGAATCTGCAACGACTGTTGCGGAAACCAGTTGGTCAGGATGCAAGACCAAGATGTTTTGAGAGTCGTCAATGATGCACTGGCCATTGGGTGAGAATGTACCAATGACATGTACGTATGCTTTGGCGTGAGCTGGTGTTTCGTACCAATCGCCCCGTAGGTGGATTGTCTTCATGGTCTTTGTGTTCTCAGCTTGGACAATCAATATCTGAAGCCAGGTTAGTAATGATCATGACGTGGTGGAAAATTGCGTACCTTTTCCGTCATAGATCGATCACGCTCATCCGTGTATACGTTGTCTAGGACATTGGTCACAAGATATCGCTGAATAGCTTTGGGCTTTTGGCTTGTCTACCTTCATCTTAGCACCTGCTACCGTTGTAGCTGTTTATTGGGACGTACAGCAGTTGTGGAAGTGGCGTTGGGCTGCTGAGCGGACTGAGTTGCGGCGAGTTCTGCCGCGTCGAAATCGAAGTCTCCGCCGAAATCATCGCCAAAGACGTCATCAGGGTCGTTATCCACAGTGTCAGGCATAGCCTTGGCTGCTCTCAGAGGTTTCGATGGCGCAGCGTGCGGTGCGGCGTTGATTTCTGCGCTCTCCATGATGCCCTCGGCAGCTTCGAAAATGTCTTCGTCCACGTCATCGAATTCGTCATCTGGCACGATAGGGACTTGGTTGATTGCTTGGTTGAGTTGAGCAGCCGGCGTAGTTTGTCCCGCTTCTTGCTGAGGGTTGGAAAGACTCATGCCGGCCTCGAGCTCCAAGAAGGTATCGTCGTCGAACTCGTCAAAGTCATCGTCGCCATAGTCAGATTCTGCCGCGACTGCAGTCACCGGCTTGTCTAATCCCAAGTCTTTCGCCACGCCCAGGCTGGGGTTCTTTTCCGGAGGAGGTAGCTTTGGTACCCGAGATGGCCTCGGTGTGGGTGACACTGGTGGTGGTCTCATGGTATCCGCCCTTCTTTTCGTGGGAGACGGCGTCTCCATGCCGTGATCCGGCGATTGGTCTGATATCTCCGGTGGGCTTCCATCTTGCATGCTCCCGGTGACTGTGTCGAGCAGCGCGGTGACCAGGGAGTTCTTGGAACTGTCAGTTGTTTCCCGGGTTAATGTTCTAGTCAAGGACGGTGGTGCATCTGAACGGTCTACCCTCCGCCTCTTGGGCCAGTTGAGGCCACAGCTTATCGCTCTCCGCAGACTGGCATCGCCAGCAGGGGCAGTGGCAGCGGCCGTGTTGGGATTCCGCGGGGATGAAGAGAACATGAGGTGAGCCAGGGTAGGGTTAGTGATGCCCAAGGGAGTGACATTGCCATTGCCATTGCTGCTGAGGGAAAATCGATCCCACAACTCCAGGGTTGGGTCTGCATGGGGCGACTTGAGTGCTTCGCTCAGCTTCTTAATGTTGACTGCTGGAGAAGCGGGTTGTTCATGCGAGGGTGATGATACAGGCGAGGAACTCCTGGCTCGTTTGCGGCCTTTCCTAGGCATCATTGGTGAGAGAGAGGGGTAGCCGGTGTTCCTTTCGTTGTTCCAGAGAAGTCGTTCGCTTGGCGAGGGTTGTGTGACTTCTTTGGGCACGTTTGACTCCATGAAATCTTGCCAGCTCAACTTGGTCGACGGGGTGACGGCGATGTCATCGCGAGTGGCGTCGGTGATCTGGTCCTCAGATACTTTGTCTGCCGATTGGAATTGGAATTGATTTAACTTGTTCTTCGTCTTGTTGGATACTGGAGCGAGAGGTCGCGGTGCGGTTTGGGCGTTGACGGGGTTGCTTTTGGATCGCTGCCACGAGCGATTCTTGGAGAGGGTTAGCAAGGCGCAAAAGTTGGGAGTTGGTCGGACGGAGGGGTATTGTGTTGGAGGCGTACCTTTGGCCCGAGTCCAACATGCTCCGAGTACGACTTTTTGAGAGGCATCTCGGCGATATTGGCTCGTCAGTTCACAAAGAGTCGATATCGCGGAGTGCTCAGTCCAGAGCAGGGGTCGTGGAGGATGTTGTCCAGGTGAGGTGCGGTGCAGATAGGTGGGCGAGAGTAAAGTGGTTGCCCATCCCTCGACGCGCTTCGACACGCGTCGTGGTTGCTCCACGGTTGTTAATAGCACCTGGGCACTTTACTGAGTACCTTACTGTACGCGCTCCACGTCTTGTACGCGAACGGAAATATGTGGGGCATTCGGGGACAATTTCGCCCCTGCACGCGCGCACGACACAATGGATTGGAATGCAGGTCACCGCGAACTCCATCCCCGCAAATCATTCATCCTCTTCACTTGCTGTAGCTGTTTCTCGAAAGAGCATCTCTAGTGTACGAAGTAACTGCCAATTAAACTTCTCGTCGAGTATCGATCCAGTGGTCGTCTAAGGACGCTCTCAATTGTTCTTCGCCAGTAACAACGCGCGCAAGCGCCGAAGTTTGTCCCAGAACACAGCAAGTCAGTCCCTTCGCAAATTCCAACCGAGCTGCGTCTATCTACATCGCAAGATCATCGTCTTCGTCTTCTGCAGGTGAGACCGGGAGTATGTAAGGTACCGGGGTAGCCAGGACCGGGACGCCTGGAGAAACCCTTAGCCGAATGTCCGGGGCGTTCGGGGCCCACCTCATCTCCACCCCGCCATCAAGACCCACACGAGCTTTCCAGCAGCTCCGTCATTCCACGACGACGTCAGGACTTTCCAAGTTCGCATGAACACGCGCGGCTCACAGCCGTTCATTTCACTTTTCTCGTCCGCTACCTTCCCACCACCTACAGCGGTCGATCTTATTCAGACCAAAGAACTCAATTGCCGGGTCTATTGAACCCTGGCATTGAGCTCTCTTCAATTACCAAGATGGCTTTCCCCGTCCCACTGGGCCAGGAGCTCACCGAAGCTGTCAACAGAGACCTCCCTCCCCCGGATTACCATGTCTCGCCACCCAAATTGACAATTTGGCAGATTCTCTTGGGCCAAAACCCTGAGAAACACCGCGAAAAGGCCAAATTCATGCTCAATGGTGCTGCCGCCGGCATGGGCAGACAGCCAACCCAGCTGGAGGCCGATGCACTAAGCGAGATCATTTACAAAGAGAGCCGCACCATCTCCTATATGTTGCCCGCGGCGCTCGCTCTCGCCGGCATCTTGTCATGGCAGAGCCGCGCCAGCTACAAGTTCCCTTTCTACCAGCCCAAGTTCATCAAGTTCAACCCAAACGTGTTTCCCCACGCGGGGAGGCCATTCGTCCAAGGCATACAAGCAAACCTCATCTGGCACAATACCAGATTCTTTTGCTACGGTATCGTCTCCGCACTCTTCACGGGTCCAGTGCTGGCATCGTACGGCACCTCCGTCGCCATTGCGAGCGCCGCCCGCGACGACCGGCTGAGCCAGTTCCGGAAGGACATGCAGCCCGCGAGGCTTATTTCCATGACCGCGGACCAGATCCCTCTGTCTAACCTTCGTGCGCAGAGGTCCAAGGTTTCGAATACCATCTCTAAAATGGAGGAAGATCTTCGATTGAAGAAGCGCATGCTCTCCATGGCAAACACCGAAAAACTTGCGCAGGACTACACATCACAGATAGAATACGTCGAATCTCGTATGCGGGAGTACAAGACCTTTCTGGGTGAGCTGGATGCTGCCATTTCCCGGAGAAGCGGTCAGACCGGCGAGGGCGACGACATGTCTCAGGACCAGCAGGCCTACGCTTCTCTCGGCGCGTCAAGCTCGGCAGAGTACCAGGTCCAGGAGCCCCAAAGCAGTTCTCGTCCCGTCTACACAACTCAGAGTGAGACCCCATCGTCGCAGAACGGCTGGGGCCAGCAAAGCACGACTCCGGGTTGGGGCAAGGCCGATGCATCAGACGGCCTCGACATTGACGATGCATCACCAATTGCTCCGGAAGCGAGGTCGGCGCCCCAAAGCTCTTCGCCCACCGGCACCGGTTCGGCCTGGGACCGCCTGCGACAGTCTTCGCAGCGACAGCAGAGGCCGTCCGGTAACACTTGGGAAGGGTCACAAGGCCAGCGGGGTCAGTCTGGAGACTCAGACGTGTCTTCGGAGAAGGATAAGGCTCAGAGGCAATTCGACGAGATGCTCGAGCGGGAGCGGAGAACTGATGATCAGGGTAGCGGCAGGAACAGCCGCTGGTGATGTGTTTGATAACTCCCTTGGCTGTAAATCAAAATACCTCAAGCTGTGGAAGGCAAATCTTGCGACTGCATTTCTGATCCATAGATTCATCCGGTGTATACTCTGTAATTCCAAACGCTGTCTACTTTTATGTGACTACTTGAAGCTCATCCATCTCTTTTCTTGGTCTAGTACCCGATCCCGATGGTCTTACTAAATTTTCTCGGAACCATCTCTTTCGATCCTAAATTTCTCAAAGCTCAGAACGCAAAATGTGTCGGGCGCCAAAAGCTCTTGTCCCAACGATGCCAAGCTGCCGTCTTCGGCGTCTGTTTAGAATGCCAACCACTGAAGTGCGGCGCGTCAAGTTCATCCCCGAATCGCTGGACGAGCCGGGGCATGAAGGTACTCATCGAGACCCCGGGATGCAGCAAGCCATCCCCCGTCTCCGCAAAACTGAACTGCGACTCCCTTGCCCTCCACCCGCGCTTCTCAGCCGCCGAAGAAACAGCCGTCGGGACCGCGTCCTGCCCGTCCTGCGAAGCGGTCGTGAACTCCGCCACCGCGCCGGCGAGCCCGACGTAGAACGAGTCCGAGACGTCAGACGCCTTGGCGAGCGAGAAGATGCGTGAGTTCGACGCCCGCGATGCCCCCTTGAAGGGCATCACGTGGGAGCGGTAGTTGGGCCGATAGTAGTCCTTCCGGGAGTGCTCATGCCACACACAACTCCTGCCCCTGAAGTGATCGCACCCGACGCCCATCAGGCTCAGCGGGCGGCTGCTCGTGCCCCTGAGCGGGTCCGGGAAAGGCGTGCCGGACCAGCATGGCAGCGCGGCAGAGTGGTAGTACGACTTGCTCCAGCGGAAGTCGAAGATCTTGAGCGCCTCGATCTCGGCGCTGCCTGCGACAAAGCGATCGGAGCCGTACGTAATGAGCGAGGACACCGGCTCGAAGGGCTGGTACATGTCGCGGTAGAGCGCGTCGTATGGCGATGGCGTGCGGATGTCGAGGAGGCGGCAGGTACCATCGTCCCAGGCGCTCAAGAGGAGGTTGGTGTGGCCTGATGGGCCTGGGTTGACGGGTTGGATGGCGCGGACGGTAAGTCTCTTGTTCGTGTCGATGCCGCGCGAGGCGAGGAGGGAGGGGTTCTTCGAGGCCAGGTTCGGGGTGAAGCCCGTGGGTGTGATGGTGAGATACCGGATCGGGTCAATGTCGCCAGCCAGGGCGCAAACGACGGTGTCGTTGTTCATGACCTTCGCAGCGTGGATGAACTGCGTCCTAGACTGGCCAGACGTATTAAACGTCTGGGAGTCAAGAGGAGCTGCCTCGCCTGTGGTCTCCGCGTCAAGCGGGAACAAGCTGACCGTTGCCCTGTTGCCAGCGATCACTGATGACTGGCTGGGCAGCGTATCGATCGAACTGATCGAAGTCCACGTGGTAGCCTCTAAGGTGCCAGTGGGTTTGGGGATCTTGAAGTCGGCGAGCGTTTTACCCGCGCTCCCCGGGGCCGCTGAGACGAGCGAGAGATCACCGTTGGCCCGGCCCACGAAAAGACCTAGCTTCCCGTGCGGCTCCGCGATGTGTATGGCCGTGACATCTCCCACGCCCGCCTCGTAGCCCTTGGCCTTCCCCTCCATGTGGAACCAAGCATCGGACTCGCCGCGGGTGTTGAGCGGTCTAAAGCGGCCCACGATATCCTCCCCGGCGCCCCAGGACACGAGCTCCCAGCTCTTGTCGAAGGTCAGGCGGGCGTCGATGACGGGATGGAAGGGGCGGGCGGCATTCGTGAAGCCCGTAAAGAAGTTGCCGTCCTTACGGCGACTGTCGGTGTAGGCGATGGGCTGGAAGGCCTTCGTATCCCAAGCCCGCGTCTGGCGGGTAAGGGCGTTTGCCAGTTCCTTCCATTTGGGGTGTGAGCTGAGGGGCAGGGAGAGGAGGGGGAAGCAGGACCTGACGAAGGTGCGCCAGCCATCTTCGCTCAGAAGATGGTGGAGGTGTTTACACGACGACGCAAGCCTGGCGACGTCGCGGGCAGTCCTCAAGTGGCAAACAATCTCCAAGACGATGTCGTCAGGGAGCTGATCAAACATGGTTTCTTGTGCGAATGTGTGTGTGAACTTGATCTATTTGAATGATGGTTGGTTTGAGTGACATGAGGGGTGATGAGGCGGTTGCGTGGAATAGAACGACAGCCTCAGGGAGTTGAGAGGTGAGCAAGATGTGAAAGAGAAAGTTGTGATGTGATACTGACGGGTGTGTGTGTGTTGAGTGGGGTTGGAGTGAGAAGGAATGGGACAAAAACTCTTCTAACTACCTATTGTGGGAAACACAAGGGAAAGTTGCGAAGTTAACCTATGAGGCACTATCCGTAATCTTCAAGTCTGGTTATTTCAGGCCTTCACGATTTTCACCTTAAGTGGCAAACAATTGCTTTAAAAAAAAGTTGAAGTTGAAGTGCAACGCTCAATGACGAAAGGAGAATATGCCTGAGTCACCATGACTAGTTGCAGCCTAGAATAGCGTGTGACACATAGGTAGAATACTCGTTAGAAGCATACCGACCATGTTCGGTATGCAGCTAGCCTACTAAGGTAGCCAAGACCGGTAGAACTCTTCCTGCATCGAAAATGAGTTGCAGGTCATTTTGGCAGTCGAACTCAATGAATCTTTCCAACTCAAGTCAACAAATACTGTCGTTGATATGAGCCCACGTACGTAAGCATAACTCTCACGAGCTGAGCCGGTTATCATCCGCGTATCACTAACATGACCCGTGACCTGAGACGTAGCAATCGACCCCGCTGTTAGTGCGCCTCGGCATCAATTCAGATGAACTCCAAGATAAGACGGATCCGGACGTGATAAGGGCGACAACACCACCAAACTGACTCTAATTTAAAATGAACAATACCAGACTTCTCTCATGTTGGAAAGGTTCTCGTCAGATATAGCGCCGGCGCTCAGAGATTCAGCACGTCGTGCCCCCTTGCAACTGCGCTTACGACTGCAGCGACTTACAACGACCCCTGTCGATTGGCTGTGTCTTCACACAAAGTGTACGACCGAGTCACCAATTAGTCTTAATCAAGGATAACGATCCTCCTTCAAGATGGGAAGCAACTTGGTTCCACTCGTTGTTGGATCTGTGACTCTCTGGCTGGTCTACCACTTCATCCTCTACCCGGTCTTCATCTCACCCCTGGCCAAGATACCAGCACCTCACTGGTCATGTCACGTCTCACCCCTCTGGATTCTTCTCGCGAGGAAGAACAACTTTCAAAACCGCTCTCTTCACCGGGCACATCTCGAACTTGGACCCGTGGTACGGATAGGTCCCAACGAAATCAGTGTCGATGGCTACGACGCCCTCAGAACGGTCTACCAAGGCGGCTTCGAGAAAGACCAGTGGTATTCCATATTTGATAACTATGGGCAAGTGACTTCAATCAAGGCACATTTTGGCCAACAAGACTAACAATCGAAGTGTCCCCTGCATGTTCTCAACTCTCGGTTCCAAAACCCACTCCCTCCGCAAACGAATGGTCTCAAACGCCTACTCAAAGTCCTTCATCCACGCATCCCCAGCCGCAAAAGCTCAAGCCCGGTCGCTCCTTTTCGAGCGTCTCCTGCCTCTCCTCTCCGACTCTGCGACTGGACCAGAGCCCCACGGCATAGAAGTGTTCTCCACCTTCCTTGCCTCAACGATGGACTTCATCACAGCTTACGTCTTCGGCCTTCGCAACAGCACGGATTTTCTGAGAGACAAGCGCTACCGAGACCATTGGCTGCAGTTATATCTCGTTCGTGCAAGCTACGGGTTTTGGCCGCAGGAGATGCCGCGTCTGACAGCTTTTCTCGGGCGGTTTGGGTCCATTGTGAAGCCGTATCCTGCCTGGGTGGACGATGCGAATGCTGAGCTGGGTGAGTGGAACATGAAACTGTGTGAGGAGACGAAAGATTTTCTACACAATGGGAAAAGCGCGGGCATGGAAGGAACTGCAGATGAACCAGTCGTGTTCAGGGCCATGGAGGCCGGGATCGAAAAGGAGCGCAGTGCCAACGGACAGCAGTCTTTGCTCTACTCCACCACCATTCTGCAAAAGGACTTATCTGTGGCATCTGAAGTTTTTGATCAGGTTCTGGCGGGGCAAGAGACGGCCGGCATAGCGCTGACGTATCTGGCCTGGCACTTGTGCAGGTCTCCGGACTTGCAGGAAGAGCTCAGAAAGGAACTGCTCACACTAGATCCTCCCTTGACGATGCCAGCAGATGGGTCCCTCCCACCAGCCCTGCCAGACCCCAAGCAGGTTGATGCGCTGCCCATCCTCCATGCAGTAGTCATGGAAACCCTCCGTCTGCACGCCCCGATCCCCGGACCGGAGCCGCGACGCACGCCTCAACCGTCTTGCCAGCTCGGGGGCTTCCACGTCCCGGGCGGCGTCCGCGTCGCTGCTCTGGGCCACACGCTGCACCGCAACGAGAAGGTCTTTCCCATGCCGGAGGTTTGGGACTACACGCGTTGGCTTGAGTCAGAGACCAGCGAGGACCAGCGCAGAGAGATGAACCGATACTTTTGGGCTTTCGGCAGTGGTGGGAGGATGTGTATCGGGTCTAATTTCGCGATGAACGGTAAGTAGGGAATCATGCCCCCTTGCACAGGTAACTAACGTTTGACATTGCAGAGATGAAGCTCATTGCAGCAGCTATTTGGTCAAATTTCACGACGCATATTGTTAATGACACGGATATCGAACAGGACGACACTTATACCGCGCGACCCATAGCTGAACGGTTGATACTGAGATTCGAGCGCGTATAATATATTGAGTTCAATGTTAGATGCATTTCACGATAACGGGATATCTTCAATTAAAGACAAAAATCGTTGTACACCAAAAGCTCACATCTTAGAATCCGTCAACTTGCGTCCCAATCCCTTTCTCCTTTGCAAGCTCAACCAAGTGCATCCCCACCGCCAAATCCATCAGTCCCAACCCAACACTCTTGTAAATCACAGTTCCGTCCCGGAGCCACCTCACCAGCGCGTCCTCCTTCTTGTGCTTGTCCGTCGACCTCTGACTCGAGCTTCGGCGGTGCAAACGCGGTCCCTTCCCACTACTCGTCGAGTCCTTGCTAATCGACGATCTCGAATCCCCGTCCGAGCTCGTGAAAGCCGACTTGATTGATGGCGTCCCCGTGAAGTCGAGCTTGTCAAGCTCGGATGGATCGATACTCGCCGTCTCCCCGTCCTCGGACTCCTCTTCCGCGCGCATGCGCCGTAGCATGATCAGTTCTCCAAGCCTGTCGTTCATCGTCAGTAAAACACACTCGCTTCTCAAACAGCGGGAAGTAGAGGATGAAGTCACTCACTCGACGAGCTGTGTAGGCTGCAGCCCGGCTGCGATAATCTCACCCGCCTCTTTCAACGCCCCATCCAACGTATCAACGACTACAACACCCCCCTCGGGTGCATGCTTGTGGAAATGCCAATGCGCCTTCTCCTGCTTCGTGGCCTGCTGCAGCAAACCCACCGGCAGCTCCCTCATCCTGGACGTATAACTCCCAATGGCGCAGACCAGCCTTCCCTTCCTCCGCCCTTCATGGCTCGTCAGCCCCTCCGCGTCGAAAAGCTCCTCCGTCGACGGCGTGCAGGTGTACACGACGTCGGCGTCCCTGATCTGCTCCCTCTGCAGCCGCGCGAACTCGCCGTAGCCGGGCGTGAGGATGCTGAAGGTCGTCTCGGCCCACCCCTCGCGCTCCTTGATGTGTGCCGGCACGTGGTAGAACTGCTTGAGGAAGACGCGGGCCTGGTCTGAGAAACGCCGGTTGATGATGTTGACGTGCTTGATGGTCGAGCCCCTGATGAGCAGGGCCAGGCGGATGTGCCAGTAGGCCTGCAGACCGACGCCGAAGCATGTTACTGTCTTGACCTGGCCGCGCCGGGCGAGAAGGCAGGTGGAGGAGAGGGCGGTGCGGAAGGCGGTTAGGGTCTTTGCGTGGAGGAAGCCGACGGGTTCGCCTGAGGGTGAGAGGAGGGTGACGGCGCCTGTTGGCTGGATGGGTTCTTTTGAGGGGTCTTGAGTTGCTTTGCTTGAGCTCAGGGTCACGACTGTCCAGATGTTAGACGATTTGGTTGAGAATGCGAGATGATACGTAATACGCACCTTTGCAGCCCATCCCTTGGGGCCCGACGGAGGGCATGTACAGAGTCTTTGCGCCGGTCTTGAAGTTCTCAGTTGAGATGCGTTCCGGTTGGTGGTAGGTGCCATCCTCGATGTTAGTGGCATTCGTCGAGTACTCATGAAGAGCGTGTGAGATAACACTCCTGAATCCCTCAAACTCTTCGGCTGTGAGGTCGGCCAGGATCGCCTTGATCTGGTCGTCGGTGAGGACGGTCAACACCATGGCGACGGTTTGTTATCAAAGTTATCAGACTTTCAGTGTGCGGAAGATGGGGAGGGATTATCAACTGAGTTCAACGTGGATGATAAATTCTGTCTAGAGCGGGGTTTTCCCTTTTTGACTCTGACTCGGGGTTAATAAACCTCGACGACCGGAGCTAAACTACGGAGGATAAGATGTCTTGGCAGTCTCTTCTGAGTATTAATTCCCATTTGACCATCTTCATACCGGATCATCCGCCACATGTGCGTTCGCGATGGACAAGCCCGTTGTTATGATGTAATGGGCGGTTAGCCCTACGTCCAGATCTGGTCGCGATCAGTTGGTGCTGACTGGCACGCCGGTCGATCTCCACAACCTGGCGCCGCCGCTGCACCGGATCCCGTGGGCCTTTCACGCGATTTTCCGAGCGGGTTTACGCTGGTGAGTTGCTGACGTGATGCGGGAGAAAAGATTGGAAGACAGCCGGTGTTGAACGGCGCATGGGATCGACCATCCGACAACACGGATCTCGATTTGAAAACCCGACACCGTGGTTCTGCGAGCCCCGGACGCGGGAGGGGCCTGCCGGACCGGGCCCGGCTTCATTCTCGCTCTCGGCCAAGTCGGACGTCGCGAAATCACCGTCGGTGATGAGTCAAGCCGATTGAGCCAGGCTACAGCAGGAGCAACACGGTTTCGCAAAGCATATTTTCGATAAAAGAGTCCCAGGCACCGGGATTACGGACAGTGTTGATGGCTGTGTACGTCCATTCGGTCGCCTCTAAAAGAGGCTTGGACAAATAGTCCACGTAAGTCCCCCCGAACGCGTGTATCCTCTCGTGTAGCCCACATGATGTGGAAAGCCAAAAAGCAGCTGCCTGAAGTCACGACTATAAATGAATAGAATTTCGAAAATGACGGGTGGCGATGTGAATGAATCGCGAATAACTCACCTTCAACACCCTCTCGTGTCTCTTGTCGACTAGAGATAATCTCATCTCCGACCAAGTCTTTTGTCTTTTGTACGTACTAGAGTTACATGTCAACTCAAGATAAGCCAAAGAGTGACTTGTGACATTGAAAGCAACCGCATCTCAACGTCGCAAAGGGGACCCGCCGTCCACATCAGATAAATCAATCCGTTATTAAAACCCCGACTCAATCGCCAACGAGGGTAAAACGAACAAACGGAGAGATCGACCGTGCTTGGTCCGGGCCCGGAAAGTGTCAGGACGTTGTTTCATAAACCTCTCACGCATCCCATCTTTGGCCCCGGTTCAAGGGTCATAGCCTGGCGAAACGGCCCATTGGTGATCGGACTGCAGCTGGTTGGCTGGCTGATCCAGTGACCCTGAGAAGGAGAGAAAGGTGAGGTGTCTTTTTCGATCAGGTTGTTCGAGAAAGAAAGAAGAGAGGGAAGCACAGGGCACGACAACCCAAGACACAGGACGAGGAAAGGGAGGTCGCTATCTCGAAAAACACGAACCCTTGCGAAGAAGACAAAGGTCCCCTGGTTTTCTTCAACTCAAGGGAGAGGGAAGTGCTGTACGGCCGCCAATCACACGCCTGCCCTGGCCGTTGGATACACCTGCTGCGGTAGAGCTACCTTTACTAGGTACTCACAGCTTTGAGAGAGACACCAAAAACATCCATTGAACCTGGTCCCTTCGGCTGCCGGGCCAAAAAAACGGTGGAGCCACCTCACCTCACCTGCCGCCAGCGCCGTACTGCGTACTGCGTGCTTCGTACTTCCTTCTGTACTCTCTCAGATCAAGCAATCTGACTGGTCCAAAAGCCAAAACTCCACCCCCCAAGCCAAGTTCCAAGCCTCAAATTCGGAAAAGAGGCTACGTACGACGGCTTCCTCGCTCTCGGCCGCCGTCTCCCCAAAATAGCTGACAACAACACCTCACCTCACCTCTTTCGGCTGAAAGCTCCCGTCCACCGTCCACGATACCCTTCCAAACGTAAATTCCGTCCGCGCACACATTTCCTGCATTTCGATAAGCATCAGTAACCAAACCTCGACAACAATAACAATCCGACACGGACCCTCCCGTCGCAAGACCTGTCGATCCTCCGTCCCGTCAACCCTTTCGTTGAGCTGGAATTCGGACCATCTCCACCCAATTGTGAGAGCTCCGAGAGTCCACGTACGCCGACCGAGAAACCTCATACAACACCACCAACCCGACGACCACATCGCCCAACATGACGCTCAAGGAGGAGTTTGCGACTCGCAACTTCAGTATGTTTCTCCCCGATTCTCTCCAGCTTGCCTTGTCCCCGAAGCTAACCATCGTCAAGGCATTTACGGACAATGGTGAGAGCTCCCTTCCGATCATCCTTCCTCCCCTCGCGATGCCCTCGTCGATGGCCCGACGCCGAATTCATCGCCCGCGTCGTCGCGAGCAACGCGCACTTGCTGAGCCATCGCATCCGCCCTGCGCGCGATCCGTATCGGCCTTGTCCATCTATACGAGATATCCTGCAAGAACGACCGCTGACCCGATCTATCTAGGCTGGGTGTTCTGTCAATGATCCTGTGCTTGGCATTGGGCATTGCCAACATCTTCACCATCCACCTTCTGCTGATCATCTTCTGCGCCCTCGCCATGTAAGCCTCCCTTCCAATCTCGCGCCCGTCCCAGGAGCTCCGGCTGACATTCTCCGCGACAGCGCCTCGTCGTTGATCATTCTCTTCATTGAGATTCCCCTGCTGCTCCGAATCTGCCCTACCTCGTCCACTTTCGATGGTCTCATTCGCAAGATCTCGACCAACTACATGCGTGCCGCCGCGTACGCTGTCATGGCCGTCGTCCAGTTCCTCAGCACCATCATTGTCACGTCTAGTTTGGTCGCTGCTGGTGTCTTCCTCTCCCTGACCGCCATCTGCTACCTCCTTGCCGGTGTCAAGGGCCAGGCCTTCGTCGGCAGCAAGACTCTTGGCGGCCAGGGTGTTGCCCAGATGATTGTCTAAGGCAATCTCTGATGTCCAGCATGCTAGCACCGACGCGTGCAGGTATGGAAATACACTTGCGCTGGTTCGAGACGGGCAGCAGCGTCAACAATGATATCCGGTGCCTGGAAGCACGATAAAAGGAGATGTACGAGTCGACGAGTGTACTGGAAAACGGGCAGGAAGCTTCTGGTACCCAGTCGCATTTGCGCCGCGGCGCACGCGACGACCTGGGGAAGTAGCAAAGATGTGGAATGTATTTTTGATATGCAACGGCCGGCATAGTCGGAAAGGAAACTCGGCGTCCCGGAATGAGCTCAAGCTTTGTGTGTATTCGATCTCGGTTGCGCTTTGGTTCCTAGAAGCTCCGAGGGTCATGGTAGCTTTATCCACTGCACTGAATTTTACTGTTTTGAAGTCGTGCTCTCGCTGCATCACGGGTAGCTGTTGTTCCTCAACATGTTGTTCGCGGAATTCTCGGATTAAACATGGCCACCGAGCGTCCCACTGAGTTGCAAGCAAGCGGTGTTGGAGCTTGCCTCGTAGGATGAAGCTATCTAGCCGACAGCGGTGAGTCTGTCCCGAGCTTCTTAGTGCCATCCGGTTAGCATAGCTCTACAAGTAGAAGGCGCCTAGGAAAAATCAAACTGGGTGGCAGGAATCCAGCCACCTTAGCCAGGTAGGCCAAGGGCTGATTTGGTAGGCAACTCTGCATCACAACGACATCATGTGCAATCTGAGCCTCGTGATCAGCCAAAAGCCAACCACAGCTGAAGCCTCAACACGCCAAGTAACCACCTGGCGAGAGGGTAGTCAACCGGTTATCCAGTTGTGAGCGTTCAGGCGAGGGGTAATCAAGATGCCCCAAGAATCTTTCTCCAAATCTTGTGAAACCCCGGATGTTGACGTAAACCTCTGTCGTCTTCCGCGGGGGATCTGTTACTCGGATGGACGGTTCGCATCAGTGGATTTGCGTCGATATCCACATTTGCCCAATGATGGGGAACACCTTCTGAAGACTGGCGTGTTCTCGGGAGAGAGCAGAGAGAGGCATGACAAACGGAAATTGACAATGGCATGCACTCTGCCGCCTTTGCCAGACCTCAAAAACGCGAATGCTTTTCCTCAATCGCATCGGTAACAATGGATTTGCCTCCGGCCAGAGGGTGGTCTCGCCTAGTGAAGAAACAAGCGCTATGGCGTCATTAGCCTCAGCGTTGTGTGAGAACTGGCGAGAAGCTGGAAAGCTCCGGCCCGCTCCAGCAACCGTTTGGCACACTGTGATTTCTGTGGAAGCAAAACGGAGGTTCTGGTCCTGGTCCACTTGCTTGCCCTTTCACGGGTGGTGACGATTCCTCCCCGTCTGCTCCCCACAGGGGTCCTGTTGGATGTTCAGTTGGAAAGTCGTTGGGAAATGTGTGTTCATTTCAAGCAAATCCGTATTCATCTGATGCTGAAGAGATTGCATGGGGAAAAGCTGTAGCTCTCTGTCTTGGCAACGAATCTGTTGGTGTCCCGTATTTCGATTCCATCTAGAATCATCTGAAAGCATGACAGCTTCTGGGTCAAATCCAGGGACGTTCGAGGATCGATCGTCGAAGAATGGGGCTGATGGTGCTTCTCCCGTCTCCAGTTGACAGTCCGTGGAGAGGGATGCAATGGATCTTGACGCTGTGTTCAACTGGTTGTAACTGAAGCCTCCACTGGGATGCCGTCAGTCGGGCCATTTGTGACGGAAGGTATGTGGGCTGCGGGACACGACGGTGGTGGCTCGGGGGCAGCACACGGTGGGAGGGAGCCAAGACCGTGACAGCCATCCGTCCGATACTGTCGGGGACAGATCCTAGATCTGGCGACTGTCATTTGAAGAAGCCACCGCAAAGGCATAGGTTGCCCAGGTGAGTAAGGTATTCGCAAGCTTCTGAAGCGCTCAAGCAGTCAAGCATTCAAACAGATGGCGTTGAAAAATGCCGCCCCGAAAATGCCTCCTAGCAGCCCGCAAGCGATCCGGCGCCCGTCAACAGGCGCTCCCGAGTTGCCAAAGACAGAAGCCCGAGAGGCAGTGTTGATGAGCCAGTTCGGATCCAGCTGAGGACCGGCATCAACGGCGCCCGCAGTTACAGTCCGAGAGACGGGAAAATTCAATTAAATGGATCTGGCGTCTCTGGTTGTTGCGGTGAAGAACGTGTACAGGTCGAGTACCTAGCTGGACGTGGAAAGGGACGCGGCCACGATCATGAACTTGTTCCAATGGCAGGTTGTGGTCGCAAAGCGGCAGGGATGTGTAAAACGTCTCTCCCTCTTGGGTGCATATTTTGTGTAGGATTTTGTTGTATCGAGATCCAAACGGACGAGACACCGTCGTCTGGCCAGCTGCAAGCCGGTGCTTTCAATGCAGAGCTTGCAGCATCTCGTGGTCTGGTGGGGCTTCTTCTCATCTCTGAGCTCTGAGAGAGTTGCTTCGCACTTTCAGTTGCTCGTCGAGTCGCACTGTGGGTGTCCTGACAGAGACTTTTCAAGGCCTCATCAGAGGGCTGGTAGACTGAGAGTTGCGTGTACCGGTTGTACTCTTGCCGGTTCGCTCATCCGGTTCCTGGAAAGGTACTTGAGGCTGTACCTAGGATGGTACCTGAGCTGTCGCCCTGGTCTGGCCCGCCTGAGCCCGGCGTCCTGGGGGGAGGTGGTCATGGTCAGCGGGTGACTTTTCGAACTTTTCTCAGTGGACAGTTTCGATTGGGACGCGGGCGGGCTCGACCTTGGACCGGACGACGCCCAGTGGAGTGCCCGTCCACCGTGACCCGGCGGACCTCTCCACTGTGGACTAGGCCAGCGAGTCCCTCCCATGCGGCGAGCTGGAGCTGTCTTGGAGCTGGCCCTGTGAAGACGGGAAGAGGTGAGCAGACGGGCCGGTCCTCGAAAGTCGGTTGAGAATACTCTGAGCATCGGCGGCTCAGAAGTTGAAGGAAAAGGAGATCGAGTCTACCGTGAAGTCGAGAGTGAAGGATGTGCATGGAAAGATGCGCCAAGTCGAGCTCGTCGGTTGGGGGCTGGAGGCTGGTGGAATCGAATTGGATACAAAGGAACCTTCAACACTGTGAAAGGCCCAGGATTTCCTTGACGCAAGTGACTCGGGATGGGTTTCGTTTCTGATTCTAGATTTCGACGCTGACGCGAGCGCGTAAAACGGGACGCCGAGCACGTTTGATCTGGTTTGGTAGTGTAAGGTATCCGTACTTTGGACTGCTGACAGGTGATGGCCGAGGAATCCACCGTCGATGCCTTTTTGGATTTGGATTTGCTTCCTTTGGTTCCCCGTCTTTTGTACTGCTATTTCCAGACGGTGCCTCGGGGGTCCCTGAAAGCGGACGGACGGGCGGCCGGTGGTACATTTTCGGTGGGCTCTCTGTTTGAGTCGAGCTGCCACAAAATAGCATTCATTGCTTCCACTTCCATGCTTGTTCCCGCCCAATTGAGCCTCCTGGGAGTGCGGTAGTTGACGGGTTTCGATCGATCGATGGAGGTGGGATGATTCTTCTTCTCTGAATTTTCTCCCTCTGGCTCGGGGCCAGAAACACGTACCTTAATCTGACCGCGACCAGAAAGGTAGTTAGTTGAAGTTCCATTGTGCAAGGTTGGTTTGGCGGCCTGTATTTTTCCCCATCTGCGTACCAGTAGCATGGCAACAGCTTGGACAACTCACCTTGTCACTTCAGCAACTTGCTGTCTTTGCGGTCCAGGTCCATAATAGCTTGTCTGCCGTATCATCGAGAGGAAGGGCTTCCCCTGACGAAGAAAGATACCGACGGAAGGTAAGATACGACTGACGATGGAGAAAGATAGGTACGTGGATTGCAGTTGGAAAGGCAGGTACCTCCCCGGCTCACGCCTCGTCTTGGTCCTCCAGCGCCTGCCGTATGATGCACTAGTGGGCTAGATAGCGGGGTACACAGCTGTAGATCCCCCAAGACAGTGGGGAATATTCAGCACCGTGTGTAAAGAATAGAGACTTACTGTAAAGCATGACCGCAAATAACCATCACACAACACACACACACATAACCTGGAACCTGCAACAACAACTCTCAGAACTACCAGCGGCGGTGCCTCTGAAGGGAAGTACATTCCTCTACTCCCGCTGTACCGGCATCGAGCATCCCTGTTTCTGACCCAGGGAACACGTCGCTCGTGACTGGATGAATGGCGGTAGCAGCACCGTCACCGAACATGCTGGTTTCGTCAACCCAGAATATATAAGTCGACGCTGTCGTGACTTCGCCCTCCCTGTCGTCCCCTTGGTTTTTGGTCATCAAAATCATTCAATGCGTCTACTCAGCCTGGCAACCAGTTCTCCTAAGATTTATCTCTTGTTCGTCATATCTAGCGTGTTACAATAACACCAATCCCACCAGACGAAAGATTACCTACTTCCTGTGCAGCTACGGCTCCGTATCCTCTTATCCTTATCCTTATCTCTCCCGTCCCCAAAGCTGTAAGTGCCCCTTCCCCCCTTCAGAGCGCGCAGTCGTCATTCCCTCTGTCTGTTCCCGCCCCGGCCCTGAGCTTCCTGCTTCGTCGATCCCCACGGTTTTCTGTCCCTCTACCCCCAGCGCTCGTCCAATGCTTTGCTGCACATTGTCAGCACACCATCATTGTGTTGGGGAAAGCATGCCCACCTGGTTCTCAGCCGGACTCAGCTATCGTCGCCCCGAAATTGGGAAGGACAAGGCAAGGCAATGCAATGCGGCAGGCTACTACCTGTACTTTATCGTGATATGACACCCGTCTTATCACAGGAATGCACTTATCAACAAGATTGAGCTAAAAACTCAAAATTGCTGTTCCCAGCAAAGTAGCACCTCCTCGTCACCACTTCTGGGTGCTTGTTATTGCCTTCCCGCCCCTTGTCTTGCTTGTCAATTTACCTTATCCTATCTCTCCAGCCTGTTATCTCGCATTCAGCTGCCACCCTGCCATCCATCTCACGGAAACAGGGCTGAGGCGCCGTGATCTACTCTTTGCTCTCTGCTTTGATACACCGCCCAAACTACCTACTAATAATTCCAGTCATCCAGGTTGCGTTTATAACAGCATCTTTCCGACACTTCACCCAACGACCACGCATCTTCTTTCCTCACCGACGAGTCCTCAGAGATACACATCATGTCTACGGCATCAGTACAACCGCCCGTCATCCCTCCCCGGCCCTCTAGGAGTACGGACAAGGAGGAGAACACGAATACCACTTCGCTCCCAAAGATCCCTCCTCGTCCCATCAAGCGTTTCGATCGCTCCATCTCCCCGAACCCGGATCGTTTTGCTCCCTCGCCTTTGAATGAGAGCCCGTTTTCCAAGAGCCCCAAGGCCACTCGCTCCTCTCCGGGCAATGGATTCCTGTCTTCAGAACCTGTCCGTCGCCCCGGCAGCGTTTCTATGCCGTCTGTCGGCGAGGAGGGCAACGAGTACGATGTCGTCAGCGAAAGCTTGGCCAAGCCGCCTGCCTCTCCTGAGCACACCCGCTTCGCTGCCGAAGACCTCAAGCTGCACGCTCCCAAGCCTACGATGCCTGCTCAGAGCGCCAAGCAGAGGGTCCAGGCTGTCACTCGCACCGATTCGGACAAGGCCGCCTCGTTTGGCATCGGCAAGCCTAGCAGCGACGAGACTAGACCCAGCAGTCTCAGGAAGAAAGCCAGCTCCAGTCAAATGTCCACCAAGTCAGAGAGCATCTTCGGCGAAGAGGAGCATGGCATCCCAGAGATTGGCCAGCGTGTGCCAATGAACCCCCATCTCGGTGATGTCCAGGCCCCATCTCCTGCCCCGGGCTCTGCCGCCGCCCCCGAGGCTCTGAGGTCCGGAACCCCTCGTAACCACTCCCGCAAGCATAGCTCGCGCGGGTTCAACGAGCTCCCTCCGGGCAGCTATGGTCTTCATGGCCACAGCTCTGCACTTCCCACAGACAAGTTCGAGAAGGCTTGGTACGACAAACACCCGGACACGTTGAAGAAGGACTGCAACACCCACCTTCACGACCGCCAAAACGACTTTGCCATGAGCAGCACCGATCTTAACAAGATTGTCCACGACACTCACAGCAGAGGGTCTGGAATGGGTAAGAAAAACCAATCGTCTGGCGCGGTGCAGAAACTAACCTTCGTAGGTACTTCCTCCACATACGCCGGCACTCCCAGCGAGGAGGTAGGCTATCATGCTTCCGAAGAGTACACTTCGCGCATGTCATCCCCTCGCCCTGCGTCCAGGTCTCCCGAGCTCCACCGTGTCAAGTCACCCTTGAGCCCTAGGGATTCTCACCCTGACATTGCCATTTCTTCAGCCGACAAGACCGCCAGCGACGACGACACCGTCCATGTTGATCAGTCTCATGACCGTCGTAGGAGTTTCGTTTCCCACGATTCCGGTCATGAGGCCAAGTACAACGCTCCCATTCTGGCAGACGATGAGCGGGAGAAGGACGTCCATCCGTATGACCTGCACCCGGCCGTTGAACCCCCACCAGAACGCTCCGGCAGCGCTTTTGAAATGGAGAAGGCTCCCAGTCGGCCCACCAGTCGCCCCACCAGCATTTACAACAACCAGTCACAGACAGAGTTGACATACACCCCGCTGGAGGACGTCGAGGAGTACGAGCCATTGTTCGCCGACGAGGAGGCTAAGAAGACCGAAGCTGAGGCCAACACCTGGAAGCCCCGTCACAAGTTTCCCAGCAAGGATGTATGGGAAGACGCACCCGACAGTGTGAACTACACCGCCGAAGTTTCAACGCCTGAGCCAGCAGAGAACGAACGCCCTTCGTCCCGACGACGCTCCGAATCTCGTGCCGAAACACCTGCACACGCCTTTGCTCGGAAGCAGGAGGAGCTCGCAGAGCAGGAGGCCCGTGGTCTGGACACCAAGGACAAGAAGCCACTTCCCATCGCGCTGCAGCAAACCAAGGAGCAAGAAGCTCGCCCCAACATGGCCAACCGCTTCCCCAGCCGTGACGTGTGGGAAGATACCCCCGAAAGTCTCTTGCACGAGGCAGTTGTCGACACGCCTGAGCCTGCGGAGGATGCTCCCACGGAGAAGCCTCAGATCCCGTCTCGTCCTCAGAAGAAGGGTTCAGAGTCGAGCGCTACCTCAGAACGACCTTCCATCCCCGAGCGGCCTAGGCCGAAACAAACACTCAGCGACGATAAATCGAGACCCGCCGTGTCAGATAAGCCGAAGCCTCAAATCCCCGCGCGCCCTACCAAGACTCTCCCGTCCGGCATTGACTCAAAAGAGCAAGATGCGGCTCCCAAGCCGAAGCCTGCTGTCCCCGCTAGACCCGCTGGCAGCAAGATTGCAGCCCTTCAAGCAGGATTCATGTCGGATTTGAACAAACGCCTTCAGCTTGGCCCTCATGTCCCGAAGAAGGAAGAGCCACCCGCTGCGGACATGGTTGAGGAGAAGGAGAAGGCTCCCTTGTCGGATGCTCGTAAAGGTCGTGCCCGCGGTCCCCAACGCAGGGCGCCTGCAAAGGCCGCGACACCTGTCGCCGAAGTCAAGTCCTCGGCACCTACTTTGTCGTTCTCGCCTCTGAGGGTCTGCTGGAGCATCGGTGACAGCGGCAGTCTCGAGGTCGACGATGGTTCCGTGCCTGAGGCCAAAGAGGCTGTTCCCGAGGTCGAGAACACACCTTCCGAACCGAAGAAAATAGAGGAATCGGTTGCGCCTGCTGTCGCCGAGACCGAAACAAAGACAGAGGTCTCGTCCACGGAGGAAACGATATCCAACGAACCAGTCGAAGAAAAGGCCGAAGCCAAGGTTGAGGCTCCAGTTACGCAGGACGTCAAGATAGAGCCACCTAAAGAAGAAGTCAAGACCCTAGCCGCGAACATGGCTGGCGAGCCTGTGGTTGAGGCCACTCTAGAAGAAAAGAAGGACGAGGCTGATCCCGTTGCTGTCAAGCAGACGGGCGGAGAAGAAGCATAGATGCCGTGATTCCACGGCACGTGTGAGTATATGTGTGGTATAAAGCGGAGAAAGCACTAGACAGAGAGTCTGTTCAGTACATGGTTTCGCTTCTTTGGTTCGATGGTTTTCGGGTCATCCACCTAGTTTTACGTTCTCTAACTTTGCCGTATGGCTGTGCAGCGTTTTGTTGAATAGGTAGCAATCTGATAATGCGTTCTGTTGTCTCTTTCTCGAGGAAGGACAGCGTACCGCCTCTACGCGTCGGCCTGTGGATGTCATCAACAGCCTGGTGCGTGATGTCGTCGACTCTTCTGAGTTTCGAGGTAATGCATACTAACTCTAGCAAAGTGGTCGTGACTAGCTAACACCAGTGCCCTTGTGATATGATACTGTCGTAACTACTTGCCTCTGGCCACTCTCTCTCTTGCTGCTGGCCAGAAGTGTTTGAGAAGTATCATTTCCTGGTTCTATTGTGTTTGACTTCTCTCTACGCGGCATGAGGAAGCAACCTTCCAAGACGAGTATGCAGCGTAGTCGCTTGCGGATTCGAGGGTTCAACAACGCCGGTAGGACTGACACATGACGGGTAGACTCAGTAGGGTAGAATATAGATACTAGAATATAATCTACAACTTCAACAGCGCTACATCTTGCGGGTATCTTAGATGCCTCACTCATGAGCGTGACTTCCCACACTAACAAAAGCTTCCCACACAAAAGCTACGCGTGTTCGATACTGTGTATCATGTTCGAATCAAGTGGTAATTGAGACCACGCCACCTCAAAATAACACAAGCCAAGATGCAGACTGAATACCACAACGGCAACGGCGACGACAAGAACAATAATAATGACTGCTGCAAACCCCAAGTGGAAGAAGGGCATAGAACAGACACAATGATCTCTGGACTTGTACCGATTGTTTTAGCAGTTTAGATGTCAATATTTTTGGGATCTCGCAAAGATTCAGGCAAACTGTTAAATAGAAGACGTCAGGATTTGTCGTTCCCTAGTTTATGGGTGTTACGGCTGAGATAGCTTAAGGTTCTGCTTGAGGTGTCAAACCTAAGACTGTACCAAGTGAGGTAGCCGTGAGTTAATGACACTATTCCGATAGGTTCTCAATAGAGCATACATGACAGGACCTTCAGGCGGCGAAAAGTTGATCTGAAGTGATGTTCTCTCTATGACTCCTCCATAATCTTCCATGAGCGTAGATTCCCAAAAGTTGCACGTTGGCGTAAATTGGATAGGATCTTAAGATTCAACTTTTATCTTATGGGATGAAATGCTTGTCGCATTGTTCGAGGAAGATAGGAATCGGCAGGTGGTAGAGCCCAATGTCGCGGCTTCCCCCTCCTTCCCTTCCCCTTTTTGGCTCCTTCCACTGATCGTACTTTCCCCCAGATCCTCGACCGTTGAGGCTCGCCTGACTTTCTGTCCATTGCAGCGCTTCATATTTCATAACTGAGGCAGGCGCAAACACTTGCCCAGGGTGATACGTTTGTTCCTTCCACACTGTCCAGTCAAGTTTCTCACCTCATACCCAACCCACCTCATCCACCACACCTTCTTCTCACCCCTTCTTCTTTCCTCCCAACATATTACCTGCAGAGCCTTCCCTCGATACCAATCTTCTCCTCTTGCACAGCCCCCATCACTGACCCTCGTCTCCAGACTCCGTCACTAATTACCTAGAAGTGCCCGAATTCAGGGCGATCCCTACGCCGGGATGCGGTGTCACATACACGATCTCCTCCGCGGAGCCTTTCTGATCCTATACAGTACCATACCAGTCCGAGCGTTCTCCTGGTCCAGCGGCGGCGACAAACTTGCCGAAGCTGGACGAAGAATAGACAGAGTCGCAGCGAACCCATCGGTCGGGATCCAGCCAACCTCGCGTCTGCCCAACATCTACGCCGTCGCCATGCAGGAGCTCCAGGAGCTGGAGTCGGAGCCTCTATGCCATCGTATTGCCGCACGTCTCCTCGTCAACAACTGTCAGCTGCTTGACGGTAAAGATGACGCCACCGTTCTCCTCGATAGCGGCAGACAGATCAGAGACTTCGTCGACTCATACGCTGCTAGTCTCGCCATCTGCGACCTCGAGAGGGGAAGCTTCGCTATTCCTGCGGACTGCAAGCCCTTCCGAGAGTCGACACTGGCCAGCATCCCCGACTCAAAGTTCCCTCAGCTTCATGTCTCCCCTCAGCAGATCGATTCTTGCTTGTCAGGTCTGGCCAGGTCGGATTCAGCATGGAACACATGGGTCAGCTACCGTCATAAAGCCTTGCGATTTTGCGAGGCTGCTCGCGCAGATAATGAAAAAGGTGAGTTTGTTCTTTTTTCGGGTTCCATGGCCGTTCTGACACGAGAATAGCTCAGAGCATTCGCCTGCACCAGCGCTTGACAGAAGTGCTTTCGAAGCTATCCGAGGGGGTCGAACGGGAGCTGGAGATGCATCTCCAGGCGATCAACACAAGAGCTACCGAAGCCACCGAACAACTACGCCGCATCATCCCCGACATTGATCAACTGCGGAACAGTCTGCGGGATATCGATCATACACTCTCCCATGAGATGATGCAATCAGCGCAGGTACGTTGTCATCACCACTTCCCTGCCAAAGAAATGTGCTGAAGTAAGAAGGCTTCCCGTCACGTTATGCAAGCGGGGTTCGAGGATGCCCAGAACTTGCAGCAGCTCTTGGCTGTTATCCTGAAGACAGCTTTGAGCAGCAATGCTGAAGTCGCAGCTTCGCATGACGTTGCGCTCACGACATTCAAAGATCGCGCCGAAAACGAGATTGGCGTTGTCATGGCGGCGCTTGCATCGGCTGCGTTGTCTTCTGCATCTCTCCAAAATATTATGGTAGGAGAGCCCAGCCTTCAAGGGAAGCCTTTGCTGACACTGACAGGAACAATCTCATCACCGGGTCATGGAGCTCGCTGGTCGACAAGAGAACCTAGAAAAGGTGAGCATGTATTCGTCATTTGGCATTTTTCGGGAGCTAACCTTTGAAGGGGATGGGCAAACTGGTTACCCTGACGGAGAACCTCTCATCAAAGTACGAGAGTCATACGGATCAATTGACGGAAGCGCAAGAAAAGTCAGAGAATCTCCTGGGTGCCTTGGACAAGATGGCAACTTCTGCATCTGACGTTCGCGGTTCCATGAAGAGTTCCTCAAGCTGGTTGAAATGGGTCCCATACCTCGTCTGTCCCACCGGCACCCTGCTCATGGGATCGTACGGTCTCCCTCCATCAGCTGCTCGCAATTTGATGCTCATCGGTATAGGTAAGCTATTGGGGCGTGCTGTCTCGGCGCATACTAATATCCTCCCAGGCGAAGTCGTTGGCGCTTTCGTCTCTCATATTGAAAAGTTCAAATTCTCTCCTCGCATCTGGGAGACTTACCAAGAAGACACGGCATCTTTTAACGAAATTAACGACACAATTTCTTTACTTGCAACCGAGAATGATTTAATCCGGAACTTTCCAAAAGATTTACGCAGATCTCGCCAGTGACAGCTCTTCAACGAGCTTCAGAGATTTCGACTTCGAACGAACCTGCATGGCATGAAAGCGTGGTATGGAGAATCTGATTCTTCGGTGTTATTGTCTTTTTTTTTCCTTCGCCTTTTTTTTTTCTCGTTTTCTCTTGTTCTTTGATTTTAGGAATTGCTGGCTGGGTTTCAGACTTTGATGGCGGTCCAGTGGTGGCATTATTTACGGAAAAACGACGGGGTTGCCTCTGACATCATTTCTCGCATATGGACTTAGCAACAGCCGCTTATTCGGGCACATCGCACAATCAATTGGCGTTCAATCATTCTCACCCATGCATAGTACTATTGATCGACGTGCCTTGTAACGCAGCGCAAGGCAGACAGCGGGGCAGTTCATGAGCAGTCGGCTTCCCAGTAGCTGGCTCATTCTCCTCACAAGCTGACCCCGAACTCTCGCCAAAGTTTGCTGTTATCTCCAACAGCCGGTTGTCTTACATCTGCGGGATTAATTGAAGACGAGACGAACATGGTCACGATGCCGAACAAGGTCAAGATTGCCCTCATACAGATGCATCCAAAGGTCAGGACTCCCTAGAATGGGCCCCCGCCTCACACGGGTATCTCCCTTTTCTGGCCGTCTTCTCATACCCCTCCCCTTGCGCGCCACGTTGCGCGTGGTGAGAAGCTAGCTAGCCTTGGATTGAACAAGGTTCTGACGAGCATCGCAGGCCGTTGCGCCGGAAGAGAACTTTCGCAAAGCAGAGTCGTATATACGCTCCGCCGCCTCGCAGGGCTGTTCCCTCGCCGTCCTGCCAGAGTACCATCTCACATCCTGGATACCGGAGCACCCCGACTTCGTGTCGAGCTGCGAGCGGTCGGGCGCATATCTGGGCAGGTATCAGGCCCTGGCCAAGGAGCTCGGCATATCCATCGTCCCCGGCACCATCGTGGAGCCGGAGGGCGAAGGCGACGACCTAGACCTCATCAACGTGGCTTATTTCGTCGGCCCGGACGGCCGTGTGCTCGGGCGGTACGAGAAGAAGAACCTCTGGCACAACGAGCGGCCGCACCTCACCAAGGGCCCGCAGCCGCACGGGGCCTTCGACACGCCGCTCGGCCGGGCCGGGCTGCTCGTCTGCTGGGACCTGGCGTTCCCCGAGGCGTTCCGGGAGCTGATCCGCGACGGCGCGAGGATCATCGTGTGCCCCGCGTTCTGGATGGCGGACGAGTACAAGCGCGCCGGGTCCGGGGAGGTGGTGAACCGGGACTCGGAGAAGGTGTTCCTGGAGAACGTGGTCGTGGCGAGGGCGTTTGAGAACACGGCCGCCATCGTGCTGGTGAACGCGGGAGGGCCTAAGGGAGGGATCGAGAAGAGGCAGGACGGGGGGAGGTTGAGGTATTGCGGCGTCAGCCAGGTTGCTATGCCGCTGGTAGGATCGCTTGGGAAGCTGGGCGCCGAGGAGGACATGAGCGTTGTCGAAGTTGATCTGGGCTTGTTGGATGTTGCCGAGGGCGCTTACAAGGTCCGGGAGGACATGAGGAAGGAGGGCTGGCATTACGGGTATTCCATCATCAAGGAGTAGTAGAGACGGCTGCTTTCGAAAAAGGAAGAGGAGGGTAATGCCGATAGAGACTCACGAGACGGAAGGGGACACAGGTTACTTCCAATAATGTTCAATTCGCATCCTGGGTATCATGCCACTTGCTAATGAGAAGTCCGACCGGCCCGTGCTAGAAAAGTTCACATTCCAAGATTCCTCAGACCCCCGTTGGCTTCGCTCATGTAGCTAAGAAAATCCCTCCTCTCCTCGATGCGACGTGATGTGTGCTTCCGTACGAGGAAGTCCCAGTACCTCTTCTGCTTGGCCTTGTCAGCAGCGTCCACCGGTTTGCGGTCCACGCGCTGCAGCCGCTTATCATCCGAATCTGTCCAGACGCCCTCCCAGTCTTTGGGTGGCGAGTCTTCCTTCCTCGTGCGCATGTGCTTCAGAACGGCGCTGGCTAACGGCATGCAAATGGACGTCGACATGAGGGCCTTGATGATGTTCTCGCGAGGGTAGCCGAAGTCCCGGTAGGTTTGGATGAATTCGTTAATTTCGGCAATTTTTTCCTTCCCTTGTGACTCGGCTTGTTCATTGTTGTCAACCTCCTCCTGGTAAGGATCATACACATTGTCATCTCCGTCTACAGGTGGTGGTGTGTGTGTCGGGGCTACTCTCGTTTGGGGGGAGAAGGGGATGGGATCGCTTGCCGCAACATCGTTGAATAGTTGCTGAGATGGGGAGATGTCGAACTCGTCATTTTCTTGAGACGCTGCCTGTCCTGCGTTCCCGGCGACTTCGTTGTCAAAACCAAAGTCTTGTGTTTCCGGCTCCTGACGGGAACTTCCACTGACTTTCCGAGCCTGAGGCTTGGATCTTTCCGCGGCCACATGGGTTTTAAGTGTCTTCTTCGTACTGAGCGACGGGCTGACGCCAAGCCCACCGAAGCTGGCGATGCCGAGCCTCTCCTCGGGTGTCGAAGGTATTTCATCATGGCGGGAGCGTTTTTTCCGCTTATTTGGTGTCGAAAATGACGTCTCGACGGCCGGTCTTTTCCTGGAAGTTGAAGGTCTGTCGCTTGGAAGAGAAATGTGGACCTCGTCGTCTGATCTCACATCGACTTCCTCGTCTGCCTCTAGTAGACGTTCGTCTCCCGGCTGTCCTTGTACTTCAGACCCTGCCTCATCCGATGACCCGGAATCGTCGTTATCGTCGTCGGGGCTCAACGTGGAGAAGAATCCAACATACGTGTTGAAGCATTCCTGGAGCGCCCCGGATTCTTTAGGGGAAAGGCCCAGTTCGACCGCCACCTCGTCCCAGTCAGTTTCAATGCCTCCCCGATCAAAGCCGTTTTGAACAGTCCTTCGGAGGAGCCACAGATCAACAGGTCGGTCGGAGATTGAAGGCTCAGTATTGAGATCCGGTTCGACAACCGTCTTGTAGTAATTGAGTCTGTCGTAAAAATCCGCCCTCGTAACCTCTTGAGACTCTCCGTCGTCGTCGTCTGCGTCGTCACTCTCGTCGCTATGACCACCCTGAACATCTTCTTCATGGGCCGTCATATTCTGGCGTTCGGCGGATACTTTTTCTGTTACTGCAGTCGATGGCTCGTGGATCTCCTCCGCTCTATCGACAAAGGCGCCAGCTGCTCCCGTGCCTGTCCCATTCGGGCGAGATGCAGCAGCGTGATTGGGGCTACGCTGAATAGAGCTGTTCTCGACAGATGGACGTGGAGGAGGGGATTTGCTATGGGCATGCCCACTTCTAAGCTGCGGCCCAACCTCTGACCAGTGAGTTTTCCAATCTTGCCAGGAGTGACCCGGGTGCTGTCGCGCATTAGCAAGACCCTTATGCGCACAATCAAGCATGGTCTACGAACCTGTTTTGCCAGTTCTTGGAAGAATTTGATGTTCAGTCTCCTACCGCTCTCCTCCAGCTCCAAGACCTCGCGGACCAGCACCTTGTCATCTTTTTCGGAGAATTCTCTTCTTTGCGCCAGGTGCGACTGCGGTCGAGAAACCGACGCGCTCGGTACTGATGCTGCCTGAGAATCCACAGAAGCTTTTGGTACCTTTGCCTGCGGACTTGAAACGACAGATGGGTTGCCGATCGCAGGCTGAGCACTCGGTTGGGCGCTTTTCCTGGACCGAGGCGTACTTGAGGAGGCTGTTGGCACTTTGCTGTCAGGAGCCAAACCTGCCAATTTTCGGATGTTTTCTTCCGGCAGCTTGCTCAATTTACTGACCCAACGGTCTCTCCACGACTGCCACGTATGACGGTTATTCTATGCGGTGTCAGCACTGCCTGAAGATGGAGTCCAAGGGGAACTGACGATTTGCTCGAGTTGCTGATAAATGGCATTTCCGCTAATATTGGTACGCGAAAGCACCCACTGGGCAAGAACGGCATCATCGGCGTTCGTATAGGGAGTCCGCGTCGCCTTCGCAGGCTTGGACAATCCGGTAACGCGATTGGTCATGGGCGACTGATTGATTTCGTACTTGTCTTCTTCCTGGATAGCGCCATGTTTGATGGAATCCTCGATGAACTGATAGGAGAGTGCACCAGGAGGACAGTCTTTCCTGAGGTGATCCGCAATCACGAAATCGGCCCTCTTTTCCAACGTTTCCATTTTGCCGCCATTTTGCTGCTACCGTGAGCCTCTGAGCGCCGCCAAGAGTCAGCCAGTCGAGCTTACCGTGATCAATTGTAAGAGCCTATGCCTGTCCGGCACGCGTTGCGCAACCCAAAACTTCTTACCTCGAAAAAGTGTGCCTTGAGCGCCTGGCACTCCATCATAAACGATGGCGGCCGACATTTTCAGGTCCAAGAAATTAGATGCGCGTTGTACCGACAAGCCGTCTGGTAAATGATCCACACTCAGGCGCCCTTCTTAGTATAGGTCAAGGGAAAAAGTAGTTGACTTGCGTCGCCGAAATGAGTTGCGACGACGAGTAGGTTGATGGTTGAGGATGTAACGGCCGTGTAATGTTAGCCCTGGCGACGTTGAGTTGAAGTGGATTTGCTCTCAAAGGGGCGCCGGGGCTCTTAGGCCTTGTCAAAGCACTAGACTCAACGGGAATGTACTGAAAATCCGATGTAAGCTGAGGACGGTGGGTTATCTGGGATTGCTTTGTCGTCCATTGTCCTCTGCCGAGTGTGTTGTTTGTATTGAGTGGAAGTGACGCGTGACTACTAAGAAGGTGGGCGTCGCGTGCTTTGGTAGTAGGTGCTTGGGGGGCATGCTCACAATCCTCAGTGGCTCCTCTTTGGATTTATGCATCTAAAGCGGATTATTCTTCTAAAGCACAATCCAAGGCATCAGGACGCTTTGACCTTCGCGGACCGCTACAGCGATACCTTAAGGTAGAACCCAACTCCAGATGGACAAGTCTTCCTAACTCGAACCTTCCAAATGCTCTTCTCAGAATGCTTCTCGTTCTCGGGCCACGCATCTGAGTAGAGAGCGCGTCAAACCGCTCAGACGTGTGTCTCGCATCGTTCGGCTCATTATCCGGGGCTAGTTCTTAGGCGAGGTTGTGGGTCCTGGCTGACGGGCCTACCTCCTAAGTCGCTAACAGCAAAGGGTGAATCCCGCGCCGAAACTGTTACTGGCCCGTAAGGTACCGCGCGACGCTCAACCTCTACCTCAACTGCGGTGCATATCTCACGGAGCATTGCTAGAAAATCGGCGGTTTCATCGGATTCCTTCACTTCAAAGAATGCGTTTTAACAGTTGACGACAGACTCGGGCAACATGGGACTCCTTGCGAAGGTGGCACTTTTCGTGCTGGCCATCTCCTTCACCGTGTTTGTAGCCTTCTTTGGCAGACTCCCGGCTCTGAGGTGAGGCGTCATCAACTCCGTCAGCAGGCTGGAAGCACCGGGATTGCGGACGTCGTATTTCGATGAACCTTTGGCTAAAGCTTCACAGGCATACGCCCATTGCAACATTGCACCGGATTATGTGGATCCATATTCCGAATAGCTTCTTAGCCCTCGACAGACTGTTGACCGGAGGGAGGTTCTCGAGCTCCATGCTGCGTTTTGGAAACTACATGCTGCATGATCGCCACCCGACTGTTGTTGTAAGTTCAGCCTCAAGCTGCCGCCGCAATGGTGAGAAGAACTCGTCCTGACAACAACAAGATCTTTTTCCTACTCATACTCTCCGTCTCGGAGTACCTATATCTTCCTGGCGCATGGCCACAGCTTGGGCTATTCCATAAAGTTGCCGGCTGTACCAGCATCTTCCTACCTTACTTCTTTCTTTACAAGTCGGTGATGGCCGATCCGGGTTACATCACGCATGAGAACCATTCTTACTACATGTCGCTTTACCCGTACGACTACTCCATCTTCTTTCCAGGTCAAAAGTGTAGCACCTGCGGCTTTCTTAAACCGCCCCGGTCCAAACACTGCAGCATCTGCAAGCGTTGCGTGGCAAAGCTCGACCACCACTGCATATTCATCAACGGCTGCGTGGGCTATAAGAATCAACACTACTTCATACTTCTCCTCGTATCCACGGCACTCCTCTGCTCATACGGCGCCCTGCTCGGGTTCTCTCTCCTGACCACCAAGATTGCAGGCGAGTATCCCAACTGGACTATTTGGCCGCCAAAGGATATGACCATCAAAGAGTACCTGCTCATATGGAACTGGGCGCTCGTGGACAACAACGTCGGCATGGGGGCAGTCACGCTTTTGGCCGCCATGACTTCACCTCTGGTATGGGGTCTGCTGGGCTACACCTTGTGGCTTGTCTATACCGGTACCACGACCAACGAGTCGCTGAAGTGGTCCGATTGGAAGGCCGAAATGGACGACGGCTGCGCATTCAAGCGCAGGATGCCCGACGATCGTCTGAAAGACACGCGCTTCGAGCCCCAGCGGACGCGTTGGCCGCTCGACACCCAGCAAGTCCTGGCGAGGACGGACGACGGCATGTCTCCTCCCTCGAATGGGCCTGGAGAAGGGGAATGGGAGCGCGTATGGCATCTGAAGGATGTTGAGAATCTGTATGATCTAGGGCTGTGGGATAATCTGGCGGATATCTTTGTGCCGAACTACAACTTCAACGTCAGGAGGGATCAGCCGTCCGTTGAGGCTGTTGGACGGCAAAGACATGCGCCGAAAGCATCACCTATCTAGAAATCGATCAGTACCGTAGAGGGACTGGGTAACATTTTTGTATGATTCATCGGCGCCAGGTGCTGGTTCGGTCACGTCTATCGCACGACAGTGCTGTCTTGAAGGGTAGAGATGGAGGAATATGGCCTCTCTTTGCAGAGGAATCAGATGATATGGAGTTAGCAGTGGGAAATAAAATTTGTCTTCTTCATTTCGACGTGTCTCATCTAATTCGTTCCAAAGCCGCTAAACCAGCACACCAAGAGCCACTAGGTGCTGATATCTCCTGAGTGTCTCTCTAGCTTGCTTTCGACCTCCTCGCACCGCTCAGCTATGTCGAAGCAACTAATAAAAGCATCGCATTCTGCTGAGTCAGACTCCTTTCTGAGATTTGTCGAGCACTGTCTAGCTCTCCGTTTCAGGAAAGCAAATCTACAAAATAGTACCGAAACTGATCCAACAGTTAGCAGTCCGCTTGGGAGGAGAAGACCAAGAGAGCTTACCCGAAAGTGCGCTTGATGCTGTTGACGTAGTACTCCTGCCAGTTACGCTTCGTGGCATCCTCCTCACCAACAGGGACGCCGTCCCAGTTGACGCGCATCAGCGTCACGTGGTCGACATCGTTCTGGTCGAACTCGATGCTCAGCTTGGAGAAGTGACCCTCCGGCCACTGCTTCAAGCGCCAGCTCTGAACGATCTTCTTGGGGGCATCGAGCTCAAGGTACTCGCCGCTGACGTTTCCGTCAAACAGCTCGAACTTGGCGCCCTTGATGGCTCCCTGGAAGACCTTGGGAGGAGCACGAGTGAAGGCGGCAATGCGGGCGGGGTCCACAAAAGTCTGGTATGCTTCCTCCGCGGTCGTGCGGAACTCGGCCGTGTCCGTCAGGGTGCAGGTGTTGACGACCTTGCCGCTGCTGTTCTTGACGCTCGTGGCCTCGGCAGACTTGGAAGCCGAGCCCTGCGCGTGGTACTTGGGTGTGGAGAAGCCGCTCGACGGGTTAGAGCCCGGGGCGTGCTGGATGTCCTTGCCGTGCTCGGCAATCAAAGCGCCGGGGAGCTTCAGGAACTCCTTGCGCAGCTGAGGAACGAGCTTAGAGCGGACGAGGTCCTTGACGGGCTGCTTCTCCTTGGACTCGGAGTAAATGTCGATATCGAACTGCAGGGATTGCTTAGTTATGGAGTCGTCGGTTGTCAGAGATTTCACGCAAGACCCACCACAAACTCGTCCTCCTCGGTATCGTGGGCGACCTCGGGAACAGTGATGGTGCCAGAGACCTCAGCCTCGTCAGAGGTGGTGCCTGCACATCGGTTAGCCAGGCTCGGTCAGACATTTCACACGGAGAGTGCAGCGATGGGCGACATTGAGGAACGTTTACAGGGAAATCAGAGTGCTTGCATTGAGGTAGGTACCTACCGGAGTATTCTAGTACGATCTTTACATCGTAAATGGTGATGACCTTGCCCTTCCTCTGGCTGACGTCGACGTCGCCATCCATACTCACAACCTTGCTAATCTTTGCCGTGACACCGCCATCTGTCGACTCAACCTTTGTCAAGCTCTCCTCGAGGTATTGCTTGGCCCAGGCCGAAGCATCCTTGTTGACCCAGTGCCAGTTATTGGGGTTGTGGAGGACCATCTTGTCGGCGGTGACTCGGTTCTGATTTCAGGCTGCGAGGAGGAAAACGTGTGACTGATGAATCCAATGGCTGGTTAGCAAAAGGATCGAGTTTCGGAGTAAGGCGCAGGAGGTGCAAAGAAGATGAAGGTTTCTCCGTGTGTCAGGAAATGGTCGTAGACCGCAGCGTTTGTCATCAAAGATGGGAGTACAAAATCACTCTATGACTGGTGCCAGCTGGCGTATCATCATATAGGAGAGAGAAGGAATTGGAAGGTGCGCGGGGTAGATAAAGGGTAGGGGATTCTTACCTCAGTGTGGATTGGCGCGTTGGGTTGTCATGTCAAAGGAATCTTGCGGAATGGAAAAGAGAAAGAAGATAGAAGTAAAGCTGAGCGCGGGACTTTGAGAGAAAGCTCTAGAATTTTGACGGTAAATCGTCGGCCATTTGGTTTGGCCGCCTTGCGGATTGCGGGACTGAGGTGGTGCCCTGGCATTGGATGGACCCCGCCTGGTCTGTGCTTTAAGCTGGTGAAGCTCCTACCTACACCCAGGTACGCGGCAGGCGCCTTCGACTTCGCAAGATGAACTACTAACGAGACAACCTGTTGCACATACCGCACGATTGTGGCCTTTTATTTTTGGCGTTACTTAATTAGAGCCTGATGAGATAGATATCTATAGTCTCTGGAGTTTCTCTTGATCTGTATTTCTCTGCTTGAACGGCAGCGTCGCCTGAATGCTGTGCGACATAATCGTTTCTTTTTCCTACCTACCTTACTCTTCTACTGTCCACCACTGTTTCAATTTCCAGTACTATTATCGGCAGGAAACAAGCAGAGCAACCAGTCAGAGACTCCGCATCTTCTTCAGCCTTGCCACGAGGTTCTATTTGGAGACCGGCCTCTACGGGGACCAGTTCAACGAGGAAATAGGCATGACGAGCCATACTGCGCGGACCAGAGCCCGGCTACCGTGGGTTCCGGACAATTTTTAACATATTGTTGATGCTACCTTTATGCTTCTTGCATCGACCTGGCTTTACGTGAAACGGCAGGCGTGCAGGACAGCTGCAGTCAATATCAACAGCTTCTAATTTGTGTTCTGGAAGCCGGAGGTGATTCCTCCCGTCGGCCACCGTCCGGTCCGCTTACCACCCTGGTCTTCTTGCGGACAGGGTCCAACTGTTGATAGTATCGAGACAGGGCACTCGTCATTGCATTTGCGCGATGTCACTGCAACGAGGGAGAGGTTCGGATACAACAACGGAGTTGTTGTCTCGATGAAACCCGTGGGATGATCAGCTGCAGCGCTGCCGATGCCGCCAGTGCCACTGAGATCAGAATAAGGTGCTGATGATCTGTGTCGACGGGCGGAAACTAGATTGACGCCGGAGTTGATGTTGTCCTCGGCCACCGAGCATCATCCTACTTGAGTAAACTCTGCGGTAGAGATTCCCGAGATCTTGCCCCAAAAATCAGCGCCGGTCTGATATTATTAAGAAGTTATCTCCGCCTGTTCGTTCCGACAAGGATACATTTTACGTTAGGTCTTCGACATTCTAACTTTGACAACTCCGCAAGTGATCAGCGTGGGTATGGATGCTTGTATTGTGCCCGACTTCACTTCAACTTCCTTACCAGCCCCCGACATTCAATGCGATACCAACGTGGTAATGGAGTCGGTGAAGACGGCATCCGAGGCCGTGTTACTCGTGAGAACGAAAGCTTTGCCAGACGCTAATGCGTGCCTTTTCTTCCTAGCATTTCACGGATCGAATCAGACGCCCAGAACAGACGGGGCAAGAAAACCACGACCGAAGAGTCTGGGATAGGTTGAAAGATTTAAGCGCCGACAACACCTCTTCACAGCGCCATCGTCCAATCACAACCCCGACACGGTTTTCCCAACCGACCGGGGTCTTGAGAGGAATCCAAGAATAGAGTCACCTACCACAACATAGAGAACCAATCGTCTTCTCCTGCCATCACCATCTCCAGTGCTCCACGAGTCTCTTTCTCTTGGCCCCATCAAAAAGACAGGCCACTTTGGGTCGGACCCTGGCCCGATGCTCACTCCCATTTCCTCTTCTTGCGCGGTGGCAGGCCGCTAGGGGATTTCGTCAATGCATTTCGCACTCTCCCGCCTCGCTGTTGGTGATTGATGCTGGAGTCTTCGCAGCTCGAAACCCCCCCCCCCCCAGGCTTTGCTCTTTGCGGTGTGCTGCTTCGGCTGACGAGAAAGACATTTGGCAGTAGCCGTACGACGCCAATCCGGAGGGAAAAGAAACCCTGAGACTGCGAGGAACGAGCCGAGAGTCAGGAGCAACGCAGTCTCGTCCCGGCACTGCGTCTCTTTCATGCAGTAGCAACCACATCGCCCTTGCACATTCTCAATCCCACCTCATCTTATGCGTTCTCTCAAACTTCGCAAGAAGATCGCAGAGATTGGGCGTACAATCTGCTCCCCTGTTCTCTACCGTCTTTCGCAGTGAGGTATATGTTGCCCTATCACATCAAAGCCGAGAACGAGCAAGCAGTTCGTCGCAATCGAGTTCTGTTTGCTCCATCAACCAACGTATCGCCGAGTGGTGACAACCACCTTAGTCCGGACTATCAGATCCACCACCACGCTTCTGCCCCGGGTCCCGACTGCTATTCTTGTCCTCCCTTGGTGCTATTACCGGGAGCCCGCTCTAGCGTGAGCGAGCTCTCTCCTCTCCCCTCTCCGCTCGTCCAACGTCTTCAACCCACCATCCAAGAACTGGGTGCACAGGGGTACTTCTTGTCGGTGGCCGATCAAGTGGGATGCATCGTCCCCGGCACCCTCCTGTACGCATGTGGCATGTACGCTGTATGCAGGAGGTTGACTATGCTGCAGCAGACCCGGTCTAGCCTTAGACGTCTCTTTTATCTTCTGCATCCTCCCACCAAATTTCATACCCTCTGCCTCAGCCGCGTCCTCCCACTCCCAGGTGTGACACGACCTCACCTACCGGCTGCTTGTCCGCCCTCTCGGTTGCGCGGTGTGTTGCTCGACATGAGATTGTGTTCTGATCCATCGAGTTGAATGGGACGGTAAAGAGTGAGAAGAGAGCAACAAGGTTGTCAAGTTGCTGGCTTGGGTCGTCTTCATACCGACCAGGAACCCAGCTGCCTCACCTTCTTGCATACTTCCGGCGCTCCTTCAATCTTTCTCACAACTCCCGGCGCTACTCGAGTTGCTCAGCATTGCAATTCTCGCTGACAATGAGTAACCCTCGCGATCCTACCCGGATGCGACAGGGTCTTAACCCATTGTTGACGCAGTCTTTGGGTCCCTATCACAGCCAGATCAACACACCTCTGTCTGGCGTGTCGTCGACGACGCACCTCAACTCGGCTCACACGCCTGCGAGCTCGATTCAACCTTATAACCCGCAAGAATGGATCGCCTCGCCTGCTGCCACTAGTGAACAGACCCGCCAGTATCCCGAACAAAGTAAAGCTCTCATCATCACCTCACTTGGGGTTCATGTTACTAATTGGTTTCCATAGGATCACCGCTACCTCCGCCTCCTTACAGCCCACCGCGGAGTCAACGACCCCAGAGCGGCGTCTTCGAGTCCTCACCAGCAGCCAACACTTCGGCAGCTCGCAACCCCCCTTCGAATCTTCACAGGCCTTCTCCCGAGCCTTCCACCAACACATCGTTTCCTCCACCTCCGGGAACACGGACAAGCTCCCGTGAAAGACGATTTGGTTTCCACTCACTGAGGAGGAACAGGGAGCACCACGATTCAAGTCCGCCCGAGCCAGTACCGCCAGTCCCATCATTGGCACGACCGACACCTCTTCAAATCCAGATCCCGCATCCACTGCCGCAACGGAACGATTCAGGATCCTCTCAGCCGCCTGGCGCTCGACGAGCTGCCTCCGCTAGCGCGGTTGAGACACCGACGTCTGCCCGCTCGCGCTCAGCGTCACAAACTAGATGGGAGCCCGGTATGCCGCTTCCGCCTCCGCCCGCGGGCCCGCCGCCGGCTTCTTCCCGGTCACAAAGCCTTCAAAGCCTGAACAGGACGAGTACGCCCATGGCATCACCGCCAACGAGGCGGCCACCGCCCAGCGGCGTAACGGCTCTGGGACCAGTCCCTCCAACCCCAGCTAATTGGGTTGATCAACCTCAAACGCCTGCTCGCCCTCCCCCGAGCAGAGGCTCCCCAGGCCTGACAATCGACACCGCGAGTGCTGCAAGCTCTGTACAAACTGGAGAGTCGAGCAACTCTGCCGCATTGAGCTCTGGAGGTAGTCTCAGTCGTGCCAGAGCAGTTCGTCATGACAAGACTATCGTTCAACGCCGTGCAGAAAGCCGCAACAGATATAGCATGCATCACAACTCAATAGACGGAACTATCAATCCAGTTCAGCTCAGCGACATCGTAGTACCGAATGAGAACACTCTCTCCAGAAGGTTGACGATCAACAAGTCGACGCCAAGAAGCGGAGGTCGCAATGCAGACGATACGCCGAAGACTGATGAGGCTTCGACAACTCCAAGGGCAAGTGGCTCGGCTCAGCGTCCTCGCATCGAAGCCGCTACACCGCCCTTCACACCTCATCCGAACAAAACCACGTCGATGGTGGAAGGTTCGCCGAGCGTAGTACCAAAGGCGCTGCCGACGCCACCACCCCAGACACGTTCCGCATCCAGCTCTCAGACGAGATTCAGGTCTATGACGCCTGCTGCAGACGGGCCTTCGTCGGCCTCTGTGTCAAGCACGAAGCATGCCGTGATTACACAGACGGCAGACCAATTCTGCCACGAGACGATTGAGAGATTCCAGGCCTTCGCAGTCAAGGAGTCGACAGCAGTAACCGATGCTGACCGAGTGCGACTGTTTGCCGACTTCATTGTCAACGAGTCTAGAATCAGACGCGAGAGATACTCCTCAGCCATCGGTGCTATGGGTTCAGAGATCTTTGACCTTACCAGAGACCTTTTCCGTCCCATGATCACGAGGCGGGAGTCTGGGGCTTCTCAGGCTGAATGGACGCCGCAATCCTCTGAGCCGACCCGATCTCACCGCGGCTCGTTGAACTCCATTTACCGCGAAACACCGGGAGAATCCAGTTCTGCTCCGGCCTCCGCCTCGGCGAATATCCCAATCTCGCCCGTCGGTCCCCCGCCAAACAACGCAACCTGGAACTCCAACTACATGCCATCGCTGTCTCCGATTCTGAGTATGAGCGTGAGCGACAAGATTGACGAAGCCGATTCTCGTGGCCGCCCATCCAGCAGATGGTGGGAGGCCGATTCCTCTGGCACAGGAGGCAAGCTGATCGAGAGATCCAAGCGAGAATCCAAATATATGGGTGTACCGAAGGAAGCACGAGAAGCACTCCAGTGGACGGACAGCCCGCAGCCACTTGACAATTCCAGTGCTGGTCGATCCTCGAGCGAGTATCCTCCAGAGAAGACTGGGTGGCATGAGCCAGATTCAGCATCGACACCACAGCAACTACGATATTCTGCGCAATCTCTTGCGTCGTCGGGTTCGCCGACGACACCAAACCCAGCACACTTGGATGTTTCTCGACTGGTGACTCTGCCGCCCCCATATCCTCGCCACCATCCAGCCGTTAACAACAACCACCCGGAACTCACCGAGACGAGGACGGCTGTGCGCCAGCTCAGTGACCTATCGGAAATCGAGGCTGCTAAGGACCGGTTCCAAGTCACTAGCAACAAGAAGAGAGAAGAGGCATCTAAGGCTGCTGCCGAGCGACGACAAGCCCTGAGGACCAATCTCCAACAAGAAGTGAATGTTGGCAATATGACGTTTGCAGAGGCATCAGCCATCGAACAGGACTCCATCGCAGCCGAAAAGAACACTCTCAAGGAGCTCGGGAGGACCGAATTCGAGCAGTTCCAGGCGCAGGTCGTGATGCCCCTGAACGACCTCGTCACCGGACGCATCACCAAAGCCACGGCTCTTTTCGACAAGCTAGCAAGCGGTCTTTTCGACGATGTCTCTAGCGCGGCAGATATGCCTCAAGAGGAGGGCGATGACAAGCCCGAGCTCCTTGAGAAGCTGACTCTTCTGAAATGGATCTTTGAAGCAAGGGAGATGCTGCACAGGGCGATTTATGACATCCTCACCGACCGCAACAACCGCTACCGGGAGGTCGTCCTGACTCCATACCGGCTGGCTGGCAACCAGGAGAAGCTCCAAAACGCCGAAGGCTTCTTCGCCGAGGATGCCGCGAAGCGTCAGTTAGCGTTCGCTCACGAGGTGTTCACGCGTACTCAGGAGTTCCAAACCGTCGTCGAACAGAACGTCATGCGCGGCGTCGAGGTGCAGCTCTCCGCTTTCTGGGACATTGCGCCGCCGCTGCGACGGCTTCTGGAGAAGATCCCGCCGGTCCTGGATAGCTTCAACATCCAGATACCGACGGCCGAGTATGAGGAGAACCCTTCGTACCGCGCGCATCCGTTGCAGTATCTCTTCAGCCTGCTTCTCCACACAGAGAAGAGCACGTACCAGTTTATCGAGTCGCAGACCAACCTGCTCTGCCTTCTTCACGAGGTTAAGGAGGCCGTGACGCACGCTAAAGCCAAGGTTGTTCAGAGCCAGGGCGAGGACGGAGAGGGACGGGAGTACAGCCCCGAGGAACGCGAAGCGCGAGCGCAGCATCTGCGCCAGGAGGAAGGACAGATGCTGACGGATGATTTGAAGGAGAAGGTGCGCGTTGTTCAAGACCAGTGGCATAGTGCCCTGGGCGAGAACATCAAGAACGTGAAGCAGGTGCTGGGAGAACACCTCCTGCAAACGGGAGGTTGGGACGAGACATTGGAAGAGGGTGGCGTGGGAAGCGTCTAACCCATAACAGTCGCGAGACTTGATGATGGATCATGATTATTGTTATTACAACTTCAAAGACGTTGATACCCCTTTGCGTATGAAACGACCTTTTTATTAGCTTTCTTGTACATAGTTGAGAGCACTGGTTATCTGATGAGGATTTGGGATGACAAGAAATGCTACGAGGAACCGAATTTCCTTATTACAATTTCAAACTTCTTAATTCGATCCGGGAAGTGACAGCATTTTATGGCTCCTCGTTGTATCCCTCGGCCGCCCACATTTACGAGAGAGCAAGCTCTAAATGATGTTCTGACCCCAACGCCGCCATGTGTATTATACAAGTCCATCATGTACAAGCCTCAACTCCTTCATTGAGTCGTTTCTGGAGTCTGAGACAGTCGTCTCTTTTTGGTGGTGGGTTTCCTTCGATATCGTATCCCGTATCGAGACCGTGCGCCGCAGTCTTTGCATGTTCTTTTGATCGAATGCACTCCGTGTATGATCTCGCTTCTAGTCGCACTTATTGGTTTGGTCGTTTCGCCGAGTACGTCCGGCCTCTTTATTTCTTATCCAGGCGGTTCTTGAACTCGACAGGCAAGTCCATGCCGACCCTCCTGGCGGTGAGTCGCACGCGCTCTTCCTCGTCCATGTTCATGCCTGGGTTGTACCGCTCCAGGAGGGTGACGTAGGTGCGCTGGGCGCGGAGGTAGGCGGCGAACTGCTCGGCCTCGGCGGCATCGGTGTCGGGTCGCGGGTTGGTGGCCGCGGCGAAGCTGCCGCGGAGGCGGCTGTGGAGAGAGGAGCGTTCGCGGGCGAGGACGGGACGCGGCGGCAGCTCGCGCAGGAGAGAGCGGTAGATGGAGCGGAGGCGCGGTGCGGTGGTCATTGTGGGTGGGTGAGGCCGATCGAGTGTGTGTGGGTGGCGTTGGTGATGTTGGCGATAACGATACGGCTGGGAAATTTTTTGGAGTTCGCGACGACAGTTGGAGATGCGAGGTCGGGTGCCTGTGGCTGCTGTACCCTGGCGGAATTGGCAGTCATCTCAGGTGCTAACAACGTTGTGGCTGTCCTCTGCAGCATGCCAGAGACAGCCCCCAAGTGGAGGTTGGTCCCCGCACCGGCACCGGGAGGAGCTGTGAGTGAGGTGGGCACGGATGGAGGGGTTTTCTCGCTGCAGCAGAGACGACCCCTCCCTCGAGAACATTGAGAGCTCCAACACATCTACAAGCTACCACCAATTCCTCTCCGAGTCAGGCTTTTTCGCATCCACCAAGTGGAGGACCACACGGAAGAAATTGCATCTTGCTCTGTTTCTGATAGGATACATCGAGAAATACAAGCTCAGGCCGCGGCTCGAGTGCAGATTTGTTCATCGTGCGCCCACAATTGCCATCCCGGAAAGCCCACCGACGATACACTCGCATGACGTATCAGCCGGGCCAGCAAGCTGTTTGTCACAATTGACGTCCAACCAACCGGTCCAAACGTTCGCACAGTAGAGTTCCATGCCCCTCAACAAGGCCGAGCCACAAAACATCAGACAGAATCCCCGTCGTCGTCTCCCGTCTATATCCTTCCTCTTCCTCCTTTCCTCCATCATCGTCGTGACCCTGGCTATCCTGTCTTTACGAGCCTTCCCACGGCTCTCCCTCCTCTCGAACCACTTCGCCCCGCGAGCCTACTTCTTCTCGACAAACACAAACGTACACAATAAGAACCCCTACACCGCCATGTCCTCGTACGCCAAGGAGCTCGAGGTCGCCCAGCTGGCCGTCCAGCGCGCCTCCATCCTCACCAAGCGCGTCTTCCACGAGAAGGCAAAGGGCACCGTCGACAAGAACGACAAGTCCCCCGTCACCATCGGCGACTTCGGCGCCCAGGCCCTCATCATCGCCGCTCTGCGCAAGCACTTCCCCGAGGACGAGATCGTCGCCGAGGAGGAGGCCGCTCAACTGCGCTCCGACGCCGGTCTGCGCGACCAGATCTGGAACCTCGTCCGGACCACCAAGCTCGACGATTCCCAGGCCGAGTCCCTCCTCGGCGGCCCCATCGAGTCCGCCGACAGCATGCTCGACCTCATCGACCGCGGCAACAGCAAGGGCGGCGCCACCGGCCGCATCTGGGCCATTGACCCCATCGACGGCACGAAGGGCTTCCTCCGCGGCGGCCAGTACGCCGTCTGCCTGGCCCTCATGGTCGACGGCGACGTCAAGGTCGGCGTCCTCGGCTGCCCCAACCTGCCCGTCGACGACAAGGCGCCCCTGACGGCCGACATTGGCTCCAACGCCTCCGACAACACGGGCTACGGCGTCATCTTCTCCGCCGTCCAGGGCCAGGGCGCCACCTCGCGGCCCCTGAAGACGGGCGCCATCGCCGACGGCGCTCCCATCTCCATGAAGCCCCTCACCGAGATGTCGGCCGCCACCTTCTGCGAGAGCGTCGAGGCCGGCCACAGCGCGCACGACGACCAGGCCCAGATCGCCGCCAAGCTCGGCATCACCAAGCCCAGCGTCCGCATGGACAGCCAGAGCAAATACGGCTCCATCGCCCGCGGCGCCGGCGACATCTACCTGCGTCTGCCCGTCAAGGCTACCTACCAGGAGAAGATCTGGGACCACGCGGCCGGCGACCTGATTGTGCGCGAGGCCGGTGGCCAGGTTACGGATATTCAGGGCAAGAGGCTCGACTTCTCCGTCGGCAGGACGTTGGCGAACAACAAGGGGGTCATCGCCGCCCCGGCGGCTGTGCACGGCGACGTTTTGAAGGTTGTCCAGGAGGTGTTGAGCCAAAAATCAAGCTAGATGGGGGCATAGATATCTTTTTGGTTTTCTCTTCGTGAACCGGCAAAATAAATAGTGTACAATGTGTCTTTCCCCAGTACAGTGATATACAGCTATACACAGCCCGCTGGCTCCTCTGTCGTCCGACACAGACCACCGTGGTTGAGACCGTGATAGTAACGCCAGTAGTACCACACAAACAGCCTCCACCCCCACCCACGCAACACCTGCCCACCGCTTATTTGATCTTCTTCTGCTTCAGCTTGATCGTCTGGTCGTTGATGAAGACGCCCTTGCCCTTGTACGGCTCAGGAGGCCGCCACTTCCTCACCCTCCCGGCGAAGCTCATGATCTCTTCTCGGTCGATGCCCTCGATCAGGATACGTGTCGGCGAGGCCGCGGTGACGTTGACGCCCTTGGGGATGCCCATCTCGATGGGGTGCGTGAAACCGAGCTTCAGGCAGAGGAACTTCTGGCCGGGGTACTCCTCCTTGCCGCTGCGCTGCTCGACCGAGGCACGGTAACCGATACCGACCAGACGGAGCAGCGCCGTGTGGCCTTCGGAAACGCCCATGATGTAGCGCTGGAGGTACGCCCATGTTGTGCCTGCGGAGGAAGTGCAAAATTAGTCCCGAGCTCATCTATGTGTGCAACGTGACTGCAAGGCAGTCAAGAGCAGGTGGTCCATCGTGAGAAGGAGACACCCCAGTGTACGCAAGAGGGACAACTCACCCCACATCTCGCGCTGTTCCTTGATATTTGAGTCCTCAACGGAGAGGATTGCTCTCTTTGCCTCAGCATCTTGCTCGATCTTCACAAACGGCTCAATCTCGAGATCCAAGTTGCCTGTGTACCCGAGAGGTCAGCATTTGCTTCCCTGGCTCCAAAGCTGTCCGAGGGTTTCAGCACGAACCGAGGGGTCCCTTCACGGAAACCGTTCTCTTGTAGACCTTAAGGTAGCTCGTCGGGTCTTTCTTCAGCTTGGGTTCGCCAACGAGGATCTCCACGCCGGGCGGAACCGAGAGCGGCGTCCGGCCGAGCTTCGAGGGTCGGATCGGTGTCGAGGAGAATTGTCGTCGGGGAAGAGGCTGGAGGGCCGGCACCAGGAAGGCCGGTATCGTCGTAGCTGGCGAGGAGGCCAAGGCCTGCCTCAATGCCGATCCTCTGCTGGGAGCAAGCATTGTGGTCGTAGGATGCCGAGCTACCTCCCAATGCGCGCGTGTGTGATGCTCGACTGATGGGATTGAGGACCTTCAGGAACTTTTCCACGCCTTAGTCAGCAAACGCAGATCCACATCATAGTCGTCTCTCCAATTGGCTCCAGTGGATTTGGGGGCACAACCGTCAATCGACCCAACGCGTTTCATTCGCAGTTGCACTTTTAACAGGAGTTTTCGCGGGGAGACGTCACAGAGAATTCGTGAATGAATTAATACTTTATGTAAACAAGCTTTTTGTACAGAGTGAACTCTGGTTGTTCGTACTCGATTGATACGTCAGGCGTACTACTAAGAGAGGTATATCTAGAAGCCCAATTTCCGGTGTAAACCAGAATCGCGAAGCGAAATTCCACCACTGATGGAGTACGTTGGCGGTGTTGAGGTCGTGGCACTAAGCCTTCGAGAATAAATGAGTGGGCTGCGCTTAGACCTCCTCCTCGAGGGGAGCCTCCTCCTCGTACTCCTCCTCCTCCTCATCAACACCAGCGTCCTGGTATTGCTGGTACTCGGAGACCAAGTCGTTCATGTTGGACTCAGCCTCAGTGAACTCCATCTCGTCCATACCCTCACCAGTGTACCAATGCAAGAAAGCCTTGCGACGGAACATAGCAGTGAACTGCTCACCGACACGCTTGAAGAGCTCCTGGATGGCGGTAGAGTTACCGACAAAGGTAGAGGACATCTTGAGGCCACGAGGAGGAATGGAGCAGAGAGCGGTCTGGACGTTGTTGGGGATCCACTCGACGAAGTAGGAAGAGTTCTTGTTCTGGACGTTGCGCATCTGGTCCTCGACATCCTTCATGGCGACCTTACCACGGCTAGAGAACGTTTCGTTAGCATTTGTTTCCAATCAAAAGATTTGGAAGTACGTACAAGATGGCAGAGCAAGTCAGGTAGCGACCGTTGCGGAAGTCAGAAGCAGCCATCATGTTCTTGGGGTCGAACATCTGCTGGGTGAGCTCGGGAACGCTGACGGCGCGGAAGGAGTGGGCGCCACGGCTGGTCAGGGGAGCAAAGCCGACCATGAAGAAGTGAAGACGAGGGAAGGGAACCATGTTCACAGCCAACTTGCGCAGGTCGGAGTTGAGCTGGCCGGGGAAACGCAGACAGGTGGTGACACCGGACATAACGGCGGAGACGAGATGGTTCAGGTCGCCGTAGGAGGGGTTGGAGAGCTTGAGGGTGCGCATGCAAATGTCGTAGAGAGCCTCGTTGTCAATGCAGAAGGTCTCGTCGGAGTTCTCAACCAGCTGGTGGACGGAGAGGGTGGCGTTGTAGGGCTCAACGACGGTGTCGGAAACCTTGGGAGAAGGCACGACGGAGAAGGTGGCCATCATGCGGTCGGGGAACTCCTCACGGATCTTGGAGATCAACAGAGTACCCATACCGGCACCGGTACCACCACCGAGGGAGTGGGTGATCTGGAAACCCTGGAGGCAGTCGCAGCCCTCAGCCTCGCGGCGGACGACATCGAGAACCTGGTCGACAAGCTCGGCTCCCTCAGTGTAGTGACCCTTGGCCCAGTTGTTGCCGGCACCGGACTGACCGAAAACGAAGTTGTCGGGACGGAAAAGCTGACCGAAAGGACCGGCGCGGACGGCGTCCATGGTACCGGGCTCCAAGTCGACGAGAACAGCACGGGGCACGTACTTGTTGCCGGAGGCCTGCGAAGGAGCGAAGGTCAGTATTCGTCAATATGTTTTTCTTGAACACTTGGGGTTTCTAGGATAACAAACTTCGTTGAAGTAGACGCTCATGCGCTCGAGCTGGAGCTCGGAAGTGCCGTTGTAGCTATTCAGAAGATTAGCGGTCAAGTCCCGACGTGGCCAGATGGGGAGTCGACCACATACACGCCATTGCTGTCGAGGCCGTGCTCGCCAGAGATGTTTTGCCTGTTCCATCGTCAATATTTCCATCCATGGAAGAGGTAGCGATATCGCCGGGTCGTCGGCAATCTGGTTACGCACCAGAAGGCAGCACCAATCTGGTTACCCTATTCAAGGAGTTAGCCCCGCAATTCCGGTCGTCGATTTGATACGGGAAGATACTTACGCACTGGCCGGTCTGAAGGTGAACCTGTAGAGAAAAAACAATCACGGTCAGCAAAGTCCTCCAAACCAGAGAGTTGGCGATCGAGGCGTGTTGTTGTCGGTGAGGTCCCGGTTGGGTGGAATGTCGGCGGGGTACGCTCAGGGGCAAGACCGATGGTCGTCCGACGCGTCGCAGATGTTGTTGTTGTGATGGAGGAGAGTACGACTTACGATCTCACGCATTTTGGATGATGTGAAGCACTTGGCTAACGAGACCGAGGATGAGCGATGGTGGTTGAGAGCTACACGCGAAGCTTCAAGGCGGACGTGGTCGAGTGGAGGTGGATGAGGTCGAGAGGATAGGTAGGGGAAGAGGTTGTTGATTTTTGTTTGCGGGTGGATGTGATTTTGTCCTCACCGCCACGGCTTGGACACCAGGCCAGCGAGGCCTGGCGCCTGAGCCTGGAGGGGGGGACGAAAGGAAGGGGTGCAGCTCGCTTGTTTACTATTGGGGCCCGTGCTCTCCCCAGATTGGGTATGGTCGCAGTGCAAGGCACCCGCCATCGACCAATTGACAGTGGGGTTGGCTCGAGTTGAGGTGGCAGCAGCGCTGCAGCGCCCAGCAATTGGCGGTCCTGACAGGTACGTACTCTTTGGTCCCTGTTTTTTGTTGTCTTTTTCTTTTATTCTTCTCCAATGTCTTCGTTTCTCTCCGATCCGAGACCCGGGGGGGCCACTGACCCAGCATGGAATCCTCACCTCATGAACTGAGGCATCAGACTTCCCGCTTTTCGAGGATCACTCTGGTGGAAGGTGGAAGGGAATTGGTGACTCGTGAGCGAACGGGATTAGGCAAGGCCGGGGCACCTTTTCGCCGGCCAAAGTTACCGAAAGTCAATGCCCAATAGAGCCGCCAGCGAATGACATTTCCCGGCATCGCTCCAGTGTCTTTGGAAACGCTAAATTACGGGTGGAGTTCACTCAACATTACAGGGGACTCCATTGCTCCAAATGAGCTTTCCGGTGACTGACCTGACAGCCATCTTAACGTCCCGAGGTTAGCTGGGCAGATCCTCACTCTACGAATAATCAAACAAACGACGGGGGATGCACGACTAAATGAAGATCCAGACCTCTTTACTTGGAATGCAATAGATTGTGAAAGCCTCTCTGTGCTGACTACATCTAGTGAGCCTTGACGACACCCGCCGCATCTGCCTGTGCTGCAATCCTCTTCTTGTACGCCTGCACATCTCCCGGGAACTTCTCAACCGTTCCTGCATCGCAAACCCAGAGCGACGTGCACACCGTCTGCAACATGGTGACGTCGTGAGAAACCATCAGTACACCACCCTCGAATTCCTTCAGCGCGTCGGCGAGCGCGTCCATCGCCTCGATATCCAAGTGGTTAGAAGGTTCGTCAAGAACAAGGATGTGAGGGTTGGTCAGCGCCAGGCATGCGAACGCCACACGAGATTTTTGACCACCAGACAACACCTCCATCTTCTGCAGACCCGTCGTTCCCGTGATACCAAAGGCACCCAGTTGTCTGCGGTACTCTTCGTCTGTCTTGCCGGGGTACATCTTCGCCATGAAGCTCACCGCGCTCATGGTCAGGTCCAAAGCGTCGACGTGGTGCTGAGCAAAGAAACCAACGCGCAGACGGGGATTCTGGGAAATCAGACCCGACGTAGGCGTCAACTTTCCGATCAACAACTTGAGCACGGTAGTTTTACCAGCTCCGTTGGGTCCGACAATACCGATACGAGAATCCAACTGCACGTCGAGGTCGACGTTGCGGAGCAAAATGTTCTCCTTGGTGTACCCGAACGTAACCCCTGTCATCTGGATAATAGGGGGAGAAAGCTTCTCGACTTCCGGGAACTTGAACTTGACGCTGTACTCGACCTCGGGTGCCTCGAGCACCGGCATCTTCTCCAGCTTCTTGATACGTGACTGAGCCTCGGAGGACTTGGCTGCGTTGTAACGGAATTTGTCGATGAAGGCCTGGAGATGGGCGCGCTGGGCCATCTGGTTCTCGTATTCCCTCTTCGCCGTCTTCTTGCGCTCCTCACGCGTAGCGTAGAAGGACTCGAAGTTGGCTCCGCGGTAGTAGTCAAGACGTTGGGAGTGTTGGTGGATAATGTCGGTGGCGATTTCGTTGAGGAAGGCTCTGTCGTGGGAAACGACGAGGACCGTGCTGGGATATCCTTGGAGGTAGTTTGACAAGAAAGCAATGGAGGGAACGTCCAACATGTTGGACGGTTCGTCGAGAAGCAGCAGGTCCGGCTCGCAGAAAAGTGCTCTGGCCAACGCCAAACGCATACGCCAACCACCAGAGAATGTCTTGGTGGCATTTTGCTGGCGATCGGCCGAGAAACCGAGACCGGCCAAAATGCTTGCAGCTCTCGACTCTGCCTTGTCGGACTCCATCTCTGCCAACTTGCCCTGGATATCACCAAGTCTGTTGTCGAGAGCTTCCCTGTCTCTGTCGAGCTTCGCAGCGTCTGCCGATGTGTCCGCCATGGACCCACGCTGTGCTTCAATATCTGAAAGTTTCTGAGTGATATCCTGTTGTCTGTCAGCACGGTAATAACGTTTGGAGGAGGGTAGATATCACTTACAGCCTGCTCCTTGAGGAGAACCTTACGCCACACGTCGGCATCAAGAACGGCCTGGATCGCAGGGGTGTCGTCACCCGTGAGCTAGATACACTGTTAGAATGCGGCTTCCAATGCTTGTTACGTTACTTGCCTCCTGCTCGACGTGAAGAATGGTGATATGAGGCGGAATAGGCAGCTCTCTGCGCGACAGAGCGCGCAGCAGAGTAGATTTACCAACACCGTTGTGTCCGACGAGACCGTATCTGTGACCGTAGGCCAGAGTGAAGTTCGTGTCGGTCAGAATACGTTGGCCACCAATGGAGACGTCCACATTGTCCAACTTGATATCCTTCGTCTTGTTGCCACCAGCAGAGCCCAACTGCAGAGGGTTGACTGCCATGTAGAACTCCTCGTAGCTTTGAGTGGACTCGGGCTCGTGGAGCAGTTTGGAGGCCTCGTACTCAACCGTCTTGAAAGTCTTCTTCTGCTGCTTGGCAGCAATCTTGCGCTCTGCTTTCTCCAACTTCTTTCGGTCAACCTTGGACTCGACCTTGCGAGCATTGGCGGATTCAAGATCAACAGCGCCGGTAGCCACTGCGAGGGTTGAAGACATGTTGCGCTGAGAGCTGACTTGGTAACTCTGATCGAGGCGTTTCACCGCAGACGGGCCGCTCCTCTGGGAGCCATTGGCCTCACTGTACTTTTCGACCCATTTCTCGACCAGCTTCTCGATCTTCTCCTGAAGCTTGGCGTCGGGCTTCCCAGAAGCAGAGAGGAGCAGCTCGGTGACGGTAGAGGCCGCCTCTGCCAGAGGTGAAGGGCCGGACTGCTCCTCCTCGTCGGACCAGATAGTCGAAGCATGCGTCAAGTAGCCCACCGAATACTCTGAGAGCACCGGGTCGATGTTGGGCAGGACGGTTCTAATCTCGGCTTCCATGTTTGGCAACACAGTGTTTTGTGGTTGGGTGATGTGGGGCTTTTCGAGACAAATCCGTCCTCAAACCGTCGGCCTTGCTTCACCGTCGACTTTATTGTGTGAGATCACGGAAAATTTCGAGTTCTGTTTCCTTCACCCGCCAAACAATACCGTCAGACAGTGGCGATTCTGCTGGCTGAGGTTTGCGATATTCATCTGAGGCTCGAAGAGTGTGGGACCCACTCTAGGTACCTATGCCTCCGAATTACCCCACTAGGAAGAACTTCGGTCCGCAGAGTTAATACGATAGGGTTTGGCCAATCACCATTGTCATGGCGTGTGACTGCAAGACATCTGCCAAACGCAACCAAAAAATTCAGTTCAACCTGCAGTGGGCACGTTACTCCTTGTCCTTCATGTTCTGCACATGAGGAAACACCAAATGCCCTGGATAACCCTTGCGACATCTACACAGGGTGCAGAAGAAGCTCATTGTTTACTTCGCGTCGATTACAGCTTGCACAAACCAGAAGAATCCGACAGCACGGACACACAGAGGCAGTCGACCCAACACCGTGGAATCGGTCGAGACATCTGTGTGCGGAACAGCAGTCTCTATGAACCCAAGAATCATCAGAGCCAAAATGCCGTTGAAATTTCAAAGAGGCTATTGCCACCGCCGCATTACATCGCTCGAAATGGATGAAACTTCTGGGTCTCGCATCGACAGAGGCGAGCTGAAATGCTTTTCTAGAGCCTAGCTCGCTGTGTTCAACGAATTGAAACTGTCGAAAGAAATGGACTCGGGCCGGGTACCCTGCCCTGGACGCGACATGCGGAGATTGACGACCGCGTTGGAGTCCTTGGGCGTCTACGAACAATCGCGGAACCAGTGCAGATGCTTTGAATGGGTAGCACGCGACGACGACTTGCAGCAGACTATCTGACCTGTGGCAGCCAATTGTCAGAGACAAGAAGCCCGGCGCAATGTGCCACCAATCGATGGTGTTTGGAACCTGTTCACAACCCAACATTTGATGGGGAAGAATTGGCCCTACTGGCGCCATGCGCCGAAGATCTGTCCGGGGATCCCAGCATTTACTTAACTTTATCCCGATGGGAAATTCTTGCTGCACAACCTTAGACGGCGCACGAAGTTCACATCTTTATTTCCCATCAGGCAGTCTGCTGTTAGATCACTGCGAGTCTCAGGTCCTGCGCTGCGTTGGCTGCCGTTTCAAGGCAAAGTCAGAACATGCTCGGCTCATATCGTCGCTTAGCGAAAGAGAACGAAGGCAGTTCACAGGCCAACACGGCCGAGATGTCTCGGATTGAAATTACTGGTGAGCGTGTTGGCCTAGTGAAGCTGCTGCAGTGGAACTTCGTGGTGAGCCGCGTTGCAGCGTTACCTTCAAAAGTCTTGAACGTCGACTGCAAGGAGGCCTTGGCTCATCACTTCGGCAAAGTTCCACGTCATCCTGTCAAGTCACGTTTTGATCATTGCCTCCTCACGTCCGTCGATGCATCAAAACCAGCAAGGATGGGATTCCAGTCCGTACCACATCGGACGCTGCAGCCAAGTGGCAACATCAGCTTACTGTCGATATCGCGGCAGCCTAACCTCACGCCTTACAGATAAATCTTGCGATGCCGTTCCTCACCAACAGGCATCGTATATTAAAGGGAAGGGCTCAAACTTTGATACCGGGGAGACAGCCACCCGGTTCCTGCGCCAACCATGCACGCTGCCTGTCATTGTGACGAGAACGAGAATACGACATCTGCCCTGCTTCTGCACAAAGGCCACTTCAACCACGTGGAATCGACACAAAAGCTCCAGGCCTGGTCCAACTCGGACGACCTCTGAATGGCATTGAATGGCATTTGTTTCTTACCCTGAACAATGATAGGGTTGAAGGCATTGACTGTCTTTTGCACAATGCTCAGATTTCCCGGGCTAGTTGCTAAATAAAGCGCGGCTTTTCTGCTGCTGGAGACTGTTGACCGGGCTTCCCTGCTCAATGGGGCCAGGCACGAACCCACTGCCATCTTGTCCCACCTGAGTGAGTTTGAAGCTCCTCGTCGAGATTTCGTCATTGGAGACATTCGGAATCGGCACTGAGTCCTGGGCGTTCTGATTCGAGAAGACCGGAGTATCGGAATCGTCCCCATCTTGGCCTGCTGATGGGTCCATCAGTCGGATGCGTTTGGTTCGCCGCAAGACAGGATGACGAGCAGCGAGAGTCAACCATTGAAGACTGTCAACAAATAGGAAGAACTTGTGTTGGCGGTTCGCATATGTGGATGCTCGGCATCGGCCAACAGAGCCATATGGAGCAAACCATCCTGCACAACCTGCAGAACAGGAGCATCAGCTGGTCAGCTACCTGCGCAGCCGGTGAGGGGAGAACAAAGCGAAGAACATTCCCATCGTCTGCAGCAGGCTCGATTCCATTGCCGAGTACGGATACAGAAAGCACACCGGGTCAGATCTGCAAACTTGGTCAGGAATTCGTGCTGTTGCATCGCCCCGTAGCCAGTCGTCTGTGGTCTCCATCCCGATTCCAACGACCACCGATCCGCACCCCGCGGACTAAGGGCTTTTTCTGTCGTTTCAAGTTTCACTCGGCTGTTCTGCTAGCAAGGGCAACAGTCCGTGGGATCGATTCTCTACTACGTGTTGCTGAGACCTGAGCGCAGAGCTGTGCTCCCCCGCCAGACCTCATTGGTCCCAAGCCAATGCACCTGTTGCATGGCTAGCTTCTGTCGCATCTTGCTCGAGGAATCCAACTGGACTGGCTCCGGACGAACCCTGGTCTGCGACTTGCGCTTCTCTCATGCTTTTTCCTCCTCAGATAGACGCGGGCAAATGAGCTCACCGGGACCGCTCATAAATGCCAACTTATTATGTCCTTAGTTGGTTAACTCCGGATTTGAGCGTCGACTAAATAACGGAGCAATGACTGGAAGCATGTCTTGGCAGCTTCCGCCGGTGAGATCGCTTACGGCCGGCCATGGGGCACGGCGCAACTCGGTTGCTGATCGAGGAAAGAGAGAGTGTCTTCTGGAGTCCTCGACTTTCAACATCAGGTCATTCGAAGGTCAGCTTAAGCCTTATCGGGTAGCGCGAAGACTTTGAGGCGCGGGCGGATCACCAGTGTTCTCTTCATCAATGATGGACAACGTAGTGCAACGGCCGCGGGAGCTCGAATTGCACCAGCCGCCTTGACTAAGACCGCGCTCGATCAGTCCAGCGCACTACGACGAGGATCCCAGCCTCCCAGCCGTGGACCCTTGACGAACATTTTCTTCTTCTGCTCGTCAAAAGTCACTCGGGTTAAAAGGGACCATTGCATTGAGAGAGGGTACAGCTGACGATCTGAAGATAGCTGAAACCAGACGAGGCCCGCAGCGCAACCCGTCAACTTCGAGGCTCAACAATCCTCGCAACGGCGGTACACGGGATTGGCCAAGGCTCTGCCAGTTCCCCAAGGTGGATAATCCGGGACGAGAACGGGGGAGCAATCGAAAAGTCGCCGAGCACGAGCAAAGCAAGGCCAGATGCAGATACCACAACAGAAGTGCCAAATGCTCTCTCGCTGCAGGGTCGCCGCACGTCGTAATGCCAACCCGCTGGTGGCCTTCTGGAAGGATTCCGCCTTTCTCTCTAGCAATTGAATACAAGTTGCGCCGCCGCTAAGGAGGCAAGCGCCGTCGCAATATGGAAGCGTGCGTGGTTGACGAATGGATAAGCCGGCCTGCAGTGGTAAGACGGGATGGAAAGTTTGCTAGCCAGAACGGACTCCTTTGCGCAAAGGCCGAGAAAGAAATCATGGAGACGGGCATATACCGACACGAAGTCACAGACTTCGCAGATATGCGTCTAGCGCCTCCCTGCCGAACGAGAAGGAGGCTGGCGGTGAGAAAGAATTAGAGAGAGAGAGATCATCGCCGTCCACCGCCTCCTCTTCCTTACTTCCAGTCCGTGGTTGCTCGCCCTTGTGGTGCTTGAGTAAGTTCAGCGGGGGAGAAACATGGATAATGTGTATCCCAAACAAGCCATACGGTGGCACGACGATTGGACAGCCGCTTGAGGTTGATTAAACTCGCAGAGACATATGATATTGCCTTGCCTTGTGGAGGGGAAAGCTTCTTGACAGTAACCACCGCAGTAGGAACGAGGAAACGGAAAAGTCATGACAGAGGCAACGGTAACCTACGCATGTTGGGGACCCGACCCGAACACAACATGGGCGGCAGGGCTCTCGAGGGACACGAAAATGCGCAATTATGTGTGTTGAAACGACGGAAAGTCGTCTGCAGTGCTACCGAGACGGTGATGTTTGTGATGGGGTCCTTGCCTTTGGGGAAAATTGGACGACAAGCTGGAGCGTGTGTGTGAGATGGACCAGTTTGGTAACTTGTTTATTGTTTTCTTTCGTGCGTGTGTGTGTTGTGTTGTTATTGTTGACGCCCACACAACCCAAAACCAAAACACAGCGGAGGCCGGCCCACAAGGAGGCCATGCAACCGCTTCCCCACCATGTACTGGCCCCCATGCTCTTCTCATGCCATGCCACCTCGTCACCATGGCCAAGGCACAAACGAGCACATCATATCACCATGGCATCTGTCCTGTCATGGCCAGCTCGCCGGGTCCGAACCGGCACCACGCGGCTGACCGGTGAGCACAAAACCCAAGGGTGGTTTTAGTTCTACAGAGATCGCCAGTTGCAGCAGCAGTAGAGGGATTACACGATGCGAGATAAACGGGACTTGGTGGGAACACGGGACAGAAAAGAAAACGGGGCGGCCAAAAAAGCAGTTGGAGAACAGACTTCAGTTGAGAGGTACCGAGCGGCGGGGAGCAGGAGCACTCCGAGCTTTTCAGATGGAGTTCCATCGGAGGCGTCCCATCGTCTCCATTTCATCCCACGGTGCCACAAGGCCATCCCATCTTCCGTCATCGTAGTGTAGCAGCCATGGCTACCGACTGATGGCCGTCGAAAAGGAAGGAGGGGCAGCAGTAGCAGCAGTCGCCCTCCAAAGGATGCCGATGCTAGCTGACGGGCTCTCCAGGCTGCAGGGCCTTTCCTTGTGAGGCGCAGGTCTAGGTGAGCGGCCGGGCTCGGTATGCCGTTGTTCACCACCGGGGCTTGGGATTCTCTAACACGGCCCCTCCTCTCGCGTCAACGACGGAACAGACTATGAAGCGGGCGGCCGGTAGATGAGAAACGCTGGACGGTCGTGCCCAATGATTAGAACGATGGAGAGACATGTCCTTTTTTGTCCCCCAAGGAAAAAGAAGAAGTCGGCCACGAGTTACATGTGTCTCGTTCTGTGATCTGTGCCGCCTGGCCGTCTGTCTGGGTGGTTCCCCATATTGACGTATGTCTTTGGATGAGGCAAGTCCAGAACTTCGACGGGGGGCTCGGTTGGTTGGTTGAGGAACAACATGCGGACGCCCATGGGCTGAGTGAGGGGTGACAAAGGCAACGATTGATGAATAGTAACACGGGCGCGAAAGAGCAAGGAGCAAACTTGGCGGCTCAGAGATCCCAGGGGGCGGCAGCCGCCTGATTTTCGATTCGATACAGATGAGTTGCTGCAGGTGTCAGAAGCGAAGCGAGCGTGGCTAATGTCGTGCCAACATGAACGGGCTTGCGTTCAGCAGCAGCCCATCGACAGCGGCGAGGGAACACAAGCTGAGCGTATTCATGAGATGACGGGAGGGTCGAGCCGCCACGCTGAGTGATGGTGACAAACCGTTAGAAGCAAGTCGCGGACGGACAAGATACACACAGTTGGGGGGCGTGATATCTGCCGCTAGAACGAGCAGTCTCGCTGAGAAGCATGCCCGAATGGAATCAAGATATCAGTTTACCCCGGGCTCCCAGGCATGGCCCCTGTTAGGTAGGCTGTCGTGGGAAGCAAGGAATGGCGAATGGCAGAAGCAAGCCCGGGCAGACGCTGAGCTCCAGGTCTTGGCCATCTGCTTACCGCTTCCGCAAGCCGCGATGTTGGGGCCCGGGGAAGCGAGTGGCCAGCCGCAGGCCAGGCGAGGAGAGGCATGACAAGGCAGCCTCAAGACCTTGGTCGAGGGCCCTCTGGCGAAGTCGATAGGCGTCTTGTTTGTGCGCCTGTGGCTCCATGGCTGGTCTGGCTGGCTCAGTGGCAGTGGCTCTGGTCAAGATAGCAGGTCAGGTCTCAGCCGATCCGCGCTAGGACGATCGATTTCTTTCCGGGGGGTGGTCTTTCGTGCTTTTGATGCTTTTACCTCGCAGGGCAGGGTTTCCGGGATAACCTCGAACGGAGGCCAGGGACCCCGGGACGCCAGTGGGCATGCTAAGCATCCAAGTGGTAAGATAGCCTGGCCGCGGGTGGCCTGGTGGATCAAGCTGGTCCGTTTTAGGTTGTTTTGAGAGGAGGGGATATCTGGGCAGCGGGCATAAGAAGAAAAACAAAGAAGCAATGGCCGAAGGGAGGGAGGGAAGGCTGGTCGCGTGGGAAAGCAGAAGTAGAGTCAGAGTCAGAGTCAGAGTCGCAGTCGGTGTCAAAGAAAGACAAGCAAGACTTTCAACGTGAATGAGGAGAGACTGACAGCGGCGTTGTGTCAAAGTGAAGGAGCTTAATGGCATTTACCTGTGGTTTGTCGTGTCATTGAATGGAAAGGGAAACCTTCTAGATGACGAGTATTCTTAGCGGGTTGAGGGGGGCCTGTCTGACAAACTTACACACTACTATGTAGATGCTCTCGGGTCGAAGAATTGGCATTGCCTCATCAACTAGCCGGAGAACAAAGAACAGGATGCGAAGAGGCAGCGGTCCGTCGCAGCAGGCTGCCGCCGGTGGATTTTTTTCGGTCAACCCAGAGCAGATTTCGCGTGTCTCCTATTCCGGTTTCCATCGACTTTGCGAGTTTCTTGTTTGGGGCCGTGTGGCATTAGTAGTATCGGTATTAAGGATGGTGATATTGCTATTAAGCTCACTAAGGCAGGCAAAAGTAAGGAAAACCTGGCAAGCCGCAAATAGGCAGACTCGGACTCGGGGGAGGCAGAGGATGGCCTTCGGTAGAGATGTTGATTGTCTTCGTGGTGCATATTCCGGGAAGCAAGTGTTATTATTGTTCATTATTTACTTCCAGCAGGGAGCCGCCCGGGACTGACGAGTTGCAGACAGGCGGCCTGGGTATTCGTACGAGCAGTATCCGTAGAGTACCAGTCTCTCAAGTATCTCCTTCATATGCATAGTACATCACAGGGCAGGCCAGGTCCCCGGGGCCCCTGACTGGCGATGTCCACACGGCTCGCAGCAAGTCAGTCAGTCGCTGCATGAAGCGGGCAGCATCATATGTGCGGACGGGCTCTCACTGGCCGACATGCCCACAGCAGTCATCTCCTGCGCTCCAGTGAGGGTTCCACTCGCCGTATGCGCCTGCAGAGTTGGTCTCCATGCTAAGCAAGGTACTCCGAAGTCATGTACTTTCTTGGTTTTGGGTGCCTTTCTAATCGATGTATGTATGTATGTATGACTGAGGGGGAAAGGCTTGAGTAAATCGAACAAGATTGGTGAAAGAAAGACGCCGCAAAAGGCGAGAAAGAAACCCTCCTCTCAGCTGCCCATTGACATTCTCTTCTCTCACTTTCAGCTGCTGTATCCGTATTCTCGCTCTCGTCAACCTCCACCGCCAACCCCAATTCCTCACTTCCTCCCATTATCCCAGTCTGGGTTACGGGATACAGGCCCCTAAACTCAGTCTTTTCCTATCCGGGACAGCCATCTCGCCGCTCAGCTTGGTCTCCGTCAGCTTCGCCGTCGACATCTTGCTCTGCTCGTCTGAGTCTGAGTCTGAGTCTCTCTCTCACCTTTTATCCCATCTAAGCCTCTGCCGGATATCTCACAGACTGGAGCCTGACCCTCGCTCGACCTTTGGACCAGGACCAGGACCACTGACTAGGCCGCGGACCTTGCTTGACGGTAAGGTACGGATACCTGACCAAGAACAGGACTGGGGACGGACCGGGACCTGGGCCTCCTCCATCTCCTCCTCCATCTCCTCCTCCATCTCCTCCATCCGAACGAGCGAGCGAACGAACGATCCTCGCCCGCCCCAAATTCTCACTGACCCTCTCTGGGAGTCGGCTCTGGCTCTACCTTGCCCTGCCTTTCTTTCCCTTCCTCTTACCTCACCTCACCTCACCTCGCCTCGCTTGCGGAGACCAGAGACCAGGACCTGGCCTTACCTTACGTCGGCAGCCCACTTACGCGCTTCCGCTTCCTCTTCTCTTCCTACCGCGTCTTTCTTCTTTTTCGACTTCTCTTCTGGTCTGGTCCGGTCTGGTCTTTTGTCTTCTGGAAAGGGGGAACCTGGATTGCTTCGACTTTTCGACTACAATTTCGACTGCGACATCCGAGAGCCATTTGCTCGACTTCGACGTCTGTGTGTTTTCTCCTTCGCCGTTGGCCTGTTGATCCTTCGCCTGGTTTGCCCTGCTCGACTTTGTTAGCCGGGCTCCTCACCCTCACCCTCACTCTCTGTCTCTGAGCCTTCACCACCTGGATCTCCTTGTCTCACGCCAATTCCCGTCGTAGACACTTTCGCGATTGTTCTGCGCCCCCAATTCGTCTCATTTCTCGTCCGAAATCACGACCGCCGCCGCGACAACCGTCCGATAGGGAAACCCAAAACACCAAGATTCGACGCTCATTCCTGAGCACACGACCCGAGAGATTGGCGCATATGTCTTGACGATGCTTACCACGTCCCTCAAGAGCACCTTCGACTCTTCCGCCCGTATGCCCGTCTCCGGACTCCTTAGTTGGTTCTCCGAGTAGATTGACAACCTGCAACCATGCAGACGCTTCCCAGTGTAAGTTGGCTGCTTGCTTACCTCACGTTACCTCGCCATGCCTGCAGTCTGAGCAACCTGCCCATATCCCGTATCCCGTATCCTATATCCGTGCAGGCATCCCCCCAATACCTGCCTCAACGCTATGCGCGACCTTTTCCCTTCGACCCGACACTCAATCAATGCTATGGAGCTTTTTCATTTCCCATAGTCCTCCCTATCGCCATTCGTGGACACGATTCCCCTGATATATCACTGCGTGGTTCAACCCGTCCGCTGACTCAACGCGCCCATTAGCTCGTAGGGACTGGTACGGCCGTTGCTGGAGCGGCTCTCGGTTTGGTTTTTGCTCATGCCGACGATGCGAATCACAGCCAGTCCACGTCCAACAGGAGGAAACTAGCCTCAGACCAAGACATTCCCCCGAATCACCCACACCCTCACCCTCTGAGCAGTGCCCCTGTCTCATCCCGTCCCGGCACCGGTTCTGTTGTCCAGCCGCCGACAACAGACGAACGCTTCGGCGGCCCTCTTCTCAACCACCTACCTTTTACCTCGAAACCGAACGATTCGTCGTCGTCGTCATCGCGCCCTAGCCGTCCGCTGAGCCAGCACTTCAACTTCCCGCCCTCTTTCCTGCACGGTAGAAGGGCATCTTTGGTGCAGGGAGGAGACCTGCCTTCACCAACCCTGGTCGAGGATTCGAGAGAGTCTGTCTCGTCTAATGGCTCGTGGATGAGACGTCTGTCTCTTCGTCCACTGTCGCAACACGGAAGCATTCGATCAAGCCTTGGTCTCGACAGTCAATCTGTCGCGTTATCCAACGGTTCTGCGGCTCCGATTCTCTCTCCTACCGGCTCGACTCCCCCGACGCTACCTCCGAATAAGCTGGTGAAGCGACCGCCCTCGGCGCACCAGAATGGTCCTGTAGGACGTCTTCGCTCGAGGACGCATCTTCCCAGTCTACGACGACCCGCGACGAGCCACCAAAGATCTGCTACATTACACAAAATACACCACGACGTTCATACCGTTGAACCCACAGCCGACCCCAAATTCTCCTTTGACCAGTACAAGTTTCCAAACGCGGAAGGTGCCGCACCACCGCCACCCAAGGAAGGCAACAAACAAGAACAGGAATCGCAACAACAACTACAGCCACAGTCACAGCAACAACAAAATCCGAAAACCAAGTGGACTTCCTTTTTTCACTCGCGCAGGGCCAATGTTATCGCACGCAGCGCCCCCGATCGCTTAATTGACCGCAGCCCCAGCACTAGATCTTCGACAACGACGAAGCGCATATTTGCGCCCAGCGGGGAACAAAATATTTACTTAATTCAGGGTGGTATGCTGGGTGACGCTACATCATCTGACCAGACCCCAGTACCCGAGGATATCATCAAGACCATTGAGGATTCGCAAGACGAGGCGGTGGTAGAAAAAGAAGACGACGATAAAGAAAACGACGATCGACCCGCGACCCCGGAGGATACACCGACGAAGCGCACGCAGCGCTCTTTCTCGATGCATTTCACTTCGCCGAACTGGATGCCGAGGGCGGGTAGCATTCGGCGCTCGAAGCGCGGGGAATCGAAGACTGGGAATAAGCGGAATGCGTCTGCACCTGCGACAGAAAGCCCCGGCCAGGGTCACGCCCGAGACGACCTCGCGCCTTCGCCTGCGCCTGCATCCTCGGACTACTCTCCTACGACGCAAAAGAATCAACCACCCGCCAATTTAGACCCGGCAAGCGCCCTCCAGCAGCGCAGGAACACCTCGTCGCCCTTGCCGCCTCTGTCGCGTCTCTCAAGTTTTAATGTTGATGTTTCCCGAGTCGGTTCAACAGGCAGCGGTCCCTCTCCACGCTCAATTCAGCCTTCGGGCAGTTCTCAGAGCTCCGCGGCCATGGCTGCTTACTATCGCGGCCCCCAGACCGATCGAAGTTCGACCCTGAACAGCTCCGACATCGAAGCGAGAGATTTCATGTCGGGCGACGATGACGACACGGACTTCAAGAGCGATACCATGTTCGACTCTCTGCGTACCGCCGCATCTGCCATCAACCGTTTAGAGACTCCGACGGAGTCAATGTTTGACGAATCTCCGCCAGGCACTGCCATCGCAACCAAGACAAAACGGCTGTCCATCCAAGAGATCCTCGGCCGATCATGGGATGCCGATGATAGAATCATGGAGGAGGAAGACGAGAGTATTCCGACACCAGTTCGTGTCAATCATGAGCCTAGGATCCGTCCGGACTCCGATGTATCGGCGCCACGCTACAGCATTGAGCGGCCGTCCAACGAGTACTCAATAGGAAGCAAGGACTTTGGCCGCCTGTCCATTGAGGACGACTTCGACGACGATTGGGCTCGCGACGAGGACGAGATGGCCTACAGCAATCAGTTGTCACCGCCCAGCTCGATGAACTCGCGCGGCGTCAGCCCTAATTTGCGCATCGCTCTCGCCAACATCAGCGGCAACAGGAATACCGACGCAACGCATGATCCTAGCGAGAGGCCTAGAAGCAACATATTTGACTGGAGCGAGCCAACCAGCGACAAGCCGGATAGCCTCAGCACGTTCCGCCCCAAGACCGCTTATGGCAAGGAGCTAGACATCAGAGGCGGCCGCGCTGCTGTTCGCAAGGGGCCTACCGCCATGCACGTCCGCAGCCAAAGCGTTCCCGTTGTCCACGATATTGCGGACAATGCTTCAATGACGTCTCAGAAGTTTGGCACCTGGGGACTAGGCACGAAGAATGTCAGCGAGGACTGGGACGACGACTTCGAGTTTGGTGGCAACGAGGCTGAAGACAAAGAGGCTGAAGTTGATTTCGCCATGGTGGTACCTGCGTCGATCCAGGCATCTCAACCAAGCCTCAAACAGCACACCGGCCACATCAGGGAGCTCTCTCTGCTCGTTAACGATCTGAAGCGCTTATGTCGGCACGGCAGAGATTTGGACATGCTTGGCGGCTCTAGCGCGGGTCTGTGGCAAGAAGCCGAGGGCATCATTGCTTTGGCATCGCCCGATGAGGATGAATTGGAGGGTATGGACGTTGATTCATCGTCTGTGATGAGCGACCGATTCATGGATGGCTTCGACGCTGCATCACCCGCGCCTATTGAAAAGGAAGACCCGTTTGACGAAGTTAAAGAAATCAACGTATCCAGGACTGCAGTCATTCGCGAACGCCCTGCCGGCCGCAGACGCTCGGTTTTCTCGCCCGATGACGATATCTTCGGCGGGAACAGTCCAGCTCCCGATGAGCTTCCTCCTCCTCGGCCGAAGACACCCGAGAACAACATTAACATGGGCGGTCACGACGTCACGGACATTGTCAGATCCGTCCTTGACGCCATGCAGCAACGTACCGCTCAAGAATCTGCCCGTGATGACAAGCTTCACTTTGGCACAAATAGCCTCAAGGCTCTCGTCAAGCGGGCTGGAGATCTCCGAGACATCCTGTCAGAAGTCGTCCGCCGAGCAGACCAGCTCACTTCAAGCCCCGCGCGTACTCCACGACCGCACAATGACAGCCCGGCCTTCACCCGCGTGTTCACTCCGGAGCACACACCGTCTCCGTCAAGCCCGCCTAAGAAGCTGCCTCAAACCCGGAGCGCGAACTCCGTTCTCACCCGCGGCTCCGTCGACGCTTCGCCATCGAGCGGCCTGCAACGGATGCACATGATGACTGTCAGCTGAGATGAGGCGCCGGATGCCAGACTACTACTTTCACGTCTGGACATTTGATGCGGCGGCAAGCGCTCACTCGCCACGGGCTCCTTATTACAACTCTGTACATGTACGAATATTGTTGATTTTTCTTGTCTGCATAGCGACGGCTTGGGGGGGTTCAACGGTTTTTTTATTCTCATCGCCGCGACATACAGCATACAGACGGCCCGGTCAACCGCATCCATTCGACCAACACCAAGATGTTTCTTGCCGACTTTGTGGCTGGGCAAGATTATTATTGCACCAGCCTGCCTGCCTACCAGTCTCATTACCGTTACGCCACTGTTTGGCTTCTATTTTTCTTGCAAACGAGAGAGGGCTTATGACGACGTTAATTGTGTACGATCCCTTCGTGACACGGAGGAATGACGAGATGGTCACGGGAAAAAAGGATACGCGATGGAATGGAAAAACGAGCATACATAAAACATGTTTGCGATTTCAGCGACGAAGCGAAAGCCAGTTGACGAAGGCATTTCGTCTCGTCTCCGGGCCTTTTTATTTTTCCCTATCCTACATTCTTAAAAAACCGTTCTGGCTCTGGCATTGTACAATGGGTAGACAAGCAAGGAAAAAAACGCACACACAAAAAGACAAGAATCCGGCTGTTGGTTGGTCTACTGCATTTTCGCGATGGATTCGCCTTTTTCTCCCCTTGCGCGAGGACCAGCCGAACGTCTTCTCTGCTTCCATTCGTACGAAGAAGGTCTGTCCCTTCTGTCTGGACGGAAGGTCAAAAGCTCCGGGGTTTCCCGGGCGCGGTAGAATAATACAGGTATTAGGTAGGGGGGGTTATGGGAATACGGCTTTGGGCTTTTAAAAGGGATTATTACACGCGGGTATGGAATGGTCAAGGGACCCGACGGCTTTGTACATAGTTTGACGAATACTACTACGTTCAACTACTACCTACTTTCAAGACCTTGCGCACGTGACCTGTTAGATCTACGCAGATATCGCTTCACCACACATTCTCTCCGTCATCTTCACATTATCGGTCTCTGGCATCAAACACGTTTATGGATAATCAATCCTGAATTTTTTTTGTAGTCCTATAGTACATGGGGTAGACGTCTCTCTCCTTTCTCCCTCTGGCAAAAAACGATCGGATGGCTACTGACAAGGCCAATTAGGTATGAAGATCTCGGCCTCGCGGGGCCGGCTGAACTTTGAAGATACAGTCTGAGACAAAGGGGGTATCCAGGACTTTGGGGGGTGAACCTGAGGGAGGGGGAGAAGGGCAGAGAGACGACGTATAAATCCTACGAAAGAGATAAAAACCTGGTGTTTTGTGTTTGTGGTATGTGGAAAAAAGCAAAACAAGAGCAAGTAGAAAGAAAGAAAAAGTGGCTTCGTGATAAAAAGTAGACGCTGGTTCGCTGTTTTTTTGTCCCGCTTCCTCTCCCAAATTCCAATCCATCTCCATTTTGAATCTCCTATACATGGGTCATGTCATAATGGTGTCCAACAGTGTATTCCCCTTCCGTACGCCGCGCGTGTTGAACGAATGCTTAGATACGGAAGATCTCGCCCTCGATCCAGTTGCGGCCGCCGCCGAGGGGTGCAATGCGGGAAGCGTCGGCGCCCTCGTGGTTCCACATGGCGGTGCCGTCGAAGTTGACGAGTCCGCCGGTGGACTGCGCCTTGGAGCGTTTCAGGCGCAAGTTGCGAGACTCAGAGTCCTCGGGCGTCAGGGGCGCGGTGTCATAGGAATGGCGGGCAGGCTTCGCGGGACGGATCCACATGATGCCCGTATCCTTGGGGGCAGTGATCTCGGGGGCAGACCACATGGGAGGGAACCCGGGGGTCACCGGGGCGGAGAGGGACTTCCACATGCCCTGGCCTTCGAAGCTGACAATGGTAGAAGGAGGAGGAGGGGTCTTTGAGCGCTTGAGGCGGAGCTGACGGGAAACCGAATCCTCTGGAGTCAGGGGCGCTGTGTCGTGGGCGTGAAGGGGGGGCTTGGCCGGTGCAATCCACATGATGCCGGTGTCCTCAGAGACGGTCACCTCGGGGGCGGACCACAAGGGAGGGAACCCGGGGGTCACCGGGGCAGAGAGGGACTTCCACATGCCCTGGCCTTCGAAGCTGACAATGGTAGAAGGAGGAGGAGGGGTCTTGGAGCGCTTGAGGCGGAGCTGACGGGATTCCGAATCCTCTGGGGTCAGGGGCGCCGTGTCGTGGGCGTGAAGGAGGGGCTTGGCTGGTGCAATCCACATAATGCCGGTTTCTGAGGACACCGTCACCTCGGGAGCAGACCAGAGGGGAGACTTTGCGGGCGAGACGGAGACGGGTTGTTCGGGCTCGAACAGTTGCTCCTTGGGCTCGGTGGCCGGCTCCACGTAGAGCGTCGGCTGAAGAAACTCAGGCTCGGGTTCGTACACCTGCTGCTGCTCGAACTGGGGCTCAATAGGCTGGTCGAGTTGAGGCTCGTACTGAGGCTCAGTGTACAGCGGCTGGTACTGAGCATCGTACTGAGGCTCATACTGCTGCTGCTGTTGACCGTAGTACTGCTGTTGCTGGTACATTTGCTCCTCAAGAAGCCTCTGGTTGTACATTTGCTGCTCGAACAGGCGCTGCTCATTCATGTAGCGCTCATACTCTCGTCGTTCGAACTCCTGCTGGTCGAAAGCCTGCTGGTCGAATTGCTGCTGCTCGTAGTACGGCTCTTGGTCGAATTGAGGTTGCTCATTGTACTGTTGCTGCTCAAATTCGGGTTGTTCGAAGTACTGCTGCTGCTGTACTTCTTGAACAGGAACCTCGGGGACGTAAGAGGAGGCCGCGATCGCCTCGTTCAAGGCGTCTTCCCATTGAGCAGGGCTGGCAGCGGTGCGGTCAAGAGAGGCAGGGGTGGATGTGGTACCGATAGCCTCATTAAGGGCATCCGCCCACTGCTCTGGAGTGGCAACAGTCCGGACGAGAGGAGATGGGAGGGGCGCAGTTGCGGCGATAGCCTCGTTCAGCGCGGCTTCCCAGTCGGCGGGGGTGACCTCGGTGCGTTGGAGTCGCTCTTGGGGCTTCTCAGCGTTGTTTTCCCACCAAGTGGGACGCTTTGCTTCGACGGCGGGGAGCGGGTCAAAATCCGAGACTGCTTCCGTCGCAAGAGACCTTGTTGACGCGGTGTCGAGAGTGGGAGTTGAACGACCAGATGAGTTGGCAGATCCGACAGAGATCCAGTCCTGAGCTTCGAGGGCAGCGGGAGACGCAGTCCAGAGGCTAGTCGAGGTGAGAACAGGGAGAGCCGTCTCCGTAACGCGTGCTGTTGATGAAGACATGGCAAGACCGACAGGAGTGGCGGTCGTCGTCCTGAACACAGCCCGCTTGTGGCTAGCATCGAAGAGACCCTCTGCTGCTTCAATGACGACGGCGGGCAAAGCCCACAGGGTCTTTGTTGACAATTGCTGCGACGCCCAGAGGCTTGTTGAAGTGAGGACAGGCAGGGCCTCCACTGTGACACGAGCTGTTGAGGACATGCTGAGGCCGACTGGGGAAGCGGAAGTTGTCCTGAAGGTAATGCGCTTCTCACTGGGGTCGAACAGTCCGTTGGCCTCCTTCTCCACGATGACGACGGGAGCAATCCACATTGTCCTCATTGTCGGAGCCTTGGTCTTGTTATCCGTCTTCACTGTCTGTTGACTCCAGAGAAGACCGACTGACTTCTGTGCTGCCGGCATAGGTGCGCTCCAGAGGGTGGTGCTGTAAATAGTCGCGGGCTCGGGACGTTGGGCCTGGACGCGAGGAATAGGGTTCGTGTCCACATAGGTCGCCCATGTACGTGCGTCAGGTTGCAGGAGTCCTGGCGGGAGACGAACGCTAACATAACGCTTGGGCTTTCCGGTCCACAACAGAGACGATGGCTTTGGTGGTGTAGGAAGTTCTTCAGCAACAGCGCTCATGACGAGAGAATCGTGCTTGGTGTCGTCTTCGCCCTCCGCTGTCTTCTCATCATCAGAGGGATACTCAGACGACTGAGAGATGTACTCCTCTTCCTCCATCAAAGAATCAGGTCGGTAATAGGTCGGCTGGGGGAGTAGGCTATTCTTGGAGGGCACCTGGTCAGATTGTAAGAGACTGGCAATCTCCCAAAGTGTTGTCTCATCAAAGCCGTCATCACTCTCATCGTCCTCGTTGATGTCCGAGACTTCATCGTCACCCTCCTCTTCCTCGTCGTAGTCGTCGAAGAAGGATGAAGAATACTCCTGAGCCTGGAGTTGCTGCGCGCGAGCCTCCAAAGCGGCGCGGACTGCAGTGCCACCAGTTGACATGGTGCCCGGCATGGCCATAAACATATGACTAGGTCGGGGCTGGACGGTCGCCGTGTCCGACCTCTCACCCCAGGGGAACTGGAAGATGCCGAGGGTGCCACGCTTGTCCGGCAACGGCTCCGGGTTCTCAAGAATGTCGGGAAGAGCAGTGATGCGCTTGCTTCGTCTTGGTGGTCGTTGGGTTACAGGACGTGCTGGCTTGGGAGGTTCAGCAACGAAAGAAGTTCGCCATAATGATGAGGTGGAGTTGCGCAGCTTTTTAGCAGCAGTGTGATCCGGCTGCCAAAGCTGGACGCTCTCGATAAGCAAGGGCTCGGCGGACTTGCGCGCCGCGGGACGAACAGATAGGCCAGGGAGGGCAGCATCAGCACCGCTCTTGGAGGTCTTGTTCGCGACATCGTGTGCTGGGCGCCAGAGAAGAGTCGGTTCGCGCTCAGAATAAACAGGCGAGATTGGCGCCCAGAGTTGACCTGCAGGTGCGGCTCGCTCCTTCGGCATGAGCGTCGCGAGAATCTGAGCGTCGACGCCATCGGACTCATCGGTGTCCGGTGGGGTAGGGCTGCCCAACTGTGCACTCACCCGCGCCTTTGAGACAGATAGGAAATTGAGGTTTCGTTTGGCCAATAGCTCAGTTGCATTCTCCATATATTCCATTTGTGCGTCGGCGAGTCTCTGTTCCCAGAGACTAGTGCGATTGTTGCCCGACGAGCTGGAGGACGCGCTTCTGAGATCCTCGTATGATGACTTGCTGAGGCTGGCGCCGCTCTGTATCCGAGCGCGACGGGATGCACGGCGATCGGCTGCGATGGTGGAGTGCAGGGAGGAATCTCTTGAATGCACACTAACATTGGAAGGTTCCTGCTGCGAGTTGCGAACAGAAGTCGTCCCAACAGTCGAGAGTGAATCGCGGGTCAGACCATGCTGCATTTCATGCCACTGGCTTTCTTGTTGTCCCATCTCAGCCTCGAGAGATTCAAGGAGACGGATTCTCTGTCCCTGGCTCTCATAGGAGTCCCGAGTAGGCTCCTCCAACTTCTTGAGTTGCGCCTGGATCATTTCGTAGGCATGCTGCGGTGACTCAAGCGGGGACGGCTCAGCGACCTGAAGTACAACGGCGTTGTTTCTTCTAGTGGGCGACTTGAGTTGAAGAGCGCGAGGCGGCGGCATGCGACGGGAGTTGACCTTCTCATCACGCTCGGAGAAAGTTGCACACGCGTCACCGACACGACGATGCCAGCGAGCGCCGCGGTTGGCAACGCTCACGTCAGGAAGGTCGGCGGGCCCCTCGTTGATCTCTTGCACCGAGGGAACGAAATCTCTCTCATGCTCGACAGATGCGTCTAGCATGATATCAATCACCTCCTTGCCGTCGTTATGGCTGATCATCGACACGTCGCGCGGCTGAATCCAGGTAGGTTTCGGCATGTGAGTGACCTCTTGAATGTTAACCGCGGCAACAGGTGAATGAATGGAACCCCAATTTGTCGTTGCAACCTCGTCATGCGTTCGGGTTTCGCTGAACTCTGAGAGACTAGGATTGCGAACGGGAAGAACCGGTGAAGACTGGCGCTTGACTCCGTCGTATGACTTGCCACGGGTACGGTCGTCAACGGGCAGGTCGGGTATCCAAGAGTCGCGATCCCTTCCGCTCACAATAGATGTGTCGACGCTGAACTTCGATGTGTTTCGAGGGTAGTTCAGAGCGTGTTGAGGCTCTTCAATGTCCAGAATGCTCTCAGTGCGAACTGAGGTCTTTGTTGAACGATTAGACGACTGCTTCGATTGCACGCGGCTGGTATCCCATCCTCCCCTGTCCTCGGCCACGGCATTGCTCTCGGGCTTGTAAGCGGCAGGAAGAACAGGCATCTCAGGAATCGATTCCCTGGGTCGTGAGCTTCCGTCGGAGCTGCTAGGCGGTCTGGGGAAGAAAAGATCCATTTTCTCATCAAACGTCATGCTCTTCGTGTCATTCGGCAACGGTCTAACAGGTGCACCGGCACTCTTAGGTGGTGGCGGCAATGGAGGAAGCTGAGTAGGGCTTCCTGGATTTGATAGTAGGATCGATTTTCTGCTGATAATTGAACCACCCGACTTACTTCGCTTGTGGTTCGGAGTATCTTCAGCAGGGAAAATCGGACGGTCTTTCCCGGGTTGCCTGGGGATAGGACGCGGTCGATGAACAATAGATCCCGACGACTTAAGAGCCGATCCCGGGGACTGGAGACCGAGAGGAGTCTTGGCGGCCTGACTGACGGCTCCCTGGATGATGTTCTGAACTCCTGTGGGGTCGTTGTACTGAATGTTATTCACAAACAGGACCGTTTGTTCTTTCGAAACGGCGTCTTTGGGGAGAGGCCTCATGGTCATCGCTCTAGGGTTAGATGGAAGACCCGTAGTCGTTGGCCGCCTCTGTAAGCCGGGGGCGGCGGATGCATCCTGGCCCTTTGGTGAAAGTGGCTTGTTCCTGGATGGCCGGATGGCAGGATCAACAGCGGATTGAATAGGCCAAGTCGAAGGAAGATCGGGCTTCTTGGTCGGTGACATCAAACGAGCGGCACTCCTGGGCGGAGGCGGCGGAACAAGGCCGGTTGAAGGTGACATGGTTCGAGTCATCGTAGTTGCTGTCGACTTTTGGCTAGCAGTCCTGTCAATCGTCATCGTCTTTTGGCTCATAGACCTATCGACCGTCTTTTGACTCCCAGATCTCTCCATTGTCTCAAAGGGGCTCAAAGGTCGCTCAGGTCGTGGAGGACGAGGCGGAGAAATTGAACTAGCAGGTGCGGATTGCTTAGGAGGCGTGAACGGCCTGGTCTCCGTCTCATTTTGTTGTACAGGCTCAGGAGATTGACGAGGGGATACTCGAGGCGATCTTCGGCGGAGTTCCTCAACTCCGGGTGAAAGTTGCGCAGAAGATGTCGTTGCTGGTGGGTTGGACATCAGTCCGGCGGATTTCAGAGGTTGCGGTTCCGCCGGGGGAGGAGATGCCGGTCCAACTTCCTTCCGCTTCGTGCTTTGAGCTCGCTTGAGGGCCTCTTCGGGCGTGATAGCAGGAGGTCGAGGAGCGGGACGCTGGGCAATCAGGCTAGGGGACTGTTGCATGGTTGCCATGTCGTTATCTCTCCTTTCTCTGTCGTTCTGAGCCGCAGTTGCCAGGTCGATGGTGGCAATCTTGTTCAGAGGGTTTCGCTCTCCGCTCTCCTGAAGGATCGGGTTCGAGATGGCGTGCTTGATATTCGAGCCTGGACCCCTGTCGAAGATGCTCCTCTTGTACTGCTTGTTCGGCTGCTTGATCTCTATCCTCTTGCTCTCTCTCACTGGGGCCGTCTGCGCGCGGATGGGAGGGAATAGTTGTCCCTGTACTGGGACTCCGCCTACTCCAATCATGGCTTGGCCGGGAACAGAGCCCGCAATGATGGGCAAAGCACCGTCGGCACCTCTCGGGACATCAGGACGAGGCGCATCTCGGGGCTGGTTGAAAGTTGAAACGGTGGTGATAGTGCCGGCCTTGAGGTCCTCATATCGCGTCGGCGGATAGTCCGAATCGGAAGTACCGATGTCTCTGCTTGAGCTGATGTTACGAGGAGATTGAGCGTCAGGATGAGTAGCTTGCTGGGGACGAGGGGGAAGCAGAGAATCGGAAAAGCCAGTGACGATTCCTAGACCTGTCAGCAACAACATCACAGCAATGTGATGAGAAGAAAACCCACCAACAAGCAGCGACAGCGCAGTCGCTGGAACGGCGGTTCTGAAGATCAACTCGATGTTCTCAGCGCCCAACAGCAACGGAATGCTTCCCTATCACGGTGATACACCGTCAGTATTCCGACATCGACGTACGAAATCGTTTAGTGGTCTTCACTTACCGCTGTCCAAACAGCGAATCCGACCATAGTCCACAAAACAGCCTTTTTGTTTTGGGAACTAGGCCGGCCACTCCTGGCCTCCGTGATAAGACCGAGAGAGTTCGCCCTGAAGGCCAGCATGCCAATGATGAGGAAATCTGTGATCATGATAACAACGCCAATCGGCAGTACGTCAGTTTTTGAGACGCAGACGGTAGCAATCTGCGGCTTTTGGAAGCCAACGAAGACGGCACCCAAGATGAAACGCGTTCCGATAACCGCCTGAGGAATCATCGCACCGGTAGGCGTTTTGGCGTTGGAGTTGATGGCCCATAGTAGGTATTGTTCGATCGCGAAGCGGGCCAACTGATCGAAAATGGTAGCAAATATTACGGCGACTTGGCACCCGGAGATCGCAGTCGGATCGATGGTAAGGGCGGCGAAGTCGATTTGAGCCCACAGGGCTGCTGAAGCAAGGAATGTGATGAGGACCAGCCTCAGGCCGTCCCGAAAGATTTTGGAGCCATGGCCCTTTGCGAAAAGAAAGACGGCGGCGGAGGCGGCGTTGAGGACGATGCCACTGTACACTGCGTGTTAGCCTGTGTGTTCCTCCCATTCCATGTAGTTCCCTCTCTCTTTCTGTCCCCTCGGGTCCATGATGCCTTCATCCTCATCCTCAAAGCTGAACGACGCGTGGTGGTGATGGGCGACTGACAAGGTAAGTGCGGCAACCAGGGCCTGGACAATTCCTGGAATGAACATTTCGTTTGTCGTCGGCGCCGCGGGCCGGCCGGGATAGAATAGAAAACCCAGTCAATGGGGAATGTAAAGTGTAAAGATCTAAGAGAGAAAACGAATCATGATGGAAATGCTGTCGAACTACGGTAGCATCCTATGATTAACCAGAAGAGAACATGTCGGCAGGACGCCCCACGAAGTGGCAGATAGACGGTATGAAGGAGAGTTGGATGGAGTTGAGGCGCGGTAGGGCGGCGTGCTGGCGGCCGTTCTCACAGAGAGTTGTCGGGGACGCAAGAGAGTGGAGTGTCGAACGGAGGACACAGACAAAGATGGAAGGAAACTCTGCAGTAGCCGACAGACGACAACTGGGGTGTGTGTGCAGATTGTACGAAGGGACGCTCGCTCATCAGCGTCTGTGTCTGGGTTGCCGCGCTGGTACTCCGTACCGACAAGTTGAATGGAGAATCTACAAGAGAGGACGTATCACGGCCAGGAACAGAGAGGCCGCACTCCTTTCCCAGACCGCAGACAGCAGAGAACCCAGCCAGATGTTACGCTACCGGGGAGACTAAGCCAGTATTAGCACGCGACCTTACCAGATGGTCGGCGGGAAGCGAGGAATAGTCTGAACAGAGAACAAGGAAGACCCAGGGCAACAGGCGACGAAAGAGGGGCGGACTCTGGCGAGAATTGGATGCTGAAAAAAGGACAAGAGGGTCTTCAAACCAGGCGAGGGCAGGGTGTTGTGTGAGATCTCTCGATGCGTCGTTCATGCCGGTAGAGATCAGGGGGCGTGATTGGGTTGGGTGCAAGGCTGACAGGGGTGTTAACCTTGTCTCTCCACCACGACGCCGTGGCGTGCGTCGACTCTGTTTCAGCGTCGAAACCCACGATGTTCGGGATGGAGGGGTCGAGGGCCGGCCAGAGGTCGATGTCGAGCCATGGGCCCTTATTTTCGTCCATTTTCCTTTGCCTCTTGGTTTGCAATATTTGGGACGTTCCTCCGGCCTCTGGAGCCGTCGGAACAGTCGATTCAAGGTCAGACTTGGTGGATTTCTCATCCTCCAAAAAGCCCGGATGTAAGGCCGGCAGTCTGATCAGAAAACTGCGATGGAAAAGTCGTCATCGTCCAAAGGGCCGGTGGAGGATTCAGCCTCAAGATTGACTTAGGGCTGGTGGCCAAATCCCTTGTGGCAAGACTGAGGTCCCATCGGCGCTTGTTCGAACACACGTGCCTGTCTCTCGGTGCCAGGGGAATGGCGCAAGCGTGAACAAAGTCGACCAATTGCTGGCGGCGGACAGGCTGCTTGCACCTTCCTTCGAGAATGCCGAAGGTTTAAGTTGGGCGCCTCGACAGCGGTGTGATGACCAAAGCAGCGCGAAGTCAGGTACGGAGCATCGTGACCTGCGTTTAAGTGAGGACAGGCCATCGGCCTCGAGGACTGGCCGTTTACTGCCTGTGGTTTTCGTATCCGTAATCTGTTCAGTTCCATAGGTTCAGCCACGACGGAAACACAGGTTCGAACGCCTTCTGCCCTGATGCGATCAAGCTTGCCAGAGGGATCCTCGGTCTGAGGGAGTGACATGTGTTTGCATCATGCGACTCCAAGGCCAAACCCTCACAGATTCCCGTCAACGGCGGATGGAATGTCGCGGCCGAAAGACACTGCCGGTAGCCATTAGCTCAGCCAAGAATGTGACGGACGAGCATCCGTATCTGTGGTCAGCAAAAGCACCACAGGGAAGAAGCCGGCAGCGCCAGGGGGAAATGGAAAATGTGCAGCAGCTCGGACTGAAAGCCAAAGGGCTGAAGTGGTGGAAGACCTTGATTCCGAAAAAGATCAGAAAGAATTTCCAAGGTTGTCCTGTTCCGTTCCAGCCCAGCAGATTTGTCAGGGGCTTCGAGGTTCTTGGCAGCATCGGCAGCGGGGACTTCCAGGCGAGGGTTTCCTTGTAACAAACAACTGGTGACCAGGCACGACCCGTGGACCTGCCAAAAAGCCAAAATATGTCAAGATTGATTGCATGCTGCAGAGCACAGGTCTTTGATGTTTCTTTATCGAGAATGCAAGATGGGCTTTGCATTTGTTGGAATCTTGGATTTAATTAAGGTAGCCAGCCACTAATTAGGTGCCTGCGAGGATAAAAGGCCTTGGGGAGTCTGTCAGCGGTCGACATGGCGCGCTATGTATTTTTCAGCAAAATCAGTGTGGGAGGTACATTGTCCCTGAACGCTAAGCGAACAAGCTTTGGCCGCCCCGTTGGCTTTGCGTTTCGGGTGCTACCGAATCCGACCAGAAACTTGCTCTGTGATTGGCCTATTCGTTCTTCTTCGACACCGGGCTCGTACCTCACGAATACATCTCGACTTGCAACTTGGACATTCGATTATTCAATGTTTCCCTGTCATGTTGACCCAACTTGAGTTGTTTCTGCATCCGCTTGTATCTTTCAAATACTCTGCACGTGCGTTGACTTGGTCTTCTCAACTGCAGTGATTAGCCACCTCGGCTTACTCCAAAGAAGGGGGAGCATTTATGACAAGCCATCTCGTGCTTGATCGGCGCCATGGTGAGGTTGCCCGCGCCTCCAGGCTCTGGAGATCCCTTCTTGGTTGCCACGCCAAACTCTACACCCATCCGATGGCGTCGCGGTGTCTGGAGATGAACTTGATCGGCGTCGTCATTACCCCGCCTGTACACACGACTGATACTGACTTTGCGATCGGCAGTCAACCCAAGGTTTGAGCGCGCCGTTCTGCTATCACCTTAATTACCTGCCGTGCCTGTCCAGTTCTGGACGGTTTAGACTCTTCGCATCGACGGGCTCCCAGTGGCTGCTCTTCCCGCTGACTTGTCTCTCAGACCAGGCACAAGGTTTACCGCACCAGGGATGACGGAAAACGATGTGCGTGAGAGGTGTGACTTTTGTCATCTGGCATCCGTGAGATTTGCGGGTTGAGTGAGATTGGTCGTGGTGATAAGAGCTACAGATCACAACCGCAAGGACTACCGGCCACTGTACCGGCGAAGGATTTGACGTGAAGCCGCTTTGTTTCGGTATCCTGCGGAACGGCGCCCACGCCTTTCGCGGAAATTCCGCCTCCGCTCGGCCAGTCCATCCTTGTGTGACGCCAGAGTAATACTCACTGCAGAAGATGGTGGACAGCACGGGCGGTTGACTGAGATATCCCCCGCGGTGTTCTTACTTTTCTGGATGGACCTACTGAATCCGGTTTGGCGCTGTATGCCGTCCACCGTCCCGACGCTCTCCATGAGCTTACTCCGCAGTTCGGCGCCGGACCCGAAGATGGCTCCCGGCAGCGTAGACCGGGTCCAATGAGTCAACGGCGGCGTAATGGGCGTATCTGTAATTACGCCATCGCGCTATCTAGTATCACTGCGTAACGCATCCCGACTTCGTGATATATAGATGAGCCCGGAGGATGTGTCGTTTCAAGAAGATAGTCATAGACATAGATATAGATATAGACAATCTACCTAAACCGACCCCATAGATCATCATTATGCCGCACGTTGAACTCGAGTACCCAAAGCAGCCGTACGGCACTGTCAAGCGGTACAGCCCTCGCGGTGAGTACTCGATCACAGACACATCATAAATCATCTTCTCATACCCTCCACAGCGACCTACGCCCTCTCCACAATCCACAACATCATAAACACCAGCCCGATCCTACACGTCTCCTTCAACGTCCCAGAAAGCCCCTTCCCGACAATCCTGCCCATGCTCGGCCAGATGGGCTCCTACGCCCGCCCCTCCGCCGACGAGGGCGACGTCCTAGACCTGTACCTCCACGGCTACGTATCCTCCCGCCTGATGAACACGTCACGCGACGCCAAAGACGGTTCATCGCCAGCCGGCCTCCCCGTCTGCGTGGCGGCGAGCCACGTCGACGGCCTGGTCATGGCCCTCACCCCCAACGCGCACAGCTACAACTACCGCTCGGCCGTCCTCTTCGGCCACGCCGCCCTCGTCGAAGACCCCGCCGAGCGGCTGTACGCCATGGAGCTCATCACCAACGGCGTCGTGCCCGGGGCGTGGTCCAACACCAGGGTCCCGCCCAACAAGGCCGAGCTGTCGTCCACCAGCGTGCTGAAGGTGACTGTCGCGACCGGCAGCGCCAAGATCAGGTCCGGCCCGCCCGCGGACGAGAAGCATGACAGGGAAGACGCGGGGGTTGCGGATAGGGTCTGGACTGGCGTCATTCCGGTGTATCGCGCTCATGGAGAGCCGGTTGCTGGGCCGTATAGTGTCGCGGAGGTTCCCTCGTACATAACTGAGTATGTCAATGATGCTAACGAAGGTGCCCGAGAGCACGCTGTTGAGACGGCGACGAAAGTCCTGATTAAGAAGGTGGACTAGATGAGATGCTAAACGGGACAGGCTAGCATGTTCCGAGATACGAACGAACATAGAGGGCGTGTTTTCAAAGAGAATTGCTTGTTTCCAATGTTGCGAGAGTATATTATTTCTCTAAGCTCCCTTTCGAGGAAGATGTAATTACAGTTCACGGAGTATATACAATCTGCGGTCTCCATTCATGAAGGATCCCTCTCGACCGTTCGCCAGGCCGAAGGAAACATACTTTTATGTAGATCACCACTGCTCCCAGATACGAGCAGGCAAGACCCAGCGCATGACCTCCCAGTGTCCCAACGCGCTCTTCTCGTGCCACTTGGTCAGCTGCTCGGTAGCGTTGTTCCTCAAGAGACCAAAGTCGCCGTCCAGGAAGTGCTTGGGGAGGACCTCGTGCCGGGGTTGCAGGAAGACCTTGCGGGTGCGGCTCTGCAGGAAATCCTCCTCCTCGGGCTTCCTGAAGAAGAGCTTGCCGCTCGTCTTCTTGCAGAAGATGACCATGTTGGTGAAGTCCTGGCCCTCTTCCTCGAGCTTCTTCTTGCTAGGGTGCTCTGACTCGCGGAAGATGCGGCAAGAGGGGAAGACCTGCTTGATGGTGTCGACAACTAGCTTGGGGGCAGGGTGGAGGAAGTCTCCGGCGTAGTTCTGTGGCTGTTAGCGAAACTGCGTTCTCCTGCGCATGCCGCTGTGAATGGACTTACGATGGCAATCACTCCGTCGGGCTTGAGGAGTGAGTTGAGGCCCTGGAGGAACTCGAGAGTGAACAGAGGAACGGGCTCGGCGCCTCCGGTGAAGACATCGTGGACGATGTAATCGTATCTCGCGCTGGGGTCGTCTGCGAGCTTGGCCGTGTAGCTCACGGCATCTGCGATGACGGGGGTGTGGTTTGACGGCAGATCAAAATACTTGGAGGCGAACTCGTGCACAACGGGGTCGATCTCGACAATTGTCGTGTCGATGCCGTGGGTAATCAAAGCACCGGGGGTAGTGCCAATTCCAAGGCCGCTGTTCCTTAGTCAGTTATATGCTCTTTCATAGCTCATCATCACAACTCACATGTTGAGGGCCTTGGCCTCGCTGTCGGGAACGGGGTTCTTGGTCTTGACAAGGCGGACAGCTTCCAGCATGACGAACACGCCATAAATAGGCTCAGCGACGATGGGACCCTTGTGCTTGACCCATTCGCCACCAAGCAGAGAATGGTCACATCTCAAGACGCGGTACCCGTCCTTGATGCTCTCGAGCACAGAAATGTACCCGGTGATGGACTCCTTGCGGTCCAGCAGGAACCAGTCGTCTGCCAGCAAGGTAGTGTTGAGCGATGCCGTGGCCATGGGAGTAATGGCGTGCGTGTTGAGCACCGCAGTGTGAAGAAGAGCCGGAATGGCAAACAGGAGCAGCTTGGAGGGGGCGTAGATGGAGTACGAGGCGGCCAGGAGTGCCTCAAGACCGATTCTGGTCTGGAAGAACGACTTGCCGACGTACGCCTGCAGGTAGTCTCCCGACAGCTTCTCCATGAACTTGAAGAATCCCCATGATCCCAGGCCGGGGCCGGCGTCGGCAAGGAACTTGGGCAGCTTTGATAGATCCGCCTTTTCCAGCTCAGTCGCGACGCAGCTGACGGATATCAAAACCAAGGGAAACAACGTGACGGCCTCGGTAGCCAATGGCCCCCAGCTCGCCGTAAGAGTCGCGCTGGTCTTGTACAGGTAGAACTGAATTGCGGGAATCCAGAGGGCGATGACGGGCAGCAGACTCGCGGTCTTGAAAGGCAGTGAGCGGTTCAGGAACACATTGCCCGACCAACCGAAGAAGCAGGCCACCATGACGAGCTTTGCATGGTAAATGGACGACGGGATGGAGCCGTAAACGGGTGAGAGGGCCAGCTGAGAGACATTGCTGTAGACGGCTGCGAGACTCAGCAGGATGGCGGTCTTGAGATATACCGAAGCTTGTTCCTTAAAGAATTTGCCCCTAGTCTCACCCTTCGCCTTGGCCGCCAGGTTCTTGAGCTCCTTCTCGAATCTTTCCGGGGTGAAGGCCTCGGGGGCGTCGGCCTTTTCGATTTTGGCCTTTGGCGGCATCGTGATCGTTTGTCTGGTGATGCCGGATGAAATCGGCGAGGTGAAATGACAACGTGGTGAGTTGCGAAGTCGAATGCACAGATATGAATTAGGAAGTGGAGGATGAGCGTCCGGGGTCAAGCTTCAATGGAGCTCTCAGGGACCAACCTAAACCGTGGCAAGGATGGGACGGGAACGAGAATAGGTAGGGAGTGCAAGAAACGCAGGCTTAACGAAAGTTGCTGATCTGGCATCCAACAGCCTGCTGTTGAAGCTCTCTCTCTTTCCTCTGACTCGGGCTAAGACTCCAAAACAGCTCAAGCCGTGTTTTGTCGTGCGTGCGACATGCGGAAGCGGGTTTCTGCTGCTCTGTTGCTGCGTTTTGAAACGTCTCCTCAGGCCATCCTTCATCCACTGCAGCAAATTTCGGGGGCCTGCCGAATCCCAGCCACAGACATGGTTTTCGTTCAGGATGTGGCGGTGCAAAATTGTAGTGAGAGGCCAATGGAATTGGCAACCAAAAGTAAAGAAAAACAACCCACTATTACCACTCCACCACTATTATGTCACAACAATTTTGAGGCAGATGCTCTTTCTCATTATTTCATTTATCGTTATGGGATAGCGAGCTTTCGTGCTCATACTATACAAGATGCCATCGTTGCCTTGCGGAATGGCACCTGTTGCCAGACCCCCAGATTTTGTAATCATCCAAAAAAAATCAATCGCTTGTTAGGGATGGCCACAAGACTTTGTACTTGTGCCATACAGGATGCCATCGTTGCCCTGCGGAATGGCTCTATTCTCCAAACCCCCAAGTGTTCGCCAAGTGATGCAACAGCATTACCAAGCCATATGGATAGCCAGTATCCTTGGCTATGCAGGATGCCATCGTTGCCCTGCGGACTGGCCTTCTTCGCCAGACCCCTATTCCCTATGTCTTACAAAGGATGGCCGGCGAGTGCCAGCCATACAGGATGCCATCGTTTCCCTGCGGACAAGCATATTCCCGCTTGACCCCTTGTGTTCACGACACCAAGTGAGTGAACACTTTTTTTCTTAGATCTTCTCTCCCTCGATGATAGGCTTGGCCTCATCGCTGGTCCACCAGCTGACGCCGGGCTGACCGGGGTAGCTGAACTTGTCCATGCTGTCCGCCTTCATCTCGACACTGTAGCCAGGTTCCGTGGGGGTCTGGTAGTATCCATCCTTGATGACGGACGGGTTGAGGAAGTGCTCGTGCAGGTGGTCGACGTACTCGAGCACGGAGAGCTTGCCGCTGACGACGACGTAGTCGATGGTGCTGAGGTGCTGAGTGTACTCGGGAAGACCGACACCGCCGGAGTGGGGCACGATAGGGACGTTGAACTTCTTGGCCATCAAGAGAACGGCAAGGACTTCGTTGACACCGCCCATGCGGCAAGCGTCGATCTGGCAGATGTCGATGGCGCCGGACATGAGGAGCTGCTTGAAGATGACGCGGTTCTGGCACATCTCACCGGTGGCGACACCGATGCCGTACGGCTTCAAGGCCTCACGAATGGCCTTGTGGCCGAGGATGTCATCGGGAGAGGTGGGCTCCTCGATGAACCAGGGCTTGAACTCCTTGAGCTGCTTCATGTACTCGATCGCTTCGGGCACAGACCAGACCTGGTTGGCGTCGACCATGAGGATGTTGCCGCTGTCGTAACCAATAACCTCGCGGGCGATGCTCAGGCGCCTCTTGTCCTGGTCGACGCTGCTGCCGACCTTGAGCTTGAAGTGGCGGTATCCCTTGCCGAGGGTCTCCTGCAGCAAGCCCTTCATCTTGTCCTCGCCGTAACCAAGCCATCCGGCACTGGTGGTGTAGGCAGGGACGGCGCGGCTGTTCTCGGCGTCCTTGATACGTTGGGCCTTGGTGGGCTCCTGCTCCTTGAGAAGCTGGATGGCCTCCTCAGGTGTGATGGCGTCGGTGATGTAGCGGAAGTCGATACAGCTGACGAACTCCTCGGGGGTCATGTCGGCGACGATGCGCCAGACGGGCTTGCCGAGGACCTTAGCCCACAGATCCCAAATGGCATTGACAACGGAACCGAGAGCCAGGTGGATGACACCCTTCTCAGGGCCAATCCACCTAAGCTGGCTGTCGTTGACGAGGTATCTCCAGGTCTGGCCCCAGTTAGAGACGAGCTCTGACAGCTTCTTTCCCTTGATTCTATCCACAAGGTAGTCGATCGCTTTGCACACAATGTCGTTTCCTCGGCCAATGGTGAAGGTCTGTAGAGGTATGTGTGTCAGCGATTGTACTGTCCAACTGAGAAACGAGTGCTTCAACATACCATGCCGTGGCCGGAGTACTTGGAATCCGTCTCGAGAATGCAGTAGGCGGCAGAGTAGTCACCGGCGGCGTTCATGGCATCGGAGCCGGTCTTGTCCAGGGAAGTAGGAAAGCGCACATCGCGCGTCTGCCACCCGGTGATTGTAATGTCGGTCATGATGGCGGTTGAGGGTATCAAAGAGACGGACAACAAACAGCAAGAGAAATACGGGAGGATGAGAGAGAGAACAAGGAGGGAAATGGTAGGATGCAGGCACAATTGGAACACGAGATTGAGACTTTTATAGCCTCGACGATGTAAATTTCCCCCACCTATCGGCCATGACCAGCAAGGGCCACGACACTTTACCCCGAGTCTGGAGTTAGGCCGGAGGGGCTTTCGAAGGACACTGGAGAGAGGGGGAGGGGCATGCAGAGAAGAGGGCACCGTGGGGTCTCTTCGGTGGGGCTGCCCGCAGGAGACACCCCGGCTTGAAGGCCGCGTGCGAGCGCGGGGGTAGGGCCAGGCCGAGCCGGCTTCGGCCCCTCCAGTTTGGGCGCCTCTGATTGATGGAATAATTCTTCCGTAGCGTTTCTAGCCCGCGCTTGCTCGGCGTCCTCTCCGTTCTTCTCGGTGTTGGCCAACCCACGGGGGAAGATTTTGTCTCCGTCAATGGACGGAGAACTTCCAGAATGCCACCACTTCTCACTTCCCCGGCATTCGGAGCATGTGGCTGGCCGTGAGCGGCTTGGCAACGGTCCGTTTCGTGTTGTAAGTGGCTTCAAATGCATCACTCATGTCGAACAGAGACAAGCCGGTCTGAGCATGCGCCAATAAATCTCCGAGAGATCTGCTCGGAATGTCTTGGACGATGCCCCGGAGCCCTGGGATGATGTGTGTTGTCTGCAGGTGCATGGTCTGGTGGGATCATGGTATTAGAGTACTAGTACCGGCTATCTGTTCCAACATCTGTAAATATCTATTAACGATCTGAGTGAAGTCTGTAAGGACTGTGGGGGATGACCAACCGCATTGGCGAACTTCATCGCTGCTTTGAGACTTGACTTAGACAGAAGAAGCATGTTCAGCTCTACTCCACATCTGAGCCAACATCGACATATCAGGGCCTTCAGATGTCATCGAAAGACCAAAGAATGGCCGGATATATACATGCCCGTAGTGAGCCAGATCCATTAGGCCTTACGAAGCGTGGGTACAAAAGAGCCGGTCTAAGTTTCTAGAGATCTAGAAGTGGGCTGTTAACGAGAAGCGTATGCGGTGAACTACATTGGCGCTAGTTTGTATTCCACGTCTTCACAACAAGATGATTGATCGGTAGTCATGATGAGCGTGCCATGTGGAGGCGCGGGGGGGCCATGAGATGAGTCTCGGCAAGACAATGTGGCCAAACAAACACCTCGAGACAGTCCGCGGGGTATCCGGAGAACGCAACGTTACTCGGCCGAGACTGGATGAAAGCTGTCAAAGCCACCGGCTGGTTTTTGTGATTGATTCCACAGCGGGGTATCTCGAACTGCTCGAAGGAGCACATACATGAGATGGACCGTGAAGAGAAGACGCGCCTTTCCAAGACACAGCAACACGAGCCCAGAACCAATCCCAGTGGATGACCAGTGTACACTAATCGTGTCGCCATGTCATGACTCTACATCTCGGCGGTTCACTCTCAGTCACTTGGATGAAATGCTGCCCCTGATTCTGAGCAGCGGGCGCGGACGGGGCTAGTCGTCTCCTGGCGGATTCAAGCAGTTCGACAACCTCACCTAAACCGCCCGATCGTGCCACTTGGGCAGCCGCGACTTCATAGTACCGACGGCCTCCAGATTGGAATTCCGGCATCTCACCACACGGGTCGGACTCGTAGGACGCCAGGTAGTCCTCCAGTATTGTGTTATTCTGGCGAGAATTGGAACTCCACTGCCGTTCTGCCGGGGCGGGCCAGGGCCGCTCGGCTTCCCGTAAATGGGCCGGATCCACGACGACGTAGAGAGCCCGGGGAGAGCCCCATAATGCGAGCAAGCCGTTGAGGGCTTCGGAGTAGTAGAATGCGCTCCGGCCGTCCGAGACGCCGTGGCGATTTGGGCCGGGCCAGGAAAGACCCAGATAGCGAAGCGGGGTCGGGGCTTGGAGGCGGAAGACACTGCTGGTGCTGATGAGTCTGCACGGCCATTGCCATCCGGTGGTCAGAATGACGAGATCGCGCACGGCATCGATCTCCATACAGTAGGAATCGAGTGAATCTTGGCCTCGTAAGGAGAACGGATTGGCTGGCTTTACCAGCGCTTTGTACGCTCGTATAGCGACATGATAGGAGCGTCGACAAGTGACGAGCATGCTGGACAGAGTTGCCATGACGCAGTCGCGATCTTCGAGATCAGACTCTGTGGTCGTTGGAAGGCGGTAGAGAAGAACTCTGTCTTTGACATTGTGTCTATCGATAGAGCCATCTTCGGCGCGGCCCATTGGCTGGCGTGCGAGCTGAGCATGGAAGGCCGTGGGAGCAGGTCGAGGTATGGCGGCTTCCCAAACCTTGTCTTGGATTTCCAAGGGCAGATCGGGGAATAAGGCAAAGCTTGCCATGGCTTGGCAAGTAGGGCGGCACAGACAGGACGAAGAAGGTTGGCGTCAATATCTGCGTAGACTCTGGATGGAAGTCGATGGTATGTGGGCGAAGGTTGGCGATTCGTCGAGACGGACGAGGACCAAGAGAAGAGTTCCGATGTGCGGGGGAGCTTCAATCGGGGGTGGCGAGGTGGCGCCGGAGGCAGCTCCGACTCCGTGTGTGCCCTTTCGATTTGGTTGTGCCGCGACCAGAATGTTGGCTCGGTCACGTCTCGGTAACATGAAGCGGAGAAGAGTGAAGGAAGGGAGGCAGAAGCAGTCGAAAGTCAGCAGTCGCAGTCCGAGGTGAAGCTGACTGTGCTTCCGAATGCCGCCTGAGGCCACATCGTTGACGGTTGAGTCAGGAAGACGGCAGCATCATGTCATGTGCAACGAACGAAGACTCTGGGTTGATTGATTGGTTGAATACGGCCATTTTTCTCTGTGAGACGGCATAAGATAGGCGACAGGACAAGACAGGTGAAAGTGGCGGAAAACCAAGGTTGCGAGCGTCCCGCACAAGGGCCTTGATGACATCAGCCAATCGAATTTGTTCCGACTGTAGATGCTGGTTCCGGGGAAGCTCCGGGGGGCTGGGCTGTCAAAGCACAGCGGGCACCACCCGCCTGCGGCTCCATTCCAGGCTGGGTTCCACTGGAAAATAGCGAGCATTGCTGCTGGAAGATCACCAGGGGAGTTCCATTGATTCACTGAAAATCTCAGTGGCAATCATGTCCCAAAATGTTGCTTGTCTTGCCCATCTCTCATTCTTGCTGGGGCCATCGTTGTTTTCTCTTTGCCATTCTTTTCTCTCGCCTTTTCAACATAACGCCTCTCGCTGTCGCTTTCGCCATGTCCTTACGAGTCAACGTCACCTGCAAGTACAAGGCGCAATCGCAGCTCTGCAACAGAACGGAAACAGCGCAGCGGTTTCTGACTCTGACGTGGAGAGACGAGCGGGAATACCACATCTTATCTGGTCCCAACTTCATCACCACCACCGGCGCAATGCAACTCGTCCGACCTGCCTGTCAATCACCACCAAGTACAGATGCTCATCTCGTCTTTTCCACATCGACGAATGCGAACTGCGATACGAACCATGCCCCCGATCTGGGACGCCCTCCACCTCGCAAGCTGCTATCCCTGACAGAGCCTGAGCCTCGACCTCAGCACCCCCGCGTCACTTTTCCAAGTTGGCATGCTATGACGTGGGTACAAGGGTGACACTCCCATGCACTCCCATGCTTCTAGACCAACAACATCAAGGGTCTGCGGATATCTCCCAAGGCGGTGCGGACTCGGGCTGTTAGGCTTCGCCTCGGACACCACGAGAGTACGTGAGTGTATCCTTGCCTAGCCTTGAGTCGAGCAACATGTGCCACCTGCTACCTATGCGCTGTTTGATGGCTGTTATCCACCGAACATCGCCCACTCGGCTCAAGTGAGCACTTCAGCAATTAACCATACTACCTGGTTAAAGTAGCGTAAGATGCTAGCATGATCTGGGTCACTTTCTGACTAGCTATCTGACCTTACCCTACCTTACCCTATATACCTCATCCCGGCCTGCCCTCCTCACCCTCCAATAGCCTCACTTCCTGGCAAATCCTGTTTTGACCTTCTTGGTCTTGACATCCACACGACTCCATCATTGTACATGCATATCCTGCCATCCGTACGCGCGGATACCTGCACTGCTGAGCCTTCTTCCTGCTATATGCCCCCTCCCCTCTCGCCGTGTGCATGGGGCATGCCATCTCTCTTGCACCATTAATCTTTGTAGGTGGACGTCATTTTGCCATAGACGGGCTCATGACTTTTCGTCACTGAACTCATTCTTCATTCACCCAACCCATAATAAGTCGCATTCTACCAGATCTATTAGACGCAACATTTGTCCACATCCCACTGCTTGAACAGTTGTCAGTACAGCAATAGTAGCATCATCAGCAGCTTCTCTTAGCCATTGACCGTCGACCACATCACCTCGCAACAAAACAATGCCTCACTCACGAGGGCCGTCAGTGGCCTCACAAGCAACTGCAGACAAGCAGTCGGAACAGCCACGTCTGCGAAAGAGGTTGCAAAAGAAGTTCCCATCACTCCGTCGTCCGGCTCCCATCGACTCGTCTGCGTCAAATAAACTCAGTTCTGCCGTCGGACTAGTCGCGCAGCAAGCCGGAACAGTCGGCCAACCTTCCTTGCGCCTGTCTCCAGACCTCAGCGATGCCAAATGGCACGAGTACCTGAGCACGAGCGGCACAGAACAAGATTCGGCCGAACAACCCAGAGTCTCATTCGACGTCCCTGTTTCACAAGCAGTTCCAGAACTTATTCCAGAATTCTCTCATCTCGCTGTCAACACCTCAAAACCACGACCGTCCCTTGACAGCTACCTTAGCTCACCAACCTCTTCCATCAGCACAAGGTCCAGCATGAGACGCCGCGCAAAAACTCCAGTGTACACCATCGGCCAACTAGAGGGCACTCCTTGTGTAAAGGAACCCGTAACCGTCGACAGGTCCAGCGTCGACCTCATCGCCAAGCAATACCAAGCCCTTATCGAGTCACAAGATGGTTCTTCTATCTGCACCGACACAAGGCCCGACTCATTACCTTCCCGACCTTCATCATACACCAGATCCTCATTAGCACGGTCGCAATACAGCGCTGGCGAGCTGCGAGCGGATCTGCAGCCAGATGTCTACGAACCCCCGCCTCGGAGCCGACGTCGTGCCTCAGCCCACTCTCCAACGTCAGACGATGGTACTCTGGTCTCCTTCGACGAAGAAGCCATCTACTTCAAGCCTCTTTCATTCTCTCCAGAGCCACCATCGCCTCCTCCACGTAGTCGAGCTCGGGTGCAGCGCAATACAGAGTCTCATGCGTCCGATCACAATCTTAGCCTCCAAATCTGCACTGATCTCCTCACGAAAGAACTTTCGACCGCCATGTTAGATCGTCAACTAGGAAGCGGGGAGGACATATCATCTCTCCAGATCTGGGTCATGATTGAAGCGTACGAGAGGTTGAGAGACCAGGTTAGGGAGAAGGAGGGTTTACAAAATATGGAGCCAGTTTTCGACAACTGGTTGGCAGCCCTCTATTCCTTACATGATAAGCTTACGAACGACGCAAACTCTCATCAAAGTCATTACGAAGGTGGTGGCCCAGAGTTGACGACTTTGAACTGAAGGAATCATATCCCAAATACCCGGAAAAGTTATGCCAAGCCCTAGTGCTTGTAGTTGTAGACGTAGGGTTAGAAAATACACTGAATCATCAACAAGCCGATGCCTCATTCCGGGCGCGTACAGTGAAACACCCGCATCCGTTCGCGTCAATACAACCCAACATATGTTGATTCTGTGAACCTATGAAATAGAAAAGAGTTACAGGCCAACAATGATCCAAGCCTCGCGATTTGTGCTTTTCTTTGGTGGACAGCATGCCCCTCACTGCAACGTCGTGGCAGGCATTGAGGTGGAGGAGGGGCAATCCCCCGCCCGCTCAAGCCGATCATTCCAGGTTCCAGCGCGGCGGGATATTCTCCACTAAAATTACCTCAGAGCTCCATTCACAGTGCTGACGCGCTTCAGGAACCTCCCAGGGTCGTGAGTTGAATTTCTGCATCTACCACTCGACGTCACAACTTCGCGACTGAACACGGTTCCTCGACCATCTGCTGCCTACAATCCCTCGAAAATCAATCTCAAGCACCCGAAAGCTGTTTCATAACTTTCTCTCGAGCCATGGACGACGACTTCGGCGCCGATGAGGACTTCCTCGCGGCGCTTGCTTCCTCAGCCTCCGGACCTTCACGACCTCAACCTCCGTCTCAACCTCAACCTCCTCGTGCTCGTCCGCAACAGCCAACACCCCAGAAAGTTCAGCAACCGATACCGCAACGTCTGGACAAGGCGCCACCTGCCAACTCGCCAAACACCAGCAAAGTCGTCCAACCCACCCCGCAAGCACTTCCTCAGCGAGGATCGGGATCCGCCATCTTGGTGTCCCCTCGCCAAAGAGGAAATCCGGTCATCACCTCCTTGAAGTCGATGCCATGGGAATACAGTGATATCGCAGCTGATTACGGCTTGGGCCTGACAACATGCGCCTTGTTCTTGAGGTTTGTCGCCGATCACCCCATCCCACCTTCCTTCAATCCAACAGCTGCCTAACTTATCCGGGCACAGTCTAAAGTACCACCGCCTCCATCCCGAATACATCTATACGAGAATCAGGAACCTCCAGGGGAAATACAACCTTCGAATCCTTCTGACCATGGTCGATATTCCCAACCACGAAGAAGTCCTGCGCGAGCTGTCCAAGACGTCGCTCGTGAATAACGTCACCATCATTCTCTGCTGGTCTGCTGCTGAGGCTGCCCGCTATCTGGAACTCTACAAATCTTACGAGCATGCCAACTTCAACGCGATCCGTGGCCAGCAGGCTTCGAGTTATGCCGAAAAGCTCGTCGAGTTTGTCACAGTACCCCGAAGCGTAAACAAATCGGACGCTGTGGCCTTGGTCAGCAACTTTGGTAGCCTGAAGAACGCCATCAACGCAGACCCAGAACAGGTTGGCATGCTCGCTGGATGGGGAGCTGTCAAAGTCAACAAATGGATCAGGGCAGTTGACGAGCCTTTCCGAGCCAAGAATGCTGCCAAACGACAGTTGGACCGCGTCGAAGGCGCCGAGGCTGGCAGACCTGCCCAAGCTTCCAGACTTGATCACGCTGTTCCCCTTAGCAGAGTCCCGCTCCGCGAGATGGAGTCTGCACGAGAATCATCGCGAGGATCACCAGCGACAGAAAGATCGACACACACTCAGGACAAGCGACCTGCACCTGCACCGCCTCGAAGGAATAATCAAGACCCGGACGAAGACGACGAAGAGGCAATGATTGCCGCTGCTATCGAAGAATCAAAGAGAACCGCACAGGCGCACACTGAAGCACAGACTCTGGCGAAACAGTCTGACAGCACAAGTGCCAAAGACAGCGCTCTGTCTGACGGAGTTGCGGCGGCTCTCGCCAAACTTCGAAAGCAGGGCTGAAGCTGCCATTGAATTCAACCAGCCGCTGTATAGCACCATCTTGGATTGGCGATAAAAAGCTTAACCGACTGACACAGTTGTTCGAGACACTTCCCAGCCGGGAAAGGCACAGCGGGAAAGTCGCATATGATTCAAAAAAGGAAACTTCCTGACTCGAGGCGATGTTTGGCGCGGCGCATAAACAGACTCGTGAACGGGAACGACACGATCTAGCTTTCGACCTGATGAGATGACCCTTAAACTACGGGCGAGCCAATCAGTACATGATCCAGAAGAACAACCACCATCATAATTAGACGAAGGGACCAGTCAGGAGACATGAATGCAGCGACAGAAGGAGAACACATGGAAGTGCGACTTGGGATCATCCCACGCCGTCTCCAACGTTTCACGGAGCGGGTGGGGAAAGTCTGGTGTCCCTCTTAGGTTGTGTTCACTCCATGCGGGGGGCTGGACGCTTCCGCAGGAACCGGACGCAAGAATTTGGAGATGATGATCGTCACGCTCGCGTTGGTGTATCTTCCAGTGCTACCCTTCTGACCTTGTCAAGTGGTTGATATTGGACGAATCGTCAAATGGCTAATCTTGACATGGCGCTTTTCTTCTGATGATGTTGGGGCTTTTGCAATATTGGCAACTTGCAATCAACTAGCACGTCGCTACTCCTTTTGCATACATGAGTGAGTTACACGGCGTGCGTCAAAGCCAAGTATGCTGTACCTCTTGAGAAACGTAGCGGCCAACTAACACAATTGCAATACGCCGCGCAATACAATGCAGCCACCCTTCTTTCTTTCGCTCTACTCGCCATACCCAGCGAGGACACATTGAACGGTCAATATTCCAACTTTCTTGATAAGATGCTAGGCTGCCATGGCTCTGCAGCGAAATTCCGCCCTTCTCAAGGTGACGGCGAAGAATCTGGAGAAGGCGGCCAACTAATGAGCCGCTCGAACACTCCGGTCCGGACTCCCACGGCAGTACTGCACCGGTTACAACGGCAATCGGCCCATTCCCGCAATTCTTCTTCCCCGCTCGTGCCAAGCAGGTGGTCAGAGTCAATTGCAACTCCAGAGCCTTGGAAGTTGGACGAGACTCCGCCGAAGCAATATCAACTTGATGCGGAAGGTGAGGCGACTGGGCCAGAACCTATGGACGGCTCAGAAGCTCGGGTATTTGAGCTCACCTGCATTTCTTTTGCGCTTCTCTCCTGCTTATGCAACGCGACGCTGCAGTTAGCATTGGGTTGCACTGGCAAGGGGCTCTCCTCAACTACTGCTCCGCACGTGCTTGATTCACCATATCAAGTCCGTGCCTGATGACTTTCTAGATCCAGGACGAGCGACCAAACTGGCAAGATCTGCTCTGCGCGTGCTGATGCCAGTCATTCACGGCAACCGACGGACTCGGCCCGCATGATGGCTAACCAATATCCAGGTGCATTGCAGCCCTACCGACATACAACTCCGGGGATGTGAGTGCCTTGTGTTCGTCTGGACCTTTGCGTGCAACCTCATCTTGTTGAGGAGGGGTGGGTGGTATTGAGGTCAGAAAGGATGATGCGATATGTGCACAACAATGGGGCAAGGCAATATCGAATGGCAAAAGTACCTACTTTGCAAGCAGAGCAGCGGCGGCTGCAGCGCGCGCAGAAGCAGGAGAGAAGGAGCAGGAGTAGGGGCGCAGTACAATGTCCGGACTTTGAGACAAGGGTAGGCGCAACCACAGAGTCCGGGGACTCTGGACGAGAAACAGAGTTTATCCAGTCTCGCTGGTGTGTGCCAGAATCAACTGATTTCTTGAGGTTGCAGTGGTTGCATGATCCCAACCCGCCCGACGGACGTGTGGAAATTTAATAACTTTCCGGTTCTCTTCACCATCGTATTTTAGTTCCTTCTCTTCTGCACCTTCGTTACGCCTCTCTACACTCTCCTCGACAGCCCTTGGCGTCTTCTCCCCAGTCTGCCACGGGACTTCTTGATTGCCTCTCGTTAGTTCACCTTTTGGTCTGCTCCACTTCGCTTGGGAGCACGAGTCGGAGACCATGCACCTCTACCGCTCAGGAAGCCTTTTGGCCTTGACTGGGCTTCTTGCCCAGGTATCCGCACTTCCTCAGATTTCACTGCAGGCGGATGCCGCTCCCACATACAAAAACCAGCCCGAGAGAGCCGCCGCCGTGAAGGAGGCTTTCCAGCGCTCCTGGGATGGCTATCGGAAGTTCGCTTTTCCTAACGATACCCTGAAGCCTGTGTCCAACACGTTCGAGAACGACCGGTGAGTGTGTCATTACAGTATAGAGTCATGCTTTTACTGACGTTCTTGCTCAGCAATGGATGGGGTGCCAGTGCCGTTGATGCGCTCAGTACAGCCATCATCATGGAGAACAAGGACATTGTTGGCCAGATTCTGGAATTTGTGCCATCGATTAACTTTGATGTCACATCTTCTGAAGTCTCGGTGTTTGAGACAACCATCCGTTATCTGGGCGGATTGCTATCGGGTGAGATTGCGCTGTCGATTAGACCGTCCAACTAATAACTGCTAACTGGATATCTAGGTTACGACATGCTCAAGGGGACTCTCAAGGATGTCGCTTCCAACTCGACAGGCGTAGATGCGCTGCTCACCCAGGCAAAGAAACTTGCGGACAACCTCAAAGTGGCCTTCGACACACCCTCCGGTGTGCCGGACAACACTCTCGTCTACGACCCGAAACCGCGCAAGAACGGATCTAGCACCAACGGTATTGCGACCATCGGAACTCTGGTCCTCGAGTGGACTCGCCTGAGCGACCTGACTGGCGACACTCAATACGCCAACCTGTCGCAACGTGGAGAGAACTACCTGCTCAAGCCCAACGAAGAGGTGTTCCCCGGCCTCCTGGGCACCGATGTGTTCATCGAGAACGGCACGTTCGCCGATCGCAGCGGAGGCTGGAACGGCGGAACGGACAGCTTCTACGAGTATCTCATCAAGATGTGGGTGTACGACCAAAAGCGGTTTTCTCTCTACAAGGACCGCTGGGTGGCTGCGGCCGACTCTTCTATCAAGTTCCTGGCATCCAACCCGTCGACGCGTCCGGATCTCACCTTCCTCGCCGCCTACACCAATGCCCAGATTAGATTCGTGTCGAGTCACTGTGAGTTTGTTTGCATCACGCTTAGGTTAACATTGGTGCTGACTTGATGACCAGTGGCATGTTTCGACGGTGGCAACTTCATCTTGGGCGGCCTTGTCCTTAAGGAGCAGAAATACGTTGATTTCGGTATCAAGCTTACGGAGGGTTGCCGTGAGACGTACAAACAAACAGCCACCCGCATCGGACCCGAAATCTTCCGGTGGTTCGAAGACAAGCCCGGCATCAACACCACTTTGAACCCCCAGCCCCCGGCCAACCAGACTGATTTCTACAACAAAGCCGGATTCTGGATTAGAAGCGATGGTGGCTCGTACGTGCTTCGGCCAGAGGTCATCGAAAGCTACTACTATGCCTATCGCGCCACCGGAGACTCCAAGTACCAGGACTGGGCATGGGATGCGTTCCTCGCCATCAACAAGACTTGCAGCGTCGGCAGCGGGTTCTCGTCCATCACGAACGTCAACGATCCAAAGGGTGGTTCTTTCGACGACTTCCAAGAGAGCTTTTGGTTCGCCGAGGTGATGAAGTACAGTTACTTGATCCAAGCTACCGACGCCAAGGTTCAAGTTGAGGTTGCGGACAATAAGTGGGTGTTCAACACGGAGGCTCATCCGTTCCAGGTCCCTTCATAAGGAAGTAATGAGGGCCGCCAGGATACCTAGCGAAGTAGATAATGTTTCAAGGCGGGCTTAATATCAGTAGTAGGCATGAATACCCATCAGAAATACAGATGTAAATTTTTGTTGAGATGTTTTGCTGCTATTTCGCGAAGGCGCGGTGAAATTTACGAGCCACCGTCTCTCTTGGCGTACTCTTCCTCCATAGCCTCCTCATACAGACGGTCGGCCTCGAGTTCTGCCTCCGTCTTTGGGCGGGTGGTGCCGGCTCCCGTGTTCACGCCGGCTCCTGTTGCCTGGCCATGTTGTTGCTGTTGGGCCTCGACAGGCTGGTGATTCTGAGATTCGGCGGGCGACTCGTCGGGGACTTTGGGGACGCCGAGCTTGAGAGGAAGACCCATTTTGAATGTCCGGTGATTTGGAATGATTCGATGAAAGAGAAATGCGGGGTGAAGATGAGTTGTTTCTGAGGAGCTTCGAGAATGGAAGAGGTGTTTGATATAATCAGTTCACGATGTCCAGTGGCGAGGGGTTGTCGCAAGCAAGATGTAAATGGATGGAGGAATAGGTTGGTGGGAGATACGCCACAAGGATGTGGCGAATGCACCACCCATCCAGAGTCGGAGCCGAAGATTCGCGCCGACCCGCCCGGGCCTAAGACGGTGTCAGCGGTTCAACCGGTGCTTGCGACGAACGATTTCCCGTCACTTGTTGACCATGTAACTGTAACTGGTTACGTCTCAACTACCATCGTGATCGTTCGTCAGGTTTTCCACGGTTTTCATTGCAAAGAACGAAGAGAACCTAACAATCCGCGGGTAACACACCACCATGGTCACAGCACTGATGTTTCTCCAGGACTCAGCAACCAATCCCCCCCCCGGGGTATTACTTTCAGATCCAACGCAGGAGCGCTTCCGCGGAATGTTTGAGTATTGCCTTCCTTCGAGCCCTGTCCCAGTCCCGAGTGGGAGAGCTGCGACGTCAAAGCGCAGCGAAAACATGTCGTTGCGACGCTTGGTCGTGCCGTTCTCCTCGTGGTGTATGTAGCTCGTCGGCCCTGTCCTGGCAGCTAGAGCCGTGTAATAGTGTCGCAGCAGCAAGCCATCTATTCGCTGCAACGCCCGAGAGTGCTTGTCACATTCACGTGGTAGCAGAGCGCCGAGATGCAGAAGAGCCACATGCGCGCATTCAAATTTTGACGGATATGCGCCTGTTCTAGATCTTTGAAAGTGGCCATCGACAGAATGGCGGCCCCATCAGATCAGGAGGTCAGATGGTTCACTCGAAGAAGGTTGAGGAACTCTGTTGCGTCATTGGCGCCGCCATCTCTCGGGGCAACGTCATTCCAGGGTGACTGGGGAAATCGTTGGAGGCCTGGAACCCCCGGGGGGTCATGAGCTTTTACGCCGGCGACAACGGAGAACGGTCTTAACGGCGCGGCGATGCGGACATACATATCAGGCAGTAGATAATAGCATCAGCAGCATACGAAATGCCTGGGAATGACCTAACTCTGGTCCGACGTGTGCATGCTGCCCGCCGTTTTGTTTATGCAAGATAGACAATACGCGGCCGTCCACGAGCCAGTAAGAGAGGCCGTATTTCAATTCACCGCGCCGAGCCCCGAGCGGTTCGGACATCGAGATTACGGCCTGCGGAACTGGGTTTTCAACAAATCCTTTCCATTCGGTCCACGTTCACCGTCTCCGAGATTCATCATGGGCCTTTTCTTTTTTAGTTTTTTTTTCTTCTGGCCCGTTCTCACCTTTCCCTCAGAGTTCTCAACGATGGAACCGGGGGCCTAACGCCGGGGGCCGACTGTCAATTCCCCGGAGGGTCGGAGGGTCGGAGGGTCGCTTGGTCCAATCAACGGGAGGAAACATGGCATCTCGAGACCCGAAAGAGGCAAGTTGATGGAACCTTGGTGAAGGCCCTGCGTCGTGTAAGTCTGTCTACCTCCAATACTCTCTAGTGTAACCCGGACCCCCGAGCTTTCGACGATGGCTGGGGCCATCCCGAGTTACGAACCAATCACGAACCTCGGGTTTCTGATTCCAACCCGAGACCGGCCAATCATTGCACACACAATGCTGATTACCCATCTGAAAATAAACCGTCCTTGTTCAGGGCCCTGCAGATGGCATAGAGCTTGTACAAGCCCCAGGTCCCTCGATGGGTCTTTGGGTCACGTTCAGAGCTGTCGGCGAACGAGAGGGAAGAGGACTGTGTGAGAGCTTGCCTCTTCCCGGCGGGAGTTAAGCTACAAATTTGCTGGTCGGCATTTTCTTTCCCTCTATCCATATATATCTAAGGGAGGGGCAGCTTGTCAAATCCAGAAGAGTCAAGGAATGTGCAAAGGAATACAAAAGCCTGTCTCGTCTCAAAGCATTGGCACTTGATCATATCACTTCAAGCAACCACACCCCAGTCATCAATCAGCCCTCCAAGGAAGACAGAGAGGGGGAAAAACAACAACAAACAAACAAATCTCTTCACTTGTCTTATTACCCCAGGTTTCCTCCTTGACACAGTCCGTCCTGATCTGTGTCACCCCAGGCGGAAAAAGAATCGAGCAAAAAATAAAGGGAACCGTCCTCTTAGACGAAACCACCTTCAACCCCCCTTGGGAGTCTTGAGGAGAGTAGAGTTATTGGACTCTTTGGTCTCAGCCCTCTCTTCAAAAATCTCAGGATCATCCAGCAGCGCAGAAAACCCAGAATACGGGATCGAGATACACATATTCCATCATGGGTCTCGTCACGTTGAAAAACCTCCTGTTTGGGCGGACACAGGCTCCCGCCCGCAAGAACTCCAACGAGCGCGCCGAGAGCACCATGTCGGACGACACCATCACCGAGAGGGACCTCGAAAGACAACCCCTCCTGGGCGCCAGGACGGCGTCCTCGGCGACGATGAACACCGTCATGTCCACCACGTCCACGGCCTCCGAGAGCGACTCGCGCAGGTTCCGCATCGACGCTCGTGTCATCTCGGACGCCACGATCGGTCTGTCGGACGGCTTGACGGTGCCCTTCGCCCTCACGGCCGGTCTGTCTGCGCTGGGCCAGACGAAAGTTGTCATCTACGGCGGCATGGCTGAGTTGATCGCCGGAGCCATCTCGATGGGTCTGGGAGGATATCTCGGAGCCAAGAGCGAGGCGTACGTTCTTCCTGTCCCTTCTTCCGTCTCGGATGCCGGAGTTACCAACTGACACGATGCCCTCAATAGCGCCTCTTACAAAGAAACACTAAACGAGTGTACCCGCCTGACGCAAGACGACCCCAACATGGCCCGCGCCCAGGTCCGCGAGGTCCTCGAGCCGTACGACCTCCCCAAGCACACTCTCGAGGAAGTGACAGACCACCTCTCGACCTCCCCGCGCCTCATCGACTTCCTCATGCAGTTCCACCACTGCGAGCAGGAACCCGCCTCCAACCGCGCCTTCGTCTCCGCCCTCACCATCGCCGCCGGCTACCTCCTCGGCGGCCTCGTCCCGCTCTTCCCCTACTTCTTTGTCCCCTCCGAGGACGTCTACCTCGCCCTCTACGTCTCCGTCGCCGTCATGGCCGTCGCCCTCTTCGCCTTCGGTTACGTCAAGACGTGCATCGTCTCGGGCTGGCAGGGCTACCGGTGCGTCAGGCAGGCCGTCGTCGGCGGGCTCGAGATGGTGGTTGTTGGCGGCGCGGCGGCGGGCGCGGCGATGGGTCTCGTGAAGGCTTTTGATCAACTGGCGCAGACGGATGACGTGTCGGCGCTGGCGCGCAGGATATTTTAACACCTGCGTTTCCTTTTTTCTTCGTTGTCTTCTTCTCTACCACTTATCTCCTTTTTCTCTCAAACCATCCTCTGGGAACGCTCACATCTGGATGGATGTGTAACGGCGGTGGAACTATGGACGGATCAAAACGGAACAATCCCGGCTCGGGAAGGGCGAAATTTCTCCTATGTTTATTCGATTGCATTGCCTGGGCGTTAGTTTGGAAACCCTGGTCTGGGTACAGTTGGGAAGCATTGTTGACAGCGGATTCAATGCGGCGTTGGGGAGATCGATGATTCCTTGGAGCCATAGAAAAGGGCCGGGAACGAGCGATGGGCGATACAGAATACCACTCTTAAAAAGACGACTTTTTGTCGTCTGTGTAGAACAACATGAGAATTAAAGCGCAAGCTATTCGATCCGTACGTTGCGAGCCTGTCATGATTTCTTACAGAGTGATGTAATCACAATATCATTGAGTGCTCATTGAATTAGAAGGATTGGATCAAAATTCCTGCCTGTCTAGAATAGGCAAGTTCATATTCGCCGTCGGGCTCTATGGTATACGTCTATAAATCACAATGACCCCCCGCAAAACCGAAAAACCACAAGTGGGAACATGACCTCCAACGCCTGCTCAAAAATGCAACATCAGACATAGCGCTACTTTGTACACCATCACGACATCGGCTCAGAACTCTCTGCTCTGACCGATATCGCAAATGTCGAACACCCCCGTTTCCGGAAGACCTTTGCGCTTCATGGCCAACTGGAGGAGCTTCGGCGGCTCCAGCACTTCCTCCATGGTCAGCGCCCACGTCCCCCAGTGGATACCCATGGCGCGCTGGCACTTGGTGTCGACGAAGATCTCGACCGAGTCGAAGGGGTTGGCGTGCATGGGCGAGAAGGCGACGCGGGGGTAGTACGCGCCGATGGGGATCAGGCCGAGGTCGAAAGGCCCGCGGTGCTCGCCGATCTGCTTGAACTGGGGGCACGTCGGGAGGGACGCGAACTCCGGGCCGTAGTCGTCGACGCTCGGGGGCACGTACGGCACGGCGCGGTACCCGGTGTCGCCGCCGAACCACACGGACCTGCCGCCCGATTTGACGCCCCACGAGGCCCAGAGGGTCTCGTCCTTGTCGAAGGGCGTGCGGGCGGAGGTGTGCTGGCAGGGGAGGCAGGAGATCTGGGCGGTGATGGTCTCGGGCTCGTCGGCGGTGCCCTTGTCGACGGAGAGGGTCATCTCGGCGTCTTCCCACCAGTCGAGCTCCGTCACGTTCTTCAGACCGGCCTTCTTGAACCACGACTCGAGACCCATGCCGACGAAGAAGTGGGCTTTCGGGTTGTGCTTCTGGATGGTGAGGACGGACTCGTGGGAGAGGTGGTCGTAGTGGCTGTGGCTGATGAGGACGGCGTCGACGAAGGGGATGTCGGCGAGGTCGCAGGGCTTGGGGGTGTAGCGCTTGGGGCCCATGAAGGAGAAGGGGGAGCAGCGGTCTTCGAAGACGGGGTCGAAGAGGACGCGCAGGCCGGAAGGGAACTCGACGTAGTAGCAGGCATGGCCGAGCCAGGTCGCGCGGAGCTTGTTGGAGGCGGTGCGGGTGGGAAGGAAGTCAGGCTTGACGACGGAGACGGTCGGGGGTGTCGTGTCGGGAGACGGCAACGCGCCGGTGAATCTCGGCCTGGATTACGGGTTCTTGTTAGCGTGACGTTCACACGGGAGGGGCAGCAGGAGGTGCGACATACCAGACGACGTGCTTTATGAGCTCCCAAGGTCCGACGGGGTCACCGGCGGACGGGTGGACGTTCTTGAAGCCGACGGTTGCGCCGTTCTTCTTGACGTGGTGCGGCTTGGAGGCGGCATCGGCGGGCGAGGGGCCCAGGTCGGGGATCCTGGCGACGGAGGTAGAGTACGAAGCCATTGAGATGGCGAGGACGGAGACGGGAGTGATTGTTGCTTTTCTAGCACCGGGACGTATGGGTGGCAGTTGGAAGAAGGCGTGCAGGAAATGTTTTAGCCTGGACATGTTTCTTCCTAGGCATTGGCCTGCGGGGTGAGGGAGCAAGGAGATATATAGAGTTGAAGTTGCTCATGGGACAACAACATTTTTGGGAGCAGTTGAGAACCGGGCGGACCGGCCGCAAAGAATCGGAGCGGAGCGCAACACGCGGAGCAACTGATTCACTTACAGGCCCACCACGTTGGTATCCCTGCCAACACTACGGATTTACCATCACGGACGACTCCGCAAAGCTGCAAAGGCTACGTGTGCTGTGCCTGGAGGACTCGTCAGCCGCAGCATGTCAACCTGGACTACGGCTGATCCGTCGAATCGTCGAGTGAACAATATCGCATGGCGTGGCTTGATGTGGCCGCAATAGGCTGCCCGAGTCTGCGCGTCACCAAGTGCCTGTCGCGATTTTTGGTGGAGATATCGGAATTAGGACATGGCAGACACAGAACCGCCCTAGCTCCGGCGGGATGGGCCCATGCTCTGGCGAGCCGGAGCTCCAAAGATGTGCTGCACCGACTCCGATTCGTAGGTAAGCCGGGGACCCACAGCGGGCAACCGGTGGAATGAAGACCCCGATTGACGTTGCTGGTGAGGTGCTAACCTTGCTTCGTATTGGTTGGAGTGCGAGTTATCAGATGCAGTCAGGTAAGCTTAAATCTTCGACTGACGTGTATGAGCTAGCCAAGTGCCATTCGCATTCGGTAACAAAATGCGCCCAGTTACCGATAATTCATTCCCCTTGTTGTACGACAAAGATTGCGTCCCTCCAGGCTTTTCAAAATCCAAACCAATCTGGACTGAGTTGGACTTTCAGAAAGTGCAACTGTGTCTCAGGGGCTCGACCTCGTCGCGCTCCCACTCCTGCTTCTTCATAGCCCGCTCATATTGCGTCTTGGCCCTGCGCATGTTCACCGGCCACTTATACCTCATCGCCAGCTGTAGCCGCTCCTCCTCTCGTTCGGCCTCGCGACGAGCCCAATCCTCTGTCGCGAGCGATGACCGTCTCCTCATATCGTACAACTCTTCGTCTTCCGGAGAAGCAGGCTCATGCTGCTGCTCGTCTTCGTCCTCCGAATCCGACATCCATGTATGTCTTCTGACAAGTTCGAGATTCAGCGGTTCCGAGGTTGGTAGCGCAGCTTCAGTTTCTGGGGTAGTGGTTGGTGCTGAGCTGTCTCCCCCCTCGTCGACCTTCTCGTCGACCTTCTGATCGACATATGCGGTCAACATGGCAAGCTTTGCCAGATTCCGTTCGATGCGTTCAAATCTGCGCGTCTTTACGACCCGCATGTTCCGATAACAGTACAACTGGTCCTCGCAGTCCCGCACCACGCTTTCGTAGAACAGCTTAATCTGAAAGTCGTCGGAGTTGACTGCGACTTCGTTGCTGCGACATTCGGAAAGCCAGCGTTCGACCACCTCGGCAGCGTTGTGTGGTAAGCGCCTTTCTTTGACGATGCGGTCCACGTCATAGATGTCTGGTCTGGCAAAACCATTCTGCCATGTTGCCAGCTTGTTATCGATCTTGCGGATGGGGCTGAGTTGATCTGTCGAGAAAACAAGGGTTCTGTCGGTGCGAGTCGCGAATGTTGTGAGCGTCTTGGAAGACATCCTGGCGAGCTTGATGATTGTGTCTTTTATGCGTGGTTGAGGTTGAGGTTGAGGTTGAGGTTGAGGTTGTCTTCGAGCTCTGTTCTGAGAACCTGATCCCGAACGCTTCTGAAATTCCCGGGAAAGTCGACTTAATGAACTTTTCCAATGAGCCATCTCCGAACACCAAAACAACCTTTTCTGCAACCACAAGACTGTGAGGACTAAACGGTGATCACAGTCACCTGGAAGGCAAAGCTTCAACCATACCCTGAGAGACAACGTGAAGCATAACCAAATCATTGTTCGTACAGGACTGCGCTAGTCCTCTATAACCGTCATTATCCTTCGTCATGGTATCTGAGAAACAAGAACCCAAGCAAGCCTCAAAAAAGACGCGCCCGAACGCTCAAGAAATCGACATGTCCCAAAAGACATCCACTAAGCCACCCAAGAACTCGAAAAAGGGACATCACACATCCATACTGCGGGTATCATCTCTGAGCTCCTCGCTGCCCAACTCCTTCTCCAACTCGTCCGTGACGAAGTTCTCGTACTCGTCTAGGTTCTTTTGTACGTGAATCTTGAACTTGATGACGTCGTTGAGCATGCGGTCGACCTCGGTATGGAGCTCCTCCCTCAGGGAGTTAGCACGAAGGACGAGCTGTTCGTACTCGATGCTCGTGTTCATCTCGCGCTGCTCCATCAGCTGCACTGACTCAGACAACGTCGCTCGCATCTTTGCGAGCTCCTTCTCCATCTTCTCGATCTGGGCATCGGAAGCCATCTTCTGGGCGGTTGTAACCTGAGTTCTTGTTAGTTGCTGCACGCAGTCGGTGACGTATAGACATAGAACGAACCTCCTTGGTTTTTTCATATTCCTCCTCAGCAGCACGGACACGATGTTCGAGGGCCTCAACTTCGTTACGTTTGTCCTCGATCGCCTCCTTGATACCGTCAAGCAAGTCGTGATCCTTCATCATGGCGTCCATGGCGAGGCTCCTTCTCTCCGAGATCTCCTTCCTCAGTGTGAGGAAGCTGTTCTTGACCTGGCCACGCAAGTCGAGGTTGAGGATGTGCGCCGGCTGGTAACCGGTGACGGGGTCAGCGAGCAGTCTGTCGGACGATGAAGCTTGGCTGGAACCCTTCAGTTGAGAAGAGCTAAAGTCAGGGCCATCGTTGACCGTTACTTGCAGCTCGTAGTCTTTGCCCTTGGCGTTGACTGCTGTCGCAGGAATCAGGCCGATTTGGTATGCCAAGGTGTTGTACTTGTCGACCATTCGCTCTAATTCGTCCAGCTTCCTGCTCGCCTCCATTTCCCTCTCCGCAACCTTCTTCTTAACCTCCTCCAAGCGTTGTCCGGCTGACTCGATGCCTTTCTGAAGACGCTCGCGCTCAGCCGTCATACGGTCAATGTCCTGCATACTAATGCCCAGATCGTCAACAGCCTTTTGCAAGCCTCGTCGTTCGTCCTCGACTTCCTTCAACTCCTGGTTGAGCTTGTCGAGTTCCTCTTGCAAGACCTGAATGCGGCTTTCATATTTGTCTGATCGCTGCACGGCGAGAGCGTTGTATTCCTCGAATTTGACCTTGTCCTCTTCCATGATTCTGAAGTGATTGTCGAGGACTGCGGGATCTGGGGTAGACTTCTCAAGGTCTTCGATTTCCCTCAACAGACGGTTGTTCTCAGCCTCTAGCATCTCGAGCTCAGAAGTGTACTTGGAGTTGGACTGTTCAAAGGCCTCGGCCATCCGTTCCACATGGGGGGCCAGAACTCGGTTAGCGTCCTCGTCGTCTGCGTCTTCGTCCATGGATAGCCAATCCCTGTACGCTTTGCTGAGGAAGTCGAAAATAATGTGGTCGCCAGTAACATCGATTCCGCTCTCGTGACACGCATCATCGTAGCGGTTGCAAGCGTACCCGTCCAGCATTTGCGCAAGTTGCATCATCCAGTGCAGCAGGCCCAAAAAGGTGCTCCAGTTCTGACCGCCAACAGCCGCGATCTGACTCTTGGTGATACTCCTCTCGTACGGGTACCGGAGTTGCTTGAGAATTGGCGGCACCTCTTGGTCGATGTTCTTCTGGAACTTGTAACTGGGGTCGATTCGTCGGTACAGCCACTGGAACATGAAGTTGAAATCTTTCTGCGTCGGCGACTTAATGATGTTCTGCGAAAGTGTGTGTTTCATCTGCATCTCGAAGTTGTTCTGTGCAAGATAATCAAGCAACTCCTGTCCTATCCTAGCCTGGTACGATCTGTCCCTCAGTGGACGGGGATCTCGAGGCACACCAGCTGGCTGAGGCGCTGTTTGGAAGAAAGATTGGTGGCTCATGGGTCCGGCGGAGGACGGCCTCGAGCGGTATACACTGCTTCTTCTGTCTGCGTCTGTCGGGGTACGACCGGGCGCGGGCGTCGGCGCAAAGGATTTGTCGCGGATGGAAGTTCGCTTGACCGAGGAGAGTCCCATTTCGGCGAGGTTGGTTCCCGAGGACGACCGCTGGAACATTGGTTGACTCGGTCGTGACAGAGCCAGAGAGTGTCTAGAGCCCGACATGGAACGGGCATTGCTGTTCGAGTATGGCGCACCAGCGCCCGAATTGGATCGTTTCATGGCAGAAGCGGGCTGGGGTAGTCCTGAATTGTAGTTGATACCTCCTAAGGTCTATATAGAATGTTAGCAAACACAACTGCAAAGAGTCAAAGAACGTTGCGAAAGGTTCTCCGAAATCGAGAGGGGCCACTGACTTCTCTTGGTCGGCGCACGCTCCACAGTCCGGTGTCCGTCATCGTGAAATGACGCGCAACGGTTGATGTTCAGGTGTCGAATCGCAGCCGGATGACTTACGAAAGGACTCGCGACGTTGGAATGGGTGCGATGAATGCGATGAAATAGTGAATGATGTTGCGCGACAACTTCGCTCTCGTTGCGCGTAGATAGGATCGAGGGGTGTCGAGGGTGGGATGCTGCAGACCGTTGCAAAAAGGTTCAGTGTTGTTGCTCCGGAGTCGATGTAAACAAACCACTCTTGATCGTCTGATTGGCTGCGCATGAAAAACGGCGGGCAGACGCGACCCACACCAAATGATGCCCAACTTCAATGAAGCACGTGACGTGACAGGTGCTCGGAGCTGTTCGGCATTTTGTTTCCCTTCAACGGGGGCTCACCCGCGCAGGGGCCATGTCGCCCCAGTCCGCGGCTTCCCCAGCCGCTGCATTGCGCCGAAGCCTCGGTTCAACAACCGGCCACTCATTATTACGTATTTGTCGTCGGCCGCGTAGCAAACGTCCAAAGGCTTCCTTCCAGGAGCACATGTTTAGATAGCATCTGCTGCCTTCGTCACACAGAACCTCCTCGACTGGATGAGAATGCAGCGAGGCTGGTAAGGCGACAAAATCAAAGATGGCGATTCGAGAGGATATCGTCGCTTCGGCGGTATGATGGCCCTTCTCCTCCAACTTGATGAGTATTTGCTGACTTGACCAAGACGCAGTGTTAGTACCCGATCATCAACGAAGTTCCTGCTCTTGAGACTAATATTGCCATAGTTCTCCAGGACCCTAGCGTCGCAAGCTCGTCGATTGACAACCGTGTGGCTTTCCTTCGAACTAAGAACCTCACCCAGGAGGAAATCGATGCTGCTCTCTCAAGAGTTGGCGCGCCCGTCGCAGCAGCGGCTCCTGCTCCGATGCCTGTCGCTCAGCAGCAGCAACAACAATACTATCAGCCCCAACAATACCCTCCACAATACGCAGCGTGGCAGCCGCCGCCTCCACCCCCTAAGAGAGACTGGCGCGATTGGTTCATCATGGCGACCGTCGTCGGCGGAGTTAGCTACGGTGCTTACACTCTGGCCAAGGTATGTTGTCTTTAGAATTCTCTTCTGGAGCTTGCGACTGATGAATGTAGCGATATGTATACCCGATGATCGCACCCCCGACCCCCGAAAAGCTCGAACAAGATAAGAAGTCCATCGAGGAGCAGTTCGACAAAGCATTCGGACTGGTCGAGCAACTGGCAAAAGACACTGAGGCTCTTAAGGAGGCGGAGAAGGAACGAACCGAGAAGCTTGACACGGCTCTTTCCGAGCTTGAGTCTGTCGTGAAGGAGCTCCGGTCGGCGAACACGCGTCGGGAGTCAGAGACGCAACGAATCAAGGACGATGTGCAAGTCCTCAAGGCATCCATCCCGAAGGCCATGGAAACGCAGAAGGAAGCCACGGACACCAGGCTCAAGGAAGTCAACTCGGAGCTGACAAGCCTGAAAACGTTGATCACGCAGCGCATGAGTGCGGGTACGGCCTCGACTGGTGCAAACGGTTTGCGCAACGGCGGAGTTGCTACACCCGCGTCCCCTGCGGTCAGCCGCCCTGCAACTACGAGCGACAACCAGGGAGGCAACAGTGAGGCTGCAAGCAATGCTGAAACGCCCAAGACAACCAGCACGCCAACCGTCAACAGGCCAAACCCATTTAGCGGAAAGCCGGGTGCGAAGGCTTCGATCCCGGCATGGCAGATGGCCATGGCCAACAAGGACTCGGCCGCGTCGCCGGCAGCCGCTAACGGAACGGAAGCCACCGAGGCCAGCTCGCAGCAGGAAGCAACGAGCTCTTAATGAGCAAGGGCGGAGTTGGAGTGTTCATTTGTCACCTGTATTGTAAACGTAACTCGAGTTATCATGGTCTGGCCAGGAGGGCCAATGTATTTAAGCGCTTATGGGCAAGCATGTCTGAGGTTGCCTCGGACGCAGCATCAAAATTCTGTACCAAAGAGAGAATGATTCCTTCGAACGGCGCACAATACCCTTGCCACGTGTGAGTGTTGGCTGAAATCCCGACAAACGCAGGGCGAGGCACCCAGCCGTTGAGTTCCGGCAAGGGGCGGTTGACGTGTTTCACGCGGGCCGACTGACGTTCGGGAATAGCCCGTAAGAACGCAGCATCAGCGAGGAAGGGTTTCGCGGGGAGGGTTCATGTTGTCAACTGTTGTCTTACGAGGAGCTTGAATTGACTCTTGGCTGATAATGATGGCTGGAGTGTGTGAAGATAGTGATGAGATGAAGGCACAGGCAGGCCTGATCTGGCCATGGCCTCAGCACGTGCGAGGAACATGCCACCAGCATGGGGAGAGACCGTCAGACGGAAATGTGCAGAGTAGCAGTATTCGGATCGTCCGTTTCATGGTTGGCGCATGAACGAGGGTCTAGTTGACGATGAGTTGGCGAGCCGCAAATAGCTCAGCCCAGAGTCCCCAAATATCTGACGATCTCGCAAGTCAGACTGGTTTGGGGTGGCATCGCCCGAAGCAGCTGCAGACACTGCCGGCCGGCCCCAACAGCTGTAGCCACAGCACTGGGTGCGTTTCTTCTTTCTTCTCCTGGGGCGGGTCAGGGAGTGATGCACTTTCGTAAATTCTCCTAGATTCGGCAACGGGCGCAGATCGTACTCAGCTGAGTCGAGTTAAATGCGCTGAAGCACTGTAGCCCACAGATGCCGAGACTGAGCTGAATAAAGTAATGGTACTGCAATCACAGCTCAGAAATTGAATGTTGGCTGTCATGTCATTGGAATGTGAGACGAAGAAAGGTTGTCAAGCTTAGAAGGTCACATTTGGTCTTCGTTGAACTGAATAGGAAGGTATCTATCTCATATGTACGCGAATGACTTGGGTTTTCGCAATCGTTTCCCCCACCAAAAGCCAAAGGAGCTCCTCGCTTTTGCTTTGACCAAGTCTAGTGAGCTTCTTTCTCGTGGAACTGGCACGTTTGATCTCAAACACTGACAAGCCCACCTTCTCAAGTACTACTGAGGTGCAGATAAAGTAATCTGTAAACCCCCTTGCGCGTTGGTTTCCACTTTCCAACGGCCAAACGCAAATGATTTGTTCGATTCCAGCTGAAATCCAACTCCAACTCCAAGTCCAACAACTCCTGGGACCCAGCCGCCAGCCAACAGCGAATTGCGACCTGTCAAGCGTCCCCATCCGCAACTATTTCCTATTTCGACCGACGTTGCGGCCATGTCCCGGACGCTATGGAGCGCCCTCGCGAAGACCAATGAACCCCCGGCGTCTCGACTTCCAGCCGTGGAGAGAAACATGCCATCTGCAAGGCTCATCCCCGCGTTGCATCTGCCATCTCAATCATGATTCCGCCGGAAAGGCTTGATGCTGGACTTCCACACACGCAAAGTCGTACCCGGTACTTGCTGCACACATACTTTTTTTCTGAAAATACTTTTTCTGTGCCTGTAGCAATACGAATACTGCGTGCTCCCAAAGCAACGCGCAATGTCGTCCACTCACATTGCAGGACCATCCTTCATCGGCGCTTTTCCATTGGGCTGCGCTCGCCACTCGCCGTCGGGCTCTCGGGACTTTCCAACCCTCCACTTCTCGCAGAAATGAAGAGTGATGATGAAGTTATCCCCAATCTGGTCCCGCGTTCCCCTTCACGCCAATAACCTTCGACGCATGATACAAGGGTCAAGAGAGGGAGGAGCTAACGTCTGCCGGGGGTGGACTACTGCATAAACCGTCTGGCGGCCACAAGCGATTCATTCGTCAATCTGATCATCATCCGAGGCTGCTTGCCAAGCGGCATGTCATAGACTCCTCGCCCACGTCTTGTCTCAATTCTCAACCGCACATCAATCACGACCCTTGTCTACCCTACGACACGAATGCGCAAACATCTCGCAAGGTAGTCTTCCTTTATCTTCAGCAAGTCCACCTAGGGGCTATATCGCGGGGCTGTCAGTATCCGCCGGCGTTGCATTCCCTCGTCTCTTTCCATCGTCGTTCGTCCTGTCTGCAAGGACGTTCCCACGACCTGTTGAACGGCTACTGTTCCCGCCCACACTGGAAGCTCGCTAGCTTGCCTTCTCTTGCCTTCTTCCTCCACCTCCCAACCCTGCTTCTGGATACCTTCCTTTCAGGGATCGATCAGTCGGTGTACGGCATACGCAGATCAGGTACTCTCGTCCAGGGACCGCGGCCGTTTTCCCTCTCGTCTGAACTTTCATTCGACCCCAAGCCCTTGACCGTTACGGCCTTTTGTCGACAGATTGCAGTCTTTTTACGCCTGGGGTAGTGGGTTGTTGGAGTGTTTCAACCACGTCAGGCATAGTACGCGGCTTGGCTCGACTTCACCTCCTCTGCTTGCTTCTTCTCATATAACATAACTAGGCGCTCTCTGCCGCCGTCGTCTCGTCTTGATCATGTCTTCTCCTACATCTGCCCATGCCTCTGCCTCCTCCTCATCATCCTTTGGTCTTTCAAATCCACTCGACATGGATCCCGCCCAGTTCAAGTTGTTGCTCTCCCTGCTACCCAAGGTGCCCTTGATAAGTCGAGTGGCCTTGCTCCATGTTCTACACATGTCCAAACCCGCCAAGTATCTCGACCTGCGGAGTGAGCTTATCGTTGCTGTGCTGCGCTCATACATCTCAACCACCAAGCCGCGGTCCATCACCTCGACTCAGAAGCTTGCCAACCGAGACGGCGGCGTCAAGGGCAGAATATGGGTTTCCACCTACGCCAGCCCTGCTTCCTCGGAAAAGGACGTCCTTGACGCGATTTTGGGTGCCATTCAGTCCCTCAGAGCACCAGGAACCCCCGAGATAGACGTGAGACTACCGGACCTCCTGCCGGTCGAAGCTGAGTGGACGGGCTACCGCGCGGGTGCCACGCCTGAGTCGAAGCCGCCAGCGATCGGAGAGAAGGAAAAGTACGACGAGCTTATGAAAGAGGTCACCAGCCCCTTGACGGTCTTGTATTTCCACGGAGGAGCCTACTACCTCTGTGATCCGTCGACACACCGACCGGCGACGAAGAAGATCTCCAAGTTGACGGGCGGGCGGGTTTACTCTGTTCGCTATCGGCTGGCCCCCCAAAACCCGTTTCCGGCAGCCCTGTTGGATGCGTTAATATCCTACTTGACGCTCCTCTATCCGCCACTTGATGCCTATCATCAGGCAGTAGAGCCCGAGAATATTGTCGTTGCCGGTGACAGGTGAGTCCTATATCCTCTACGAGAAGACTGAAACAACACTGACCAGCTCATAGTGCGGGCGGGAACCTAAGTCTCGCATTGTTGCAACTTCTCCTGGAACTCCGCAGACAGAACCGAAAGATCCGATGGCTCGGCGAGGAGCGTGAGATCCCCCTACCCGCCGGTTTCGCGCTGAACTCGCCATGGCTGGACATCACCCAGAGCTCGCCGAGCTGGGAATCGAACTGGGAATTCGACTACCTCCCGAAAGCCTCTGTATACGCCGAGTACAACCCGCCGCCCTGCGAGGCCTGGCCCGCGAAACCGCCACGCACCAGCATCTACGCCGACGACGACCTCATCGCGCACCCGCTGGTGACCCTCGTCATGAACCGCAGCTGGGCCGGGGCGCCGCCCGTCTACATCTGCACGGGGTGGGAGCTGCTGGCGGACGAGGACAGGTACATGGCGCGCAAGCTGCACGAGGACGGCGTTCCGGTGGTCTTTGAAGAGTACGAGGGCATGCCGCACTGTTTTGCACTGATTCTGTCCAAGATTCCCAACGCCCAGCGCTGCTTTGACGGATGGACTGGCTTCATGAAGACGGCCATAGGCAAACCGGAGAGCATCACGTCCAAGGCCGTCACGGTCAAGGCCAAGACTCGCGAGGACGTTCCCCGTGAGTTCGCGTCTTTGAGTGAGCTGCGTGACGACGACATCCAGAAGCGGGTCTATCAGAAGAAGGAGGAGAGTCTGAACTCGGCTCCAGAGGCGGTTCCCAAGCTGTAGGAGGCTGGCCTTATTTGGGTAGCGATCGGTTTGATGTTGCGTTTCTGGTACACATTTGGATACACATACACACATACCATGTAATTAATTACTTATTGACACACGAAAAGAAACGATGGACGGGCGGGCGGGCGGATATGAGCCTTTTGAGAAGAAGAAATGACAGTCATGACATACACTCCCAGAGTCACCCCATTCGGCGCAGTGATTTCGATGCCTGTGTGACATGTGAGCCGTGGAGAAGATAAGTTTACCTACACTCTGTACGACAAACACCTTGTCACCACAGTAATAAAGAAAGTGCCTTGTGAGAGGGTGAGTGTGGTTACACGCGTGCGTTGTCGCGATGACAGGGCGGCGAGCTCACACAAAATCCCCGAGATGCAGGGGCTCCATGTCCGCTATCCCGGGAGCAACGCTCGCTAACCGACGGCCCCCGAGCTTAGGTTGGTCCCCTGAAAGGGAGACCCTTGAGGTCGGCCAGGGGAGCTACCGTAGCACCCTTCGTGCTGGCCACCCATGTCAGAACCTTGATTTAGCTACCGACGTTGGCGCGCATTGGAAAAAAATCTCACCAGCCAGCGTTGAGAACTTGAGACTGCGTATGAGCTCACATACCTTACCCTGAGTGAGGTACGGGTCTCAATGCACACTTGGATATCTCATCGCATCTCATAATCGAACGACGGGTCAGGACTCTCACCGAGGTACCTTACGGATAGCCCCCCCGGAGCTGCCCCGATCCTTCGTCCCCGGTCACCGGCTTTGCGGCACCAACAGCTCTGTTCACCATGGAGCGCCACAGACAGACCGTCACCAAGATCGCCGCCGCCGTGCGGTCCTTCTTCGACCGGAAGGAGCCTTACCGCATCTTCCACGGCTCAACAAACAGCACCCGCCCCTTCCGCCGCGACCGCTTCGTCGACATCAGCGCCCTCGGCAATGTCCTCGAGGTCAACAAGGCCGCCCGGACCGCCCTGGTCGAGCCCAACGTACCCATGGATCGCCTCGTCGAGAGCACCCTCCGCCACGGCCTGATCCCGCCGGTCGTCATGGAGTTTCCCGGTATCACGGCCGGAGGCGGCTACGCGGGCACGGCCGGCGAGAGCTCCAGCTTCAAGCACGGCTTCTTCGACGACACCATCAACGAGGTCGAGCTCGTGCTGGCCAACGGCGAAGTCGTCCGTGCCAGCCGCAACGAGAGGGCCGACCTCTTCCGCGGCGCCGCCGGTGCCGTCGGCACCCTCGGCGTCACCACCATGATCGAGCTCCAGCTCGTCGAGGCCAAGAAGTACGTCAAGACGACGTACCACCGCACCCGCAGCGTCGCCGAGGCCGTCGAGACCGTCCAGGCCGAGACCCTCAAGCCCGAGAACGACTACGTCGACGGCATCCTCTTCTCCAAGGACCACGGCGTCGTCATCACCGGCAAGCTGACGGACGAGATCCCCGCCGGCAGCAAGGCCCAGACCTTCTCCGGCGCCTGGGACCCCTGGTTCTACTTGCACGTCAAGGACCGCACGGCGGCCGCCGCCTCGTCCGGCGCCATCGAGGGCGCCGCCCCCGTCGTCGACTTCGTGCCCCTGGCCGAGTACCTCTTCCGCTACGACCGCGCCGGCTTCTGGGTCGGCGCCGCCGCCTTCGACTACTTCAAGTACGTGCCCTTCACCCGCTTCACCCGCTGGTTCCTCGACGACTTCCTGCACACCCGCATGCTCTACCGCGCGCTGCACGGCAGCGGCGAGTCGGCCCGCTTCGTCGTCCAGGACCTCGCGCTCCCCTACAAGAACGCCGAGCGCTTCGTCGACTACACGGCCGAGAGCTTCGACATCTGGCCGCTGTGGCTGTGCCCCTTGAAGCAGACGGCCCCGCCCACCTTCCACCCGCACACGGGCGAGGTCGAGTTGCTGCCGTCTGCCGAGGGAGGCAAGACCGTGACGGCGCCCAAGCCGATGCTCAACATCGGCCTCTGGGGCTGGGGCCCCGCGAACCCGGACGAGTTCGTGGCCAAGAACCGCGCGCTCGAGCACAAGCTGCGGGAGCTGGGCGGCATGAAGTGGCTGTACGCGCACACGTACTACACGGAGGAGGAGTTCTGGCAGGCGTACGACCGGGAGTGGTACGACGGGCTGCGCGAGAAGTATGGCGCGACGACGCTGCCGACCGTGTACAACAAGGTCAAGGTGGACGTCGACGCGCGCAAGGAGGAGCTCAAGGGCTGGCGCCAGACCGTCAAGTCGAAGCCGCCCATCGGCGGCCTCTACGGCATCTGGAAGGCCATCCAGAGCAAGGACTATCACCTGCACCGCCACGCCGAGTGGAAGTACAAGGGCGAGAAATGAGATGCCGGTCGTTCTGGCTGTTGAACCCGATGTCGAAAACTGTTGAAAATACCGTCCCACAGACTACACTGTGTATAAGTATTGTAGCATCATTAGCAACCGAAAAACCTAAAAGGAGGGCAGCATTGGGACGTATAGACAGAGCGATATTAGCAAGCGTAACGTCATCGCCATAGACATGAGCATAGAATACTCCAACTGGTGTTGTTCTTTATGAAGCCGTTTCAATTCATTCATATCTCTTCCCTCCGCGTCATAATAGCGATGCTCAAATACGCTCATCTGGCCTGGTATATACAATTCCCAATTACGAGGAGCATCCACGCGACGGGATCACCCACATATCGAGGTTCTCGTCCGTCATGGCCCGTGGCGCCTCTGTTTCCCTCCGCTGATTAACTACCTTATGCTGGCCGTAATGCTTTTTTTCTTTTCAGCAGTGATGTCGCAAGATCTATGCATCCGCCTCTATCCGTTCGCAAGATGAAAACTGAACAAGTCCACGTGCGATGCTCTATGCCTTGACGCTGTAGGATCGCTTGAACATCTCGTCAATGTTCTCGAGGTAGTAGGTGCCGGGGGTGACGGTAGAAGCGTCACCCTTGGGGGTGAAGCCCTTCTGGAGGTGAGCCTGCTTGCGGAGGTCGCACATCTGGAAGAAATCGTTAGCAACGTCGCTGTGCAGTAGCTGGGAGGAGAGGGCATGTTCTATCTTACAGAGTCGTAGGTCTCGGGGGCCACCTTGCGGCGAGCATCCAGTCTGGTGGGGAGGTCGAGGACCTTGGCGAGGGGAGCGACGTCTCCGTTGACGCGGAAGGAGAAGAAGCTGGCAGCCAGACCGGAGCCGTAGCTGAAGGCGGCGATGCGCTTGCCGTTAAGGGTAGCGGAGTCGACGTAAGAGAGCAAGCTGGCAATACCGCCCCAGACGCTGCCGCAGTACATGTTACCGCAGAGAGTGGCGACCTGGATACCGGGGGTCACTCTCTCCTGGTACTTCTTCTTGGTGAGGGCCATGAAGGCCTTCTCGACACTCTTGTCGACCAGGGACTTCTCGTACTCCATGTCGCGCAGCTCGGGGGCGACCTCGGCGAAGGCGGGGGCGTCGGCATCGGCAAGGTAGTCGTGGTACAGCAGACGGCCGTACGACTTCTGGACGAGCTTGCAGTTGGGAGCGTGGAAAGCAAGGTAGTCGAAGCGGTCGAGAGAGGGCTTGGCATCTTCGCCGCTGAGCTTGGCCTCGCGCTTGTTGTACTCGCGGTAGGCGGCGTCCAGGGCCTTGGTGTAGCAGGTAAGGGAGTAGTGGCCGTCGACGTAGGGGTACTCGCTGGTCAAGTCGGGCTTGTAGAAGTCGTAGGCGTGCTGCATGTAGGTGCCGCGCAGACCGGGCTCCACGACGAGGGGGGCGTTGGGACCGACGAGCATGGCGACGGCACCGGCACCACCAGTGGGGCGGGCGTTGCCCTTGGCATAGAGGGCAATGTCGCCGGCGACGACAATGGCATCGCGGCCGTCCCAGGCGGAGGACTCGATCCAGTTGACGGAGTTGAAGAAAGCGTTGGTGCCTCCGTAGCAGGCGTTGACGGTGTCGACACCCTCAATGTTGGTGTTGTCGCCGAAAAGCTGCATGAGCACGGTCTTGACGGACTTTGACTTGTCCAGAATGGTCTCAGTGCCGACCTCGAGGCGACCGACGGAGTTGGGGTCGATGTTGTACTTCTTGAGCAGGTTGGAGGTGACGGTCAGAGCGAAAGAGTAAATGTCTGCAAAAAAAACACCACGTTAAAACACGCTCACGCGATAAAAGTGCGGGAGTTGCAGGTAAGCTTACCCTCGCGGTCGTCACAGAAGGCCATCTTGGTCTGGCCAAGACCGATCGTGTACTTGCCGGCGCTGACACCGTCGAAGGTCTCAAGCTCGGATTGCTCGACATACTGATTGGTGGCGGCCGCAATGTCAGCGCAAAGTTCTCAAGTTGCTGGCAAAATCCACCACAAAAGGCGAGCGGGCGGGTGCGTAAGGGTGAGCGGCGGAGGGGTCATCATTGGTGAGTGGATAACATTGCGATTTCGGCCTTGAGGGGCAGCGCATGTTTTTTTGTGGTGATGGTGGTGGGCGTGGCGGTGGTGGTGGCATTTTGATGTGTTAAGGTCTGGAAGACGTACCTGGCTAGGGAAGTAAATCTCAATGGCCTTGATGCCGATGTTCTGAGGACGGGAAGCCATTTTGGAGAGGGGTTTCTAGAGAGCTGGAGACGTGGGAAGAGGAACGAGGGAGATTGGGATCTGGAGAAGAGCAGAGTAAAGTTAGCTAGGAAGCTCTCATTTTTGAACTCGGCCGACTTTCACCGCCGTTTCAACGACGCGGCAATTCAGTTGCAGAGGTGCCCAACGTGCAGAGAAAAGGCCAGGGTTCAGCATTCCAGCAATCACATATTACTAGGGTGGGTGAGGATGAGGGAAGGGGAGGGGCAACGAGACCCGGCGCACCTATTGGTAGAGAGAGGAAGACAGACAAATGGTTCGACTGTTTCCTTGGGAAGCGGGTGAATTGCGCAAACTTTGGCGGTGGCGGAAGAGGAATAGGTCAGGACGAGAGGAGAGAGAGAGAGAGGAAGATGATGAGGGTGAGTTGGGAAGGTATGAGGTAGAAAAAGGTGTGTCCCAATGTGAGAGCGAGTGTCGAGACGAGGGGCGTTTATGGGTTTTTTTGTTTTTATTTATTTTAATTTTCCACGACTCTGCAGGATAAGAGGAGGAGGCTAACGGCGGGCAGGCAAGTGAGAGGTAGGTACGGAGGGGGGAGTGTTTTAATATTAATCCCCACTGACGTAGCAACACACCACGGCGCGCAAGAAGGCGTCGAGTAAGGTATCCATCCATCGATGGATAACACTAACACCTTTCTCAGCAATACTAGTTACCTAGGTGAGATTGGGGTTTGATGGGATGGAACAGGGCCGGGGCCGGGGACGGGGACGGGATGTGAGAGAGAGAGAGAGAGAGAGAGAGAGAGAGAGAGAGAGAGAGAGAGAGAGAGGAATACAGATACACGTTTACTGCGGTAAGGTAAGGTAAGGTACATACATGTCATGCAGCCCGGCCCAGCCCAGCCCAGAAACCACCCATGGTACTTTGCCTCAAAAATCAGAAGTCTGAAGCCTCATTGGAAGTCTGGAGTTCAGGACCAGCACACGCGGCGGCTTCAGCAGCGTGTGTTGTGCATGTGTGAGTTTAGGTAGGTACCTTACCATAGTAAAGTGACGGAGCGGTGGCTTGTGGGAAGAAGGGGAGTGTGCGCACATATCGTGGAAACTCGAAGCTAACTAACTGCTGATGCCCAGCCCGATGAAGGGTTTGAAGAATGACCAGCCGTTCTTCTTTTGCTTCTGAATTCCTTCTTTCTTCCCGCCGGAGGAGGCATTGTGCTGTCTCAGTCCCCTCTATCTCTCACGCTGTTCCGTCTCTGCGCAGACAGCTTCCAAGCCAGCCGGAGACCGTACGGAGCTTTCTCGACTTCCTCATGCTCTTCGGATACCTCAGAAGTATCCGTACCCCAGGGACCTGCCCTGGACATTGACCGTCTGGACCGTGGTCTTGGCCCGAATCTGGCACCTGCTTGCTAAGGTATCTTCCGTCATGTCGCAACTTGGCGCGGCACAGCGGAGTAGAGCTGAGAGCAGAGCAGAGCATAGATGAGAGCATAGCAAATTCCCAACGTTGTGAGAAGACATCTGTTTAACGGGTTAGATGTGCCCTGTCCGGCGCATCGGACCCGGAGGATCGCAGGCCCTGCTCAGCTGGCAATCCTTACCCAGCTGGCGACATCTTGCCCTGCCAACACAACGTCCAACGTCCAACGTCAGACGTCCCTTGCCGTGCAGTGTCCTCGCCATGCTTATCGCATGCGTCTTCTTGCTGCCGCGTGGTGGTTGGTGGCTTGCCCGAGGGTAAGGGTAAAAGCGCAACAAAGGAAGAAGATGGCTGGTGACTGAGTTTGCTGCTCCCTACCATTCTGAAAGGCCCTGGCCATCTAGAAGTAAAGGCAAATGAGCAACTACTTCAGTAACATCAACAGGTTCGAGATGCCGCCGTGGGCCGTGTGTTTTGGCGTGGAGGTGCCCGTGTTTGTGTGTGTGGAGAGAGGAAATCTTATCAAACCAGGACCAGCTAGGCAAGGTACTCCGTACAATACACCCGTACAGGTAATTGTCGCGCCGCTCAACAGTCAACCTACCAGCAGTCAACACTCCCGTCGCTCACTCTTTTTTTTCTTTTGCATTTCGACCCTCAATTTGATCGGAACACCCCCAGTGGGTCGCAGTGGTAAGGTGGTGGGTGGTGGGCCGGGACGAGCTGCCCGTCAAAAAGCAAAGTACCTTATCAATCAGTGGCCCATCTGGATCTGGAGGGGTTCTTTGGAGGGGTTCTTGTCTACATCATACCGAGACTCAATGTACTGTCCATCTACCATTACCTGCCCTTACTTCAGTCAGGGCTCGCAATTTTGGACAAATCACCGCACCGCAGTTCATGCCTTCCGGGTTGTCGGTCCCGGTTGCTTGTTTGTCTACCCGTCATTCTGCAGTTCTTCAAGCTGGGCATACATGTTTGTCCGCGCCTTTGGATGTTTGGGTTCGCAAGCTGGCCAGGGCAAAACGGGTGAACAGGTAACGGTGGAACACGAAGATTGCAGTCCATCTCCCCCCTAGTATTCATCAGCAAGCCCGGTATTGCGCAGATCTGGGCAGACAGCGCTGTTAACCGCCGGTACCTGCGATCTGACTTATTCCCTCGTGTTCGTCGGCGTAAATCCTCTCCAGCCTCTCTCTGCCTTCCGAGTTTTCCCTAGGCATGTGGCCCGTCGACTCAGATGGCGAAACCGTACCCCATCGCCAGACACCGCAGAAGCCAGGGTCGAAGGAGCCAAGGGCTCGAGGTGGTTTGGAAAAGGTACTTGATAACGTAGTAGGGCATGTACTTTGTGGGCGCGATTCTTCACGTTCCATATTGGGGGGTCCACTGGACGGGCCGTTCTCGCATCTTGGTTCTTCGAGAACAGCCTTCCGCAGTATGCCATAGGTCGACGATGTTACATGGCGGAGAGAGAGAAAAACCAGGGAAGAGGAAAAAAGGCCGCACCGCACGAAAGCCGCAGTCCGCATCAAACCCGCCGCGTGCGTTCTGCATTTGGGCTTAGCGGCCCCGAGTCTCTGTTTCGTCCATGACGCCGGCGTCGAGGTCACCTCACTCTCTTCGAAAACAAGACAAGACAGCGGCGGGCCAGGTCCCGAACATAGCCATCAGCAGCGAATGACGCTCGACGGGTGTGATGCTGAAGCTCCGCCAGACATCACACATTGCGGTGATTCTGAGAGCTGAGGGGTCAGGGTCATGGTATGCCACGTCGTAGTTAGATGATGTTGACGCTGACCTCACTCAGGCCATTGCGAATAAACCCCGCCCCCCTCGTGATGATGATCTTTCCGCTCGCCATCATCTTTGCCCTCTTACTGCGTTAGGCATCTTTCTGACTGTCGAGGTTAGGTTGTCAACGAGGTCCGTCCGCTGCGGAAAGATCGCGGCGCATGATGGGATAGTGTTTTGGCTGGTGAGACGAAGGCATCTAACTCACTGACCGTCATCCCAAAAGTCAGGCATTTCCTACCTTAAGTCAGTCCTACTTTTGTTTTGTCCAAACACCAGGCGAGGTGTGAATCTTCCCTTCCACGTCCTCTCCGCTATGAGATGCTTCAAGGTTTCTGCATGTGGCCCCATTATTCAGGCGAGATCCGGACTAGCGCCGCCCGGTTTCTGAGATTTCATTGGCTACAGGGATTCATGCACAGCGGACGTCGGGTACGTACCTTTTACAGCATCTCAGCGGCCCAGCCAGGCACCTGCAGAGAAAAAAAATCAAGTCCTAGGGAAGAAGGACAAGTGATAGAACTTCTCTCGAGCAAAGCAGACAGACGCCAGCCACCGCAACCTCCTCAACCTCAAACTTGCTCTATGCTCTTTGCTCTTTGCGCAGCATATTTCCCAAGACAAAAGTGCGCGACGTGATACATCTGGACGCGCATCGGTCTTGGTATGCGTATTCAATCGTGGCTGAGCTCTCCCGCCATGGTGATATCAACACCCTAAGGCACCCTGCGTAGCTGAGCTGACAAACTGACGACCTCACTCAACTCTCCAAGACGACGACATTCACAGTCTCTAATCCGTCAAATGTCTTATCCCGGCGGCACAGCATCATCATCAATGGCCTCATCGACTTTCAGTCAGCCCCCCCTGTGCAGCTGGAGAAATACCAACCTGTTACAACACTACCTACGACTGCGCCTTCTTCGGCCGTGTTGTACGTAAGAATGTACCCTTGCGACCCCCTCCATCCAGAGCAGCCCCCCTCCGTGGATCGTCTCTACCTTCACCATTCATCCCGCTCGTTTCGGCTTCGAAGCGCCGCATCGGGGCTCCGAGACCTGGCCCCTCTTCTTCTGACTTCCACTGAACCATTTCGCGATGTGATCTCGCGGACACGGCACTCGGAGTTACCCACCCCTTAGAGGAGAGATCAACCCCCCGTTAGAGACGCAGATTTCCCCCTCATCATCGGGGTACCTCGGTCTGCTCGTGGCCAAGTACCTTTCCATCTGCCTGCCTCCGGCACACTTTATTACTCGTTCCGAACTTCACCCCCAGAGTAAGTAACTTCCTGCTCGAAATCCGAGCCGCTTCGACCGAGTGTAACAACATCCAAAACCAAGAAAAAAAATTCTTTTGCCCTCGTTCGTCATAACCCGCAACGGCATCGGCATCGGGCTCGCATCGGGACCTCTGCCTCACACGTTCCTTTGCCGGCTTGTCTTCTGTTCGGGTAAATAAGCCTACCTCAGAGAAAATATTCCAACACGCGCTACCCGCACTGCGCCGCACGACAACCATCGCAGGCTTGGCACAGACTGAGCGTCCTTGGACCGTCATCCAAAGAAACCGCTCGCCTCCTCGGGGCCCCGAGGGTAAGAAGAAGAAGAAAAAAATGACTCTGACCTCAGCTGCACCTAGGGCCATCCATCCTCCCTTTTCTCGTTCCATCGTTCGGACCAGACGTGTGAGCGAGGTGACAAACACTCACTGCCTGGCCTGCCTTATCCCGCACAGCACCGTCCAGAAGAGCACACACACACCTGCGAAGCTGTGCCGTCATCCTCCGCGAAAGCTATCCAAGCTTCCTTATGCGCGCCGCCTCGGGGCTCTGAGACACGTTTTAGGGGTTCGTACGAGAGCTACTCTAGGTTGTTTTGGCGAACCCAACCAGCGGACAATGACAGCAGTCAGCTAGTTCGGTTGCGGTAGAGGCCGGTATTAGTCCTCAACACTAGCACTGGGCTAATAAGCCCGTCGTGGACGCCGTTGAAACGTCTCACTTTCCTTTGGCCATGGACCTAGTTCATGTTCACATCCCCATTGCGATGAACATACTTCATTGGGCTACATAGGTATCATTCAAGAACGAGCTTGTTCTTGGAGGAACAGCTCAAGGTACAATGACGGAAGGGAAACGCTGTGACAAGGACACCGCGGTCGTCTCTCGGATATCCCCATCCTTCAAGCCAGTCATCCAATCCCCCCAAACGCCAGTCAATGCACTTCCCACTTGCCAAAAGAGGCGCACTCATACTCAATACTCCAGTGCCCTCAATGCAACTCAAATCTCCACTGGAGTACCGTAGCCCGAGTCTCGCTTTCGGCTCGTCTCGTCGCCTCCACCCTCGGCCTTGACTCCGTCCGACACCACTACCGGGACCGTGCCGCCCGACTCCTTGTTCTCCGCCGCCGCCGTGACCGTCACGGTGACCGCGACGGGGGCGGCTGCGGATTCCGGCTCGGCGTCGGATCCCGAGTCCGAGTCGGAAGACTCCGACTCCTCCTTGCTGCGCCTGCTCTTCTTATGCTTCTTGTGCTTCTTGCGCTCCTTCTCGGTCTTTTTCTTCTCCTCCTCCTGCTTCTTCTTCTCTTCCTCTTCCTCCTTGCGCTTCTTCTCTTCCTCTTCCTTCTTCTTGGCCTCCTCCTTGCGCTTCTCCTCGGCGGCTCTGAGCTCCTTCTCCTTCTTCTCCTTGCGCGTCTCGATCACCCAGTCCGCAGCGCCCGCCACCGCGTTCTCGGCGCTGCGCTTGTGCTTCATCAAGAAACCCTGGATCTCGGCGGGGCTGAACTCGTGGGCGGGGATCTTGGCGACGAAGTCCTTCGACAGCTCGTCGACCCTCGACCTGATCTCCTCTTTCCGCGCGGCCTCCTGCTCGGCAAGCGCCTTCTCGACCTCGGGGCTCTCGAGAGACTTGGGCTGTTCCTCGTTCTCGTCGCCCTCGAGAGGGGCAAAGATGGCGCGGAAGATGGCTCCGATAATCTCCTCGTCCGCAAGAGTGAACTTGACGATCTGGTCCACGCGGCCGGGCCGGATGAGCGCTTTGTCGAGCTTCTCCATGTGATTTGTCGTCATGATCAGCACGCGACCCTCCTGGCTGGCAACGCCGTCCAAGATGTTCAGCAGGCCAGACAGTGACAGCCTGCTGCTGGTCGTCGTGGTGCCGTTGCCGGGGGTAATCTGTCCGGGGACCATGTCTCCCGAACCTTCCTTGGCGTCGGAGGCGTCCGCGGTTCCGGTCTCTTCTCTCGTGTGTGTGAGGCCGGCGGTGTCGATATCCTCGAGTAGAACCACACACCGCCGGGGAAGCTCGGCGAAGAGGCTGGCGAGGTTCTCCTCGTTGGCTGAGATGGAGTTCAAGCTTACAATGTAGATTCTCATCTTAAAGAATCCAGCCAGAGCAAGCGAAAGGGAAGACTTGCCAGTTCCGGGAGGACCGGTCAGCAGGTAGCCGCGTCTCCAGGGAATGCCGCGGTTTGAGTACCACCGGCGCGTTGCGGGGGATAGGTAATCTGCGACGTCAGCCACCAGCTCCTTCTTGGTCTTCTCGTTCAGAATGACAGTCGAGAAAGGCCGTGACGTGCGCGCCATGCACCTCTGCCACGACGGCTCCGTGGTGCCCGCGCGGGTACTACCGCGGTAGATCATGGTCTTCTGGGAGTCCTTCTTGAGATACTCGGCGCGGGCCTCCTGCAGCAGCTCCTTGAGGATCCAGGGGTTGCGGCCGAAGCAGGAGACGCTGATCTCCTCGCGCTCGCTGACCATCATGAGGGACGCCTGCTGCTGGTTCTGGCTGCGCTTGAAGAGGAGGAGGTGGCCGCGGTACCAGAAGGTGTGGCTCCCGAAACTAGGCGTGTAGGCCAGGGGCTTCTTCTTGGGGCCCGGCTCGGAAGACATGTCGGCGGAGTCGTTGTCCTCCTCGTCGTCCTCGTCCCAGCGCCAGAGGAACCACGAGCGGGAGTTCAAGTTGGTGTTGACGACGAAACGTCGAGAGTTCTTGGCGAAGCGTTGCGCGGCGACCCAAGACATCAAGATGTTCTGAGTTGAACGTTAGGAACGCGATTCTCTCGTCTCTTGGGATTTTTAGGGATTGGACTCACGTAGATCTCGTCATCCGTCCGGACTTCAACGGTGGACATGAGGTAGGTGTCAATCTTTTCCCAGAGGTAGTCGCTGAAGTAGCGCCATGCGAACGTCGCCCCGCCGCAGAGGATGACCAGAGGGATGTAGACGTTCAAGTCGATGCCGAGGTACTTCTGGAACGCCGTTGAGAAGACGCTGAAGCCGGGGAAGAAGAAGTCCAGCAGCTGCATTTGAGGCGGCGCTTGCGCGACCGACTCGGAGGTGTTCATCGGGTCCGCACAAGCGGACGACTGAGAGAATTCCATGGCTTGGATGATGTTGATGAAAGAGGCCAGCTCAAATAGGAAGGGAATGGTGACGGGTCCGAAGCCTCTTATAAATACTATTTGTTGAAAGGGCGCGATACAGGGTCTATGGAACACTCTGAGAGAAGTCGTCTGTTCGAACGAGGAGAGAACCCAGGAGTTCGTGGTGAGTGACAGAATAAGTCAAGTTGGTGAACGGAGGCAGGCTGCGCTATATATTCGACGGCAAGTCTGTCTGACTGCAGGCACGATGCAGAGGAGGCAGCCAGCCAGCTCATCAAGCGTGTGGTTCGTGACCTCAGCTCGGCCAGTAAGGCAGACAAGCCACTATGCAAGATGGACGCCTCCTCCGAGGCTCCAATCTATCCAATGACGTCGCATTTAGGCAGGCTCCGTCCGCTTGAGGCCGCCATATACGATCGCCGGCATTTGACTCATTTTCCGAAAAGGACTAGGGACGGTGAATCGGGAAAAAACACAGACATGGTTATTCTGCGTGAAAGACATGCGTACGCACTATAGTTCACTGCCACGGTTAGGACTAATCAAGATATCAAGGCAAGGTAGTCCTACGTTAACCGCAGCTTTGGGATTTACGACTGCCTGCTTAGGGCGGTGACTAGTGGTCCAGAAGTGGAACGAACGGGTTTGGCGGGCCCCGAACGAAGGAGCGATATGCCAGAAGGTAATTAAGGAAGGTATGCTAATGCTAACCTGTATCCGTACTTTTTGTCTTGCTAAAGTCCCTCGAAAGAATGACCAATCTGGGAAGGAGATGAACTGCAGTCATCCTGTAAGGTCTTCTTTTGTGGCCCGTCTCGCCAAAAGGACGAATGAAGGATGGGGTTTTAGGACTTGGGAATTGCCGTTCACTTGTGAACCGAACCTAACTAGGAATCGTAACTCAGGCAATGCGGTCATGCAGCCAGTAAGGCGGTGCCGGAGCCGCAGCTGCCTGGAGATGAGGTGGTTCGCCAGGTGGAGCGCGGTAGACGGAGGTCAAGGCCGTTGAGGCCAATCTGTGGCTAGAGACGTCCGGGCTCAGCCACCCCGCTAAGCTTAACCTACAGCGGCCTCGCCGAATGACGCACGAAATCGATCTTTGGGGAAGATGGATGAGTTTAAAGTAGAGGTTGAAGCTTAAATTCTGTACTTGCAGCTTTTTCTCGGGTCTGAGGTCTCTTTTGAAAGATGAAGTTTGACGCTCCTTCTATGACGGCGGTAGTAATCCAGCTTGTTAGCTGACCCTTCTTTCTACACTCATTCGGCACGTCATAACTACGTAGCAAAAAATCATATACCAAATGAGTAATTAAAAGGGTTTCTTTGATGGTTTCCAAGGCAGCCATGGTCCTGGGTTGTGGAGGTTGACATCGTCATTACAAGACAGCAATGATACAGTCGGTCACTGAACCCTCTTTTTCACATCATAGCCAGCGTAAAATTTCGAGTCCCTAAAATACGTTGTTTGATCGAAACTTTCAGGGCTGTCGAAGAAGGTGTGACTGTTGTTGCTGCCATCTGAGAATCAACAGAGTGGCGTTGAGAGGATCTCGATGCTATGATTACCTTTTCCAAGGTTTCATGGCAGACTAGACGAATGCACTTCACAATAGCTCATGGACTCTTGATCAGGCGTGATTAAGTATTCTGTCTGCCCTAGAGTATCTGAGCTCTCACTCTCTCATGATATCGTTACTAAATGTCGTAAGTCATTAGACCACCACCACCCCGCCGTGAAGGTTCTGTTGTTCCCTTCTATGTTCCGGGGCCCCAGTAAGTAAGGGGTGGTGAAGCTTTGTTTGAACGCCGAGACAAGATTACCGCCGTGTGCGCCGAAGAAAAACAGTTGTACACCCACTCCAAACACAAGTTGCTTGTGATAAATGGCCATCAACAAGGTGAAAACGCAATCAGTCCGACCAATCCTCATACTTGCGAGAGCCACCGCCGCCACCACTGATATTGATGAAGGGTGCAGCACCGCCGCCACCGCCCATTGGCGGAGGAGGGGGTGGGGGAGGCATTTGATGGAACGCAGGCTGTTGCTGGTAGTCCTCGCCGTCGTCGTACTCGTCGTCATCGCCTTCGTCGTAGTCTTCCTCGTCGTAGAATGCCGGCTGAGGCGGCACGAACGGTGGTGGCGGCGGGTGCCCGGCGTTGTGTCCGAAAGGAGGACCCGGAGGTGGCGGCGGCTGATGCCAAGCGGGAGGCGGCGGGGGGAACCGGGGTGGGGTCCGCGGCCGGTGGTGGTGTTCCCTCCGGGAGGACGACCGGCGAGAGGACCGGCTGCTGGGCCGGCCCGCGATGACGGAGATGCTGTCATCGAATCTCGGGGTCACCCAGGCGTACGAGCACGACGACGAGGACGCATCGCTCCACATGGTGGCGCTGTCGTCGAACTGATCCCAGTCGTCATAGTTCACCTCGGTCCTTCGCAGGGCCAGGGGCTTGCCGAGGGGGGCGCCGGTGGTCCATTTCATGAAGGAGACGGCCCAGTGGTCGCTCTTGATGGTGGAGTGGGAGACTTGGGAGGATCTCGACTTCTTGGAACTTCCCGAGCGCGAAGACGATGCCGACGAGGACCTCGACGACGACCGGGAGTTCCCTGAGTAGGATGAACGAGGCATGCCTGCTGTATGCAATGCGGGACAACGTGAGAGAAAGTTTATTCCAATGGCCCTCGGTAGGAGCAAGAGCAGGAGCGGAGGCAGATGCAGTAGATGCAGTAAAGGCACTCTATGCAGGAGAGCGACGGGACGAAAAGGAGCTGCCCGTGCTATGACGCAGAGCAAAGGGGCGATTGGGGAGGGGGAATAGATGTAGAGGTCTGGGCCAAGCTCCTTCCAAGACGAGATGAGTTTGTTGATCACCGAGGAAGAGACGGAGCAAGCAACGAGAAAGCGAGAAACGAGCAGCGGATTCTTGGGATGAGGCCTCTCAAATACTTGTTGCACTCCTCCCTGCAGGCGGGGGAGAAACGAGCGTGGCCGCGAGCGAGTCCACGGCTTGGTTCGATGCTGCTCGCCTCATCTTGATGCATCTTGGTGCACGGCTCGGTGGGAGGGAGGAAGAAGCAAACGGACTTGATCCCATGCACCACCACACACCGCGCGAGTTGGTGCATGATATGCAAGTATAGGTGCGGAAAGAAAAAGCAAGGGGACTGAAGCTGATTTGTACCTCACCATATCACGGCATTGGAGGGAGTACTCGAGATCGAGCCAGTAACGGGCGAGAAGTAAGAAGTAGTCGAGGAACAAGGCTGCGGCGTGCTCCCCTCTTGCGGGGTACCACGACACCCTCTCGCACCTTTCGACACCGGCGCATCTCGCCCTGCCTTCCACCGCAGCCCTGAACCACATGCAGACCACTCACCGTGTTTCAACCAGAGTTTTTGAGACAACTCAAAGTGTACACGAGCTACCACGAGGTGGTAAGTGGCTCACAAGGCAATTTTCAGGCCAAGTGGCTAGGTAACCACGCTCGAGTTGCACCGCTGAACACATATGTCGCCTAACAGACGCGGGAAACAGAACAAGAAACAAATAGCAGCAGCAGCAGCCGAGACTGAGAAGGAGGAGGGAATGACAGCCACCAGACGTTTCTCCCGAGTCTGGGCCTGGTTTGGTGCCGCACCGGCAAGAACGTGAGAACTAGCGCAACCATTTGCATGGTTCGCAATCCGTTGCTCACAATTCACATTATGTGACGAGCGAGCAAGCCAAGCGGCTGCGATGGAAGAGAGGAAAGAAGTGCTCTAAGCGCTCAAGCTCAGAAGCCAACTGCCGGTCCGACCAACCACGTTGGCCGTGAAACCCGAATGTGTGGAACAGGATGAGGCTGCCGATTGCAGAACATATAGCCAACTGGTGACCAACGGAATCCTAGCGTCGAGAACCCGCGATTCTTTAGGTGCAGTCTTTGACCTGGCGAGGATGACTGGATGAAAACGGGGCGGCGCCGAAGAAATCCATAGCCAGTCGGCTGTACACACACAGCTGATGTGCAGTAGCTGCGACTGCTGACAGCCATTCAAACGGCGTCGCGGCGACCTCGTCTTGTCCGAACCATTGGATTATGCACAAGCTGTCGCCCTGAACCAATGTGCACTTCGCGTCGGATTCGGCAACCTCAAGCAGACTAATCGAAGGCATCGCAGTCCTTTTCCTCTGTGGCTCGTTTTCGGTCACCAGATGACAGGTACGTGAAAATATGGGATGTCACACCGAACAAGGGAGATGCCACAGATGTTGTCGTAACTTGGTACCAGGGCACCCGGTGAAGTAGCCGAACTTGCAGACGCAGCTCCCCGTCCAGCTAGAAAGCGTTCCGTTGATGGCGCTGACCATCGATGAAAACAGGGTGCGACGAAGGACATCTCATGCCGGACACCGAGAAACACCGGGCGGTCGCAGTAATTCGTAGCAGGCAGGTAAGTGGCTGCTGACATCGACTGGGGCTGGAGGGCATGATGGGATGATGTACACATGTGCGTCCGTATCTGCATCTGCATCTGCATCTCTGGCCGCTGTAGCTGCAAGCGTGAGTGTGATGGGACTAACTGGTTGGTGAGAGATTGCTGTTTGAGAAATGCATGTCATGTTACCTGGTGCCTAGTTAGGTGCTGGTTGCTTGTATTGATAGGATATCGAGTTCCGTTGAGCAATGTATGGTTACCGTGACAGGTTGATTCAACCCATAGATCGATGGAGACCTGTACAGGAGTTGAGCTTTGGGACTCGGTTGCCGTTACATTACTCAGTTGGGGATCGAACTGCCTACTAAGGCGTGATTCCGGGCTGCTGAGAGACCAACTTGATGGGAAACGTCAATGGGTGATTGGCGTTTGACAATGCGAGGCTCAACTCGATTGGGTCGCTGACGGGGGTTTGAAGTAAGAAAAGTTGGCATTTGACAGTAGAGATCTCGGTCGCGTTGTGTGGTGTGATTGCGGCAGAGGCAGCGGCAGAGGCAGCGGCATAGTTGTTGTCGTGGTCAGATGGCAAGTGTAGCATGATCATGGTTGCTATGTCTTGCGACGCTGGCTTGAGAGCTTTGCCGGCTGGGGGCATCTCGTGGCCATGGCTGGAGGAGATGGAAAAAACACAGGGTTGAAACGTTCGGCTTGTTGCCGTGATGGGCATCTGCTTGTCGAACAGCACCCGCAAGTGCAAACCTGTTAGTTGGAAAACCCGACGATGGTCTGGTGGACCCGAGTCGTGTGCATGGTTCCGACCAGTTGCAGTTGAAGAAAGCGGCGTTCCGTGACTGAAGACGGGACGGTCAGTGTTGTACCAGGCCACCTAGGGATCGCGGAGTGTCAACCAACATGAAGCAAGGTTACCAGCCTCAACGTGTCGCCAATCGGAAATGTTTTTCTTTCGCCGGCGAGTGGGCGGCGGCGGTGGCGCAGATCGAGAGAACAGACTCTCGCGAGCTCGAACACGCAGCGGTTTAAAGCAAGATCTGCTGGGTAGGCGACCAGGTCATCGCTTGGACCAGTAGCGCAGATCGTCTATACTGCATAGTAAGAGCATCCAACTGCTACAGTTTCCTACTATGATAGATAGCATTTGCAAATATCCGCAATTGTTTGCGGACTGGGTACGGTAAACCCCGGAAGCGAGGGCGCAGCTTATTTAAGATGTCCAGGTAATTAAACGCTGGCTAGCATTAAATAATGAGTAATGACGAAATAATATCGGACATGCCAGAGTGGCCGGCGTGATTGATAAACTGGCAGCAAAGCGAGTCAGTAGTGATGGGGGGTTCCAACTTGTCCAGGACCCATCGGCCATGACCAATGATCCATGGACGGAGACAAAGGATCACCGCGGACGGGAGCGTGTTGGCAGATGGAAAGTCTGTGTGGCGTGCCTGGCTGTCGATGGAACAAATAGGAAGCAGTCGTCAGGGACGGAAGCGATTCAGAGACTTCGATCGGTGACCGAACTGCAGGAACGTGAAAAGCTTCGTGAGGTGCGAGAGGGCAGTCGGCAAGGCTCCCTTGGGTGTTGGGTGTGCGTGTGGGTTAGCTTTAAATTGTGGAATAAGTTTATAGATTAATTAGAACTAAGAGTATATAAAGACTACCTATACTTTACCCTACTACTTAGCCTATATATATACCCCCTTTTCTACCCCCTATAGGTAAGTTAAATATTATTTCCTCTATACTAAATAAGGCGTTATAGTCTTTAGAGAAGCTTAATATATTATTAGTTAAATAGTTAGTTAACTTTAGCTATATCTTTAGATATAAATAGTATTATTATCTATTTAAATATATTTTTAATTATATTAATTTTATATACTTATTATTTAGTAAAGCTTATTTAGCTTTATATAAGGGTAGCTATTAGGAGGTAGAGATTATATAGGTTAATAGGGAGAATAAAAATAATATTTTAAATATTTTAATATATAGATAAATCTATTACTATTAAGCTATTAATAAGAAATAAAAGCATTTTAACTTAATTTAGAGATATATAAGAGGAAGTTTAATACTAACTATATTATAATATAATTATAGTTAAATTTAGCTCTCTTTATAGCTTTAACTTAACTATTAAGGTTTATATTATTTAGGTCTTTATATAACTCTATAAGTTTAAAGTTTTTATCTATTTAGTTATAGTAAATAGTAGTTACTATTAAGTTTTTATTTCTTTTTAGTATAGAAACCTTCCTCACCCTTAGGGGGCTTAAAAGGTTACTAGTGTGGGTTGGCTTAGTGAGAGACGGTAACCTTAAGTGGCTGACAGCGGATCTTTTTAGTCGGTAATCCAGTTCCAGTTGCCGTGTTCCCGGACGAGATGGCGGCGGGAATGAGAAAGAAGGGAGTGCATGGTTGACGGAAAGCCAAGTTTTTCGTGTGGCACATTTCCGCCCGTTTGGTTAAGTGAGCCAACCCTGCCGGCACCAGCTGCGTCTGGGTACGATGTGGACGGCGGGTTCATGGAAAGTGCTTGGAAATATGGAAGGATATTGGGTAAGATAGGAAAGGAAAGCCTCGTCTGCGTGGGTAAAAAAGATATGGAGTCGGGTCGGGTGCTCTCACCACGAGCTGACCATCGAGGTGCGACATGTGCGGTAGGCGGTAGAGCGGTACGTACCTCGTCTATTCGTTCGTTCCGGATCTGAATTCAGCCAGAGCAGCGAGCAGAACCAATGAGCTGCTTACCTCAGCTGCGGTACGTATCTCCGGGCCTGCTCGCCAAGCTTGCTGTGAGACGCTAGTCTTGATTCGTCGTTAACCTCGTTCTTGAGTTTCGGGCCCCACATGCCTGTTTTCTTGGCGGAGGCCGCAGGGTCCGCCGTCGCAGGAACATCGTGACACTAGGCTCTTTTAGGATATAGCGCCATTTATATTTGCCGGCACGCAAACTGAGATCGACCTTCTGTGTTCGTGCTTGGCTTCCGAGTCTCTGCATCTTTCGTTATTCGACTCATTGCCCACGGTCGCTGAACGGCATCAAGTTGAAAATGCTGTCCTGGTGCCTCTAATGGCCCCGAGACCGAATTGCTTGTGTCATATCGCAAAAAGAAACAAGACAGCGGCACTTGAAGCGGCCCCCACTGTTTGCCAAACATCTGAAACCTTCTACTGTGACAGCACCGCTCCAAAGCCGTCAACGTGCTCCCGGCTTGCTACCTACAGTATCCGGACATCGATCTGAATCGCCCGGGTCAAGGTTCTGGCTGTTGTTGCTCTCATTCACTAAGGTAGCTTGATGTTTTCAGATCTAGTTGATTGCCATCCGTGTTTATCGATGAGGATGCCTAGAGCCCTTCTCCGTCTCGTCTTAAAAATGCTCTGAAAGCCAGAAATCCATGCTACTTCAGCCGTGCTAGTTCAAGCCAGCTCGGCGGATGATGCCCGCAGTGGGCGCTGATTATAGTGAGTCTGGTTGACGATATCAACTCTCATCCACATGGACGACGCATGCAAGTCCACCAGTATAAGCGTTGTTTGTCGAGGCTACCTTATCTACGACCGGGGATTAATAGGCTCAAGAGTCATAACACGCGTAGATCATGAGTTCTCTTACAACCCTACGGGGATCCGTCCGCACCGCATGCCGTCCATCCATCCGTTATCATTATGGATATGGAAACAACTATGGAGGAGGACCATCCGCCGAATCAATCAATCAAACAGCAGAATGTCAACGTATCTTATGCCACAAGCATACTACCTTCGCACGTCTTTCTGTTTGCTGGCGATGACATTCAGCCCCAGCCCCGTCAGTCCTAGACAGACGACAACTATTTTTACGAACCTATCCGTACTAACCAGCAATCTGGCCTGGCGTATTTTCGGGCTTTTGCGAATCATGACGATGTCAGCAGTCTACATAGTACATACAACCTAGCAATTCGGAACAAACGACGGACTCATTTAGACTACGGCAATAACCAGTGTGGATTTCGGGCTGGCTGAGGACTCGAGTAGAATCAGCCTAAGCCCAAGGCGTGGAAGTGGAAGTGGAAGAGGAAGAGGAAGTGGGCTCACTCAACTTAGCGTTTGTGGACTCCAGACGCCAATGCTGCGATCCCCACCGTTCTCACACACGAACGAACACCTGCAGGGCGCACCTGTTCCGTACCTGCTGCACCTGCATGCTGCTGTGGTGTTCTGCACCAGCACCTGCACCTCCAGGGAGCGCCAGCGGGGCCAATTTGTCTCCCGCTGCATCGTGTTCTGTAGCGCGTTCCACATCCACAGCTGTTGATTCTCGTGTCTTGGTCTGTATGGCACACATTACTATATCAATGTCATATTACAGAATGAAGTAGAGTCATCGAAATGATATGTCCCGTACTTCACAGCCAAGGGAGAGCGGATAAAAGGCACTTCGAGGTCCAGGCTCAAGTCAAGGCACAGGCAAAGGCACAGACACGGGCATCGCCTACCTAGAAAGGCCGGTTGCCGCTAGACCTTCCTTTTAGGAGCAAGGTATCTGATGCATAAGTGGTAGGTGGCAAGATACAAGATACCTTGCTCGTAGCGTAGGTAGCGTCTCGTCGAAGTACATCGTGCCTCCCGTCGACTTAGCCATCTCTGGCAGGAGGTACTTGAATCGTCTGCGCTGCAACACCAAATCTTCTTGTATCTTTTCCTCCTTCTTTCTGCTGTCCGGGACTTTCCTCCCCCCTCCTCCTCTCTACTAACCCCAGTCCTCGTCAAGGGCTCCTAGCACAAATGCACCCAGAGACGGCACGGTTTCCCTTCCTCTTCCCTCCCCCCAGTGCGCCGGTGTTCTTGGATCCCCCCTCCTCTTCACCCTCTTCACGCTCTTCTGCCTCTGTGTCTCTCCTCCCGTCTCTTCAACCCCGGTCGTTTCCAGCAGTAGAAAAAGTCTCCAGCGGGTTTAGGTAGCTGCTAGGTTGCTTCTGAATACGGCCCCTGGGTATCCTGCCTCCGCTGTCTGGTACTGTACACTGAGAAGAAAAAAAAGGGCCCCTTCCTGGTGCCACCAATGACACGCCTGGACACTTCGTGTCGGACCCCAAACCCAAACTGTTCCTGAATCGTCCAACCTTGTCTGGTATTACCCTCCCGCACCCGCACCCGCGCTCCCTCTCGCTCTCTCCTTCGCCTTGCCCTCCGTGTCCTACGCTACTGTCTGCTCGTCTGCCTGTCCTTCCTTTCTCCTCCACGACGATACTGTTTCCTTTCCCGCACTCGAATTCAATCTATCCACTTACCCACGCTACAAACCGATTAATCTCACGAGACGCTTTCACTTTCGAACATCCACCTACCTTCACTTCACACTCTCTCTCTCTCAAGCGACGGCTGGTTCGGAGCGGTAATCAATCGAGGCACTGCGGGTTGAGGTTGGGACTGGATCTGGGCCTTCCGGGTCAGCGGTGGACGCCCATGTTGTGAGATTGGTGCAACCACATCTAAACCGCCGCAGCTCGTCGTCGATTCGAATCCTGTCCATCGCACAACATCACTATGGATCCCTTTCATGACAAAGCGGGCAATGAGCGGAGGGCTTCCCTCAGGATGTCGGCCAGGCAATCCACCACCGTCGACGGTGACGACGATGAATACGATCTGGCCGCCGCCATGGGCCTTTCCGATGGCTTTCGCCCAACACAAGTCTCGGCATCCCATCCAACCACTTCTTCGACTACAAACCCTTCGACTGGCTCGGCGGTTGTGTCACGAGACTCTCCCGCCGTTCAGCGAGCTGTAGCCCCCGCCCGACCCTCGAGTATCGCGAAGCCGCCTCGTGCTCACGACAACTTTGCCCTTCGCCACGATGGCTCAGCCAGTCAAGCGACCGGCCCTTCCATCTCACGCGTCTCGACCGCCTCCACCGAGTCGCCCATCATCCGCTCCGAGAGCCCCTACGAGGGTCCCTCCGGCCCGTCTCACCCCTATCAGATGTATCCCCAGCGAACCAACAGCGTAGCGACTACGTCAACTGCTCGCATGTCGGAGCGATCCTATGCAGGTCCCCGAGGCCCGACGCATCCGTACACTCTGTACACACAAAACACTGTTCCGGTTGACACGCACGAGGGCGACAACATCCCCGTCGGATTCGGGCGCTCAGACAACTATCAGCGACGCATGGGCGCCGAAGGAGAGGATATGGCGGATCTGATAGGTCCTCTAGGCCACACTGAAGAGCTCCCGCCGTACACGAGGTATCCAGAGCAAGCTTACGCGAGGAAACAACCGGGTGAAATGCCCCAGCAAGCAGCCCAACCACAGCCACAGCCACAACAACAGGAACCACAGCAGCCTCTTGTTCAGCAGCAGCTATCACCACAACCATCCGGCCAACAACAGCCGACGCAACCCGTTGTGACGGTCATGGCGGCTTCGGTTCCACCCGCTCCCATCCCCGGAGCCGGTGGCCTCGGTCTTGCCACCAGAAATCCGGAGTTCGAATCGCGGGAGGAGCTCCGCCTGCCATCCCGCATGTCCTCTAGAACTTTGACATCGGACACTGCAAGCCAACACGAAATCAACACCGCTGCGGAGGCTTACGCCGAGAAGGGCGAGGAGAGCAAAGACAAGAAATGGCAAAAGAGGGCAAAGAGGCGAATGTTCGGTGTGATTCCGTACTGGGCTATTTGCCTATTGGCGGTCGGATTAGTGCTCATGTGAGTTGACCTTATCTGTTCCTTTCAATGACTAGTCACTGACAATTTCTCAGGGGTATCATCTTGGGCGCTGTCATCGGCACCTTCTTTGCCAAACACAAGAAACCACCGGGTCGCAATCGAGACGACGAGCCTGTCCCGCTCGTCATTCCTACGGCCACAGTGGACATTAAACCCTTGGCCACCCTCCCGCCCGACCTGCCGTCAATGGAGATTGGCGTCTTCGGCCTACCCCCCCTGATCGCGAGTCAAGCGCCAAGCACGTGTTTCAACGACACAACACAGTCGCAGGCTTGGACCTGCAACATCCCTTTTACTAGCTATGTCATGAGCGTCTCCAGAATCGCCAACGAACTACCCATATCTGATTACACCTTAAAACTTACTACTTTCAACGACAGCGACTCCAACGACAAGTTCAACATGTTCTCATGGGGAACACAACCTCCTCTCATCATTGACCCACTGAAAATGCGTCTCGTCAACGACACGTCCGAGCCCGGCCGAGGTGCGGCGTGGTTCGCTCAAATGACGTACAACAAGACAGTCATCGTGGCCGAGGATAGATTCCCGGGCGTCAGCACACCCAGGCCGAGCTCTAAGAAGAGATGGAATGGACCACCACCATCATCCGGGGACTTCAGCAGAAAGGGGATCAAGGGAGCACAAGCCGGAGACAGGCCTTGGATCTGCACATGGCCGGGAACTCTTCTCGAAGTTTTCGTCTATCCCGCACAAAACAACAGCTATCAACGGAAACCCACATCTACGACCAAGCCCTTGGCAGCTGCCACGGCACCTCCAACTTCGACACCGTTCTTGGTGAGGCATGGTCTAGCCACTCCCACGTACACGACTATAATTCCGACTGATCGACCACGAAAGGCTCCGCCGCCGCCATATCCGCAGGTCATCAAATTTGAGGAGCGACGCGTGTCGCTCGATCAGACCAAGAACGCTTACTGCCGGCAAGTCGAAGTATGTGACGATGGAGAAAACACCGTTCCCGTTCTGAACGAGGAAGGCCAGCCCGTGGAAGTGATGATCATGGAGAACAGGCAAACTGTGGCCATCGCCGACTCCAAGCGCTGGATACACGAGGACAGCTTCCTGGTCTCACGGGATCGGCCGGCGAGAACAAGCCAGTTGAGCGACTGCGGGTGCATCTGGTGGTTCACATAGCACCGGGCACCCGTCACGAACTTGCCCCAACACGGTGTCGTTGTTGTGTGGCTTCATGTACTACACCATCTTTCCCCGGCCAAGAAGCCGTGTTATTACATTTCCCTTTATCTAGGCGTTGTTTGATATCTATCCGGGCGAGCATCTTGGGCGTCGTTTACTTGGCGCAGTAGGCTGGCGATTGTATATATCTGGCGGAATACCTACGGACGGGCCAAAACGCCCCCGAACAGCCTCTTCAAAGGAGGAGGACTTGGAGTCAACCTGCACTTTAGGGTTGGCTTAGCACTTATTTAAAGACTTGATGTTGCAGGTTTGGTTGGTCTTGCACGTCAAAATTGTTAGTCCTAGTTCAGAATACCGGTGAAAAGAATGAAGAAGTTGCAAACCACTCTAGCGCCATCGTAATTCATGGACCAAGTTGCTGCAAAGGTGCCTCTCAGACCTCTGCTGCCTTTCGTGTCGACATCACCGTTACTGCTGGTCTGACATTATGGCCAGGTGGAATTATGGTAATGATGCCCGGTGCCTGCGTGATCAAGACGAACGGCAACCTTCCAAGCTAGGTTCCTGCAGGGTGAAGCATCATTGCGACGGACCGTTCAGTGCCTGGTCGGCCGTGGCGCCGCCCCCATTCATGTCGGATGCAAGCCCGTCCAAAAAGCTATCAGCCAACTTCTTCGCCCTCCTCGCCTCGACGTCCTTCCGCCGCTGCTCGATCTCCCTCCGCCTCGCCTCCTTCTTCTCCTCGCGCTCCCTCCTCGCGGCCTCCGTCCTCTGCCGCTCCTCCTCGAGGCTCTGGAACTCCTTGGACCGGACCTCCTCGTCCTTGCTGAACTTGTAGAAGCCCGTGCCCTTGGTGCGGATCTCGCTGTCGGCGTCGTAGTGCTTCATGTCGGGCGGCGTCGCGCTCCGGTCGCGCTTCCGCGCCAGCTCCTCCATCTTGTCCGGGTCGTCCGGGTTGAAAGCCATCGTCTGGATCGCGTCGCCGTAGAGCAGGTTGGACGGCGCCGCGGGCCGGGCCGACATGCGCTCCAGCTCTTCGGCGCCTAGGAGGCCGCGTCGGCGTTGGCGCTCCAGTCGTTCCTTATCTGCCTTGGTGCCCCGTCGCAGACGCCCGAACTCGTCTTCGTACTCGATGATTTCCTGGGCGTTGGTATCTGCATCGTCCTCACCGTCATCGTCGTCGGAGCCGGAACTCGAGGCCCCCCCGTCCTTGCCCCGCGCCTCCTCGGTCTCGGCCCATTTGCGGTCAAAGTCTATCAGGGGCGCGGCCTCGTTTTCTTTGGGGACGTAGTCGCCGCGCTTCATGGCGGCGTAGAGGCGCGCCTTCTCCTCCATCTTGCGCCGCGTCCGGGCGAGATTTGACGACTCTTCTTCGGTGCCGAGGGGTTCTTTCAGGTTGAGCTTGTTGGAATCGGCGGAGCTCGAGCCGGGTTTGGTGCCGTCGTCGCGGCGTTTGGATTTGGAGCTGCTGAAGATGTCGTCTTTCGTCCGAGACGGACGTGATCGCGCTGGAGCGGATGTCGTCGTGGACGGTGTTGACATGAGCGACGTGAGTTGGGCGGTGAAGTCGAGGGAGCTGCTCAGCGACATGTTGTTCTTGCGCTTCTTGGGCGGCGGTTGGCCGTAGAGGTTTGGGTCTTGCGGCATGGTGATCGTTTGGCGAAGAAGAAGGTTGAAGAGCGTTGGTGATGTGTAGATAACGTGCAAACTGCTTGTTTGTGCAAGGGCTTGCAAGAAAGAACCTGGGCAGAGAGGCGCAAGTGGGATTGAAGTTGGACGGAAACTTTGTGATGTAGCTGCTGGCACGTAATTGGAGGTTACTTAGGAGGGTTAAAGCGCTAGGCACCCCCACACCTGCAGAGTGCCTTATCGTTATCGGACCCCAAGCACTGGAGAAACTCCACCACAACTTCTCAAAACATCATCACGATATTCCCACCCATGTGGAACAAGCAAAAAACAGCAAAAAACATACAACACCAGGTATTCGCTGGTCGTCACCGACCCAACTACTAATCCGGCCCTCATTGGCTTATCTAAGGGAGAGCGGACGGGATCCCGAGTTCTCCAATGGGTATGGTCGTATGTGCTTGACTGATGACAACAAGAATCTTATGTAGGGTTCAGATTGAGACGTCCATGCAGAGGTAAACCGGGCCTGGCAAGCGGTATCTAATTCACAGTTGTAGAATGTTATCACGGCATATCAGAGCTTGGCTTCTTTTCGTTGGATCGCAGAGAGAATTCAAATGGATCGAAGCCATGAGATGTGTGAACGCGCCCTGACAAAGAAGGCGAGGAATTTGACCATGCGGATTGAAGTGCCCATGGGCATGTCTCCCCGGACAACTTGCCAGTTATTAAAGACGGCATTGAACCCCCAGTTGATCATGCGAAAACGATTGGCGCCGTAACAGCTTCTCGCTGGCGACCTGAAAGGTATCCTGCTTGGATGGCAAAGCCAGCGCGTCTGTGGGTGCCTTGGTATTACATCGGTCCATTGAGTCTCGAGTACATTACGAGGACAAGAGATGGCTGTTGTTGCTTATTGGGGGCTTGGAAATTCGGTTAAATGTCGTTATGTTATTAGTACGACGTGTTCTGCCCTTGGGTAGAATGTATCTTATAAACCTGAGCTATTCCATACAGCTCTGCTCTGAGGTCAGAGTCTCATTCTCGTCACTTTTCAACATCGGTTATGTTTTCTCCCGTAGTCTAGTTAGTAATGCCCCTGATCTAGTAGCGGTTTATAGTGAATGATAAGTTGGTCTCTCCGGAGGATGGCTGTCAAGATCGCACAACTTTTGTTAGGATGGAAATCGAAGAACTTGATATCTGTATTGATCCGTAGCGGTGAAGACCTGTTCCATTTCTAGAGTACCGGCCCTGCTCGTTATTAAAGACACCCGTTCTCCAACACAAAAAGCCAAGATCGTAGCTCTGTGTTAACCTTGACCGGGTCCTCTCGCCATAGCCAATGTCTGGCTCGCAGTAATGTGGCCAAACGAACAGACTGGTCAAACCACTTAAAACCCATCAAGCATCTTGTCCGAGAAGTATGGTTCTTGCATCCCCCAGACAACCAAACATGGCATTTTGTAATGCATTCCCGAGGTGTCAATGTTCTGACCGTAGGGGGGGCCTGGAAAGTTCTTACGGAGGAAGTAAAACATACCATATTCGGGAGATTCTTGTAAATAGTTCTTGATATCGGCGAGATAGGCAGGATCCGGAATCGTGCGAACAACGTGGTCTAAATCGTATGGATCTCCCGGATTATGGCTGATGTACTTCAGTGAATACTCCGAAAGGCTTTGTTGTTCCTTGTCGTGGTGGATGAGGTGCATCATGGTGCCAAGGATTGGCGTGTGGAATATGACGAGCCCCAAAAGCCTGTTCGGATGGAGGAAGGCAAGTTTCTGCGCGACAATACCGCCCACATCGCTGCCGGCCACGACCGCTTTCTCGAATCCAGGGTGGTCTAGAAGCGCCAGCAAATCGCTTGCCATGGTGTTGCCGTCGTGGGCGTCTTCGTCGAGTGGCACATCGCTTGGAGGATGGCCTGGGAGAATAACGGTGTGGTCGGTAGAGAACTCGTCGATTTAATCCACGAATGCCACCTCCTTGTCTGGATGACCATGAACGAACATGAGAGCAGGGCCTTTACCGTACATATGATAATGGATGTCGATTCCCTTGTTGTTAAGGAAATGGGAATTTGCGTCAATCAGCATCGTCGAAACTTGAGTATGAGAATCTAGGTGACTTTCAGACAAAACTGCTCAATCTTGTGATCGTTGACGATAGAATTAGCAGATGGGTGATTGTGGTTGTCGTTTGCCAGGGTTTATCGAAAGAAGAAAGACTCGATTCGCGAGAAGCTTCATGGTGCTCATACGATAGCGAGTTTGATGCATCAGATATGTGCAATGATCTGGACCCTGAGACAAACGTAGAAGCGCCCTCAACGCATGTTTACGGGAATGGGAAAAGGATCCCATTGCGATCTGTCAGACGTCGAGTAAGTAGTTGTATTTCATCTTGTTGGGTAAATTGATTGACAATCACGAACAGAAAAAGAGAAAGTTTGGACACTGAGAACTCTTTCAGCTTGAACCATTTGAGCACATATACTATTTCTCGAGTAAGAAGTATTCGGGCGAATCTGGATGGGAAACTTCAGATGCCGAGTAAAGATTCATTCTCAAATGCACACATCGCCGGTGTCCTCCACCATATGATGTGAACATGGTTAGCAACAGCCTAGTACGTCGCACCTAGTTCAAGGCGGATCATCGGAGACTCCCCGTCAATCAATGGTATGGGTACCTGTGAGATAAACTGCGCAGCGGGTGAGCGTTGATGACGACTTCAAACTTGCGCCTCTGCTCAATACAACTTAAATTGACATTACTCCGTCATGTATGCTAGCTACAGTATAAAACATTGATAATCGCTCAGTCCTAAACGCCAAACCCGAAAACCCGCTGCCAAAGCCTAGGCACAGCTCACGTTGCAAATCACGCCCTCATTGATGAGAGGCCTTTTCGGTCTGTCGAACACCGTCGAAACCTCAGACTCGTTCGTATCTTGTCTAAAAAGTAACATCGCGCATGATTCCCAGACTACATGCGTTTCCTCACAGCCGACCTCCCAGTGACTGCTTCCGGCACAGGCTGGCTGCTAGGGTGGCGTTTGAGCTCCCCACGCTTTGGCTCTTGGGGCTGGCTCCATGGACGGCTCCAGCAGATTCGATACGTCCAGACGACGAGATCAAACCCGATCAAGAGAATGATTGGAACCACGAAGAAAAGCCCGAGGGCAATCTAGCACGCTATTAGATGATGGCCAAATAACGGGAGGGGTAGCCAAACTTACGAATGCACCTGATATATATCTGACTAGCGATGGGTAGTCGGGGGAGAGAAGCGAATAAGTCATCATGGTGTCATACCACGAGACTGGTTGAGCGTGAGAGTCCATGCGTAAAGACGTGGAAACCGAAGCGACTCGTTTGCGGGAGGGAGACTTTGGTGACAGCTACGAGATATCGCGGGGAAGTCGGTGCGACCGTAGTAGTGCGTGTGCGACGGTAATTCAAGAGTGCAGATACCTAGACACGCAGCACGAATTTGTTGAGGGAGTGACAGGCAGGTAAGGTAATAATGCAGAGGAGGGTCAGGTTGGTGAGGTGTTCAGCGTCTGTGGGGCTCTAGGGGGCCATCGTCGTGTGAATGCTTGATTCCCTCAGGATAATAAAGGGTGGCCAGGTCAAATGCGTTGGTCTCCAGAGAGTGAGGTGATGGCGACAAAGGAAGGGGTGGGATACCTCGGTGTAATATGAGGTGTCACCTTAGGCCAAGGGAGACGTACAAGAGGTGCAAATATGGGAAAGCCGGCGCCTCCGTGATGAAATGACGGGACGGGACGGGGCTGAACGCATTGCATTGCCTACTTTCCTTGCCCTTCCTTACCTCATCTCACTAACTAATGCCTGCCTCTAGACTTGAGCTGAAAAGTCGTCTCTACTGCATTACGGAACAGAGGGGAAAATGCATACGAAAACCAAACCACCTTATTTTAAGCTCAGGGTAAGGTGGTTCCCATCATCTCACATCATTTTCCTTACATACCATAAGAGCAAGAGATTCATCTGATGTCTCCAATTCCTCGGCTTTCTCTCTTTCTTTACACAGACAGATGGCCCCCCTGTTACACTGACAGAATTGCAGATCACCCGCAGTGACGCAGCCAGCCAGCCAGGCAACCCACTGACGCACCGATAACTCGGTTATCGCGTTGAATGCGTACCTTATTGCCATGGAGTATCCGTGTATCGAAGTGTACCTACCTACGCTTGGAGTCACCTAAGGCAATTAGAGTGTTTGGCGTGTAAGGTGGTCCCAAGTCACCGCCTTCCGAATCAGCAACCCCCAAATTCCCCGCCATGCATCGCCGCCCGCACCTAATCGCAACTTTTTTCTGGACGGGAATTCAGGCGTGCAGACCTTTCTCTATCCCAACCTAGACTCCAACGCATATTACGAGGACACGACAAGACACCCGTCCCTAGTTTTTGTCTTCATTCCCGGATACCTATTCCAACAAGCGACCATGGGCAAAGCAACTCACAAACCCAAGAGCCAGAAGCGCGAAGACTATCGCAATGCTCGTAACCAACAGGGCGTGGTAGATCTGCCCAAGAAGAAGTTCTACCGGCAAAGAGCTCATGCGAACCCCTTCTCTGATCATCAATTGGTCTAGTAGGGCCCCCCGGGACCCCAATGTGCCTCTGCCGTCGTGCTAACTGCTTGCCTGCAGCCCAGCGAGCCCGGACGAAATGGACTGGTCCCAGTACTATCCTGCTTTCGTCGCCCAAGACGAATCTTCTAGCGAGCTTGCGACGGCACAGACGACGACTTCGGACTCGAATATGCAAGGTGTTTTGACAACCAGAACACGCAACCTGCGGAAGAACGTTGAGGTGGTGGACATTGGCTGTGGCTTTGGAGGCTTACTCGTCGCACTTGCGCCCATCATGCCGGATACACTAGCACTGGGTACGCCTGCCAGGCCTGTAGTCAATTCTTGGTTAACTAACCGTGCTAGGCCTCGAAATCCGAACTTCAGTCACAGAGTATGTCCAGGAGCGCATCAAAGCGCTCCGCGCGCAGAACGAAGGCACCGGCCAGTACCAGAACATCAGCTGCCTCAGAGCCAACAGCATGAAGTTCCTTCCCAACTTCTTCAAGAAGGCACAGCTGTCCAAGATATTCATCTGCTTTCCCGACCCGCACTTCAAAGCCCGCAAACACAAGGCGAGAATCGTCTCGACGACACTCAACTCGGAATACGCTTTTGCTTTGCGCCCAGGCGGTATTGTCTACACAATCACTGATGTTGAGCCGTTGCACCAATGGATGGTGGAGCATTTCAATGCCCATCCGTCTTTCGAGCGCATCTCAGAGGAAGAGCAGGAGGCAGACGAGTGCGTGAAGGTCATGAGATCGGAGACAGAGGAGGGCAAGAAGGTGGCGCGGAATCAGGGCCAGAAGCATGTAGCTCTCTTCCGCAGAAGGGAGGATCCCCCGTGGTGATGCGCTGCTTGAACGACGGGAGTGACGGAGTCAGTGCAGGGAAGAACTGAAATGGCCAATGGCAGATACTTCCAAAGATACCCAGAGAGCGATGAGCTGCAAGAATCGATCACGTTGCCTTCTCCCAATGTACGGGCCGTGTTGAAAAGGTAGGTCGCTAGAGTATCTAACTTGCCCATTTGACTTGCTGCTTAGTTGCACACGAATACACGCGCGACCGTTCGGGCACTTGTCTACGGGCCCACCCGGTCGCATGCATGTCGCGGTAAGGTACTTCACCGAAGTGTGATGCAAGGTACTTGGCGGGAGGTATCTTACGTACTCACACCTCCCGCGCATCTGGGTCCGACCGCACCTCGACATCATCCACACGTGTCGGTCTAGCTATCCGCACAGCGCAGCACCGCACCGCAACTCAACTCATCTTCCTCTCCCCTTAATCGATCAGAGCTAAGCCTCAAATCAACCGCCCATCAATAAACCGAGCTCCCGGAGCACCGCAGAATTCGACGACAAACGATGTAGCGACAGCATACCACACCTCAGAATCAATCTGGATTATGGCCCTGCAAGGAAGAGACCTGATCCTTGCCGCCATCACATGCTTCATCGCCTGGGGCTACGCCGTCAGTTGGGTCCCGACCTTGCGATGGATTGGGTACGCCCTGGTCAGCGGATCGTTATTGACCATCGTGGTCCTCTTCGCCCTCGTCCTCCTCACCTCTCGCGGTTCTAGACGCAGCTCGCGCCATCGATCGCCCCGTCCGAATGGCCCTGCCTTCCTCGCTCCCAAGGCTTGGAGGAAGGAAGTCGCCAGCCTTCAAACGCGCCAATCTTACACGAAAGCACCTCTCGATCCCGACTCTGCCCGAGTGTCCAAAGCTCTCGACGACCTCCTCGAACTCATACTGCGGGACTTCGTTAATTCGTGGTACTCCAACATCAGCGAAAATCCCGTCTTTACGAACCAAGTCGACAAAGCCGTTCGCGATGCTCTTGTCAACATTAGGGAACGGCTCCTGCAGCTCGATTTGGTGGACATCGTCACCACGCGCGTCGTACCGATGCTAACGGCGCATTTCCGCGACTTTTACGATGCCGAGCGGTCAATCCGTGGGAGGAAATTGAACCGATCAGTGACGGAGTCGGAAGAATTGGATCTGGCCATTGCCTCCAAGTACAAGGATGGGAAACTCCACCCCGCTGCCTCGTTGTCTTTCCCTGATACGAAGCTCGTTCAACAAGATTATCTTCGGAAGATGGTATCGGGAATCTTGCCAAAGGTGCTTCCGCCCAACGTGCTCGCCAGCCGCGCTGTCTCCACCATAATCCGAGAGATAGTCTCATGCGCGGTGCTGTTTCCCGTGATGCAGATCCTGGCCGAGCCCGACACGTGGAATCAAGTGATGGAGAATTACGGCCGTTCCATGCTGCAAGACCGATCGACCGTTCGAAAGCTCAGGGCGGCGTTAGACCAGCACGCTTCACCGACACCGAGGACCGGCAAGGCTGCCATTATCCCACGCCTCTCGTCTACCGATAGTGAGAGAAAGTTCGAGAAGTTCATACGTGCCATCAGGAAAATCAGCAACCTATCAGACGCGAGACGACTGCGGAGCGAAGTCGCCAGCCAACTGAAGCGAGACTCGCTAGAAGAGAACCAGGACCAAGTGTATCTCCGCCGTTTGGAGATGGGGAAAAGGTTACTGGACCAGCGCGTCCAAAGTCTTGCTGCTGGAGGGGATCGACGAAATCCACCAACCCTGCCTCCTCGTCCGACGGGTGTTCCAAAGCCGGTGTCGAAACTCGAGGACGCATCCCTGGTGGAGCTGCTCCGAGATGCATCGGGCCTATCGTACTTCATGGAGTTCATGGACCGGCACCATATGATGCCTCTCGTTCAGTTTTGGCTAGTGGTTGACGGGTTTCGTAATCCGTTGGAAGATGAAGGTCAAGATGATGAGCAATTGCCGTCGAACTTGCCAATGTGGACGGATTCCGATCGCCTGGATCTGGCCCAGATCGATCACGCGTATCTGGCCAAGGCCGAGTTGAAAGTATCGCAGTCCTCTCGGGATGAAGTGCGCGCATTCCTCGATGCTGGTAAGGCGGCAACACCGGAGCAGTACTTCAAAGCCCGGAGAGCCATCTTGAGAGCCCAGACGGCTGTTCTGGAGAGGATGCAGGCACAGTACTTCCAGTCATTCAAGAAGTCAGATCTTTTCTACAAGTGTTTGGCTGCGGAAGAAGCAGCGACAAATCTCGCTCCTCTTCCCATCGCGGAGCCGTCTTCGTCACAGGCTCATCCACCCATGAACCGAAGCTCTCAGTCTTACCAATCTAAGCCAAGTGCGGTGACCAGATTGGCTCCGAGATTGACGCGCCCAACATCGAAGCGTGCCGGGTCTGCCTCAGATCTCAGAAACATCAACGTTAATGGCAGTGGTCTTGAATCGACGCAGCGACGTTCTTTGGATGATGAAACCACAACCCCCCTTTTCGACGACGATGATCTCGAGAACGACGGTATGATGGACTCAGTCCAAAGCCTTGACCAAGACGCCAGCAATCCTGTACCTGATACGAACGTCGTTCAAGCTATGGAGGAGGCCTTGAACAACATTATGGAAGATAACCGACCTCAAACTGCCGAAGAATTTCGAGCATCGCTGTTTGGGGCCGATGATGCGGGGTCGTCGACCAGTCTGTTCTCCGGAGACAACGATTCCCATCGAGGATCACTCGACGTTGGCAGGCCAGCCCAATTTAAGGAAGCCGAGAAGCCGAGTTTGTCGTCCCTCGGCCTTGTCAGTGCTGCATCCCGCATTGGAGTCTTCGTTGACGACGACCTGTTTGGGGACGAGGATAAGCACCTGTCCGACGAAGTCGACGATGACGACGAAGGTAACAAGGTTGATGTAGAGGACGAAGTGCACGAAGCAGCACCCGGAGACCTGGGTCTGGCAGAAGCTATTACGGCGCTGTCAAACGACATCGATCGCCTGGTCGCACAGGACGCCATCGTCGATTCCCTCACTAAGAAAGCAGAGCTTACCAACAACACTGCAGAACTTCGGATTCTTCGGAAATCGAAGGCAAGTCTTCAACGCGAGATTCGCCGCAAAGAGCTCCAAAGGCAGCAGTACGTCGTACAAGAGAGCGACAACAGTCTGTATGGCCGCTCTAAAATCAAGATCAAGGCTATACAGGTAGGACGCGAGGACGACGGCAGGGAGTTCGCTCTGTACGTGATCGAAGTCCAGAGAGATGCTGGGGAGAAGATGCCGGCAGCGACTTGGATCATTACCCGCAGATACAGCGAGTTTCACGAATTGCATCAGAAACTCCGATCAAGATATCCTTCTGTTCGCAATCTCGACTTTCCTAGAAGACGGATGGTCATGAAATTCCAGAGCGAATTCCTACGCAAACGACGGGCTGCGCTCGAGCAATATCTTCGTGAACTTCTGATGCTGCCCGAGGTCTGCCGGAGTCGTGATCTGAGAGCATTCCTGTCTCAAAGCGTTATTGCCCAGGGTCAAGACCTGGTCGATCGCGAAGACAAAAAAGACATGATCACGCGGCTGTACGACTCTGTTACGGACGGCGTCGAGGACATTCTGGGTAACATCCCAGTACTGGACCAACTGTCAGTGGCCGGTCAAAACCTGATAGCCGCAGCCACCAATCAACTCAACGCCATGCCTCTGCCCGTGAACGAAGATGGGGTCAGTGCTGCCGAGGCCGAAGCCGAGTTGAACGCTTTTGAGAACAAGGAACTTGAGTCTTTCATCAAGCCCATTTGCGACATTTTCTTGGAGGTCTTTGAGCTCAATCGAGGCAACAACTGGCTACGTGGAAGGGCCGTGGTAGTTGTTCTTCAGCAACTCTTGGGTGGTACCATCGAACGCAAAGTACGCGACAACGTCAAGATGCTGGTTCAAGAGGACGCGATCCTTAAGTACATTGCGCTTCTGCGAGACAGCATGTGGCCCGGCGGGCAGATGAATAAGAACAAGCAGCCGCGAACCGCATCGGAAAAGAAGAAGACACGCACAGAAGCCAGTCTGATGCTAGCAACTCTAGTGCCGGATCTGGCAGGGAGCGTGGTTGGGAGAGTGAATGCTCAGGCAGCAAGCCGACGAGTGTTTGCCACGTTCAACAACCCCAGATTGAAGTAAGTCTTTCTCTGGTTCGATGCTCACCACTACGGCATACTAACAACTTGGAAGCGCGCATCTTGCTTTTACATTCATGGACGAATTGGTGGAGATTCTGTTCGACCAGTAGGACGTATGCGGCACCTTTGTTTTTCTGATTAACAGCAAAAATATCTTATTCCCTCCGAGTCTTTGCGGTTATTGGGGCATAGCATGGCGTCTTCCGGGAATGTTTCCGTTTATGAGAGAATGCGTCAGAGACGGTGACGATGCTACATAGAAGCTGGCTTCGGGTCCGGTTATTGGTCGAGGGCTACTCGTGACCGGAAGAGACGGCTTCAACGGCGGCGGTAATGTGAAATACTGAAGGGCGGCCACGTGCCGAGGACAAAGATTACTTAATGAGTGACGAGAGACGAGGTGGGGAGGTTGCAAGGCCGGACGGGGTGAGACGGTGATGCCGTGCCTACCTTACCCGGATCATTGGAAATTGCTGGGCGGATGCACTTCAGCGGCATCGACAAGAGGGCCGTCAGAATAGAGTCAATTATGCTTCTCCACGAGAATGAAAAGATACGAGGATAAGGGATGGGCCCCCTGTTACAGATGCAGGTTGTCAAGTGGCCAGGGCATGGTTGGCGAGTTTCGCATTGGGTCTGTCGTCGGCTTCTAAGCCCGAAGAGGTCGTTGAAACAAGCAGTCGGGCGGGCGTGGAGAAGGTCCCTTTGTCAGATACGTTGGTAAAAGGCCGATTTGCTCAACAAAGGAGTCGATGACTTTTGCAGTCGCGGAGTGGCATCGCGTGAGGAAAGCAGCGAGCTGATGTTGTCCACTTTGATGCAACGCGCCGACAACCGAGATCCGAAAGAGTGTCGCATCGACGCCTTCCCAATGTTAAAATTGTGGAGGTGCTGAGGCTTGGCTCTTTGCAACAACTGAGGTAGTAATTCGAACAATACGCGGGATCTTCTGAGGAGACGGCGCTTTCATGACATCTTAGACTACCTTACCATACGCAGACATGAAGTTGAGTTGGTGATTCTTGGTCAGTCCGTAGCGTAACACATAACGTGGAACAATTAGCCATCAAATCTCCGTCTTTGATCTTCCGATTATCCAGGGTTTCTCGAATCTCAGATGGAGAGCCCGGCACGATGCAGCTGGATCCTGCTGCTGGTGAAACGACAGGAGTTGCTCCCATTGCCTGATATGGCGGGTCGCGAGGACTGGGGGCAGGGGCTTCTTGTACGAATCCGTTCACCAGCAAGCGATATACGACTCTGGGAGAAGGGCTTGCTGATGAGCCGCGGCAGGGCGGCTTCCATTCTCGTCGATTGGCAGCTCTGTAGGATCCCTGGTGAAGATCCGGTTCCCTTACCCTGTGTCTGAAGATGCTGTTTGCTCCTTGTCTCGGGATCGACCAGCCTCTTGGCAGGCTGGCTGGTCACTGTGGTCGGCAAAATCGGATGAGGAGAGGGTGGTCTGGTGTTGGGAATTCGTATTGGTGCTGTGCGGTGCTGCGCGCAAGGAAAGCAGAGCTGAAGTATCGCACGGAACATGCTCGTGTGTTTCCTTCCGTGTTCTAGACGTTCTACTGAAGCATGTCATCTGTCAATATGCAAGGCTATGCGCATAAGCTACCTAGGCATATCGGCGGACCTGCAAACGAAACCTCACGGGACAACATCGGGTTGACTGACAGCTTCAAGGTTCTCTTGTTCTCTAGGATGTTCCTCCTGTCCTTTTGGAGAATGCAGTGCGTGAGGTGCCTTCCATGTTCAAGAAAGCAGGTACATGCAAGCGTACCCGCCTAACTCGGTTAAGGAAGGTACCTCAGTTCCTCGGGCTGGCCCTGATGGTTACCGGGGTATGGCGGCGTGCCATTGGCCGATGCTCTCTTGCCCAGCGGCCAGCCCCCTCCCCAGACGCTGCAGCTCCTCTCTGCAGCTCCGTCTCCTCCTCTCGGTCAAGAACGATACCTTAGCGCCTCCTGGTCTCCTCCCCTCCTCAGTTCGCGTGCCATCCATGTTCGCTGCTCTTTTTCCGCTCCACCTTTTTCGCCTCTTGTGTTTTTTTTTCCTTCTGTCGCGAGAGAGAGCAAGGAACCAAGGTCTTCAAGTCGTGAGGTCAGGTCAGCTCAGGTACTCTGGAACCACTCTTAGCGCATCTTTACAGCTCCCTACCTGTACCCAGGTGGTTCACGTCTTGCGTCAAGGCACGTTCCTTTCGAGTAGGTAAGCCAAGAGCGGACGACCGTCAAATACCTAATTACCTGACCTGGAGCTCACCTCCTCCAGCAGCTCCCACCACCACCACACCTCTCTCACTCACCTCACCTCATCTTACCTTCTTACCTTGGTTGCCATCCACATCCGCCACCATTTCCCCCCCAAAAAGCTCTATCGAGCAGTCGACGCGCCCAACACCATCTTCTGCTGGGCCAATCGCAGCTCGACCGACCGGTGTAACGTCGACGTTCCAACCCATCTTCATAACCTCCCCTCCATCCGTCTGCTTTTCTCACGTTTCCATCCTCTCTACCCATCTGCCACATTTCGGCGGCATTCGAACGAGGCGCTTCGCCTTTCCTGTCTGCGTCGTCGAAACCCCTCTCTTGGCCATTATTGGGACCATTCATCGGCCTTCTCTTTAGCCCGCGACTTCCAGGACCCGGCTTCGTTGTTGATACCTCTGTCGTAGCCACTTGCTTGCGTCTCTGGGCCTCGCCCCCGAAACCCTCGTCCTTTCACGGGTCACCACCTCCGCAACCCATCATACCAGGCCGGAACTTTGCGCCAACCTGGCTTTTTCCCCCCGTATTTGCGACTGATATCCCAAGGCTCTTCAATCCGTCACCATGACCGAGGTATCCTCCACCAGGCTGTACCTGGGAAACCTTCCACGCAATGGTATGCTCAGCCTCGTCCATCTACTTGCCTCCAGACGCCCGAGTTCCTAGTCGCCAGCCGCTGACCACTGCGCTTCACCCGGATAGCCACCAAGGCCGATGTCGAGGCCCATTTCGCGACCCATGGCACCGGCGAGATCACTGAAATCAAGCTTATGAACGGCTTCGGTTTCATTGAGTACAAGGATGCCATGGATGCTCGCGATGTTGTTCCAGGTACGTCGCCTTAGCTATTGGCACCATTCGTATTTCCACCTGCTAATTGCCGCCTGCACAGCTTTCCGTATGTCCTGACGCGCCGTCATGCAGCCATCCATATCCTTCCGGTCCGGTCCGCTAACAGTAACGTCATGACAAAAGATGGATCCGACTTTATGGGCGAGCGCTTGACTGTACAATTCGCCCGTGGAACCCGGCATCGCGAAGGCGGTAGCGGCGGCGGCTTCAACAATGAGCGCGCTCCCCCGAGACCTCGCCGCACTCCTCATCGGATGCAGATCACGGGACTCCCCACCGATACCAGTTGGCAGGTCTGTTGAATCTCTCCCCATTTCTCAAGCTGGACATCCTGGATTCCCCTACATGCTGGCCCAAGGCACTTTTGGACCATCACTACACCCCTCTGAGATGGACCTCCTGGCATGCTCTATGGTTTTGGGTCCTGAGCGATGACCCGCACTCTGTCCTGAGACTGGTTCGGGTTGCGCTTGGGACAAATCGTGCTTCGCCGTGTTGGGACCGATTCTACGAACCGGCCCGGACCTGCCATAGCAGCGTTGAAACCTTGAGCTGGACGTCTTCCCTTTGGCTTCACCCATGACGACTCGACGCTGTCTAGTCGTTGACACCTGGACTTTCAACCCTCTTCGGCCTGTGACACCATCCTGGACACCAACTTACATGGACTCTGGATATAGGACCTCAAAGATTTCGCTCGCCAGTCGAGCCTCGATGTCGTCTACTCTGAGACCGGCCGCGACGGCAATGGACGGGGGTAAGTTGACCATGACCCTGGAAGTCTATGTACTGGTTCTAACGGTAGTGTTAGCTTCGTTGAATTCGAGACCGCTGCCGACCTGAAGACCGCTGTCGAGAAGCTCGACGGGCGCGAATTCAAGGGAAGCCGCGTTACCTGCGTGGCTGATGTGAGTCGCGAGCGAAACTGCTGGAAACAATGACGCACAGAAGCTCACTTGCAATCCCAGACTCAACCAGACATGCCACCCCGTGACTTCCGTGGCGCACGCTCGCGATCACCCGGCGGACGTCGGCCGTACCCGCCGCCGATGGATGACTACGACCGACGTGGGCCCCCTCGGGGCTACAGTCCGCGCAGAGATGGGTACCGCGACGGATACCGCGAGCGCAGCCCCCGCCGTGAATACTACGACGACCGCGCTCGTTACCGATCGCCTCCTCGTCGCCCTCTTGACGACTACCCTCCCCCGCGAGGCCGCTACGACGACCCGTACCGTCGAGACTATCCTCCCCCGCCCGACCCCTATGCCAACAGCGGCAGACCTTACGACCGCCCCCCGAGAGACTTCCCTCCTAGAGAAGGAGCGTACCCTCGCGAAGGGTACCCTCGCGGCGAGTATGATCGTGGTGGCCGTTACTGGTAACTCATCTCCCGCTCAAACGCTTGCCTCATAGGGGCTGTCCTTGACTCTGAATAGATCCTGGAAGCACCTCGATTCTAGTCTTGTCCAACAGACGATCTCCGCCAGCAGCACGCGGTGTGCTGTGAGGACATGAAGTGGTCGTTGAGTGCGGCGGAATGCTGCACGGTACGGGCTGCGAGTCCGGCAGATATGTTCAGAGTTATAATCATTCAGCGGCGGCAGAACAACGCCGCAAACCCGAGTACGTTTGTTTCGTACATGATTTGGTTTGGAGAGTATAGTATGAGGAGGCGGAGTACTCTGTACGATTACACACATGGATAGCCCCCAAATTAAAATGATGTCCCTTGATGTCCCGTCCTTTGAACACACAATTACATAACTGTGAAATGAACTTTAACCGTACAACACGCGGCGTAAGCGGAGCCATGCTCCAACCTGAGCCTGGCTCCTTTACTACAGGAGGTTCATCTCGAATGGTATCAAAATTGACTATTGTACCCGCGATGACCGCGGACGGCTAGCAATCTGCCTAACTAAACCCATCGACCACGGCAATCGTGCCCTCAACCTTGGCTGGCTCAAACCGGAACGCCCCCCAAGGTTCTAACGCAATTCCTCCAGCACCAAATGTTCAGATTACACACCGACTAGATTTTCCTCTCGGCCAAACAAAACACATTCGTTACACGGACACGCATAGATGCATATATAGAGATTCGGGATGGCGCAATCACGCCGTCTTCTTCCACTGGGTGTACACGCCAATCAAACTGCTCACGGTACCGGCGAGGCCGACGATACCGTCGTCGAAAGCGACCCAGGCAAGGGCAGATGTGGGCACGGTCAAGTCGCAGAGGTCGGAAACGAGCTGCAGACGGCTGGCAGCGCGCTCACTAAAAAAACAATTGTCAGTATGCGCCCCAGCAGATACGCAACGTCTGGACGGCAGGACTCACATGGCTACTCTCTTGGCCTCAACGACGCCCTCGCCCTCCTTCTTGTCGACCTTAGCCTCGCGCTGCTGAAGGCGATAGAGGGTGTAGGTCTGGGCGACGACGCTGAAGATGAGGCCAATGGCCCAGCAGCGGTAGGCCTCCTTCTGCAGCTTCTTTGCGCCCTCCCACTTCCTGATGCCGGCGGCGTCGAGGACGGTGGCGGCATCGAAGGTCAGGTAGCCGGCGTAGCCGAGCTGGCGACCGACGGCGGCGTAGCGCAGGACGGGGTCCATGGTCTTCGCGTCGGAGGCGACGGCGGCGGCCTTGAAGTGCTCGACGTTCTTGCCTACGCGCATGATCTTGCGGGTGAGGCCGAACTGCTTCTTGATGGCATCCCAGGGGGCGATCTCGGTCTTGGAGCCATTGGTGCGGAAGAGGTACCAGGCGTAGAAGCGGGCGAAGTACTGGAGGGTGCGGAGGAGCTTGTCGCGGCCGACGGTCGTGGCGACGAACTTGAGGTAGTGGGCCACGGACGGGTGGTAGATGACGGCGTCGGCGACCATTTTGGCTGGCGAGGGTATTACGTGACGATGCTCGGAGGCGACGGTAGATGCGGTAGAGTCGGTAGAGTCGATGGAGATGTTTTGATGGGGAACCGGTGGACTTTGAATGGAGGGCCGGTTTCAGTCACGAAAAATGTCGATGGCGTTCCAAAGGAGGACCAAGGGACTCGGTTTGAGGACGGGGGTTGATGAGTAAATTGGGTTGGCCGACCGGCTGGAAGACGAGTGCTGAGGTGCTGCTGTGCTGCGCTGCCACATGCCGAGGTCCGCCAACGAACCCGAGACATCAGCGACGACATCCCAGCGCGCAGGAGACGGCCGGGCCAACCTTCCTTGGTAGGTTCTTTGACGCGCAGCACGGCACGTGAGAAGGTGTCCCGGGAGCTTAGGTGCCTTATCTAAGCACGCCTTTGTTCCAATGCGAATGTGGGGTTGAAGAGCTGGGGAAATTGGGATTGACCCAGGCCAACGGCAGATGACACTTCATGCCTAACGTCCAAGGCAGGCCTTTAGAGCCAACTTGCCAAGATCCTCCTCCACCTCCAATATGGAGAGAGGGATTACCATTAGGTACTATTACCATACAATTACGGCAATTACGGGATCGTTCATGCAAACGCCTCCCTTGCTTCCGTCCACGTCCGGTCCGGTGATATTTATAATGTTCCCCCGTACGGGAAGACTCCTTCTCGAAGCTCATACCCGCACAGGACCCCGTACTCTACCCATCTCTCCGGCGCATCCAGTTGGCACAGAAGATTCTTGCTTTCCGCGTGGACAGAAGGCATCCACCGTGGCGGAAGAACCAAGAGCCGCACCTCTCACAATCTAGGTATCTCCGTCGGCGTTATCACGTGTACGACGCAAGCGCCGTATTCTTCAGCTGCAGCGGTGTATTCGTTACTTCTGCAGCACCAAGAAAAGAAGCCTTCGCTAGTTTATCAGACACGGTGAAGAGAGAACACGTGCTGCTGCGCTACACTTTCAGCTACCACGCCCGTTATCAGAAGCCAATACTTCTACAACTGACCTGGCTTTGGGAAAAGGATGATCCGTCCGATGGCTGGAATGCCTTCATCCCATTCCCACCCACATGATGTCACCTGCACCGGTCCCGTGTCCTCCTCTTCCTCTCCAGCAGTAGGTACACTACGATCGCAGGCTCCGTCTTTACCTTTATCCCCGAAAAGATCCAAGGCGATCCAAAGGGACCGCAAAAGACCCTCCCCCTCAATTGCCTTGGACAGGCCTGCCATTGCTCGCTGCACACCGCGCCGAAGGTTTCCGAAAAATCCTCGAGGCGCCTCGCGTCCAGTGCCCCTTTGGCGTCGTCTTCCCCATGTCTCGGGTTCCCCTCGGCCGGAGGTGCTTGCGGTCGGCTCCACTTGATCGTGGTGACTCGGGATCGCGCGCGATAATAGGACGGTCCAACCATGTAGACCTGCGATAACCGTATGCCGAATTGCCCCTCATCGCTGTTCCTCCCGTTCCGCGCTGAAGCTTCGACACACACGAGAGCTTCCGGCAACGCCTGCTATACGCTGTCTGATGTTATGTTCCAGACCCCAGACCAGACCCGGACTTGCAAACAACGATCCATTTCCTCCAATTGCCCGCTTTTTCCCATTCATACTTATCCGTTTCTTTCGTCATATTTAGCTACAACTACCTCCCCATCCCCTCGCGTCCTCTTGACCTTGTGCTCTCTTCGGCTTAACACCGATTCCTCTGTACCTGTGCGCTCGACTTTCTTTGTGTGAAGCAGCCATCGCGAAACCCCGCCATCACAAGCTTCCCAGCCTCAATTGCCCCTAGCTCGCCATCGCCTGGCTCTTTATTCTTGGCCCTCTCTCTCCTCTAGTTTGACAACCGCCAACATTCTTCCTTTTTCATCTTTTTGCGCATCCATACCTATACCCAACATGTCGGCCTACACAACGAACGGCGGTCAAGAGACCGAGAAGATTAACACCAACATCGTGACTCTTACCCGCTTCCTCACCGAAGAGCAGGCAAAACACAAGGAGGCCACCGGAGATTTCACGTACGCACCCGTCGCCCTCCCGCTCTCTGTTGACAACAACTAACTTGACGTACAGTCTCCTGTGCCACGCCCTGCAATTTTCCTTCAAGTCCATCGCCTACTACATCCGTCGAGCTACCCTGGTCAACCTGACGGGTCTGGCCGGTTCCTCCAACACTACCGGTGACGACCAGAAAAAGCTCGATGTCATCTCCAACGACCTCTTCATCGAGGCCATGAGGTCGTCCGGCAAGTGCGCCCTGCTGGTCTCTGAAGAGGAGGAGGACGTCATCTTCTTCAAGGACAGCGCCGGCGCGCGCTACGCCGTGGCCTGCGACCCCATCGACGGTTCCTCCAACCTGGACGCCGGTGTCTCCGTCGGCACCATCTTCGCCATCCACAAGCTGCAGGAGGGCTCCACCGGCACCAAGGAGGACATCCTGAAGCCCGGCACCGAGCTCGTCGCCGCCGGCTTCACCATGTACGGCGCCTCCGCCCAGCTCGTCATCACCATGAAGGGCGGCACCGTCAACGGCTTCACCCTCGACAACGGCGTCGGCGAGTTCATCCTCACCCACCCCGACATGAGGCTCCCCAAGTCCCGCGCCATCTACTCCGTCAACGAGGGTAACTCGCTCTACTGGGAGGACTCCACCAACAACTACTTCAACTCGTTGAAGACCCCGCAGGAGAACGGCAAGCCCTACAGCGCCCGTTACATCGGTTCCATGGTTGCCGACGCCTACCGTACCCTGCTGTACGGAGGCGTCTTCGCCTACCCCGCCGACAAGAAGAGCCCCAAGGGCAAGCTCCGTATCCTGTACGAGTGCGCCCCCATGGCTCTGGTGTTCGAGAACGGTATGTGCAGTCGCAATCCCTCCTCGTGTAGCGCCCACCCACTAACAGTCCCCTGTAGCCGGCGGTCAGGCTGTCGACAGCAACATGAACAGAATGCTCGAGGTCGTTCCCGAACACATCCACGACAGGGCCGGTATCTTCATGGGTAGCTTCGACGAGGTCGAGAAGGTGAAGAAGTTCCACAAGCAGTAAACCTCTTGAAATACTGGAACGGCCGTCACCCCACACAACACAAAACATTTCACGACACGTGCAGAAGTATGGCGCATTATGACTTGTTATTTAATGGGTGGTTGATTCCCCTTTGGCGGCGCTATGGGCACCGGGAATTGGTTTTGAGAATGGATACGTGACAAACGGAGAGGACACGACATTATGGATCAGGCCAGTTGGGACCAGGAATATGCATTGAGCAGATTGGACATTATAGTGGTGTACAAAATGAACTGCTTTGGAAACTATGCTCATGATTCTCTTCTCCAGTATAACCCCCGTGATGTAAAGATCCTTGACTTAGAAGATCTTGGGGATCAGCTTGGGAGTGTTCTTCTTCCACTCTTGGTAGTCCTTGCGGTCGCCGTAGCGCTTGTCATACTTCTTTTCGCTCAGGGGAATGCCAGACACTTTGGTCAGAAGCAAGGTGACGAACGCCGGGCTTACGTACGAAATGCCCGCAGCAATCAACGGCCCAGCGGCAACACCAGACAGGCCGAGAGCAGCCTGGATGGGCCTCGTCACAAGGATGCCGGCAGAAGCGGTGGCAATGCCGGTCCAGAGGGAAATCTCCCCAAAGTAGTTGGGGTATTGGCTGTCGTTCCGTCAGTCATCTGCTTCGGCGGAGCCCCTGAAGTGCTACATGGCACGAGCACTACCAGGCTGAAGGGAAACGTACCTAACGGTCCAGAGACCACGGGTCATGAACTGCTCGTCGTGGACCTTTTGCTTCTTCTCCTTTATCCATTGGCTCTTCTGGCGATCAGCCGTGATCTCGAAGGCGAATCCGCCAATGTAGACGAGCAGACCGATGGCATCGGAGATCTTGAGCGCGGGCAGAGCGGCGAACGCGGTGGCGGGCACGGAGTTCAGGGCGATGACGGGGAGCAGGCAGAGGGAGACCCAGGTGGCTTGAGCGAAGAAGGCGCCGGCGAACTTGGGCGGCGACTTCTTGATCTCGTCGAAGCGCGAGTCCTTTCCATCCTGCAGAATGCGCTGGAAGAGATACGATCCCACTGAGGGAGGACGTATTAGTGACGGCTAAGAGAGCAAATTGGGGTTGGAGTTCACGGAAAACATACGTCTGACGGCCCAGAACACGACGGCGCCGCTGAGAGCGACCTGTCTCCAGTTCAGAGCTCCTAGGCCGCCCGGGTTCGTGAAGGGTGCGAGCAGGCTCGGGAGCGGGGCCGAGGCGTTGGCTCCGGCGGGGGAGGAGAACTTGGCCCGGAGGGCAGGGAGGTAGAGGCTGAGGGCGGTGACGGAGAGGAAGGTCAGCGAGCCGGAGAAGTCGTAGAAGCGTTCATTCTGGGCGAGGATGGAGGGGACGGCGAAGGCGAGCTGGATCGCGTACGCGGCGGAGACGGACGGGACCAGCGTTCGTAGCAACGGGCTCTTGAAGTTGGTGAGATGGAGCAGGGATTGTAAGAGTGTCATGATGAAGTAGTGAGTTGCTTCCTTTTCACGAAAGACTTTCGATCACCATGTAAAAAATTCCCCGTCAATTGAGGGCGAGGTCTCCGATTGGGGATGCAAGGGGAAAACTAATTGAGCTGTCGCAGAATCAGCCCTACGGTTTTGTATGGGAAGCACTCGGCCGAAGCTCCCCCCTTGTGAAGCTGTCGATGGATGACGACACGACTAGACAGGTCCGGAAGGGAGGGGACCAAGCTCGGCCATTGGACGCTGCGGAATGCCGAGTGTCCCGCTCCCCGGAGCTGGCAGCTCGGTGTGGCCTCGGTGAAGGGCCGGTGAAAGGAGGGGACACCGACGTTCAAGTTCAATTGCCCCACCATGAGCTGCCCCGCGGTCGGAGCACGGGGTTTGAAATTGAACGCCCTTCTCTTCCCCCGCCATTGCGGCCGATCACGCAAGTTGCAGTTTGCACTTCCAATCATTTCAATTCGACTTCAAGACGGGAATTCGAAAAGAACTCACAATGGCATCTCCCAAGCAGGTCTTCATCGCCATCATCGGTAACAATTCACCCTTCACTGCAACCCCCCTGACACTTTCTCGCGGATTGGACATCATGTTAACCTACTTGGCGGGGTAAAACAGGCGCCGGTGGAGTGGGAAAGTGCTTCCTCTCCCAGCTCGAGACCTTGGCCGCCCGCCGACCCTCCCCGAAGCTGAACCTGGTGTACATCTCCTCTAGCAAGAAGGCCGTCTACGACGCCAGCTACGCCGCCATCCCCATCGCCGGCGCCGTCGAGAAGCTGTCCGCGGCCTCGCAGGCCCCGCCGGCCCTGCCCCAGCTCGCCGAGTACCTCGCCGCCGCCCCCGCCAAGGTCGTCCTGGTGGACAACACCAGCTCCCAGGACGTGGCCGACGCCTACCCCGTCTTCCTGGGCCGCGGCATCAGCGTCGTGACGCCCAACAAGAAGGCCTTCTCGGGCTCCTACAAGCTGTGGCAAGACATCTTCTCCGCGGCGTCGACGTCCGGCGCCAAGGTCTACCACGAGTCGTCCGTCGGCGCGGGCCTGCCCGTCATCTCCACGCTCAAGGACCTCGTCGAGACGGGCGACCGCGTGACCAAGATCGAGGGCGTCTTCAGCGGCACCATGTCCTTCCTCTTCAACTCATTCGCGCCCGTCTCCGGTTCCGGGGGCAAGTGGTCAGCCGAGGTGGCCAAGGCCAAGGAGCTGGGCTACACGGAGCCCGACCCGAGAGACGACCTGAACGGCCTGGACGTCGCTCGCAAGCTCACCATCCTGGCTAGGTTGGCCGGTCTGCCTGTGGAGTCCCCGACTTCGTTCCCCGTCCAGAGCCTGATCCCCAAGGAGCTCGAGTCCTGCTCCAGCGGCGACGAGTTCTTGCAGAAGCTCCCCGAGTTTGACAGCCAGATGGAGGAGACCAAGGCCGCGGCGGAGAAGCAGGGCAAGGTTGTGCGCTTTGTCGGCAGCATCGACGTTGGTTCCAAGCAGGTCAAGGTCGGCCTGGAGCAGTTCGATGCGTCTCACCCCATCGCGGCTCTCAAGGGCAGCGACAACATCATCAGCTTCTACACGGAGCGTTACGGAAGCAACCCGCTCATCATCCAGGGCGCCGGTGCCGGCGGCGATGTGACGGCTATGGGTGTGACTGGTGACTTGATCAAGATCCTGGGTCAGATTGCGTAAAAGCCTAGATAGTACACTGAAAGAAGATAAATGCCCAACCTTGTGACAGTACATAGCTTTACTTTTCATCGTACAGAACGGATCCGTGAGCATTGCCGGCAATACGGAACTACAAGGTCAACGTTATCTGGCCCATCCGCAGATCCAGCTCCACCACGACGTCTGGCGGGCCGCAGCAGGTGCACCCGAAGACGCGACGACATGTTCCTTTTCGAACGACACATCCGATCCCGGTGACGTGGGGCGGTCGCTGTAGGCGGCCAGATGTTCAACAGTCAAGCTGAAGTCTCCCTCTTGCTCCCCGAAGAAGCTGCAATCATGTCAGCGAGCTGCCAAGTTCTTGTCGCGGGAAATGTATGTGTCCCTCACCTTCGCATCATGAAGCTGATCCTCTTGATGCTGGCCTTATCCAACGGCTTGGCGTCGGGCTTGGGCTTGCCCCGGTAGGTAGGCTTGAAGTCGTCCCAGGGAATTTTCACCTCACCGGGTTCCTCGGAGACGAAGTCGTACTCCCAGCTGATGGTGCTCTGCTCGCGGCCATCTTCCCCCTTTGGCAGGATCTCGTCCTTGAGGGTGAGCGTGTACTTCTTGGAATCGCTCTCGAGGACCTTGATGACGACGCCGTCGTACTCGCTCAGGTCGAGGTGGAGCGTGCCGAGGGTCCTCTGAGACGCGAAGCCGGCTCCTCCCAGGGTGGTGATGTCCAGGTTGCCGAAGAACTTTGCCTTTTCGGGAGACTCGCAGTGCAGGTGAGACTGGCTCATGCCGCCGCGGACTCTGTCGTCAGAGTCGACCCAGAGACTCGAGTCCCAAGGGCTGCGGGACGTGGTCAGCGGCGTCTCTCTCCGTCTTCCTTCGCGTCGCAATCAGGGAACGGGGGGCGCCGTTTCTGGGGCTCAACGGTCGCGCGGGTAAACCAACCTATCACCTCCGTAGAGGTAGAGCAACTTCCAATCCGGGGCCATGATGGCGTTTCTTGGAGTGGCAGAGCGATGCGAGCTGCTCGGCTCGAACCAGTGGTTCTCAAGTGGGAACTGGATGAAGGATGCGAGCTAACCCTGACGGCTGCAAAAGGACCAATGCCAATGAGGCTTGGTTCTTTGATGGGTGCTTTTCGACGGGTGTGGCTATTCGGTAGGGCTGCTTGATCTCCGGGGGTGCGGTGGGCGGAGTGCAGGAACAGAGGGCGAAGTCAGGTTCGGTCAGGGAGCGAAGGATTCACAATGACCTCATTGAGAATTGCAGGTGATGATGAGTTGAATGAAAGACACACCGAGTGGAGCTCGTATCGTATTTCCCAAGAGAGGAAAGTCGAGGTACCTACCAATCCCAGCACTGGTTTTTTTGTATTAGGTAAGGCGGAGGGGATCAGATTCCGGCGCCGTCGGTGCCGTGGATACCGCTCCACGCGGAGACCCCCGCGTTCTCGCCGTCGCCGGGACGGGTTAACAGTGGGGCATAAAGCTGTGGTTGCGGTGGTAAGAAGATAATACCCTTAATGTAGGTAATGGGCTGTGATGCGCCGCACTCAAAAGTAAGAAGCCAAGTGATTTGGCCCCAACGTCTTCTGCAACAACCTGTTCCTGCCGAGAAATACTGGGAACGCCGTCAAGTCTGTGTTCCAATTGCCTATTTCGGACTTGACCATCCTTCACGGCTCTGTTTGCAATTTAGTGTGCCTGTACTATAGCACCGCACAGAACGGAAGATCCCTAGAGGGGGAAGTGGCTGTTCATTGTCTCGCATCTTGATGCGCCGATCTCCCCTCTGTGTCATTGAACTGGCATTAGGACTGATTCTTGAGTCGGTTAAGGGGTCTGTCTGTCTGGAAATAGAACCGACAACCACCTCCTACGTAACCATCACAAGTCGGGCGTGCTGTGCCGCATCCCATCTTCGGAGACCGCCGAATGAAAAACACTACAACGGTCGACGGACATGGTCATGAAAGCACGAAACAAGGCCAGGACTGGTTTTTGGCATCTGCCATTTTTTATTTATTTTTTTAACTTTGGGGGGGCGTGGGACATCTCGCGCGCGCGGGTTTAGTTGGCATTGGGCGCTAAGATCTCTCCGTTTGCTTCTCATTGTCTCGTTGAAACGACGTGCCGTATCCTGAGTCCAATTGAGTTGAGTGGACCTCCTCAAAGTTCACGACTTGGACGTGATGGATTCGTCGTAGTTCGCTGGAGCAGCTGGAACATGGCAGATGAGTTGGCTGCGTCGATCGCGGCAAAGACGAAGAAAAAGGCGAAGGCGAGGGCGACGGCGAGAAGCGATGATGGGAAGCAGAAGCTCGTTAGCGGGTGTGTGTGAAGTACGAGATGGGAGAGACAGAGAGACACTTTGTGGGATTAAACGCTAGCCGCAGGTCCTAGTGTCTCGGGCTGTGTCCGAGGGGGGGAGGAGGCTTTTCATGACACGGGGCACGAGGCAGCGTGTTCCGATGTTTCTTGAGCCGCCACGACGTACGGGATTGAGATATGTAATGCCTCGACGGAGGAGGTGAGTAGATCCTTCGCGACGCGGGTACGGTGCGGTGCGGTGCGATGCGGGGTCGAATTGGCATGGTCCGGTTTATCCTGGAACGGCGCCGAGAATCAACAGGAGGCGAAGTTGTATGTGCTCATCACCGTTGATGAGTTACGAAGATCCGTGGTTTGGGCAAGGGATCCTCAAGATTGAGGATTTAACCTTTTGGCGCGATTCGTGAAATAGCGCGATCCTTCATGCTGCGTCTTTGCCTGGCGCTGAGCCTCTTGATCGCTCGTGGCGCAGGGGATCCAACTCGGGTTACCTTACCTTGGGACTCAGACCGAGAGCGTGTAAGTGTAGAAAGGCGTGCTTTAGACACGGCCCTGTGGAAGACGTGTGTGTTTTAGCGGCCAGTAACGGGGTTAAGGCGAGCGGGCGTCTCCTCGAGCCGGCGTCTGTGCCCACCTCTGCCGGATCGGCTCCGGCTCTATGCTCAGGGATGAAGCCAGCACCGGACATATCAACCTTAGTAAGTGAGTCCCGAACGCATCTAGGATGTGGTTTACAAAGTGAAAAGTTGAGATGAGATGGGATGGTTGGTGACGGCACATCTTAAGACGGGGGAGTTGAGACGAGTGAGAAGAGAGGCACAGTCCAGACCACGCACCTGAACAACTCCCGCAGGGAAGGTCATGGCATCAAACGAAACCGCAGACACGTAATTTGGGACTTTGGATGAATTACGTCTAGTGATGTGATGGCCAACTCCGATTCTAGCCCGTAGCCGAAGCGCTTCTGGAGACGGGACTTCGTGATTCAAAACGACAGGGAATAAGACCACCATCACGGAACGAGCCAGGGCGATGCCGATCGGGGGCCAGAAGCTGTTAAATTACCACTTACACGAGGCCGTTGTTCTGCCGCGCCGTGTCGTTCTTTTTCTGCATGGAACAGCACGGCATCTGAGGCTGCGGTATACTTTGTGGGATCTTGGGACGGACCGTAATAGCTCACACATATCACCAAGACGTTGACGTTAAGGGGGGTTTGACAGACAGCAGTAGCAGTAATAGCAGTGGTCGCAACGCCCTCCCGGGCTTAACTCCGGCCGCGGACGGAGGGTCGGAGAGACTTCAGCCAAAAAAAAAAATCAACGGACACACACGCCCCCCTTTTCCCACATCTCAGAACTCCCGTGTCCTACGGAAAGATCCCAAAAGTCCCAGGTTAAGCCCTCGACTTAACCCCCCTGTTTTGAGGTCAGGTAGTGTCTCCTCTAACCCCCATGTTGGCAATATGGCTGTTGAGCAACCCTCCCGGCCTCCTCCCCCCGAACCCCGGCCTCAAAACGTCCAGCAACTTGACAGTTTCCTTGTGTCACCTTGAAATCCGGATTCCACTTGACAACTCAAAGTCTACGTAGTACAACGAGCCGGGGCGGCGGGGGGGACGGCGGCTGCAATCTGTCTGCATGGAGAATTTGGGCGCGACAGTTCTGGAGTCTTTGAGTCTTGTGCGACAATGGTATCCTTCCCCGATTGAGCCACAGACGCAGAACGCAGACGCAGCCGAAATTGACCAACGGCCAATATCGGTGCCCCGTGTCTGTGAAGAGGTGTGTGGTGTGGTGTGTGTGTGTGTGCGCGCGTGTGTGTGTGCTGTCTGTCTAATGCATCCATTCCCAGTACCTTAGGTAGCTGGCCTCGTCCTCGTTCCAATACGGTTTGACAACCAAAAAGACCGCGCAGTTTTTATCGAGCCGTCACATCATGCCATTTGGTATTTGGGAACCCTTGCCTGCCGATGCATCCACGTTACAATAAACCAAAGTCCGAGGAGGAGAAGAGCGAACCGGCCAGCCAGCCGGCAAAGCACACTGGAAAGGAGAAAAGCTTGGCCCGGCCAGCCTGCCTTCTTTTTGACGCCCGACTCTGCCCGCCCTGCAAACCACCCCCTGTGTGATACCATCGACGACAGCTCTTTCCATCCGGGGCCAAGAAGATGTGGAATCCGCGCAGCGCAGGAGGCAGAGGGGGATAAGGCAGGCTGTGAATCTCGACCTCTCCGTCAACTGGGCCCCGTTTCACGGCGGGCCAACTCACTCATCCGCCCGGCGGCCGTCCACGGCACACTCTGTACGGATTTCCGACGGGCTATGCGTTCGAGGCCTTTGGACATGGGGGCTCCGTCATGTCGTCTCAAATATCCCTCTTGCGCGCGCGCTGTCTGATTACACATACAGCAAGGTAGTGGAAGAGGAAGAGAGAGATACTAGATACCGAAGTACCTTACCTTACGCAAGCCGCAGCCCGGGCGGATTCCATACCCATGGCCGCTCCCCATGGCCGCTCCCCATTCCCACCCACCCCAGTGCCCTTTTCAAGCCGAACCCTGTCGGATACTCGCTTGTGGTGCAGAGTCATTCGCCAGCTGCGAGGCCGCTGTTCCGCTGTTCGTCTCTATCAGGCGCGGGACAAGGCCGTCGTCCCATCTGTTTCCTTCGGCAGGTATTTACGAGTCACCTCCCTCGAATTAAACCCCAGATGCTTGCGTCGAGGACGTACGTAGGATGAAGACCAAGGGCAAGACGAGAAGAAGAGGCTCGGTAGGATTCCTTACCTACGGATGGATACCTTACCTAGGTACCAAGTTAGAATTGATGCCACCTCGCCAAGCCTGCCGCTGCTTCACTTCACGAACACAACACTGGCAGTTGAGGTTCGAACTTCGGACAGGGGTAGTCCTTTCGTTTACTACCTGTGTAACCTAAAAAGAACCACAAGACGAAGGACGCGACAACTCGTTCCCTTTGCCACAAGCATCCTCGTCGTCCTCGTCGTCCTCCTCCTTCTTGTCCGGTGCTTTGTCATCCAGCGCCCGCCGTGGGATTTCGATCCGTGGCAGATCCGTATTTACGTACCACGGGAAAAAGGTACTAGACTAGGAGTTAAGCAACCTTTGGACCATCCTGACTCCGTTCCAGACTTTTTGTTTTTGGCTTTTTTAACTTCTTAACTCCGGAGCCCCTACACTAGGCCTTGCGGTGCGTCACGGCGCCTGGTCCCGGTGCGCGGAGGCAGGGAAACCATTCCATTCACTGGGACCGGTCGCCCTTGTCGAGGACGCCCTTCCCAGCGCACCACCACCGTCCCTCGGTGTGGTCCTCGTCTCCCTCGTATGCCGTATGCAGCCTGCTGAGGCCAATTTATTTCTCTTTTTCTGCGGCTCACGTAGTCATCCAGGCAGGCGGTCGAGTCATGTGTGCGTAGTGTAGAGTTGAACATTGTGTAGTTTAGATTGGTCAGGATTGGATTGTTCCGCTATGGTGTACATGGCTCTTTTGTGACAATTTTGTCTTTTTTTTTTCTTCTTGATTCTTGACCGGCGTCTCCAACCTCGTAACAAAAACCGTCTCCAATGGGGATCTGCCCACCAGATTGAAACGCCGTCGCCTATTCCCAGTCATTTCTCCGTGCTGAGGTCGAGCGCTTCGACCGTGTCATGCAAACCCAAAATGCTCCCGAACTCCTGGCCTTAGCCACCCTGTAGATAAACATGGAAATAAAAGAGCCCCGGTTGTTTGCCCGTGTAAATACGGGCTGGGTGAAAGTGTGTGTCGCGCCTCATAAAACAAGGATATGGCTTGTAATGATTTTGATCTTCTCCACGAACCCTCCTCTTTATTGAATCAAGCCAGGAGATCCCGGCATGGACAAAGGCGTTGTCGGGTACTCGTAGCCAGCGTCGGAGCAGTTGGCCGAGTGGTCGAAGGAGTGTGAGAGCGGAGGAGTCTGCTCATCAACCCATCAGCACTGTGGATCGCGGGGAGGTAAATTCCGCATATAACTCACATGAGGGTTCGAGGGGTCGTAGGAAGCGGGCGCGTTCATATCGATACCGGGCATGTATCCGTAGTTCATGTAGGGAGAAAGGCCGTCGTCGCTGGAGTACGACTCGCGCTTGATGGCGTCGTTGAAATGGTTCATCGGCGGGAGCGTCACCGGCACCGCTGCCATGTAGGCGGGGTATGTGTCGGCGGTGGTCATGGGGTAGGGCTGAGTGGTGTAGGCGGGAGCAAGAAGCATCTCCTCCGGAGGCGGGTAGGTGGTGTAGGCGAAAAGAGGAGGGGTGTTTGATCTTTCGCGGCCGTCGTCGTAGGCTGCTTGTGCGAAGAGGATGTCGTCTTCAGAGTGCATCGGGGGAGTGAACTGGCCCTGGTTGATAACCTTTGTCGGTGCGGCGGGCTTTTGCGTCTTGGTAGAAGATTGCGACTTGGACTTTGTGCTCTTGGGTTGCGACTGCTTCTCGGTGGTGGTCGAGCCCTCCTGTCCGGCGCGTCTCTCGAGGTCTTCCAGGCGTCTCTTGAGCTTCTTGCCTGCATTCGGGTGTTAGTACTGAGATGTCTCGGGAACGGTCTGTTGGAGTCGCGGGCGATGGTGACGTACGGTAGTTGCGCTGGGCAATGCGGTTCTGGATCCTCCGGCGCTCAGCGAGGTCGGAAATCTTGGTCCAGTCTTCGTCCGGGTTGGCGGAGCTGCTGAATGCGCTGCTTGTGCCGTGGCCGGAGTAAGCTCTGGGTGCGGGAGCGGGAGCCGCGTAGTATTGATGTTGTGACATGGTGAACATTGACATTGTGGGCGATGTGTAAGTCGACAGCTCAGATCCAAAGGCAGATGATGGTGTTTATAGATGTTGGAAGGTAGGCAACTAATGACCAAGCTTGAGGCAAGCTAGCTAGCTGTTGGAAGAATCGACGAGAGTCGTGATTGTGAAGATGTAGAGAAGTTCGTGGTGAGTCGAGCTGGTGGGATGAGACAAGGCAGAGAAGTGAAGGAGAGGATGGGAAGCTGTTAAATAACAATGGTCCCAAGGCTTCAGTTTACTTTCAGCCCAAGGAGGACGACCGGCGAGCTGGAGCGAGCAATGACATGGCAGCGGCAGCGGCAGCAAGAGGCAGGGCTGGCGGGCGTGTTAGTGGGGGATGGAGACGAGCATGGGGCATGGGGCATGAGCATGGGCTTTGTGAGGGTGTGGGTTTATCCAAATCCGCACCCGCATCCGCACCGCACCGCACCAGCAGAGAACAAGCACCAGCAGGCAGAGAAGATGGGTGTGAGGGGGGGTGGTGTGGTGTGGATGCCACTGCCCCATGTCCCATGTCCCATGCTCCACGTTCCACGCCCTCGTCCCTGCAAGGCGTCGAGCGTGGGAGCTGTCTGTGTCGCTCAGAGGCTCAGAGTGCGAGAGAAACAGGTGAAAGGGTACTTGTGCCGTGCCTGGCGCGAGAAGGGGCAAGTCGAGGGGCGTGGCTGTGAACCGAGTGTCATGTACTCTCAGTACGTCTGTATCGAGCCAAGGGAAGAGCGTCCCGTACTTTACGTGGGAATAGTCGAGGCATGGGAATGAACGGGAGAAGATGAGCAGACGGAATTTGGGGGTGGAGATAACATGGCCCAAAGGCCGTCGACACAGAGAGAGGGTGTGGTACTTCGTAAATAGAGGCCCGTAGGGCAGAAAGCATGGAGGGAAAGGAAGAAGAAGAAGAGACATCCGTTTGGGTTTGGAAACATGAGCATGAGGACGGATAGGTTGCCCTACGATGTAAGTCAGAGATGGTGTGTGGTGTTGTCGTTCCTCAGAGACACAGAGAGAGAGAGAGAGGAGGTGAAGGTACGTACTAGAGTCGGTCCATTTCGAAGCATCTCTTGAGGCAATCCGAAGCTCGAAAGCTGCCTTGGTTATGCCCTATGACGGGACGGAAGACAACAGAGAATGGTAAGGGCTGTACTAGCAGAACGATGGGCGCACCAGGCCAGGCTGCAGTGAAAAGAACCCTCTATTCTACCGTTAGGGAGGTGCGGCCAAATGTACCGAAGTACCGCTTTGCAGTGCAAGAACGGAAGACTGCTGATACCCGCTACATGATCGCAAAGATGCGCAGTCGAGTCGACGTGGAGGGGTGCGCTCTCGAGAGACACCTGAGTTGGAATGAGCGAGGAAGGAAAGGGAAGGGGGGGAAGAGACGGTGCAGGGTTGCAAGTGCAGGGGTTTGGGTCGAGGGTCGGGAAAGAGACGGTGGAGGTACGTACCTGTTTCCAGCCTGGTGGAGTCGACGACGTGCCTTACGCACCTCACCACTCCACTACCTTATGGATACAGGTACGTTCCTTTCGCAGTAGGGGTTCGACAGGGATAGGGGTCTTTTTAGGAGTACGTACCGCTACGCTTTAATCCACCGGCTGCTGCACCCAGACTGGACGACTTGTACGAGAAACCAAAAACAAAAAAAGGGCTCGAATAAGGTAATTAATTAGTACATGACCTTCTATTACGGCTGGAGTCTTTTTTTCATTTTGTTTCTCTAGGCACTGTCGATTCAGCATCGTCCCAAATTAACACTGGAAGGGACTGTATTATCAATTCAAACCACCCACACTTCTCCTGCCACAACCACAACCACGGCTGCAGCACGCGCACCACCAGAACACGGCAGCGAGTAGAACAAACTGTCTCATTGGGCCGTTACCGTGTGCTCAAATAGACTGAGCTAACTGTGCTAATTTTGCCCACTTGCACTCACGCTTGCACTTCCAACTTCGCACTGCTGCAACCCCATTCCCAGTTCGCTGCCTGCGAGAGGTCGCTATATCCATCTTGACGTCTCTTCGTCGAACCGTTTGCAGGCCAGACCGGCGGGGATATGTATTTCGAGAGTCCACCAGAAATGGAACCCGGAATCTCTAAAAGCACCGCGCATATGGCCATCGTAGGAGGATCGTCTCCCCTGCCAAAATGTCATGTTACACAGAGCCATCCCTGTCCAATTGGTAGGATTCGAGCATCGTGTGGGGCCGATTTCTGAATCCGAGGTACGTACCTCGGATTACCTCACCGTCGACCCGACCTCGACCCGACCTCCGTCTTCTCCTTCTCCACCTTCCGTCCGTTGCGGCCGCCCAATCTTCTCCCACCGTTCCCCCACCGTTCTTCATAGGGCTGCCTGTGGACGGGACATGCCAATCACACTCATACTGGCTCATCATCACTCACTCCCCAGTCCCGTTCCCCCTCCCGCCGCCGCCACAGGTTAAACGGCAAAATAGCCATTTCCCTTCACCAGCACCAGCACCAGCACCATGACCATCACCACGCCGTCTCCTGTCTGGACCTACCTTACGTCAAGCAGCAGCGAAATTCGAGGTGCGCTTTGCCCTCCTGATTAGCGCCTGCCCCTTCTCTCCATCTTTCTCCATCTCGGTCCAAACTGCTCTGGTCTTTCCCCAACCTGGGCAGCATTTCCCAATTGGGCGCCCGCCATTTCGTGGCCAAGCTTTTGGCTGGCGTTTTTACGCCGCGGCCGATCCCTCATCAATACCCTCATTAAGGTTGTCGACGGTTGCCAATCCCTCGGTGGCTCTCCGCCAGCCTCTTTGGGCATTTTACGCAGTACAGCATCTCTTTTCCTGCCGTTTGGGTCTGCTGTCCGCTGCTCCCAAACCCGCTGCTCCCCAAGATACCTAGCTCAGCCCGCACAACATGCTAGCCTCTCCCAAAGTCCCTCGCATTGCCCTAACCGGGACGCCATGCTAACTGGTAGCCTACCTATCCGTACTTCTTGCTGTTTCTGGTGTGCCGTGGCAATGGTAACCGCCTCACGCACCGATATGAGGCAAGACGTTGGCACCTGGGCTTTTGCCGTACGCATCCGTGCCTCAAAAGGTCCCAGCTAGTCGTGAAGATGCCATCATAGGACCCTGGCTCCAAGAGGAGTGTGTTTCGTCTTACAACGGCAACGCGATTGCGGTTCCAGCCCCGGACAACTGCCGGGCCCTCACCATGCTTTACTTGATGATAGTGGTCGAGGTCTCGTACCATGGGTATGGGACTTTGATCCGGTTTGCGGGCGCTCTGCTATCAGTCGCCCTGGAATGTCTCCGAAAAGTTTGCTTCCGTGGGCTACGATTCGGCCGTCGTCCGTGGAGTAATTTGCAGGCAGCGAATTTCCTCATCTCATGTCGGTCGGTCGATGGCGGCGGACTGGTCCGGAGGCGCGGAGGGACTGCGGACTGGGGGGCTTTGCGCGCGCGCGCGCGCACAATATTTCCAAAAGGGTAGGAAGGAAGCAGAGAGGCGACTAGATTGACAGGACCAGCGACGTCTGCTGGGGAATTGATCGCCAGCGACGACGAAGGACCCTGGACGCAGCAAGAAGAACCGCCATAGCGGCGAAGGCGCAGACGCGACACTAGGTATCCGTAGAACGCAGATCCCCACTGCCGTGCTGTTCCCGTAGACCTGGTCACCTGGTCTGGTCTGGTCCACGTCGTTGCCTCGAACGTTTGTCGACTTTTGGTCTCGCGGCGGGGTTTCGTCGAGGATGCGAAACAGGGCAAGACAGGGTCGAGATATTGCGATTTCGAACATTGGCCAATCCCGTGGTCGGCTTCGTTCGGACTCGATCGGTGTGGCCACCGCTCGGACGAGAGAAAAGACCAAGGTCTTCACTTGCATTATCCGTATCCGGACGTGTGGGTTCGACATCGTGGATCCCTTGACGGCCCACCCTCGCAAATTGTTGTCGCATGGCATGGTGTTGGTGTTGGTGTTGGTGATGCCATCGTCATGATTCCAGGCTGCGGTCCAACAAGCAAATGGAACTTCACAGCATATTGGGGATATTGGCGGGCAGGCGGCGGGCAGGCGGCGGGCGGGCGGCGGGTGGTCAGGGGAGATGCTTGGACCAGCCGGCAGTCCGGTCCTGGGTCCACGGGTCCACGGGTCCTGGGACTGCACCTGTGGACGGGACAAAGTGGAGACCAGCCACCGGGAGAGATTGACGGGGACGCTAGTCCTAAAACTGCTTGTCGTAAAGAGCAGCCAATCAGAGACCGTACACGTAACATGGCCCGCGTTTTTTCTCTTCAGTGAGTGGTTACCCCCTAAACAGCTGGCCAGTGCACTGAAGTCCAGCCCGTCGCCCATTGCCCTGCTGAAGCACAGGGCAAGCGGGGGAGATAGGGTCCACCCTACAGGGCACCCTACAGGGCACCAGCCCACTGAATCTTCTCCGCAGCGACCCCGTGCGCCCCTGACAGGTCGTCGTACAATTCGACCAATCCGAAGCTCAAGAATTCGTTTGCCTGATCCAAGTGTCGAATTCTCGCATGTCACAGGTCAGGTCGTGGCTGGTCTCTGCCCCTGCCCTTGTTACCTCGCAACGCACCTCGAGCTTAAACACCTCATCCGACCAAAGTTCGGATCCTGAATATCGTCAACTGGGATTCCGAAAGCCCCTTGGCCCTGGCCCTGCCCATCGGGTAGATACCTGGTTTACGGATACTCTAATTATCTAGGAACAGAGAACCAAGAACATCAAATCACACCACACACCACCATTCCATCTCCAACTTCCCAATGTCCGCAGCGAGCCCCCTCAACCCGCTCCGATGCACCCATACCCATGTCTCGTCCCGCTAGACGTCATACCAAAGAGGATAAAAGGAATCAGAAGGTTAAGCCTTGCGGGCTAAGAAGCGGGAAGAAGCCATTCCGACTACCAAGCCACAGGGCGCGGTGCCAAAAGGTGTACACGGAGTAAACTGAGGTACTTACAAACCCAGATCCGCCAAACC